CTAATAAACCCTAATAAACCCTAAAAACCCTAAAAACCCTAATAAACCCTAATAAACCCTAATAAACCCTAATAAACCCTAATAAACCCTAATACCCTAAGAACCTTATACCAGAAGCAGCGACCATATATTCATGTGTTCCGGGCCAAGAGGCGGTCCAAGATGCATCTATATAAAGGCGATGGGGGACATAGAAGGGCTTCAACCAAAACAAGGAAGGACTGGTATGAGTGGCTCTAAACTTTGAACATCTATTTCCCAACATAGTCAAACTTCTTTGTGCTGTGGTTGTACACATAGGCGTATTCCGCCACATCAAACCCCCAATCCCCAATCACCTTGGTTCCGGCACTGCACACATTGCCTGGCTTCTTGGTATTGAAAGCCCGGCAGTAGGGACTGTTTTCAGCAGCATCAGCAGAAGGCACCCTGTAACCTGGAAAAACTCTAGGTAACTCACCCAACCTTTGCTGTTGTCCCAGGTCTAGCCCTGAAACCGGTGATTTGAAACCAGGTCCCATCTTGTTTTTTTGTCTGCCTGTTGTATGACTGGATCTTGTTCTTTTGATAGAATTGCCGCAAGGACCATTTCTGCTCCTGCTGGGAGTTTACAGTGACCCCCACCAGTATGGCACTGACCATGATGAGCAGTGAACAAATAAAAAAAGCCCTGCACCCAACATACCTTTTCCCTCCATCGCGAGTGGACGCAAATGGGAATTCCTCGGCTGAAACCCATCCTTTATGGCCTCCCCACAGGTTAGTCGGGGGTGATGGTTTCATTCCATACTTTCCAGGGTCTTTGAAAGGCTGCTTGTTAGCAGCGCTTCCCTTCATGACCTGCCGGTTAACATTCGCCGGCTTTTTCCCAATCTTTTGCCTTTCTTTGTACTCAGCCGCTTCCATCGAGAGAAATGTCTTGCTTGTTCTGGGCACACTCACATTGTAGTAGGCATTCCTTTGCATAGCATAGCCCAACAGTCCACATCGTATGTCAGAGCATCCTCTCCCCGGATCTCGATCTCACCCCTGATCGGGTTTCCTCGACTGTCCCCTGGGGTGGAACGGACTTTCAATGAAACGGAATCCACAGCCGGAATGGCCGCGGCATTTTGAACCCCTAAGATGGGTAGCAAGGCAAAGGATATGGCAAAGCTCAACTTCATTTCGGGGAACTCCTAACAAAACGAATTGGCTTTCTCTGTAAAGGTCAAACACTATACACATTTTGCTCGTCCATTCATCTCCTTATATACCACACCCTCTCACCTGGTAGTCATTGCGTCTTCAATCATGTTCCGGCCAACCACTCTCTAGGAATACCACAAATGGCAAGACATTATTCTCTTCCCTCTCTGTTGGGTGATTCTGCTGACCTCAGAGTACCCCAGACGCCTGTACCCGATAGTTTCGAGTCGGGGATGTAGAGTTTCCGTTCCAGACAGCCTCCTACCCCAAGAATAAGAACGAGGCAGACTATATGGCTCCGTGCAGGATCAATGATGTAGGTAGGGCATGTCCGGCTTACCTCTGCATGGTTATGTTGGACTGATAGTACTGATGTACTGATCTGTGTTGGTCTAGTGGTCATGTTCAAAACCGGCATCACCTTACTCAGAGGCGGCCAGGCCAGTTCAAAACATTGACCTAATGTGAAGCAATTAGTAAGCTGTCCAGCGGAACTGGCAAGGGTAAGCATTCGACGTCACTGGCAACAAGAGCTTTCTGCCTCGTGTTGGATGGGCCTGGTCTTTGATTGGACAGCTCAGGTAGTGGGGGCTGACGGCAGCTGGTGCCTGGGGCTGCCCAGCCGAGACTGAAATACCCGGGCTGGCAACCCGCCCCTTCTTCCTATAATCATTGTTGGCACACCCTCGACCTTCCACGCCTACTTGCCCCTAAAGGATATATCTATCACCTTTGGTCTACAGTTAGTAGCGTTGACCACCATCAAACCCTCGTATCCCAGGAAAGCTATGACCGCTATCTTCCTCTTCTGCACGGCAAACGTGCCAGCAAGCGTATGCTGCCCCACTCCCTCGTGACATGTTCTAAGCACTGAGTGCAACCAGGCTAATCCATCCCTAGACTGTCAACCGATTCATGACGGAATTCTCAGAGACCAGCGAGGGTCCCAACTTCTTCTCCCTGGTTCGTCATCCGGACCAGTCCTCCTTCGATGAGTGGGGTACCGAACTACCTGTCGGAGACTTCACCACTGGCTTCCGCGAGGCCACGGATGCTCAGCTTCGTCTGTATGCCAATAATAAAATCGCCGCGCTGAGGCAAACCGGAGCAGAGGGTGGCCTAGAGCCCGAATGGATCGCCAAGCTGGACGAGCGGTCTCAGTATGACTCGACCGTGGTGTTGCAGTACTGCATGCCCAAGTCTACCTGGATTCAGAGTCTCGAAGATGCTGAACTAGAGTTCCATGTTCCTGGTCAGGCGGATATTGCGGAGGCTAGCGATGAGATCTGGTGGACCTGGCGAGTGGGCTTCGCCGATGCATTTTGGTTGTTTAATGGCGTCGACGATGGGGATGTCGATATGATTCTGCTGTATACGCGACCGGAGTTCCTCGACCCGGACGGGGTGCTGCATGTAGATGTTCCACGGGGGATCATTCAGGGAGATATCCCAGACGCGATCACTGAGAGTCGAAGCTGAGAGGGGGGCACATGTTGAATGAGATCGTTTGCGGGGTAGGCGAATCTTGTCCAGCTCTTCTGCTCCTAGGTGGAAAGTGTTCTGGTAAAGATCCATCAAGACCAGCGTTTTTTTGCGTCGCTCCTATCGTCGCTGTGGTAGAAGCCCTCGGGCAAATAAATTACACCTTGGTGGCAATATTTGTAAGCGCTGGTCTCGGGGTTGATTTTAGGACCGAGATCAGCCCTATCTTTGTCAACGTTTAAAGGGGCGGGAGAGAGAAGCGAAAAGAAGTCTGACAGGTTTAAGATAGGACGCTTTTTGGTTCCTGATATAGTCCATCGTTCGGAAATTTTGCTATCTGTCACTCGTTTTCTTCCTCACATAGCCCAACCCAACCCACCTGTCCCTCGGAGTCCCTGGATGAACAGTCCTTTGTCACTGGTTTTACTAACTTTGCTCCCCCCTACGTTCCTTTATTGTTATATGATATTTTCCTCCCTATCGAGACGCCCGACTTGGCGAGAGCTGAATCCTTCATACCTCCCATGATGGATTCCAGGAAGAGCATCAGCATGGACCGGGTCGAAGAGGCCCCCCTGGAGACAGAAAACCACCAGTTTTATCCAGTCGGGCCCCGATTAATTATGGTCACCATCAGTCTGATGTTAGCAGTGTTTTGCGTCGCACTAGATAACACTGTAAGTTTGATCATCGGGGCCATCCACTCCCATATCCAGCACCTCCTGTCTGACCTACGCGATTCTACAATCCTAGATTCTCTCTGTGGCCATCCCCAAAATTACCGATGACTTCAAGGCTCTCAACGATATTGGCTGGTATGCCTCATCGTACCTCCTCACTACATGTGGTCAGTAAAGCAACTGGAATCCCCCCACTCGATATTTACCGCTCGGTGAGACTGACCACATTGCTCGTGTCCAGCCTTCCAGCTTCTGTACGGAAAGCTATACACTCTCTTCAATATCAAGGCGGTGTTTCTGGTAGCGTTGTTTATCTTTGAGCTAGGCTCGCTCATCTGCGGGGTGTCCCCGACCTCCACCACGTTGATCGTCGGTCGTGCAATTGCCGGGCTGGGCAGCGCAGGAATTTTCAATGGAGCGCTTGTTACCATTGCTCATACTGTCGCCCTCGAGAAGAGACCACTCTTCTTTGGAATGATCGGAGGAATGTACGGCATTGCGTCGGTGGCCGGGCCTCTGGTGAGCTCTTACGTCTTCATCATCCGCACACCTGCTAATCTTCACTCAGATGGGCGGGGCATTTACCGATCACGTCAATTGGCGTTGGTGTTTCTATATCAACCTTCCGATCGGCGGCGTCACCGCTGTTGGTCTGATCTTTCTTCTCCGGCTACCGACAAGGCAGAACGTTCGACCCCAGGGCTTCTGGAACATCGTAGCCGGTTTGGATCCAATCGGCACTGCTCTCTTCGTGCCGGCCATTATCTGCATTCTCCTGGCTCTTCAATGGGGAGGTGTGGACTATGCGTGGTCAAATGGAAGGATCATCGCTTTATTCGTCCTTTTTGCGATTCTACTCATTAGTTTCGTGGTCGTTCAACTGATGATGAATGAAAAGGCCACAGGTAAGATATCCAGTGAGATGAGATGCATAGTTGGACTAACTGAGGATGTCATCATTCAGTCCCACGACGCATTGCCTCTCAGAGGACAATCGCCTTTGCGTCTCTTTTCGCACTGTGTATCGGTGGCTCCTTTTTCATCATGATATACTACATTCCCATTTGGGTAAGCATCCCACCGTATCTGCGATATAATCTAATGGACTTTTGAACTTATCTTCTCCTAGTTCCAAGCCATCCGCGCCGCCGATGCCGTAAGATCCGGAATTGACTCTTTGCCAATGATTCTGGCCAATGTGGTTGGGATCGTTCTCTCGGGGGCCCTCACCACCAGCACTGGATATTTCACCCATTGGTTTTTCCTCAGCAGTATCATAATGTCCATCGGTGCAGGTCTCCTCACACTACTGACTGTTGATGCCTCTCAGGCCAAGTGGGCGGGTTTCCTCTTCCTCTACGGTATTGGAGTAGGCTTCGGATTCCAACAGGGAGGCATCGCCGCCCAGGCTGTGCTCCCCCTCTCGGATGTGTCCATCGGCACCGCCACAATCATGTTTATTCAGATGCTTGGAGGTTCGCTGTTTGTGTCGGTTGCACAGAATATCTTCACCAAGCATCTGGTGGCCAACCTGGCCGCATTGCACATCCCCGGGTTGGATCCGGCCACCGTGGCCAGCGCTGGTGCAACCAGCTTCCGGGCGGTTGTGTCAGAGGAGTATTTGCCACAGGTTCTGGTGGCTTATAATTCTGCGCTGATCAAGATCTTCCAGCTGTCGATGATTTTAAGTTGCCTGAGCATTCTGGGGGCGGTGGGAATTGAGTGGAAGAATGTCAAGGGGAAGCAGTTGGAGCCGGCTGCCTAGAGAATATATAATGTTGCGTAGCTGGTCGTGAAAGTCGTTGTCGGAATGCAGGATTTGCCTGCTGATAATCCTTGCTCATGGTGTTTTGTATGGGATCAAGTTAGACGGTGTACATATCGTGGCGAGACATTTCATTTGTCGGTATTTAGATGTTAATATATTCATCCCATGCAATATGCGGGTGCGTTGTTACGAATTGCTTAGTTATCCTTGACTGGAACCAGATCCGGAATCTAAAGATCATCCCCATCTAAAGATTAATACCTATGACCAAACTTCTCGGTATGTTGTGAGAGAGACAGGGTGTAGTCTATGGCCCAGGATATGACCGGGTATCGATCCATGACGGGAGTGCCGTGAGTGATCACGTATTAATACAAGGAGGCAACTATCAGGGCTTTATTTGGTGCTGTTGGAGATTTAAAGTTTGGTGTTGCTTATTCACTCGGCTGTTATTTCAACGCCGAGGGACGTGCTCATCGCCTCATCGTCTCTGCCCATTCCCTTCCACCCCAGGCAACGCGACAGGTATTTAAAGCTTCAGTATTCCCCTAAGCATGTCCCCGTCCGTGCCAATTAGATTCCATATTCCACCCAGCCGACAGGATGACAGCCGTTTTGATTACCGGAGCGACGGGCAACCAAGGTGGCGCCCTCATTCGAAGCCTGGTGTCGCGCAAGGCCCCCTTTGAAATCCTGGCAGTGACGCGCAATCCGACCTCTGCATCCGCCCAGCGACTGAGCCAGTTGTCCTCCAACATTCGTCTGGTCCAGGGAGACCTGGATAGCCCGTCGGCCATCTTCGACAATGCCCGTCGCGTGACCAAGTCCCCCATCTGGGGCGTCTACAGTGTGCAGGTAAGCAGTGTTCTACCGGGTCCTTCTCCCCAGCAGTGCGCAACGCGGCTCACCATGCAATTTCCCCCACAGGCGGCCATTGGCAATGCCAGTGCCGAGGAGTCCCAGGGCAAGGCGCTCATCGACGAGTCCCTCAAGCAAGACGTCAAGTTCTTCGTGTACAGTTCGGTCGACCGCGGGGGCGAAGAACGCTCCTTCACCACCCCAACCAAGATTCCCCATTTCATCAAAAAGCACAACATCGAACATCATCTGGTGGATCGCACCAAGGGCACCGCCATGGAGTGGACAATTCTCCGACCGACCGCGTTCTTCGAAAATCTGACCGCGGACTTTTTTGGCAAGGTGTTTGCCACGAGCTTCGATATGGCCCTCAAAGGCAGCCCGCTGCAGATGGTGGCCGCCAGCGATATCGGCTACTTTGGCGCCGAGGCCTTCCTGCATCCCGAACAGTATCGGGGGCGAGGCGTGTCCCTGGCCGGAGACGAAATCACCCATACGCAGATGGCCAAGATCTTTCAGCAGCAGACCGGGCAACCCTTCCCGAAAACCTTCCGGCCCTTATGTTCCTTGTTCCTGGCCTCGATGAAGGACATGGGCTACATGTTCAAGTGGTTCCACGATGAGGGCTACCGGGCCGACATCGCAAGTCTCCGATTGAAACACCCGGACCTGAAGAACTTCGAGACGTGGTTGGCACAGGAAAGCGACTTCCGCCGTCGTTAGCGTTGGGGGATCATCGGCCACTACTGGCCATAGCTTGTACACTACTGTGTTTAGTCCTGCAGCAGGATCTCAGCTGAAATGCAATAATGTAACCTTTACCTTTACCCACTCTGCTCCACGCCAATGAGATTATGTGACTTGGGGGAGAATCTCCATCTCCACTTGATCAAGCCTCGGAGCGGCGGAGATATGACTACCTACATACTGTATATACCTGCAGTCTTGATCTCTCCTCCGTTATCATGCATCCCAGGTTTCCCCGAACTCCGCCCAGATTTGTCAGACCCCCACCCCTCAGCCGCACGAGGCCCTAGGTCTAATGCCTGACTACTCTGTACCACTGTTCCCATCTGGATAATTTGAATGGGGCACACACCCAAAATTGCGATCGCAGGGACCACGATCCAACTAACATGTACCTCCGAAATGGGGGTGGCAAGCACTCCCCGGCGCTGCAACCCGCGATCCGAATAGGGCTACGAAATCCCTCGGACGAACCCTCCTCATGCTCGTGGCGAATCCCTTTCAGCTCATCTTTGCGATTTGATGCAGCTAGTATGAGGGATCACTGATCGTCTTGGCTGAGGGCCATCCTAGCGCAAACCCGATCGTGCAAGTGGCGATAAAGCATCACATGAGTACTCAGGTCACTCGTAGCATAAAAGGCAGGACCTGCTCTCCTGTCCTTTGATTTTTCTCCATTAATCTACCCAACAATCCCATTCTACCATCACAACCATGAACTTTCTTCTCCTCCTCTTCCTCGGCCTCCTTCAGCTGGTCTCCGCCGCCCGATCGGGCACATACAATGCTGGCTGGGCAGTGGGCGACACCACCTGGAAGCAGACCGATTCGGTCTTTGAGCGCGAAACCGGTATTGCCAAATACCGCCTGTTCCAAGCCGATGGCTGGATCTACAAGTACCAACTCGATATCGAGGTGAGCCAGGTGCAAGGGCCTATCGGGGGTACATACGTCTTCTACGACTCGACGGGCGATGAATACAACCTCATGGTCTTCATCGCCGGATTCCATACCATTGACTTCAACTCCGACGATCCGTATATCCAGATGGTCAAGGTGGTGGAGGGATAGTATGTATACCACCTAATGGTCATTTCTTGGAGCCGGGCTAACAGCAACCAGAATTCATTCCGTTCTCAACGCCGCAGTACGTGAGGATGTCAGGGGAGGGTTGTGCTTGGGGGCGGAGGGGGTTACAGTTGTTCGGTCGAAGCATTCAACATGCTTGGGGTGTGGCTGGTCGCTGAATATTGGGATGTGTGCAACCCCATGATGGAGTTGGTTATGATGTCGAATATAGGGAGATGGGGGTCAAAAGCCGTGGGCGGTGGCGTGGAGTAGTCAGAAACATTTATTCCTGTGTATCAATATGTGTCTCTTGGCTTAGTCAAGCTGACTATCGATGGTGCTACTGTGTCACAATGAGCCAAGTCAATTGCAAATATGTCTCGGAGCCACGCTGCCACCATCACCCACCTAACAACATTCTATAGTCTAAATTCATAGTACCTGCAATGTGCAGATCAGTGATTTGCCCCATGAAAAGATTGTTGACATGAAAGGGCCTACCATGGCGATAACCTGCTCTACATGGATCTATTTGTAATTTGATTTATGGACATGGTTCTTCCTTCAGTGATTCACTCAGTGACTCATTGTAGAAATAGCAGTCTTGCTCTTCTAATGGCCAATCTTAACAGTTGGTTGCGCCCAGAAGGTCCCGTCATCAATTCAACACCTTTCTCATCTCGACAACACACTCCCCAAGCGGCGGATATGCCTCGAATGTTACCTCCAAGCCAGCAAAGGCGGCCAGATCCTTCCACTCTGCGCTGGTCCGCTCCCGACCGGCGTGCATCACGATCATGGCTGCGTGGGTAGTCGCACTGGCCGCATTCTTGGTAAGCTCCTGGATCAGAAGACGGGACACTGGGGCCATGACCCGAGCCACTTTGGCCAGGAGCTTGATGGACTCAATGTCCGAAAGATTGTGCAGGACATGTGCCATGGAGTAGAGCAATGCGCCTTTCACCGGTTGCTCACTGCCATCCTCTTTATAGTTCCACCCCATCTCGGTAACGTCGGGAACGACACCGATATCGGCATTATATTCCTGTAGGATGAGATTCTCCTTCCTAAGCAGGTGGGGATACGTGGCCTTCAATTCGAGCAGCAGCTCACCCCGGCCACCGCCAATATCCACGATCCGCAGAATCTCAGGAGTCGCCGACTCCAGCAGGCCGTCCAGGTCATAACCGAGTTTACGGACACGATCGGGCATCGTGCCCCAGCGACCGAACTTGCCAGTCATAAAGGTGTTGAAGCTGTCTAGACGGCCAGTGTGGTGCATGACCGAGTACACATGTTCCTTGGCAAGGAATTCGTCGCCCATGCTTTTGTAGGCATATTGAAATGGCGTCTCACATTCCTGGAAGGGATACCTGTAGTTGGTGTCTTGCAGTTGTCGCATGAGAAAGGCGGCCCCGAGTAGGCCTTCGGAGGTACTGCGGGAAGATCCAAAGTAAGCCAAGTAAGCCATGTAATGGAAGGTTCGCAGCACCAAAACCTTACAAATGCATGGCGCCGTGTTGCGCTGAGGGTGTATTGACAAGGTATTTGGTGACATCGTTGGCAACATACACGTCGTCGGGCAAAAGGTCTAGGAAGCCAAGGCCTCCCATCATGAAAAGGGCATCATCTTAGACATGTCAGGACCACTGTGACATTGATGAATAGGGGGTATCGAGGAGTACATACTTGCCAAAGGTATCGCTTGAAGTATCGACCCCATAGTCAGCCATGGTTGTCTGGCAAGAAAGGATCTCGCGTTGAAAGACAGGATAGTCAAGCAGGCTTGAACGTACAGAGATCGGTATCACCGTATTTCCTCCTGTGAACATCGCAGACATCCCCCGCGGTGGCTGGCTTGCCAACGTCTTGGAGGCAGCCGAAGAGGTCGAAATGGACCGCGATAGGTACGAACCCTAGAGCGGGTGCCTAGCACGAGTAGAAGGTCAGCCGGACATTGTTGCTCTTCACAGAAAATTTGTCCTGAGGGGTGTCCAAGGAAAGAAACGCACCAGGGTCACCGTGCCCAGGACCTTTTTGCCGGCGTCGGGGATGGGGATGTTCTGCGGGGTAGACATGCTTGTATAGGAAAATGGGTAATGCTGATGGACACTGGATCACGGTAGATATTGACGGGAAAGGGTTCCATTTAATAAGTTCAACTGAATCCTTATCTACCGAATTTGCCCTTCCCACCGAGCCATAGTTCCCTTGCTCCGTTCCCTCTGCCCTTAACGGGCAATACTGTAGGCAGGTATTGCTACTGGCTCGCCGGTTGTCCTGATAGCGGGCGCATGAAAGGAACCTAAGCTCTGACACGGCTGGCGTCAAGTCTCCCTTGCAGGTTGAACCACAGCGACGGGGGTTGAAATGCCGACCCCGATGGCTAATGGCTGGTGGGGACGCAGATAAGCATGCAGGGTGCATGTGCATCGCAACAAAAGGGTCCATGGATCTACAGCGAGGCGCGGCTGATAAGCACCGTACAATGATCAATGGCATGTATGTTATGCTTTATTAGAGACGATGACCATGCGGGTCCAAAGTTTGAACACGATTGACTCTCCGGTGAGCCCAAATAGACCAGTCAAGTTCTGAAAGCTGTAGTCTCGCCGTTCTGGTGTAACCTATGTAACAGCGACTTGGCCGTCGCGCGGGTCGTGCAAACGATGTTAACAGCAACAGCGGCAATGACGATGATAGTCGCCAGTAGTCAGCATGCATCTGGTGTGACGGACGGAGCTGTGCACTCATTGAGTGACCCGGAATCAAGGCAAGGGAGGGACGAGGGATTAATCTCAGTTCAGTGACATACCAGGTGGCCGCAGGGGGGATCAATTGGCTTGCAGTGGCGGTACACATGGTCTAGGCCTTCGAGAGTCCGGTGGTAGGCGGGATCTAAAGTACTTTCACGCAACCAATGGTCTTGTTGCTCATGTCGAGCACCAGAATGCCGGTCTATCGGACGATGGCTACGGAGGGATTGGCACTGGGACGAAGCATATGCGTGGTCGCACATTACTCGCATTGTGGCATTGTGTACTATTTACCCTCACTCTGCACTACGCCCGGTTATGCGAGTGTAAGCTCCATCAGAGACAGAATACTGCCCGGATCTCTATGGATCTGGCGGATGCATAGCTGGTCGCTTGCCAATGTGATGAGAACCTCCCAATCCTCGATTGTTCTCTCAAAAGTGTTCGTAAACTGGTGAAGGAGCAGATCATTACAACGCATGACGCGCTCCTCTGTGGCAGGAATGGAGCCCGGCGTAGGGAGAACGATATCGGAAATGATGATCCTGCTCTTCGGCCCCATTGCCGGCAGAATATTCCGTAGAATCAACACTGCCTCCGCATCGGGCCAGTCATGCAGGATATGACGCAGCAGGTAGACGGATGCCCCCTGGACCGGCTGCGGGTCAAAGAAGGAGTGGCCCTCGAACCGGATCCTCGAGGTGATGGAACGGGGCAGCTTGCGGTCCGCAAACCGCTCGATGCTCTGTTCAACAACATCGGGCAGGTCTTGAATGAGGAATTGCAGGTCCAGAAACTCCTTTGCAAGCGTGACGCTGACATGGCCGGTAGAGCCGCCCATCTATCTGTCGGTTAACCTCCATGACCTGGAGCTGGGAGGGGGGTATGGGGCAGGGGTTAGGGCTCACATCCACCACCAGACCTTGCCCCAGTGATGCCCACTCGTAACTCCTGGCTATGTGGGAAAGGCTGAATGATCTTGCCCCCGAGATCGCTTTCATCGAGTTGGCAAACTCCACGGTGAGCGAGACATTTTGAGACACAAAGTCAAAGAAGGAGCCGTCATGGTCAAAGGCCAGGTTGTGCGCGGTCTCGTTCACCTTCTTGCTACCGGGCCATGTGTCAATGGCATCCAGATGCCGAACAGCCGTGGGAATGACGGTGCCGGCAAAGTACCGCCCCCAACACTTGAGGCCAGGGTTGCTAGCCAGCTGGCGCGAAACCGGGCTGTGGGACACGGTGTTCAAACCGGGCTCCTGGAACAGGTGACTGGTCATCGCCAGTCGAAGAGAACTGCGGAGGAGAGTCTCGGGAACCTCTGCGGCTTGAGCAAGATCCGAGTACAAGATGCGACCGTCAGGAGGCACCAGTGAGGGGATATTGTGGTGGCACAGCCATCGCAAGGCGCAGATTAACTGCAGCTAGGTCGTCCATCAGCCTCATATAACGCCGTGCCGGGGGTCAATTTACAAACATCGGCTGTCAGATGCGCTAGAACATCGCCTGGATCTCGGCTGAGATTCAGAAGCTCAAACGCGGCTTCGGCAAGCTGGAGCTGGGCAGCCGCAATCGCGGGTGCGGCCATCGACTCGCCATCCATTATCAGCGGTTCGTCCTCAAGGGATCGGAGGTACGTGGCAATGGCGGTCGCGCTTGACGATGCCTGGCTTGCATATCGTTCTAGTTGGGATGATAGACTCATCTTGCTCACTGCTACCGTTCACAAAACTACCTGCCGGTATACACTGTAGAGTGTAGCCTTTAGGGCAAGGATGACCCCGAGGTTATAACCCAACCTCCAGTGAACTCGAAAGTCGGGGCATTTGGTGATACAGGCTCCGGCCAGCAGCAGCCCACTGAGTCCTGAGCAGGTCATCCGGGTCCATAGTCCATGGTCCATTCAGCTCCCGCAAGCGTAGTCAGTCGTGTGAATCGACCTCGTAACCATCCGCAAGCGTCTCCTGGCCAATTGGTCAACTGGCTAGCACGCGTCATGGCCCGCCATATGATGGCCAAGCTGACGATAAGCCGACTGGGCCACACACGGGCTGTGGAAGGAAAAACCGATATACGATCTACCCCTTGCCGATGGTGTCAGCGTTAACGGGCTTGACAATGGCTCCTTGCGTTGTACCCCTACCCCGAGGGTCCAGGCTGGTCGAGGCCTTGGGCTCTGCAGCCAGCCAGGTCACAGCCACTTTCCAGGGTATTCCAGACCCCCCCCCAAAGTAACTGCATGGCCTCCGAGGTTGCACCGATTCGTCGAGGAGGTTACACAAATCCCCTCTCCCATTCGGGCTGTGTGAGTCGCTCGGGTAGTACGTAAATGTCAGCATTGCCAACTTTTGGCAGGGTTTCCACTCTCTAGATAGGCCATGCCAATATCCCCCTGGTCGCCACCCACGCCTTCGCCCTTGTTCTTCCCTTTCACAATGGTTTACCTGAACTCAATTTGGTGGAAACATGAGCCAGCGTGTGCTGCTTCTCAAGGTGACTAGTTTCGTAGATCATCAGGACCAACTTCATTGTTGTAAGTGTGATCACTGGGTACACTATTGATTCACTTGGGGGGGTTACAGAGATGGGGTCACGCGTCAACCAGTGGAGGTTAGAAGAGTATTAAAATATTAACACATATGCGCCCCGAGCATATGAGGTTTCTGCTCATCTACGGGGACTCCGGGTTCTGCTCCCTGCCTTTGCCTCAAGAGGGCCACGTTCACCTTCAAGTTCCCTGGCTGTCTGGCTCCAGGGCCATCAAGTGGGTATCCACGACCCAGACGATGCAGAATTACTCCCCTGCGGATTCTTTCTAAATCCTAACTCCTGATCAGTTCCGGTGCCCTAATCATTCTAACCGACTTCCCTGGCTCCTTCGTGGTCTTGCGGTGGGAGTCCCGATGACCTGTGTCATGGTTGTTGGCGATTCTTCAATCCGGTGCTGTGGTTATAAATGGACTTTCTATCATCTACTTCCCTCAATTGGCGTCGGGTCAGCCTCCAGGTTCTCGTCTTCCTGGTGCAGAGAATCTTGCGGACGCGATATCTTCACCGCGACAGGCCTTTCAACACCCATCCGGGTTTAGGTCAGTTGAGTGACCCTGTCCGGAAGAAAAGCATCTTTCGCAATCAACCCAATGCATTCACCTTTTGCCTGTCTTATGATCATGGGCGTGAATGATGTGAATGCCGAGACTTCCACATGTCCGATCGCGCGAAATACGCAGGGGAGCCGTTATCCGCTCGGATAGGGTGGTGGGAAACCCCTAGCCCATACATCCTATTTTCCCGCTCCATCAAAATCTGCAACCTTGGAGCATATCTTCGTCGGGTTGACAGGAGCATACCGGTTGCCTGTAGGCGGCTTCCCTCCAATTAAGGACCCATAGAACCCGGTCTGGTTCGATGACGATGTGGCGGCTTCCTCCCATGCCTATTGCATCGAAAGCCAGAACTCACCTCCCGTGCCATCTAAAGCATTCCCCCTGCTACTAAGAGGTCACTGACTGGCGAGGTGGGTTCCAGACCGCTCCTGGATATACGCGCGGTGGATCATTCATGTTGGGTTTTGTATAGACACCGGAATTCTGGGGTGGTGGCTTATGTGGCCCTCTATGAAGGAAGGGTCGGTCCAAAGGCAGAAAGGAAGTCTCCAAAACCATTATATTCAGCTAAATACCTCTAGGAAGGAGGATTACTGTGTAAGAAGAACCCTGAAGGGTTGGCGTCTGGCGCGGGGGCCTTCCTTGAGGCAAGCACCCGAAGGTGCCTGCCGCAGGTGGCAGTGGGGATAGACAGTAACATGATATTAAGATGGGCTCAAGCACATCTGTATATGTCTATTTAATATCGTTTCTGTAGCCTGCCATGCCCCTATCTTCCATGCCTCCAAAAGGTGCATCCGCTCTTATCAATGAGGACCGAGAAGGACCATGTATATACAGATGTTTATATCAGCACCAACCGAGCATCTGTTGTTGAACGAGCCTGCAGCCACGTTTCTATCACCAGAGTCTGCAATTGACTGGAATGCATGCAATACAGGCTCGATTGCATGTGCAACACTGGCATTGTGACCAGAACTTCGGCAGGGATTTGGTTGTTGGCCAGGTGTCGCATCGAGTGCCACGCGATGCACCTGCAGTCAGCCTAGTCCATTATTGGCCGATGGATGGCAGCGTTCGGCAAAGCGCTCCAACCACCATCTCTGGCAATTGACTGGGTGGTGTAAGCTCGTATCTGGTGCTGCGGTAGCCCAACCCTTCCACAACCATGGCTCTCGACGGTTCTTTTCACCACCTCAATGGCTCAGACTGCCCTCGTGCGTCGGAATGGTTGGCGGAGGCCTTCTCCTAGGTCCACCGCACCTGCAGCCCCGACGCGAGGGGCCGGGTCAGATCAAAATGCCCCAAGCGGCCGACAATGACCCTCTGCTCGTTCTTTGCATGTCTGCGGGGCAATCTACCTCACAGTTGCGCACACGTCCTGTTGTACAAAGCGCCCGTCGCCACGGTATAGCCGAACTAGATACAGCCGGGTGGTGGGTAGTGAGGGATGGCAGGTAGACCTCCATATAAAACAGCAACGTCAAGGCCTGTTCCCGCCCCGGGCACACACATCGCTCGTGTAACCATTTCCTTCCTAGACAGGGCCCTGTTCTTCTAACTGAAGCGCATATCGGAGCCCATGAATCAAAATGTTGGCCCTCTACTTAGTACGTTCGATGTTACTGGAACCCATTTGCCCGCGACTGCGTGCATCGTGATTGACCATAGAACGTCGAAGTACAGATTGCCGCAGCAGTCCTGGGATGGGTGGTTTATCGGCTCTATTTGGATCCACTGTCTCATATCCCAGGCCCGTTTCTGGCTAAATTCATCCCGGTAGGATAGGAACCTCCCCTGCCGTCTCCTGCTAAAGGTCCTTGCCAGGTCTGCAATATCCGAATGGTTCTTACCAGGAACCTGGTGTACACGTTCAAAGAGCTGCACGACACCTATGGTGAGTCCTAACTGCCCCGGGTGTACGAGCCCGTGGCCCATCTCATGTCTGAATAGGGCCGGTGGTTCGCATTGGGCCTAGCGATCTATCATTTGCCACCGTGACTGCGTTTGAAAGCATCTATGGTTTCGAAGGTGATAAGAACTTTTCCCTCTATGGAAGCCGCAAGGGCCTGCTTGGCTCCCTGGCCGGCATGGGGGACTCGCTTTCGAACTCGACGCGCAGAGAGCAACGGCGATTGCTTCGGCCCCTGATCACGACGACTCTTAGCGAGCTGGCAACCGCCAGTACCGAGCGATACTGCAACATTGCGTTATCCGAGATGCTACAAGCGCATTCCGTAGGGCAAACAGAATCAACGCCTATCCCGCTTTCCACGCTCAATGATCGGTGTCTGTGGCAACTTGGCTCTATGGTGGCCTTTGGAAACCGCAGTACGGAAGGGGTTCGAGGTGCTTCTCCGCTTCGATGATGGGGCTAGGTCTGGGCTGACCAGAGAAATAGTGCAATTTCATGTGAACCTCGGATGGTTGGACCACTTCATGTGCTTCTTGGAGGTCTTCTGTGCCTTCCTGCCTCGTGCATATATTCAGGATCATATTCCGGCCTTCTTCAAGACGTGGCAGACTATCTGTGCCATCTTCCGACAACATGCCGATCCCTCATGGATGGAAAAACAGCCGAATCATACCAGCTTCGACGATAACCAGCTCGTGCGCCTTCGAACTGCTACTTCCAAGGCAGGGCTCATGGACATCTCCGACGGGTTGCTGCAGGTCAATTCCATCATCACTGGGTTAGCCCCCATGGCCCCCGGATCTGTCGCCACGAGCTAACTTCCCGGCAGCTTCAGCGTCTACGGGGCGACGGAAAGTTCTTTGAACACCCTCCTTTATTTCCTGCTGCAAGACCGGCACTGTATGAAGAAACTCGAGGAAGAGCTACTCGCCGCATTTCGTTGCATCGACGAGGTCTCCGATAGCCGCCTTGCCAAGTTGCCCTACTTCAACGCCTGTATCGATGAGAACTTCCGGATCGCCCCGGCATTCAATGGCGGAATTCTGCAACGGGTATCTTGCGGTGCCACCGTCGATGGCGTCTATGTACCAGCAGGCGTATGTTGCCTACGCCTTTCCACCCCGCTGTCTTGTCATCACACTAACACAATTGTCTTACTATAGGTCGGGGTCGCGGTAGACCATTACACCCTTGCGCATTCGAAGCAATACTGGGAGAACCCCGATGCGTTTTACCCGGAGCGCTGGCTGGATTCCAATGGCAAGGATGACTTCAAGGCCACCCGGCCATTCCTCATCGGCGTGCGGCAGTGTCCTGGGCGCCAGATGGCATACCAGGTGCTCCGGGTACTGGTGGCCAAGATGGTGTATCTCTACTCGATGGAGCTGGTCAACAAGGACTTTGACCTGATACGGGATAGCTCCTCGTCGTATCACTGGGGTGGTGTGAAATTGGATGTTATCATGACGCCGCGAACCCCGGGAGTCCTGGGATACTGAATCCATCCGATTCTTTCTTGCACCCATGACACGATATTGTGGAGACGCTTGCCTCAGTGCAGGTGACCTTGCTCCGGAGATCGAGAGGCAGTCACGGTTTTTTGTTGAGGCTAGGTGGCCTTGGAGTTGTTGGTTATCCATTTTGTTTCCCTTCAGTGGGAGCTTTTTCATAAAGAGATAGTCGGAAGTACGTAGTGAAACAAAGCGTGCGATTCAAAACTGACACTTTATCTGTGAGAAGTGGAACCTACTTTGTTTCAAATCGAATTATTTTCCAAACACTACCGTGTGACACATGAATCTATGAAATCAACCCCTACAATCCAATGTTCCCCGTCAATGCCGGATCATCATGCGTATATTCACGAGCGTCAGAGTCCTGCGCATTCATAGCCTTTAATAAATCAGGGGCAGGGATTTCTCTCTCCCCTCCCATTCGGAAAGAATCCGCGGTCGCCGTCTCGAGGTTATTCGTCTGCCATTCCAAAATCCGATCCCAGTCCCGACAGACTCGGTTGATGCCGAAATCGAAAAAAGGAAACTCCTGGGTTTCCATCCAATTGAAGGTGACCACGTCCATGTTTCCGGCGCAGGTCAGTGCGTTCAAGACTACGTTGACGCAGTGATAGAGATGCAGCCAGTGAGCAGGGTGTCTGATACCCTCTGGCCAGTAGTAGTCACGATGGAGGTTCTGTCGAATGAGATTCAGGCAGTGTATCTCGTGCATTCCGTTCATGATCCCAATGTGAAGGTCGGGATGGATCTTGTCGCGCACTGTCAGGGACGGATCTTTGCCCAGTTTGATTACCTGCTCGGTGGTCAGGTAGACACGCTTCATCGGGGTGAGTGTCCCCCATGCGGCGTCAACCTCTGGGCTAGGAAGCTGGCTGAAGATTGAGGAGTTGTCGAAGAAATCAATCTTACTGCGGACATGTTTGAGAGGGATGTCGAATTCGTCGAGTAGGGGGGCTGCGAGACCACCTTGTCAGCGAGGTGGTGCTGGAAGGGGGGAAACCGCATCACTTACAGTAGGCCGAGGTTTGTTTTAACAGAGCGTTTCTCTCAGACCCCAAGGCTGGTCGAGAGCGAAGGGACACAGTCACGAATAATGTGGCCAAGGAGCAAAGCAGCACCAAAATGTTGACGCATACTACCGGCCATAGCCATGCCGGTCTCTGGTTCACCTTCGATATACTGGCATGAGTCCGCTGAGGAAGAAAAGACGTCTTCTCTTCTTCCTCCAGACTGCCAGAGTCCCTGGAGAGCTCATCCGTGTACTCTGCCATGGTGAGGGGTGCAATGCAGAGTGAAAAGGTTAGAAGCGGCGATAGAGCATCTTATCTGCCACGCTAAACCGCTTACCTAGTAAGCAGTAAGCTGACACCCCATCGCTTACCATCAACGGCAGGATCGGGCCCACAAGCGGATCAAGTGGCGGGCTGGATGTTATCGTCAATCTTTTGAACATCTCCAATCATTCTCCGGGGTTGTTTCTTCCTAACTGAAGAAAGACCTCGTTGGGATTGAGGTGGAACTCATACTTGTGCTATAATCTTACTGACATACGCGGCCACTGACGGGATACTTCCCATAACCTGTGTCAGATTTGATGGATCTAGCCCATCGAGGTATCTGTTTCTCCTTCCATTATCGCAGAGTCGGAAAGTCCAGTAGAGATACGGATCAGGTACCGAGCCAGCAAGTCTCCGTGGTTTTATCGTGACTGGCCCCTTAGCGGATAGGTAAATCTGGTTATTTCTTCCCGGATAAAGGGCTGGTGATGATTGTCAACTGATCTGATGTCAGTATCATCATCAAAAACAAGTATCTGCAACCACATCACTCCGTGCGTGTCTTGCGGCATTTCCACTCCCCGTCGGAGTCCGATCCATGAGGATTTCCGGTGGGGACGCACGGCCGGGGTAGACTCCGAGTGAGTGGTGATGACACGGACAGACCCGCTTGCCGCAGGATGATCTAGTCTAAACCCGGTAATGGAGATGCAATCTTGCAGAAAGTTGCCAGTCTGATGCCACTTGCTGACTCGGAAAGCCCAATGGGATGAGGGCACGGAGAGTCCATGAGAGATAAGCCTCTGACCGTCTCTTGGCGATATCTGACATTCCTTCAGGAACAGGATACCATTTTCCGATGCGATGACGACGGGAGGGTTGGATGCAGTATACCCTACCCCTCGTGGAATGATTCTGACCACGGTATATAAGCCCCTACCAAGTGCCTGGCTACACAACCATCAACCACCTCAGTCCTCCTGAACAGCAAGTCAGCTAGATCTCAGTTACATCATTCAATATGCGTCACTCTGCTATTGCTCTCGGTCTTCTGGCCACATTGGCCGTCGCTGCACCCATTCAAGGTCCGAACGTTCAATTCATTGACTGTCTTCATCAATCTATGAGTCCCACCTGCTGATATTCATACTCTAGATTCCACTGTCGCAAAACGTGCAGAGAACATCGGAATCTACCGCGACGTCGACATGTATCTCGACACCGTTGAGAAGCGAGAGGAGCTCTACGCTCTTGCGCCTCTTGACACTCTTGAGAAGCGTGACGAGGATCTGGGCATCTACCGCGACGCCGACATGTACCTTGATACTGTTGAGAAACGCGACGATGACATGGTCTATGCTGATGCTGTCAATGGCCTCAACACTGCTGAGAAGCGGGAGGAGCTCTATGCTATTGGACTTCTTGACACGGTGGAGGAGCCTTAGAAATCGGGATCTTGTTGATGACGTATCTGTCCTCGTGGACAGGGGAAATGAGAAGGAAGTGGTGCATGGATGATGCCAGGAGTGTGGAGCATGGTAGAGCGGTCATGTGTTGGTTTGTGAATACAGCTATACGAAGGAGTCAGCCGAACATATGCAGAATATGATTCGATGGGTGAACTGAGTGCCAAGGATACATCCTCATTGACAATATATTCAGTAAGCAGCAGCGCACGTGTAGTTGTAGATAATGATCGGGGAATCTTTGTTACTTTATTAAATGCACCCACCCACCATATATTTGGGATATATAGTTCCAGCACCCATAATGATACAGCCCGTCGATCCTTGCCATCATCCTCACCATCCCATGTTATTGGTCCGGATCAAGGTCCCCTTTCAGGCTGCCACCAAACCAGTTGTGTTTGCAATGGACCAAAGAGTAGTTGATAGGATCGCGGGAAAAAGAAACCTCCACGGGTACGAAGCCAACTTGCCATGAAACCAATGGACTGACTTTCATCTCGGCCTCAGTTGATGTATCTGGTGAGGGGGAAATGGCCAAGGTCATCGGAGACCCGGAGTCGCCGTGTCATGAGTCCCCCTGCATTCCAGCCAACATTCCTGATCTCCAAACCTTGTCTCCTGGCCGTACATAAAACGCACATCATGGCTTGGAAAACCTCTCCCCGCGGCCACTAGCACCTTATCATCATCCTACCCAATATGCGTATTTCATGGGTTCTCATCACGGCCGCGCTTTCATGGGCCCCTACAGCCTGGGGCTTCAACCATCCCACCTCCACCTCATACACCTTTGATGAGCTCTGGGATCTCGAAACCAAATTCTGGGACAACTTCCTCTACCCAGCCAACGTCCAACAAATGCTAGCCATCAACTCGACCTTGTTCACTGCAGATGTACCTACCTCCTCAAACCCTACCTCCACTCTATTCCACTCCACCCCCACTAACCCCCCCACAGGTCCAAGGCCGAGTGGACATCACCCGAGTCTTCAACGGCAGCGAACTCAACACCGAATACCTCTTCGGTCTCTTCTCCGATCCCGACCACGTCAGCCTCGTCGGCGTCCCCATCGCCTACAGCATCACCCAATTCAGCGGCAACGGGAACATCGCCTCGGCCACCACGGTGGTCACCTTCAACGCCACCTCCTTCAACAACCTCCTCATCCCCGTCACCATCGACACATGGATCATGTGGGATTCCAACGGCCAAATCGAACAATACGACGCCACGTTCCGCTGGTTCGGATTCCTCCTCGACACCCTCGTCAATGCCCTAGCCACATCCATCAACGGCACTATCGCCGAAGCCACCGCATCTCTAACCCAACTTCTCGCGACGACGATCTGCGCCACTCATGATCAGTACTGCACAGGCGATAACCAGCAGTATACCAACTCGTCCACATGTTATGATTTCTTGACGCAGGATATCCCCCTGGGTAAAGACTACGAACTAGGACGGAATACGCTGTTGTGTCGAGAAGTGCACGAGCATATGGTGCAATATGATCCGGCACTGCATTGTCCGCATATTGGGCCCACGGGGGGAGATTATTGTGTGGATGATCAGACGTATGCGGAGAAGGTCTTGCAGAAGTATTTTAGGAAGTCGTGGATTGCGGGGGGTGCAGGTGAGTATGATGATCAGGATATTTGGTTGTAGTTGGATTGTGGGTGCAGTGGGTTCTGGTTCAACTAGAAGGTGTCTGTCATATACAAGAACAAGTGGTCTTTAGGTGAATAGTCAATACGATCAGGATAAATTATGGGCTTTACAGCAAGTTCGCAGACTGGACATGAGTTAATATAGACAAGGGCCATTGTCGGCCATAACACTACAGAAAATAATGATAGCTTGAGGTTAAAAGGAGGGGCTTTGAGCAAGAAGGCTGAGGAATTACTGGCGTGTGTGGATAATACGCCCTTTCACGAAGCACGTCACAATTGGCAGCTCATGTTCATCATTAATCACATAATCCCTCCATCAAGGTCCCATTCATAGGGCGCAGCATTTCGTCAACAGAACATGGCAGTATCAAGTATGAACCCCTGTCCTCCACAGCAAACATCCCTACACTGGTACTAGCATAAACGTACCTTCCATTCACTCTCCCCAAGGACACTCGATGGCTTCGCCGGGCCAAAGAGAAGCGTACAGATCACGAGCATCTTTCCACTCCTCCCAGAATCCGTCGGAACTGATTGGCATTAGCAGGGTATCAAATCTGAATGAGGCATTGACCTACCCGACATAGAACTGGGTGGGAGCCAACATGAACGCTCGCAGGAGAATACAGCCCACCACGGTGTCATACGGCTTGCGGGCAGTTTTGGTAAATCCGGAGCTGCGATGCTGACGGCATTGAATGATCAGTGGCTCATGTCCACCATCATACGCTCCGTTCAGGTAGATCCCCTCGACCTCGTCCACGAGGGGAGGGGTGACGGTTTCTTCGTCGTCATTCTCGGTCGGACCGGTCAAGGGGACGTGGTCATGATCAATGATGCGCTGGGCATCTCGGACCAACTTTGGCCAGGCCGCCTTCCACTCGGGGCTGTTCTTATCGCCAACCTGGTAGTAGTGGGTGTAGCTGAGACATTGAGCCAGGGGTCAGTGAATATGGGCCTGTTTGACTTACCCCATGATGAAAGTCGATAGATCGATCACTAGGTAATGAATCTGAAGATGAGAAGAGGGGATGATGAGAGGGAAGATGTTGATGGTTGATGGTTGATGGTTGACAATAAATAGACGGCTCATGTCATAAAGTAGGGTCAAGGCAGCAACTACGAACAGCAGGCAACCACGGCCAGGCAGCCACCCATGTTAATTATGTTCAGGTTGTACGGCAGGTGCCTTCAATGGCTCCCTCACAGCATCGGCGACCCCCGCATTTTATACTCGGGCAAGGGACTACGCCCACTTCGATACCAAAGCCCCGTGCTTTTCGCATCCTTTTCGCCCGCCGCATCGGCCGTTCGCAACCCAAAGGCCACGTCCTTACCCAGGTCTTCCTCCACCCACTGGCATCGACTGAAGGATGTCTCCAGCGCCTGGTAGTTGAACTCACCCCGTCCGTGGTAATGCTTACCCAACAAAGGAATAATCGCCTTGCTCGCCGTGGGGCCATAGTAATGTGGGATGCGGGAGAACAGGTGGTGGGTGACATGGTCGGACGAGATGTGGTGGAAGAAATGGGTGCCGATGATGCCAAAGTCGCGGTCGATGGTCGCCGTCGCGCCTCGCAGGAAGGTCCACGACTCGGGGGTGTACTTGGGAACCGCTGGGTGAGTATGATGAAGATACGTGATCATCACTAGCGTCCTGGTTATCAGCCATGCACATGTGGGGACTGGCAGCGAGGGGCATGGTACGAACCGATCCAGTGATTCACCCAGGTCCAGGGCACGATGTACACCCAGAAGACCGTTTCAAAGGAGCCAAACACAGTATAGAGATGATACAGCCCCGCAATTGTGGCCAAACATCCAATGTCGGACAGGACGATGGACAGCCACTCGGAGGGGTAGAACAATGCTCCCTGGGGATCGAAATGGCTGTGGCGCCACATGGACATGCCCTTCTTCGGCACGGCCGACGGTGGACAAGTGATGTTGGTCAGGATATACCAATTCCAGCCGATGGTTTGCTGCAGCACGATGCGGAGGAACAATACCAAGGGGGCATCCTGTCCGATATCCTCGAGAACCTCCACCGCTTGACCAATCTTCTCAGCGTACGACTGGCGTTGTGGTGGTACATAGTTGAGGTCCTTTTCAATGTGGTTGGCATAGATGTGGTGTCGTCGATGGGTCGACTTCCACGAGAAATAGGGGGCCAACAGGCTGGAATGCAACACGAAACCAATGCTGTCATTCAGCATGGCCGAGTGTGAGAAGCCGCTGTGGCCACAGTCGTGCGCAATCACCCACAACCCAGTCCAGACAATCCCCTGACAGACTCCATATACATTTACCGTGAAGTAATATAGCAGCGAAGATTCTTGCACCGCCGTCGTGTTTAGCAGCTGATATAACGCCGTCATGAGGATGCCAGAGTACGCGAGGTCGCGAAACAAATAGAAGAAGGACCAGAAGAGGGACGGGGTGAAGCAGTAGTCGGGTACAGCGCGGCGAAGATCATCCACCGTCGCGTCTTTGCCCACTTTCTGAAAAGCCAGGCATCTGTTAGCAATAATGAAGGCACTATGGATGGCCCAGTTGGAGTCTACATACGCCACCTTCTACCAGTTTCGTCGGATGGGGTTCGGCGAGGGTGTGAAACCCGGTCTTTTCCGGCTCCAGCTCCATGATGCAGATGCGGCGAGCAGCTTGGAAATGGTAGAATTGGATTGGGTTGTCAGACCTTGGAGATGTTATGCAAGATAGGGAAGTACCACTGTTTATAACCTGGACTCTTTCCCGCTTGGAGGAATCAGGCGGCCACCCGACCCCGTCCGTCATCACAGCCCTGTCATCATCTTAGATATTGTTTCCTCTCCCACAAACCCAATTGTCCATCCCCAAGCCTGAGTGCATGACAGTCGGCGGCGAATCAGCACCTGGCATTGCACGAGCATCAATCCGCCACCACCGGAGTGAAGTGGTCATGCAGGCGGAGATACTGTTCGGACCATCTTTTGACTCTCACCCCGTCTGATGCGTCAATGCAAGGCCTAAAGGCTGCGTCGATCCAGGGTTCCGGATCTGTCCGTTGACAGGAACCCATCATGATTGGGGTTTGCAATGGGTCCGCCGGGTCGCCTTATCGTCCAGCCATTGACCAATCCTTGCAAGGCTCTTATGGGTCTGTCAGCTCAAGCCCACCCCCGCATTGGCATTGAGTGAAGGATGGTCGATGGCCGGCATGTTCGGTGACTTTCCCGTTGGGGAAGTAGCTGCAACGTCCGAGGGAGACTGGGGTGGTTTACCGACCCAAGGAATAGAGAGCTACACTTGCATATCATTGAGACCAATTCGGATACCTCCGTTCCCGTCGGCCAAATTTTCCCAATATGTGGTGAATGGAGTAACATGTGTCTTCAACAGTTTATTTTTTTTTTTTTTTTTTTGCTTATTAGATAGATCTTACACACCGGATTGGACCGTCCCTCCACATTATCAGCAGCAAGGGGCCGAGTGATCGTCATAGCCTATCGCATCCAGTCACCATTTCCTCGTGTTTGCTTACTCGTGCCGTCTCACGAGACCGCTAGCAGTGGACCCTGCATGTCAGACGCCCTGAGCGCGAAGGAAGCGGAAGATCCGGTCAAATGCTTGCGGGGCGACTTTGTGGAGGTTCAAGTTGTGCCTGTCACACGGGTCAGTGACGATTCTCACGAGTCCTGCAGTCACACCTACCCAGCCGGCAGATTGTCCACCGTCTCGACCGTCTTGGCAGCTGTAAACAAGGCCTTGGTGCTGTTCAGCAGGCCGACGCAGTTGCCCCCACAGGCTGACACGTCGAATTGGCCCTGCAATACGAGCACGGGGGCGGTGATATTGCCATATTCGATTGTCGTCTCCAACAGGGACGGCAATTCGCCCACGGCGAATGGCTCGCTTTCGGTGGTAAAAGCCCACTCGGCCACGCGGTGCTCAAAGTACGGTTCGGCAAAATAGACGTAGGTTTCCGCGAATAGATCCGACGAGGTGAGATAGCCCGAATCCAACATTCCCCAGCGGGCAGGATTGTGATGGCGCGCAACCCTCAGGCCAGCTCCCGCCAGAAAGGGCCCAAAATAGGTAAAGGTGCCGCTGAAGCCGGTGAGAACCACGGCATCCACGGCCATTTGGCTGGCGGATGCCGCCGTCAAATATGCGCCGTAGCTGTGCCCAACGAGGGCCACTCTCGAAGCCTTTGTGGCTTGTCGGGCGTACTCGGTGAGCGAGTTGAGCACTGCCGTTTCGACCTGGAACTGGGCGTCGAACAACGAGTTGACCCTGAAGGTGACTACCTGTCAGTAAAAACCTTTGATCGGATGGAATCAGTCCTGCACATACTTGGACGACGCGCCCACACCAATCCGATCATAGCTGAGCACCGAGTATCCCGCTTTAAGGGCAGCATCCACGAAGCTGTACGCATCCGCGTCGGTAAAGTTAGGGCGCCAGTATCTAAGTCCCCATTAGCCAACGTCAAGGTACCGAAGGAAAGTCAACCAACAGCTTCGACTCGATTATTCCATGCGTCAACACGAGGACCGGAGCTCCGGGCGGTCCTTGGCAGAGCGTGGCTGCGACCGTGAAGTTATTGGCCACGGCAGCTGTCGTGGAGCCGGCAACTGGCAACGGGTCGGTGACAGTGCCCGAGTCGCGTCGGGTCAGGTTCAGGGTTAGGGCCACTGCATCCCAGTCGGTCTGGACTGTCGCGTTGATGATATACCGCGGCACGGCGACGGGGATAGGAATGGCCACCTCGGCGCACCCGGGCGACACCCCCCGAGGCCTGGCAAAGGCACCCAGAGAGAATGTGAGTGCAAGCCACAGCGAGCAGTGCATATTGATAATATTTAGAATACAACCAGAATACATGACGGAGTTCATCCGGGGCGAGGCTCTTTATATCCTCTGAACAATCTCTACGGATTTGTCAGATACGGCGAGTTCGGCGAGTTCGGCGAGACCAAATATTTCTCTCTTCTCCCAATTCAACGCTTCTCAATTCCTTCCTGGATATTACTTCTCTCTCTTGATTCTCAACTGGCGCTACATCCGCTTCCCGGCGGGTACTCTGTCCGACAGTGCTTAATGGCTCAATGGCGTACAGGTCAATCCCGCCTTCTTGCAGTTCTGGCACGGCCTCTCCTTATCGCATCGCACCTTCCGGCGCTTACACAGCTGGCAAGGCTGCTTGCGAATGGAAAATATGTGGACCCGAGCGGGCACAACCGTATCGTCCCGGTTGCCATATGAACAGGGGGTCCCATGTTTAACGCAACTCTGGCACGGCATGCCTTTGTTGCACTTCACTCCCCGGCTTCTACATGACAGGCAGGCGGGTGTCCTCCGTCGGGGGCCCTGCACGTCGTCGAGCCTCGTCCCATATGTCAGACGGACCGGTGATGACCTCACTTGCTTCGGCTGCCCGAACTGTTGTGCCTCATTCCACAGCTTCTCACCGGCAGCATCACACGCGCTTTCCAGCCATGGCATCATCTTAAGGGACTTTCGGAGTGTACTCCACTCGCTCAGCCCAGCATCTACGGTCATTCCATGTAGCGTCCGAACAAACCGCTCTCGCTCCGGCGTGGCGAATGCCGCTATACCTCCTATCGTAATGGACCAGAGTAAGACACTTTTGTCTACAGACAAATGCCAGCCGGCCTCTAGCGGTCCATCCCCCAGATTGGTCCGGAGGGTCTGGACCAAAGGGGAGAAGGGTGCTGTCGCCGCAGGCAAGGGGAATATTACCCCAATGCTGTAGATGATTGCCGACACGCGGCACACTTCGCAGAAGCGATCAAACTCGGAGGAGCCATCCGCTGGGGGAAGAGACATGAGGCGGTGCTGAATCAGATTGCGCTGGTCACACATCTCCTGCGTATCTGGCCTGGCGATCTCGCCTCGGACATACCGGTCCACGATGGCCGTATAGAGTGCCATTCCCTCGAAGACTTCGGCCAAATCGGGGGTAAGCCCCAATGACGGCATCCTGTCCGATCGGGCATCTCTCCCGTCAGAGCAATGGTCCAGGAAGTCTCTCACCGTTCGAGGACTGCCTTCCGCCAGGGGGTGGAATGGCAGGGGCGGAGCAGACAGGGTCAAAGTGGCATTCACCAGCACGCGGCTGCAGAGAATTAGGCCCGCCGTAGATGCAAGGGATGATGACTTACAAGGAAATGGCCGCCGCCACGCCGGGCAACTGGATGCGAGGGAGGCCTCCCTTCAGCTGGACCAGTCTGCACAGCCCGCTCTGGTGGGCCTGGTGCGGCTCTCGCGCGCCATGAACATTGAGCCACTGCATCCCTCGTAGTGGAGCCTGGAACACTGGCGATTTGGTCCAATCTCGCTCCGATTGGATCGTCGGGCTTTCCACCAGCATCAGCACCGCAAGGATGGTGGCATCCCGGACATCTTGGAGGGGCTGCCGCATGGCCCCGTTGAGGGCCCTCACGGTGTGGGCGTAACACGAGGCCAAAAATAACCGATCCTGCTGATCGAACGAGTCGGGTGACTCATCACCCAGGAGGCAGCGAGCTCTCCGGTGTGTCAAGGTAGACGACAGAAGGGCTGGGAACAGCGCGGAATCCTGCAGCGACAAAGGAAACCACGACTGCAGGTACGGGTTTCGCACGTCGCACGTGGGCAGCATGCGAGGCGACATGACGGTGATTCCTATCCTGCTCAGTATAACTATCTGGGCTGGGGATCGGCACTTACGATAGGACAGTCCTCGAGCAACCAGCTGGGGGGGCAGCGGGCAGGGCCAGGTCGGGACCATTTCCAAGCCCCTTGAAATGCTTAACCGAGCGGAGGGAAGGGTCCCATGTGCTAAAGTTTTCTGTAGCGTTAGTCGGTGGTTGCTTCGGGAGCAGCGGATTGTTAGGGTCAGTACCCAGCGCATCATAAAATTTCGACAGAGACTCCGGATCGTCCTCGGTAGCAGCCTGAACATCTTGCAGGCCATCTTGCGGAACTGGCAGCATTTTCATGATTCAATACTGCATTCCTTAGAAAAGTAGTAGAAGGATCTGGGAGATCCTGTGGATGTCTTGGCCGGCTGCCGTGGAACGCGTGCGGAGGGGGCATCGGGCATCTCATCTGGACTCGGAGAATCCCCAGATTACCCAGATGGATAAGCTATCTTCACCGCTCCAGGCTTATGATTGGCCAGGATGGTGGGGCGTGGACTCTCGTCCGAGGCTCGGGGGAAGAAGACAATTAGGGTAAGCCTCGTCCGTGCCCGATCTCGCCGATCTCGCCGATGCCTTCAGCTACTTAGTAATTGATTAGCCATGAGGCAGTCTACAAGGTAATATGTTGTATCTACAGTTAGAATACCTTCGAAAGCTCAAGTCCAGTCTACTGAATACGAGCAGTGCTATCAATTAGAAATCAAACTCCTCCGCGAAGGACCATCCAAGAGATGGTCATATATATTTGACACCTCCTAGCAATTCTCATGAGCAATAATTCTCTTCTCCCCAATTACAACCACTCTCAATAGATCTATCAAAATGAATACTTCCTCCAACCAATCCCTAAGCGGCCACCTCGCCATTGTAACCGGGGCCGGCAAGTCCAATGGCCTAGGGTTCGCCATTGCCTCCGCCCTAGCCGACCAGGGAGCAGATGTACACATGCACCCCCCCCCCCCCCCCCTCTGTCCGACCCTCACTAACCCTGATACACATCCAGATCGTCCTCCACTACAACACCAGCCACTCCACCGCCGCCCAAAACGTAGCATCCCTGCAGGCACGAGGCGTCCAGGCCATCGCCGTTCAAGCCGATGCAGCCAGCACCACCTTTGGCACCGACCTTGTCTCCGCCACCCAGACAACCTTCCCCAACCGCACCATCGACATCCTCATCAACAACGCCGGCCGCGCCAGCTTCAGTCCCACCCTCGACACCACCCCTATCTCCGACTTCGACGCCCTCTTCCACACCAACGTCCGAGGCCCCTTCCTCCTCCTCCAAGCCGCCCTCCCCTATCTCCGCACCCCCGGAGCCCGAATCATCAACATCGGCACCGTAGTCGCGCAAATCGGAACCAAATGGGCGAACCTCTACTCCGGGTCCAAATCGGCCCTAACCACAATGACCCTGGGTTGGGCGGAGGCGTTAGGACCCCGGGGTATCACCGCTAATGTGGTCTCCCCGGGACCGATCCATACGGACATGGTTCCTGATGAGGAACATGAGTTGACGCAACGGTTCCGGAGTGAGCAGGCGATTAAGCGGAATGGAACTGTGGAGGAGGTGGCTGCCGCGGTGGGGTTTTTGGTGAGCCCGGGGAGTTCGTTTGTTACGGGGCAGGTTTTGGCGGTGGATGGGGGGATTTCTCATCTTTAGATAGATGATATTAGATTTAGATGTTGGGGGGAATATGTCTTGTATAATGGTGGGGTGGGTGGATATCGTTAGTCCTAGTTTTATCGGTGGACCTCGGGATTATACCAGTCCATTAATGTCGCATGTTGCTGGGATTATGTATTTGTCTGCGGCGGTTGAATAACCTCATGTTAGTACTTTAGACGGGAGCGGTAGTGTCTGTGATATGGTTGCTACAGGTGGAGCAGCTGATCACACTAGTGGTCTTCTGGCACCGTATTATAGTAGCTTGGTTGTTTGGTGGAAACAGGCTGTATATCTGTCACCATGGTACAATGATAGCCTCCAGTTGAACTGGGCTTACTAGAGTGAGTTAGGAAAGTGTATCGCTCGCTATTGTCAGACACTTCTATGGATCATTAAAATTATAGAGTCATTAACATCACAGTCGCCGTTATCTCACATCCACACCACATCTATGCATCAGTGCCCAGGGCAAACACATTGGCAATCTCAGTGATGTTCTTACCCTCTGCCAGCAACAGTCCCAACAGGATGCGAGACTTTTGCGGGTTCAGGTACCCACTGGCAATATGGGTAGCGGTCTCGCTGCTAATATCCGACAAAGGCACCTCGCCGTTGACAGTGCGCATACTTTGCACGACGGGAATTTCCAGACGGTTGAGGACATCCTCGATGGCGTCGTTGAATGAAGTGGTGACTCCTCCGGCTCCGGCTCCGGCGACCTAGGTTCATTAGTACATGCCAAATATCAATGCGTGTGTTATCTGGAGGTGAACTCACCACAATGCCCTCAGCACCGCTCTCAATAGCGTTATACAAGGTATCATTATGCATATCCTCGTACGAGAAAAGAATATCCACCCGAGGAATCTCAGTCACATTGGTGATATTAAAAGCCACCTTACCGGTGGGTTTGACAGGAGGATAGAAGAAGAATGGAGTGTCGGAGATCATCTCGCCCAGGTAACCCATTTCCATGGCCTTGAAGGTGTCCATGGCGTTGGCGTTGGTCTTGGTGACGTAATAGGCTGAGGCGATGCGGTCGTTCATGACTACCATGGCGCCGCGCTCGCGGGACTTGGGGGAGGCAGCTACCATGACACCCTCGAGGAGGTTGAAGGGTCCGTCGGCGGAGATGGCGGTGGATGGACGCATAGCACCGACGATGACCACGGGCTTGCCACAGTTGATGGTGGCGTCCATGAAGAAGGCCGTTTCTTCGAGAGTGTCGGTTCCGTGGGTGATGACTGCTCCGGCCATGGTGGGGTCGTCGCACACGACCCGGTTGATCTCTTTGGACATGGAGATGAGGATGTCGGAGGTGACGTCTTCGCTGCCGACATTGGCGACCTGCACGCCGGCAACGTTGGCGACGTCGAGCATGGAGGGGACGGCGTCGATGAGGGCCAAGACGCCGACGGCACCAGAGGTGTAGCCGGTCGTGGCGGTGGAGCTGGAGTCAGACCCGGCGATGGTGCCTCCTAGGATGGAGGTTAGATACTGGTCATGGAGGGGTGACGGAAGTACAAACCTGTAGCGAAGATGGTCACATTGGGTAGAGTAGTGTTCATCTGAGTGAAATTGAGGCCGTTGGCATTGGTGAAGACGTAGGTCTCGTTGGTGCCCCGGGGATAGAGCAAGGGCGAGGCCGACCCGAGGGTGGCCAGGGCCGAGAGAAGAAGCGGCTTGAGGGTCATGGTGTAGATCGATGATGTGAGTTGAATGTTGGTGTGCTGCTGATATCCTGCAGCGACATGATCATTTTATACCCCATCGTGGACTACCACTTGGCAGACGTATCCGGTATCAGACGGATGTTTACTTCTGAGGGTCTGAGATATCATCATCATAATCCTCTGGTGGACTTGTTATCGAGTCCCCACACGGGCTTATCAGGAACCCTGCAGGTGGAGCCGGCATTGGGTAGGCTTCTTCTCCAAGTTCAAGTTCAGGGACCCGGTGGGCCTAATAGTGATGGACCGATAACGGATGGCATTGATAACGGGGATGCCGATATCGGCCTCCCAGCGATAAGCAATAGTCGGAAGGTCCAAACGAGATTCTGGGAATATTCTCCACGAGGAGGATCCACCGATGGGGAATCATGCAGAGCGCTGTCATTATGTGATGGGATTAGGCAACCCTGGTGCGTGTTCCCCACAGGTCAATCCGGGGACTGCTCAATCCCGTGGCTTCCAGAAGCTCGGCATGACAACAGTATCTTATCAGCATTGGCAAGTATGCCAGTCTCATGACTGCTATGGATGACATCGTTCATGCAGGTAACCTTATCATCCCGGGGGTTCCACAGGCTTCCAGACTAAGCATCCGTAGGTTTACTACACAGTACATAGGCATGGAATTCCATCGTCCCTTGTTGACTGAACCAATTCATGGCCAGTGATCGCATTAAACAGACGTGCCAGGGTTTGTATGTGCTATATCCAAGTTGACGTCTGAGGTCTGAGGTCTGTCTAGATATCGCATTGCTGGCAGGCTTGATAGACGGCAGACCACTCTGAGAGGTCATTCAGGGACTAGTTCGTACACCTCATATCTCACTGTTCATAAAACGACCGGAACTATGAGAAATGCAGATACTAAACCGACAACATCTGAAACTGGTGTGAAGTTTGTCCCGTAACAACACCAGCTGTGTTCCGGATCTGCGGTCGATGAAACGCAGCTAGTCGCTGCAGCTGGTCGGGAGCAGCGATCTGGAACTGGCCGAGGATCTCGACTACCGCTGCGTAGAGAATGTCCAGGTTCCCGTCCTCAATCTTGACTGCAATCCCAATGGCCCCGTCTGCCCCAAGTCGTCGAGTCTGGTCCGAGGCGCGGAGTCCGACTGCGTAACAGCCATCCGCCCCGACCTTGCCAATCAGAGCCCCAGCGAATGTTTCCATGAGCTCTGTGCAGAACCGACCTGTGCCTCCCACCAACGCTGGATACTGCGCCATGGCATGAAAGATGCGACCCAGGGCCTGTGTTTGTGTGGACGCAGAAACTGATGCGGCGCAGTCCGCGGCGTGAGCGATCCGCGCGTAGATGCGAGCCAAATGATGGAGTGCAAAAGCTGGGGCGGGTAGGTTGCAACCGTCGATGGCCCATTGAGCGCCGTCCTGCTCTAGACCCGCTAGTTCCTCCACAACGTCCTTGACCTGTCGCTGAAAGGGATGATCCGCCTGGTGGTAATCAGCGGTTGGTGCTCCAATGGCTTTGGCGCCCGCTAGCATCCCAGCATGCTTGCCGGAGCAGTTGTTGCAGATGCCCGTCGGGATAAAGTCGTGCTTGATCCAGGTACGATTGACAGCCTCCGAGATAGCTGGATGACCCCCACAGCGAAGATCCCCTTCGTCCAGGAGGGCCTTGGCCAGCATGCCTCGTGCGCGGGCAATGTGGTGATCCTCGCTGCTGTGGGAGGCGCACATCAGGGCCAGATCCTCCTCGTCGAACCCGAACTGCTCGACGGCGCCGGTCTGAAGAATGGCCAGGACCTGGGCGGGTTTGGCTGCCGACCGGGCCAGAGTGATTCGCTTGGGATTGCCGACCCCATACAGAATGCGACCGGTGGCATCGGTCACCACGGCATGTACCTGGTGTCGGTTCTCGATGACGCTCCCGCGGTTGGTCACCACATAGTTGTTGGTCGTCGACACGGTCATGCTGGAGTCTGGCCCGAGGTCACTGAAACTGGATCCTGGTCCAGGGATTCCTGGCCGAACGAGTCCATTTTATCTGTACTCCTGGCTTCATTTTGTATGGCTTCACGACTGGAGCCAAATTGCCCCTTTGGGAAAGTGGGCCAGAAGAGACTAGGCCGTTTCGGGTGCGCGGTTGCGATCCGGTCAAAAGAGGGTTTGGGTATTAGGGGGCCAAAACACAATTCTACTGCTGATGCTCAGTGGAAGTTGCTGACGGAATTTGGGGAGGAAATCGTCATCGCGTGCGGCATCACCTGATCAGCAGGAGATTCCTATTCACCTGAGGCTCCAAGGCTTCAAGGCTCCAAGGCACGAAGCGAGAATGGGAAGTAAGTGCCAAGAAGGCGTCAGCCTTGCATCCTCGCATCTCGCATCCTCGCATCCTCGGCCACTTCCATTTGGCAAGATGTCAGCAGATTGTATCCTGCGGTCCTCATCATGTCGGGCAAGGACATGCTGTCCCATGATGACTTCGCCGTGGGTTGGATCTGCACCCTGCCGCTGGAGATGACGGCCGCCAAAGCCGTCCTCGACCACGAGTATCCCAGGCTACCACAACCCGAGCATGATCACAATACATATGTGCTCGGACGCGTCTCCGGGCATAATCTGGTCATCACATGTCTCCCATCTGGAATTTACGGCACCACAGCGGCGACGGCGGTGGTCAACCAGATGCTATCCACCTTTCGGTCCCTCCGCTTTGGCCTCATGGTCGGCATCGGTGAAGGCGTTCCATCCCCTACCGCCGACGTCAGGCTGGGCGATGTCGTCGTGAGCAAGCCAACTGCCGGTCTCCCTGGAGTGATCCAATACGACTATGGCAAGACGGTTGCTTCGGGGCGCTTTCAGCAGACCGGGGCTCTCAACAAGCCGCCCCTGGTGCTTCTATCCGTGCTGTCATCGCTGGAGGCAGATCGCCTGGCAGGAGGCTGCGGCAACGACTCCCATGACAAGATCATGACGGATGCTCGGATCGCTGTCAAGGACCTGACCGTGTTTCGCTATCCCGGTGCCGAGCACGATTGGCTCTTCCATGCCTCCTACGACCACGATCCTTGCTTCGAATTCTGTGCCGAGTGCGACCCAGACCGACAGGTAAGACGCCAACCTCGAGCCTCACCCACGCCGGTCGTGCATTATGGCAACATTGCATCGGGAAATCAGATCATGAAGCATGGCCTCACGCGCGATCGCATAGCCCAGACCGCACATGGCATCTTGTGTTTCGAGATGGAGGCGGCGGGGATTATGGATCTCCTTCCGTGTCTCGTCATCAGAGGCATCTGTGACTATTCGGACTCCCACAAGAACAAGGAGTGGCAGGGGTTTGCGGCCTTGACCGCCGCCGCCTATGCAAAGGAGCTGTTGGCCAAGATTCCCGTCCTTCGGGTGGAGGCATCCACGGTGATCAAGGCCCCGGGTCCAGGGACCAGTAGTATGTACACCTTGTACCCCCTGCGAACGGTCCCTGACAGCGAAGAAGCAGATTTATTCGAGGTTCGCTTCGACACAATTGACATTCCACGGTCCGTCATTTGCGTGGGCCGGGAAGCGGAGCTTGCGATGGTGTCCCAGAGTCTTCGTTCGGGGAAATCTCGAGGCATCGTCAGCTTATCCGGGATGGGAGGGATCGGGAAGACCCAAGTCTCGATCGAGTACACCATGCGCCACTGGTAGAACTACTCATCGGTATTCTGGTTTGACGCCAGCAGTGCGGACAAGCTCTACTCCAGCTATGTACAAGCGGCCAAGCGGATCATGCTCGATCATCCAGCCGATGAGTCTCTGGGAAAGACCATGAAGAAAGGCGATCGGCATGATTGCGTGGTGGCAGTCAACAATTAGCTGAGCCGCCCTTCGAACAATCGGTGGTTGCTCATCTACGATGGCTACGAGCTTCCCGTGAGCGGGCTCGATGACAAAACTCGAGCCGTCGACATTGCGATGCTCTTGCCTCTGAGCAAGCAGGGTCACATTATCATCACGACCCGAAATTACGATATTGGGATCGGTCTCCCGATCCAGGTGAGGAAACTGACCGCCATGAATGACAGCCTCACGCTTCTGGCTCATGTATCCGGACGACCGAATCTACAAGACGGCAGGTACCCGGATGAGCCTGATAAGTCTCTTTATGAATGACTGACCGATGCTATGCAGACCCTATAGCATAGAACTATAAGCCCAGTTGGACGGGCTGCCACTCGCCATCGTGTCTGCTGGGTCCTATCTCAAGCAGAGTGTGGTGACTTGCCGCGAGTATCTCCAAATGTACAAAGATTCTTGGCTGCAGTTGCAACAGCTAGCTCCGCAGCCCGCTTCGCTCGAAGAAAAGTCCCTGCATACAACGTGGAAACTCATATTACACAAAATTAAGCGGCAGCACGTGCATACGGCCCTACTTCTTCAGCGGTGGATAGCTTATGATAGCAACGATCTCTGGTATGATCTCTTCCACAGCATCCTCGGACCCGAACCAGGGCTTGCCCCCTTCTTATTTGATCCAGCCATGGCTGTATTAAGTAGTTACGGCTGGGTCGAGCCCGCTCCTGACCCGCAAGGCGACTCTCGACAAGCCCGGGGATATAGCCTTCAAAAGTGCCTTCATACCTGGCTGCAAACGAGGACGACTTCGCACCTGATATTGATGTGATGATGCATGATGCCGTATGGACTATTTGTGCCTATCAGCTTCAGCTGGCCCCCAAGTCCGTGTTCTCAGTGACCTCTCCTGACACATACCGCCGTCTTTACCCCCATGCAGATTGATGCCTGGAAGTTTACCTTTCCGGCGGTAGGGATAATTATAAACAACCGCTTAGATGTAAGAATCCAGTTTCTCCTCAAGGAGATCTATCTGTCCTTCAGCTACCGGGGTTCATCGCTCTACACATTCTACCTTGATCAGCTGGGCCAGCCATACGTCGAAAAACAACACCTAGCCAAGGCCGAGGATCTATTCTGTCTGATACTCGAGAAACTCGAGATGAAAAAAGATCGGTTGAGCAAGGAAGGGCAAGAGCTGCTGTCTGGGGTGTATTACTGCTATGGGTTCATCCTGAAACGCTCCCAGCGGCTTTCGATGGCGCGCCGAATGTTTCAATTGTCCCTCGAGGGCAGCAACTCCGAAAATACATCAGGTCATATCGTAAAATATGAGGAATCGAACAGCCGACGCAGGACACACACTCGGACATATCTACTAGGTCTAAGCGCGATGGAAAAGTTGGAGGGGAGGGGAACTTTCCTCTGGGCAATTCTTATAGTATTCCACAGCGGGATGGGGTTCCTGCTCTATCTCGACGAAGACTCCATGAAGAGCACCCTGCTGAACGGACTGCTGCTCTTTCCGAGGCCAATGCTGTTCTTTTCCCTATTGGCCTTGCATTTGCTGCAACGGTGGAAAACCTTGGTGCTGTGGATTGTCGGACATGTTTGTTTTCAGGTGTATTACTCGTCGACGCCATCCACACTGGACTGGGTGGCGTATATCTGCGGAACATTTGGAGAGATGCTCTGTCTTGTAGTCTTGATGCCTCTGCTATTGTATGAAGGCCTCTATTAAACCAGGGTTGGGGTTTGTTCCTGAGGAATCGGAGCGGGCCGGAAGCTACCGTCAGCCGGGTTTCTCCGGTCGGTTTGATTCCTCAGGGATCAGGGTGTCTATCCATCACTCAACAACCCCCTCACAGTGCACCAAGTTCTCACAGCCGACCTGGCAGGTCGGCTCTTGACCATTCGGCTTGTCGCCGAAGCCAGCAGGTCCTAAGAATCCTCCCGTCCAATCATGCCCGCCCGGACACGCACGGGGCTGTCGATCCCCGCGTCTCGCTTGCACCGTGAATAATGCATCCAGGATGGCGTCCCGTGGGGAGCCCCCAGGCCCTCATCGGTCGGACAGCGTCGCACTGGCAGCTCCACGGGATCTGTCTGGAGCCCTTTCACCAATCTGCTCGCCCCTATTGTTAAGACCATCCCCTCCACCATCCGGCACCCGACCTCGCAACCAGCCGCGGAGGCTGCCCCTCGTGCCCCTGCAGATCGACCCCATTGGTGACGGATCAACGGCCATGGATTCTGACTGTCTGTCGGGCGAATCCCGAGGCCGGACGCCTACTTGCTATCCTGCAGCTGGACCATCTCATGGATGGAGAACACACCATGCCAAGTCCATTGCCTCCCCGCACGTGGGATCCAGCGAGGAAGGAGCATTCACAGCAGCAATGCAATCCAGCTATAAGATGACAGTCGTTGGCCTCCCCGCTATGGTTGTAGGCACAGTAACCGTTTCAGCTTCTCAATCCCGTCACGATGCATCCCAGTGCCCTCGTCGGCCTCTTGGCCTTTGCCGCCGCGGCGGCAGCTATTCCTACCCAGTCCGGACGCGCTCACTCGGACCACTCCATCCAAAACCTCAAGTCCAAAATTAAGAGTGTGGTGGTGCTGGTGATGGAAAACCGCTCCGTCGACAACCTGCTGGGAGGCCAGACCATCCAAGGCCTGGAGAACCCCATCAACAATGGGCCCTACTGTAATCCATACAACGTCACCGACCTTTCCAAGGGCATTGTCTGCAGTGCTGCCAGGGACTACGACTCCGTGACGGATGACCCCGATCACGCAGTCTACGGAAACAACTTCGAGTTCTACGGCACCTTCAATCCAGAGAACAGCGACATCGCCCGGGGGAAACTGATCCCGAGCCAGGAAGGCTTCGTCCAAGAGCAGCTGCGTCTCTATAGCGCCGATGCGAACCGGACGAAGCTGTCCACTCAGGTCATGAACTACTACACCGAGGACCAGGTGCCGGTCCTCACCACTCTGGTGCAGAATTACGTGGCATTCAACCACTGGCACTCGGACATCCCTGGCGTACGTGATGAACCAATTCTTCCCCGAATCCTACTAACTGAACGCAGCCGACGGATCCCAACCGTGCCGCACTCGTGTCCGGGACTTCTTATGGCCATGGAGACAATGACGACGCCTTCAGCGAGCATGCCTTTCCTCAACGCTCCATTTTCCAGCAGCTGACCGAGACCGGCCACTCATGGATCAACTACTATGACACCGCAGGTGGCACCGGTCCAGATGCCGGCTTCTTCAACTGGACCTACGCTACTAGCAACACGGATAAGATTCAGCCGCTAGCCAACTTCTACACCGATGCTGCCGCTGGCTCTCTACCCGAGTTCACCTACATCAACCCCTCGTGCTGTGGGGTGGGCACCAACTCTATGCATCCGAGCGGGCTGATCTCCGATGGCGAGAAGTTGATCAAGGACGTGTACGATGCACTCCGCGCGGGTCCTCAGTGGAATGAGACACTGTTCATTCTGAGCTTTGACGAGACCGGGGGTTTCCACGACCACGTTCCCCCGCCGCTGGCTCCCCGGCCAGACAACCTGACCTACACGGCCACCGCCCCCAGCGGGGAGAGCTATACCTTCGAGTTCAACCGACTGGGCGGACGAATTCCCACCTTGCTGATCTCGCCGTGGGTCGGCAAGGGGTATGTAGAGCAGAAGGGGATGACTGTCGAGGGTAAAACGGTATCCTACTCCGCCTCGTCCATTCTCCGCACGCTGGGCTACCTATGGGACTTTAAGCCTTTCACCCCGCGTGTCGAGTATGCCCCATCATTCGAGCATCTCATCCAGAAACGTGCACGGAATGACACCCCGACTACCCTCCCTACTCCAGTTCCGTTCCGACAGTAGACAAAATTGCTGTCAGTGTTGACTGGTTAAATCTATCGTGTACATGAATTCTCGCCAGGTTTGCGGGACTGATAATGATAGAACGGAATACTTGCTATGATTGACGATAATACCAATATTCTTGTCTCGATTAAACCTCCACTGCTTCTGCGGGAGCATTGGCCCCATGGCATATGTAGCTTATATCCCCTTAAATCTACTTCTGCGGCCCGTATCAATTTGACTCACTGCCCAATTGACTCGAACTATACCGTGGCCCTACTTTCTAACCCCAGGACAAAGTAAACCAGTCCAATTTCTACCATCACGTCCCCTTTCACAATCCATCTGACCTAAACACGGATAGCCCGTCCAGGTAGCACAACGCATCAGAAGCGCTATTTGTACGGTAGCACAAAGATTCTCATGACATGGCAGGCGAAGCTTCTAGAACTAAACACGGAGATCATATGAGAGGATGAAAGAAAATTGAACGAGGTTGGCGTGTGCATCACAGCAAATTCCTCCTGCTATAGACAGTGTGTAACGATAAAGAATACATTGCCAAACACACCTGGGATGGTCCTTCAGACTTTTCTTATCGTGGGTTGTCGTAGAGAGTAAGAGCAAGAGGACAGATCATGCTGTGCATGTCGACATAACTGGGAATCTATCAGCACAATTGGTCCAACTTGTATATCCTGGTTGTTTTCCCCATGGCTTTTGGTGTATTCATTGAAAGGTGAGTGATGATGTCGCTTCCAATAGCAGGTGATCTCATAGTTAGGAGAAGACTGCCATTACAATTATACGATAGGAGTATCTTCACGTGGTAGAGGTCTTAGCTAGACAGGATAGATAAGTAAAAAGTGACAGAGAGTGTTCGGGACTACGCCTGCACGGCCTTGGATTCCAGCTCATGCCCCTGGCTATCAGCGGTGCCCCATTGCACATCGCTGTAGCCATTGGTGGCCAGATAAGCTTTCCAGGCCTGATCCTCGTTATCCAATGCATTGTCTGTATCCTGGAACACGAACCATGCCAGCAACCCTCCCAGCACGGCGAATCCCGATCCAATGAGAAACACGGCCTGCGTGCCTCGAGATTCATCATCGCCCCAGCTCGCTAGGATGGGCTTGAAGACCGCGGTCCCAATGGCAGCCCCCGCCTTGCTCCATGCCGCCGCAAATCCCACGGCGTGGCCGCGGATGGCGGTCGGAAAGCTTTCACTGGCCGTTACCACGATGGTCGATCCAGGTCCCACCTCTCCCAGCGTAAGGAACACCCCGTACAGCACGATGAACAACGGCAGTGACTTTTCGATGGGACCCAGGGCGCCACCCAGGATAAAGCCCAAGGCTGCCTGGAGGAAGTACCCCAACGCCATGGTTCGCCGCCGCCCGATCCGATCGGACAGGAATCCGCCAATGAATGCTCCGGGGATGTAGAAACAGTTGATAAGAGTGCCCCAGGCCATTGTTAGCGCAAGAGACGAGGTCGGGTTCACGCGATCGACGATTGTCGAGGAAAAGAGACCAAAGGGGTACGAGATATAATTGTAACTAGCGTACGTTAAGATCGCCATCTGTTAATACCACGGGTGTCACTTACATGAACCAGGAGCCACAGGTGCCTAGCAAAGGCCGCCAGTACCGCTTCAATGCCAACCAGTAGGGGACGGGCTGCTTCTGCATCGCACTCTTGCGATAGGCGGAGCTGACTGCCATCCGATAGCGGAACCAGAAGATAGACAGCGGTGGGATGACCCCAAGGGCTAACGAAATCCGCCAGACAGCTTCATAGTGACGAATCTGCTGGTGGAAGCAGAGCAGCAGCAGGAGAGGGACAAGAGCGCCGAACGCGAACCCAAGAGATGCCGACAGGTCGGAGATCATCGCGAAGATAAACCCTCGCTTATTGCGGACGGCCTTTTCTTCATCGGTTGCTTCTGCAGCGCCGGCTCCAGCGACTGGATACTCCCTGAGCAATGTGTGAGCAATGACTACACCAAGGCTGGTATGGCACTCACCCGCCTGCACCTACGCCAGCGATGCCTCGCGCGACAATCAACATCCAGAACATTCCTTCGTGATTTGTTCCGCTCGCCGCAGCACTCAGAACGATCCCCAGCACCAGGATGACCGTGGTTAAGACCGCGCCGGCCTTGCGGCCCACCTTATCCGACACATACCCAAACGACAACATCCCGATAATCATGCCCACCATAAAGGCATTGGACAAACGGGATGCCACGGAGGTGGTGAGGGAATTTGGGTAGATGACCTCCATGATCAGCTCGAGATTGCCGATGATGGATGCATTGAACCCGTCGGAGCCAATGGCCAGTCCGGAGAAGACGATCATCAACAAGACGGAGAGCTTCGAGGTCTTGCGATCATGGGTGTCCTCGGCCACCTCATCGGAAACATGGGATACTTGCACCTGTGCATGCTTGGGAGGATGAGTAGATTCAGCCGCCTGGGTCGGGTGTCCGCTCTGACTGGGAACGGTCTCGATAGCCATCTTGCTCATAACGCCCAGCAATGGCACGAGGAAAATGGAAACACACCCCACCATGACGAGGCACCTGTATTTATCTCGGTTGGCCCAGCGTATCTATGCCGGCTGTCGGCCGATCCGCACCTGTCTGTCTCCCGAGCTGCTGCCCAGATATCTGATAAGCCCTGGCTCGCGTGGCTTATCCAGTCCGCGGCACGACTGTCGGATCAACCGCGAGTCGCTGATAAGCCCGATCCTGGTTGGGTCTCTGGTTGGCGAAGAGACAGCCATGGCGAAGCGGGGAATCTCGAGCTAGCATCATCCTTAGCTTGTTTCCCCTCTTTTAAAGACGCCGGGCCCAGGATCTGCGTGCGCTCGGATCCTGCCCGAGGGCTGCAGACGCACCGCGATAAAAGCGATTCTCTGGACGGCACAGGATTCATTAATCTTCACAACGCCATGTTGGACAAGCAGGCCTATTCGCCCTTCTTGGAGGAGGGCAGACCTCTCCCACGTCGTAAACCCCAAGAGCACTCGAGAGCTATCTTGCGTTGTGTAGCTGCAATTGCTTCACTCTTCCTCGGATTCTACACTATCTTCCCGGTAGGTGTGCTTCAAAGATAGGCATCGACAACGGATCCTGACCATGGTCCAGACGCTGCCGTTCTTCAGCTACAGCAATCGGCCATCTCTATCCCGCTACGAGGCATTCGAGAAGTGTTCCATTGACAATCTCCGAGAAACCGGGTACTACTTTCTGGACACGGCAGCCCCAATCACTGTCGAGGAGTTTGAGGAGCGCCGCAACCGCCTCGCGCGGGCTTTGGTGGCCGATGGGGCAGACGCGTTCGTGGTGGAACCAGGCTATACATTCAAATACTATGCGAACGTGAGCCAGCCGGAATGGGAGGTGTGGGAGGTTTGTAATTCCACTCGGCCCACCAGTGCTCCCATGCTCACCTCATTCAGCCCGAGGAGCGCCCGTTCCTTATGGTGGTGCAACCACAATGGCACTCGTCGGGCCAGGTCACCGCGAAAACCACTTTCCTGTCCCCGTCATTTGAAGCTGAGCGAGCCCGGCTCCTCAACATGCCGTTTCTGGAGCCGATCGAGATCATCCCCTGGGAAGAACACTGGAGCCCGTACGACACATTGAAGAACTCGGTGATCTTCTCGGCTCTTGACCGGACCCCTCGTCTCATGGTGGACGAGGAAATGCGCGACTTCATCCAACGGGGACTTGGCCAGGTGGGCATCGAAATCTTTGGGTTGATGGGGGAAGTCGAGAGAGTGCGACAGATCAAATCCGATGCAGAGGTGGGCATTCTCCGCGCCGTGAACACCGGGACCGTGGAAGCTGTCCGGCAGATGCGCAAATGTAGGAACCTCCGGGTCATATCCGATGTGTGGACGTTAATCTGAGCCAGGCCTTTACCCCGGGCTGACGGAAAACGAGATCGCGACCGTGTTGGACAACACCCTACGCTCGGCCGGCTTGGAGCCCTTCTTCGACATTGTCTTATTCGGTATGTCTCGATCACTCCAAGGCGTATTCAGGCTGACTGGACGTAGACGAGAACGCCGCGAACCCACATGGAGGTACCAACGGCTCGAAGGTGCTTGAGCCGGAGACTTTTGTCCTGATCGACGTCGGGTACGTCTGCTCGTTCTCTCCCTGTGCCTTGCTGATTATTTGTAGCGCCCATCTCCTCGGTTACTCGTCGGATATTTGTCGGACATTCTTCCCCCCATTCCTTGATCAGCCGACGGGTGATGCAATCCCAGCGCATCTGAAGGAGAAATTGGAGGTAAGCGCTCTCGTGATCGGATGCGATACAGTTCCGTTGACCTCAGCAGGTATGGGATGTCGTCTTCGAGGCGCAAACGCGATCGATCGGCCAGTTTCAGGTCAACTCTAGCGCGGCCAGCGTCGACATTGCCGCCCGACAGGTGATCACCGAGGCAGGATATGGCGATGCTTTCACCCATCGCGTCGGTCATGGGATTGGTATCAAAGGTGAGTGGTAGGGCGTTGTGGGTCGCGGCCGGTCGGATCAATGCTGACGTGTCAATCTAGCTCATGAAAGCCCGTACCTCAACAAGGGGAACCATGAGACTCCACTGCGAGCGGGGATGACCTTCACCTCGGAGCCAGGCGTGTATCTGGTCGACCAGTTTGGCGTGCGCCACGAGGACATCTTCTTAGTCCAGGAGGGCGCGGAGGCGAAGTTGTTGACCGGTCGTCGGGCGACTGGGCCCTGGGAGCCTTGAAAGTTCCATGATCCGAGGTTGTAGGGAACATGAACGTGTAGGAGGCTAGGAGATGAAGTGGTGGGAGATGGATGCGATGCGCTGGTTGACAGATGCCGGGTCACGCGCGGGATCCCAAATGGGGCTTAGCGTGAAAACCTCAGGCATGTAGGAGACAAACACCAACATTGAGGGGGATGTCAATTCATCACTTGCTCATGTATCCTCGCTGTTTACCTTAACTTGCTTCTTAAGTTTCTCTGTGATGGATTGGTAGATTGCCCTGGATGCAGTGGATTCAGGAAATGCTAGTACCTGACAAACACCTTCGGCTTGGAATAGTTCTAATACTATATATATCTACTGGCTTCCTGTTCTAACTCGGTAAGAACAGCAACGAGAGATGATACTTGCCATCCTTGTGTTGGGAAACAGGCTTGCCAATAACCTCGTAGAATTAGTAACAGGTGAACACCTACCAGCTCAATAGATATGCCTCGATAGACCCACGATGAGCACTGCTCCCTTCCTGCCTCTACCGTTAATCTCATAGTTATCGGAGGACCCCGCACTCCAGCTGAGTCATCCCTGAGTCATCTCGCAGCCCGGCGGAATTCCCTGGCGGAAAAGCGGCGGATTTCAAGTGAGCATCTGCGACAAGCCTTTGGCGTGAGCACCTTGGTCGTTTTGCCAACTAAATGACGGGGAGTGAGAAGGACTCTCCTGCTGCTCGCGCGCGCAAGATCTGCAAGGTGACTCGCGCCTGCGATGCCTGCAAGGCCAAGAAGAAGGCCTGTACCGGCACCATCCCCTGCGCCCCCTGCGCCCATCGCCAGCTGCCCTGCACCTACGACACAGCATACAATCGCGGCGTGGCAACCAGTCCTCCACCCTCATCTTCGCGTACGCGAGACCGGCTGACTCCGGATGTTCAGCCGCAGTCTTCCCCGACCTTCGTTTGGTCCGCAATCTCCGATCGAGCTCAAAGTCCGCGGATAGCTCTTGCATCGCTGCCCAGGAGAGCCCCCCAATCGGCTTTCATCAATGCATCGGAAGAAAGAGGTCCAGCAGAATTGCCTGACCAATACTGGGGCCCGAGTTCCGCCCATTCGTTCTTGGGGCAGGTTGTCCAGGAGCTGCGGGCCACCCCTTCGAAATCTATCACTCTTTCGCGGGACCCCGATGCTCCGTCAACGGTGTCCATCTTTTCGTACGGCGATCGCATCCTGCCGGAGGTCCAGCTGACGGACTTTGCCTGGCCTGACGAGACTAAGGCTCAGAGCCTCATTCGCCGATATTTCGAGTTTGCGGCCCCTACCTACCGTGTGCTGCATCAGCCAACGGTTCAAACGCTGTTGCATCGCCTGTACCCCGACGCACCACAGGGCGACCAATCGGAGATTGGTGATAAACTCGATGTTGCATCCCAGGCAGTCGTACTACTGCTTTTGAGTACGGCAAGCATGTTTCGGGTTGACGAGGATGGGCGAATGAGAGATGCAGACGAGGATGGCTGGCAGAGAAGCGAGCTCTATTATGCTTAGGCTGACCGTCTGCTATCGCTCGAGATGGGAGCCCCTAGTCTGGCCTCCGTCCAAGCGCGATTTCTCATGGTGCTTTATCTGCTGAGCTCCTCTCGAGCACAGAAGGCTTGGTTTACCTTCGGAACAGCAGTCCAGCTGATGATGGCCCTCGGTCTGCACAGCCGTCGAGCGAGAATGCATCATGGCAAGGATGAGGACGTGGTGCAGAAGGAATGTCGGCGGCGCCTAGTCTGGTGTTCATATACCCTGGACAAATACTTGAGCGTGATCCTGGGTCGTCCACGACTTTGGAAAGATGAGGATTTGACCGAAGACCTCCCCACACGGATCAATGACGAGGATCTGACAAGTGGGGAAACGCGCTTATCCAAGCGCGACTGTATGATGGATGCCCCGGTTTTCCATGCTGTGTTGGCCCAGATTCTCACCCAAGCAGCCAAGGAACCCTACGTCCTTACCGGTCTTTCCAATCGGCAGCAGATAAAAACCATCGGAAACTTATGCAGGAAGGTCGCGGACTGGCAGGCTGAACTCCCCCCTTTCCTATCAGGGGTCATTCAGCCCAGCAGTCTGGTCCCGGTTTTTCGCCGCCAACTTACTGTTCTGCAACTAGCCCGACACCATGCCTTGATATTCATCACACGCCCCTTGTTGCTGCGAGACTACGGGCATATGTGGCCTGAACACCAAACCAGTTACGAGCACCATCTCCGCCTTTGTCTAACCGCGGCATCAGACGCGATCGAGCTGATTATGGGATTCGTACGAGATGACGAGTTGTTCCCCGCATTCTGGTATTCGCAGTACATCGCCTTCAATGCTCTATCGGCTATATACATATACCTGATTCAAGTCATGCGGGGCCGTCTGCCCCCTGTGAGTATTGATTTTAACGCGAGCCCTGATCGCGTCTTACACATAGATTTGGTCGAATCCACGTTGTACGGAAGGTCCGAAGACGCGCTGAGGCACCTTGCTGATGCGACCGCTCGGAATGCACCCTCCTGGAAATATAGCGTCATCTTGCAAAGCCTCCGACGCGAGGCCAGGCTGGGACTCCTAACACTGACCACGTACGGCACAGTTGCGGAGGCGACTGATCCACACCACAGGCCCTGCGAACCAACGCATCGCTCTGTTGCACAAGCACGTGAGCCGAGTGTTCGCGACCAGCGTCTGGGAGAAGTACCGGCAAGGGACTATGTATCGGATTCTAATGAGGTGCCGATCACGCCCACAGGGATGGATCCCTCGGTTGACCCAGGCCTACTCGATCCACGGACCCAGTCACTTCTGGATAATTTTGTCAGCGGCGAAGATCCAATCCTTGATTTCTGGCCACAGCTGGATAGCTTGCCTATCAGTAAGTGTTTCACTGGAGCCCCAAAGGACAATCGGCGGTTGCTAACCGACCCAGCATATCCGGGTTGAGGTATGCCTTGACGTGCTTGGCGCACGAAAGGGTGATACCATATCGCAGAAAGAAAAATCTTGGAATTTTTTCCAGTACTTAAATACTATGACCACGATCTGTGACTCTAGGATGAAGTACCCTGAATGATTGATGGACGAGGAAATCAACGGTTCATTGACGGAGATTCCCGCCCTCAACGGCCATGCTACCTTGATGCTGCATCCTATGCTCGACTGGCAGACTGGCAACTACCAGACATACTTGTATCGTATTTGTCCGTCTTCCTCCTCCGCCCTCCGTGCCTTCGCATTTAGCAGATGAAGGTACAATGCCAACAGTGCTGTCGCCACGATTCCTGCTGCAGCAAACGCGGATAGGGTGATACCACCCGGGCGGTACTGGGGCGAATCCGATGTGGGAAAGAAATAAGAGCCGTAGATATTGGCCGAGTTGCCGAACAGATTTACCAGGGCGTACACAATGGCCCTCTTGGTTCGCGTCCGGGGTATCGTACTAGCAATCCAGGCCTGCACGACATTGAACGCAGAGTACGAGCCAGCACACATGAGAAACATGCCAACGTATCTGACTACTGTGGCTGTTGACGAGATCACCATGGTATTTCCCACAATGTCTATGCAGAGAGGCCACGCGATCAGGACCGCACGCTGGTTGGTCCGGTTCGCTATGAGGGAATTACCCAGGGCTGAGATGAAGCCAAAGACATAGACGGGCGCAGTAATAAGCAGCGTGATAATATTGCTGAAGCCCAAGGTCTTAACGATGGTCTGCAATGTGTAAGACTTGAATGCATTCGAAGATGGAAGAGCAGGACTTGCAGGGAAGAAATACGTCCGGCTTTGGGACGAGAGCTGACAAACTTGGATTAGGATTAGCATCCACGCCTTGGGATCCAAGAGCGCGTCCCTTAATCCTTCTCGAACCGACCCGTTCTCATCGACTTCATCATTTGCAGCTCGAGCCAGCCGCCATTCTGCAAACCGCTGTTCCTGCTCGGATAGCCACTTCCGTTGGCCAGAGCGAGGGAAGTCGGGCAAAAGTGCCACGGCGAGAAGACCGGCCACCATGGTCCCGGCGCCTTCGATGATAAACAGCCATCTACATAAATTAGCTTTCCTCTAAATAGCTAAAAAATGGAGACATACCTCCAACCCTCCAGCCCGCCTCTGCCGTTTAAGCCACTCATGACGCCCGCGGCGAACATGCTGCCGAATCCGTTGGCGAGGGTGTTGCCGCAATACACGATGGCCACTCGAACGGCGATTTCGGACGGCTTGTACCAGGAGCTTATCAATAATCTTCGCCATCGTAAGAGCCCATTCAGGAGACGGTCCACTAAAGGATACCCACAAAGCACCAGAAAAGAATGGCGACTCGGCAAACCCGAGGAACACGCGGACACACATGATGCCGGCGAAGTTCTTCGTGGCGGCCATGCAAATGGATATCCCACCCCAGATGAAGATGGCTGTTGGGAGATAGCGGGAGGGTTTCAGCCGTGTCAGCAAGATATTGCTGGGGACCTGGCCCAGGAGATAACCGACAAACTTGAGTAGATCCTGATCAGCAATGGTGCTTAATTTGTTCGATTTTGGCTTACCATGATGGCCACCGCAGTCTGGTACTGCGGGTCGGAAAGGCCCAGGTCCTCCTGCAGCCCTCCTAGACGTGCATTGGCGATGTTGGAATGGTCCAAGATGTTGAAGATGAACAGTAGGAATAGGGAGGAAATAAAGATGCAGATTGATTTTGCGCACCACTGCTCGAGGTCAGCATCTGGTGTCGCTTAGTGCCTCGAAAGAGAGTATGGTCCTACAGCGCTTCTCCACAGCTCGTTCCTCTTCACTGGAGAGGCCCTCAAAAGACTCATCTACCCGATCCGACGACTTGGCAGCGGACTCTACGTGGAGAGAGGATGCTTTGGAGTCGATGGCCGCCATATCGAAATCCCACTGCTCTTGCTGGAATACAGCAATGGAAATGGACCTGATTCAGTCACGAAGCAGCCACAGGTGGTGAAGATCGATAAGATGAGCTCTTAAGGAACGAAGGAGATGGTCACCAGGGAAAGGCCTGCGTTACGAAAGAAAACGGAAAGCCGCGTCGTACATCCCTCGACTATTGTTTTATATTGCGTCTCCAGCTCTTGCTCGGCGACTGTACCCCAGATGCCTTGCCGCCACTGCCAGTGCGGGGACCCCACGGGCGGGAATGGGCCGGATATCCGAGTCTGGGGTTTGCATCAGGCAATGCGAGATCGGAAGTCAGCTACCATCTCCTCGGCATTTATGCCGTCATCCGTAGAAGCGACGTATACTACCTAGCAGGAGGCAAAGGCTTAGCCAATGGGTTGCCCGCCGTTTCCGTCCCATTTCCGCTCACTGGAGATGCCAGCCTGATGGATAACCATTCTTCGCTAACGGCTCTATTCAGGCATAATCTATGACTTGGTGGGTGCCATTGACAGTCATCTACTGGGGTTCATTTACGTCAACCTTTCTTCCCTCTTCGATTGAGTTACATTGTCTACACCAAGGTCTCTGGCCTAAGAATGAATACGTAAATTCACTTGTTTCTGCTAAACAACTGACCTCTCTTCCCTGTCTTCGCCAAGGTCATTTCAGAATCGAGCTGCTCTACATGACCGGTCGAGGAGGAGCAGGCGCTACAAGATAGCGACCCCGTTGGGAGGGCTTGCTACACCTCCGGGAACCTAGAAGACGTCAACAATTGACTTTGCAATCTGCAGTGGACAGTGACTCACCTTCAGCGGGACACTGCTGAAGAAGAACGACCAGCGCTGCCTCTTTCGGCACTCCTCGCTCAGCTGCTCCAGATCGAACATCTCACCGATGGGAAGCCCCCAACCAGCCAGGAGCCATTCGTGTAGCCAATACTTGGTGTCCTGGCATGGCCACGCTTCCAGACTAGGCATATCGCCGGCGGCGGCAGCAAACTCCTTGTGCCAGAGCCATCGAAGCGTTGCCTCCGAGGACTCCAGTCCGATGGCCGGCGGCAATGGGGCATTGGCCAACGCGGTGATCTCCTCTTGCGACAGCTGTGCATATCCCCGTCCCCATCCGGATCGGATCAGGAGAATATCCCCGGGTTTCAACTCGGTCCCTTGAGCCTTGGCGATTTCATCCAGGACAGCTACCGTGATCGACTGAGGGGTGAATGCCTGGAGTGGAACATTGTTGGCCTCGGCCCAGGCGGCATAATCCAGCAAGACTCCACGTCCGACGATGCCGCCGTTTTCCACCCACGCTGCAGAAGTTGTCAGCATAGTCTTCAAAGACGGAATGCGGTCCAGCCTACCGTGAATGCCATTGACCTTGCTAGTCAACAGATCGTCCAGGGTGCGACCGTTAAAGTACAGTTGCTCCTTCTGGTATCCGTAATGTCGCAAACCGTCCCACTGCGAACTGGTCTGCGTATTGAACTGCAAGATATCGTCATTGACTGATGCCGGGGCTTTGTTGGAGATGGTCTGGGCGAATGGAGCGCGATCAAAGGCGGGGGTGGTGATGCGATCGAGGGCCCAGTCGGTGGAGATGCGCACTCCGTCGATGATCTCTCGCGCCGCTGCACTGGTGCGTTCGGAGGTGAGGAGATTCAGCATGCCACACTGATCATTGGGGCCGAACAGTCCCCAGGCATTGCCGGGTGGGCCCGTCTTGTCGAGCGGCAGGTCATCGAAGGCGGGTTTCTCAAAGGGCATATTGCTGCTTGTGTGTTGGGGTTGGGTGCCAATGGCGATCCTCACGTTAGTTGAATGTGCTGCGGGGTTATGACAGGCCTTTTCCGACGACCCTCTCTGTTTTCCGCCGTCGGGCGGATTTTCGACCCACAGGCATGCACCCTGACCCTATAATTATCATCGTCAGTCCGAGGCAGCATACAGTTCAATCTGCATTTCTTTTATTCCTTCCTATCATTGATACGGTTACATCTGCCATGTCTCTTCCGTCGCATTACACCCTCAACACCGGGGCCGAAATCCCCTCCGTGGGCTTTGGTACCTGGCAAGCCAAACATCTCGAGGTCGAGAATGCCGTCGAGGTGGCCCTCAAAGAGGGATATCGCCATATCGACTGTGCCGCCATATATCGCAACGAGACCGAAGTCGGCAATGGCATTCGCAAGTCCGGCGTGTCCCGGGACGCCATCTTCATCACCGGCAAGCTGTGGAATACCAAGCACGCCCCGGAAGATGTGGAACCGGCGCTGGACATAACTTTGAACGATCTGGGCGTTGAGTACCTGGACCTCTACCTCATGCACTGGCCGTGGTGAGACTTGCCCCCTGTTTTGAGAGATTCCCTGAAAGGCATGAGATAAGTTAACACGGTGCAGCGCGTTTAAAGGCGGAGACAAGTGGTTCCCTCTCAACGACGACGGTGTGTTCGACCTGGCCGATATCGACTGCATCACCACATACCGAGCCATGGAGAAGTTGCTGGCAACAGGCAAGGTACGCGCCATTGGGGTGCCTAACTTCAACATCCGACGATTGGAGGAGCTGCTGGGCCAAGTCTCGGTCGTTCCCGCCGTCAACCAGATCGAAGCCCATCCCTACCTGCAACAACCGGATCTCCTGCATTTCTGCCAGAGTCGAGGCATCCTCGTAGAAGCATATTCCCCGCTAGGCAACAACCAGACTGGCGAGCCCCGCACGGTCGATGACCCTCTTGTGCACCGTGTGGCAGGCGAGCTCAGCCTCGATCCAGGTCCTCTGCTGGCCAGCTGGGGCGTGCAGCGCGGCACGGTCGTCCTATCCAAGAACGTCACGCCTTTGCGTATTGCAGCAAACCTGCAGGTCCGTCAGTTACCAGAGGAGGCGTTTGCCCAATTAAACTCCCTGGAGCGCCACAAGCGCTTCAATTTCCCGGGACATTGGGGGTATGACATCTTCGAGGAAGTCGGCGAAGAGACCGTGCGCCAGACTGCAGTGGCTGCGGTACCAACAAACAAGGTTAAGTTTACCGTTTAGATGATCGCAATTGTACATAGAACGAATAGAGTGCTTCCACGGGTTAAAAAACCGGGCTTAATCAGGTGACGAGCAGCGTCAGAACCGTAACCGCCGGCCAGATCCCAATCAATGGTAGGTTTGAAACGCTGATCTGGGGAGGCCTTTGCACCCAGACAACCCCGGGTTTCGTACCTTGGAAGCACGATGCTGGTTGGTGGCTGGGGACGATCATCCGGGGTTCAGGGAGGTCGATCCATGGATCGCCACGCAGACGAGGTCAAGGTAGCCGAGCACCGACCGACGAGCCCCCCGACTTCGTTCCTTGTCGATCACCACATGGGATATTCCCAGGGGTAGAAATCTGTGCCAGGATGCGTCTTAATACCTGTCTCGCTCCTGGGGTGTTGTGACGACTGCAGCGACATGGCCAATTACTCGGCCCCCGTCGAGGGCATCACCGGGGGATATACGGGCGACAGCCTGGCAATCCAGGCGGCTCTGGCTTGTTTCTTGGGTTGTGCGCTGTACAGCGCCATCGAGCTGGTCATCCTGGTCTTCCTCACCTTCCACGTCTACCGGGGTCTCTACTTCTGGAGCCTACTCATTTCGACCGCGCTCGGCATCATCCCTCAAGCCCTAGGCCTGCTGTTGAAATACTTCATGCTGGCCCCGATCTGGATCCCAGTGACCCTCTCCACGTTTGGGTGGGCGATCATGGTCACCGGACAATCGGTAGTCCTATACTCACGACTACATCTCCTGACATCCAACAAGAAAGTGCTCCGATTCGTACGATACATGATCATAATCGACGCCATCGTCTTTCAAATCCCACAAATTATCCTCTCCTACGGCTCCGTCTACGGCAGCTTTCGATACTCCTACATCTACAACATCTGGGCGAAGGTGCAGCTGACGGGCTTTTTCGTGCAGGAGATCATCATCTCCACGATCTTCATTGTGCAGACATTCCGACTGCTCCGTTTATATCCCCATCGGAGTAAGCGGCGCACGAGCATCATGGAGCAATTGCTGGTGATTAATACTGTGATTATTATGATGGATATTTCGCTGCTGGCGTTGGAGTATATGGATTTATTTATCCTGCAGACGGTGTTGAAGACGTTTTCTTATACGGTCAAGTTGAAATTGGAGTTTGCGGTGCTGTCACGATTGGTGTCGTTTGTGCATTATGATCCTGAGCTGGGGTCGTCGACTTTGACTGGTAGCTAGCAATGAACATGTCTGAAGTGTATGGAGATTCTCGGGGGCGTATGTCGTAGAATATTACTGGAATTCGTGGGGATATCTCCGTGTCATAGCGGTGACTAGTGGGTGGATAGATCCCAACCGACCATTCCCGTAATATAAACTCGCCCGAATAGATATACTATTACCAATCATTCCAAGCAGGCCCCTACTGCGCTTTAAATCCGACCTGGTAGTCTAGATTACCCCCGGGTTCCCCGCACGAGGGTTTTTCCGCACGTGGGGGAAAGGAGCGGAAAAGGGCGGGATGTCAGGCGGAAATGTCGGACGAAGACATCCTGACTTGGACGTTCCTCCTGCAGGCCGGCCAGAAGGAGAGATACCAGGATGAAGATGATGCAGTAAGAGCCGGATTTCTGCGAGATAACCGTGTTAGGCTCGAGCACGTGCTAAAGAGGCAGGCCATAAACTCCAGCATCGCCCCAGATCTTCAGTTTTCCTCTTCTGCACATCGCATTCACGTCACTCCAATCCATTCACAGTCCTACAAGATGGTGTCTATGGTGCTCTCACCTACTCCTTCTCTTCCTTCTACATCTACGCCTCCCAGCGTGCCGTCCCCAGCAACTTCCGTGACCGAGCCAGAAGCGGAGGTTGCGGAAGAGACCCTTCACACTATCAATGACCTGCTACAATCGCGAGCAAAAGGACACCATGGAAATGAACCTCTTGTTGCCTACCCGACATCGGGAACGGATTACATCTACTATACTCCCCGTCAAGTACATCCCCCTCATAATGCACACCTTTGGATGGCCGTCCTGACCCATCATCCGATCAGTTGGACACATTCGTTGAAGCAGCTTCAGTCCACTACGCAAAAGCCATCCCACAGCGACGTTTAGCCGAGGACCCTGTACAAGTGGTGGGATTGTTGGGTCCATCGGATTTCGAGTACCTGATCACTCTACTAGCCGTCTCCCGGCTCGGCCACACAGTCCTCCTGCTTTCAACACGCATTGCAGAGGATGCCTATATCAGCCTGGTCGAAAGCACCAAGGCCACCTTCCTCATCACACACTCCAGCTTTCAGACAATGGGAGACACGGTAGCGGGACGAACAGGCATCACTCAGCAGCCATTGCTGACGCGTGAAGACTATGACGTCCCCCCTGCAGACAGCGTTTCCCTGTCCTCTGCTCATCTCGATGGCGCAATCGAGGCCAAGCATATCTGCTGGATCATCCACTCCAGCGGCTCAACAGGCCATCCAAAACCCATCCACCAAACCCACTCCGGGGCTCTCAAGAACTACGCCAACAATTTTGGCCTCCGGGGGTTTATCACCCTGCCGTTGTTCCACGCCCACGGCATCAGCTGTCTCTTCCGTGCGATGCACTCCCAGAAGTTGATCTATATGTACAGCGCCAACCTGCCGCTGACGGCCCCCAATCTGCTATCCACCTTGGAGGAACACCCTGAAATCGACATCCTGTACGCGGTGCCATATGCCCTAAAGCTGCTCTCAGAGTCAGACGAGGGACTGCAGATGATGGCACGTCTGGAACTCGTCATGTTTGGGGGCTCAGCCTGTCCAAAGCCGATCGGCGACAAGCTGGTGCAGAATGGAGTCCGCCTGGTCTCCCACTATGGAACCACAGAGACCGGTCAGCTGATGACCTCGTTCCGCGAGCGAGACGATCTGGACTGGGATTATGTGCGTCCAAGCCCATCGGTATTACCGTATCTGAGCTGGGAAGAGCAAATGCCGGGCATCTACGAGCTGTGCGTCTTAAAAGGCTGGCCATCTAAAGTCGCCAGCAACCGACCAGACAACTCCTATGCAACCAAAGATCTCTTCGAGAAGCACCCCACCAAAGCCAACGCCTGGCGCTACTATGCCCGGTTGGACGACACCCTCGTGTTAGAGAATGGCGAGAAGGCGAACCCGCTGGTCATTGAGGGAGTCGCTCGTAACGACCCCAACGTGGCCGAGGCCATTGCCTTTGGGGCTAACAAGCCTCGTCTGGGATTATTCCTGGTTCCTGCAACAAGTAGCCAGTGTGAGACAGATGAGCAACTGATCGAGACAATCTTCCCTGCCATCGAACTTTGCAATGCGGAATTGCCAGCTTATGCCTACATCTCCCGAGACATGATCCATGTGTTGCCGCCAGACGCAGTCTACCGAAAGACAGATAAAGGAACGGTGATTCGCTCCGCCTTCTACCGGGATTACCAGGAGCAGATTGACCAGATCTACGATGCAGAAGATGCCAGTGGAGACCAGGTGCTCGAGGGCGCCGGGCTGGTATCTTTCCTCCGCGAGCAACTTCTTGCAGTAGCCCCGGCTATCGATCCCTCGACTCTAGAGGAAACAACCGATGTCTTCAGCCTGGGGATGGACAGCTTGCAATCGATCCGACTGCGGACTGCGATCATTCGAACCCTCGACATCGGGGGCAACAAACTGTCCCAGAACTTTGTCTTCGAGCACCCGTCACTGCAGGCCATGGCGGAGGCATTGACTCGTCTGCGTCTGGGACAGGGACCTACAGAGCAGATTGCAGTTGAGGAGCGCATGGCCAGCCTGATTGAGAAATACAGCACCGATTTCAAGACGCATGTTCCTGTCCCTCGCGAAGGAGACGGGGAGCACATCGTCGTGACTGGAGCTACTGGCTCCCTGGGGGCACACGTCGTCGCTCAGTTGGCTCAACTAGAGAACGTCAAAACCATCTACTGCCTCGTCCGTGCTGATTCCCGCGAATCAGCCTTCCGTCGAGTGCACCAATCACTCCGGACTCGCAAGCTGTCATACAGCTTGACCCCGGCCACACAGCGCAAGATCGTGGCATTGCCAGCCGATCTCTCAAATCCGACACGATTAGGCATGGACGAATCAATCTACGCCCATCTAATGCACTCTATAACAGCAGTCATGCACTGCGCGTGGTCCGTCAACTTCAACTGGTCTTTAGAAAGCTTCGAGGGCAGCTGCATCGCAGGCACCCGCCACTTACTCGACCTCTGCCTGGATATCCACGCTCCCCATCCCGCGCGCTTTTCCTTCTGCTCATCGGTAAGCACCGTCGCTCGCACCCCAGGGCAATGGGTCCCCGAAGCCCTACCGGACACTCTTGCCTGTGCACAAAGGATGGGATACGCGCAGTCAAAACTAGTAACAGAACACATCGTGAACCGCGCGGCGCAACACACCGGAATGACCGCTCGAGTACTGCGCGTAGGCCAGATCATCGCCGACACTGCCCGCGGGATCTGGAACGCAACCGAAGCCATTCCCATGATTTTCCAAACTGCAGAAACCATCCATGCCCTACCCCAGCTCGACGACATCCTCTCCTGGACTCCCGTGGACATGATCGCCACCAGCGTGATTGACCTAACCCTTGCCCCTGTTGCCGGCGCCGTGATGAATGTAAGCAACCCGACTCTCGACCACTGGACACGAGACCTGCTTCCTCTCTTAAGACAAGCAGGGTTAGAATTCGAGGAGCTCCCACAGCGCGAATGGCTGCAGCGTCTTCGCGACTCAAACGCAGACCCTGATACCAATCCCCCAATCAAACTCCTCGAGTTCTTCACAAGCAAATACGACCACGACCTACCCAGCCGTGCCCTCCTCTACGACACCAAACAGGCTGTATCTGCTGCCCCAGCCCTCCGCGAAGCAGGCGGACTCACCCCCGAACTGGTCACCAAATTCATCGACTTCTTCCGCACCCAGTGCTGGACCACCACCTCCTCCTCCCAATCCCCACAGCAAGTCATATTCCTAACCGGCCCCTGCGGCAGCGGCAAAACCACCTTATCCCAAGCCTTAGCCCGGCAATTCCCCCTCTCCGTGATCAAAGGCGACGACTTGCATTCCCCCGCGTCCCGAGAAAAGATGTCGCACGGAATCCCCCTCCAAGACAAAGACCGATGGGCCTGGCTAGCACATATCCGAGGGGCAGTAATGGATCGACTCCAACATTCTGATTCAACCACTCGGGGGGTGGCAGTGACATGTTCCACATTGCGGACTGTGTATCGGGATGAATTGCGACGGTTGGCGGATTTATTGGATTTTCCGGTGACCGTGACGTTTTTGTTGTTGGTTGTGAGGGATAGGGAGGAATTGAAGGGGAGGATGGTTGGGAGGGAGGGACATTATATGCCGGAGGGGATGGTGGATTCCCAGGTGGATCTTTTGGAGGAGCCGTTGATGTCGGAGGGGGATGTGATTACTCTCGATGCCGGGGGGGATATGGCGGGGGTGTTGGAGGAGGTGGAGGGGTTTGTGGGGGAGATTTTGCGGTTATAAGTTGTGTTTTCCGGGGGAGTTATGTTGATATTGCTATCGTGGAGTCTGAGCCGGGGGTTATCCATTGAGGTTATGGTTTCAATTGTTTGTGATGACGCTATGCAGCGCGATGATATTGAAGATATTTGGCATATAAATAGAATGAATGTCACGCGCTGTTGTCTTTGAACTCCCTTGCACACTCGCCCACAAGCCGGACAGTTTCCTCGATCCGGTCGAGGAACGGCGCACAGTGACTGCATTCCATCTCTTTGACGATCCACTGCTGCCGGGTAGCGGCCATCATACCGTACTGGGCCTCTTTGGGAACGGCTGGATCGCGAGTGGTCACGATAAAGGCCAGTTGGCCTTGAAAGGCGGCATCCGCCCAGGCAGGAGCTGGCTGGGGTGAGTTGAAAGCCAGTGTCGAGTGGGGCTTGATCTTGTCACCGATGTCTTTCACCAGGGCTGGGTCGACATCCGCGGCGAAATCCGCGACAGCGTCTGCGGGGACGTTGAGATTTGCTGATGGCTGTATCGAGTCAATGCGAGTCCCTGGGAGACTAAGATTGACCTCACCTTATCCAGCAGGATCCACGGAGGCAGGTTCCCACCCTGCAAGCCCGCACAGCTCAATCCCTCTGGCACCAGGAATGCCGCGAGGTAAACCATCCCGATCACACCACCCGGCTTACCCTGCTGCACTCGATCTGACTTGGCCAAACCCAGAGCAGCAGCAGCCCCGGGCATACCAGCGTAGGAGTGCATCACTAGGACAATATCGCGGCCATCCTCCACCAACGTGTGTAGTGTAGTCCTGATCACTTCCGTGTCCGTCTTGCAGTCTGCCACAGTCGGATCGACGGGATAGAGAGAGGGATAATCGGCGTAGTGGACAGGATATCCGGTGGCCGTGCATGCATTGAGAAAGGGCTGGTAGAAATCGGGAGTGATCCACGCCCCGGGGACGAAGACGATGGTTGCCATTGGGACTGACTTGAGGGGGAATTCGGAAGGTCTAGGATTGTAGTGTTGCCGACAATTGTGATCCAAGGGATGGTCCAAGAGGATTTAATTGGTGGGGTGTAGCTGCGCCCATGGTTAAACATGGTCTAGGAAGCTTAGCTTCTCAGCCTTGCCATCTCCGTGCTGACAGGCCCATTCCGGTAAGGCTGTTGGGTTGGCCAGCTGGCAGTCTCACCCCGGCTCCTTTTTCTTTGTTCCTCCCTGGCATCGGACGACGTTTCCTGCAATCGACAGAGTCTGGACTCGGATCTGTTATCAGGCCTTGGGCGACCGCGCGGATGATCGTCTGTTGGCGGATGTTGGTTTCTAAGCATCATGCGTTAGTGTTAGTCCGAGAAATGCCAGTTGTGGGGGAGAGCCAGTAAGCGGTACCTGCTGGGATAACAGTCGGGAGGACGCATGCCCTGCCATTGTCGAGAGATGGCGTGGTCACTGCCACTGTTGGTGATGAGGGGAAGAGGAGGCAGCGGATGAAGGCGGTCTGCGACGAGGGTCATGTGATCGTCCTGATTTCGGTGGAAGAGAGATTGATTCATTCATGCCTGATAAATATCCAGATAGCCCGTGGCAAAGATATCCTCCGCGGTCATTCTTTTCGTAGGATCGGGTTCCAGAACAGCGTAGAGAAATACCACGTCATATTCTGCAACTCCTAGAGCGACCAACCGATCCGTCCAATGCTCCTCCTCGAATTCTAATTCCACGTCCTTGACCGCTGAGAAATCGCAGTCCTTGTAGTATTCGTTTTCTCGAAGATTGAAATCGTGCACCTGGGAAGCTTGGACCGCCGTTTCCTTTTGCTCGAGAGTCGTTCCTTTGACTATCGAATCATAAATTCCCGGTGACGAGAAGTTTATCTGTGCCTGAATGAGATGGAAGTACTATTGTCATATGTTAGTGAGACAAAAGTGGATACAATTCAAGTACATGAACTGACCGCAATGCCCCAGGCCCAGATATCAATGGCACTGGTCCAGGGTTTTTTGAAGTAAACCTCGGGGCTCCTGTATGCGAGTGACGTCACATCGCCCCGATCAGTAGTCATGACTGTAATTGTAAGCTATGCAACGAATGCTAGTAGATATTTGCAGGATCCTACCAGAGCCAAGATCGGAGAGTTTGACAACCATCTTCGCCAAGTCTATTTGATCTTCGTTGGTGGTATCGTTGTTGAATCCACTGAGCAGCACATTCTCCATTTTAAAGTCTAAGACCGCACATCAGATCTCCTCCGTATCCGTTCCAGAGATATACAATGACTCACCACAATATACACGTCCCTGCTTATGTATTTCTTGAAGCTCGAGAAGGGCTGCTCTCATGATGTACTTGATTTCCCAGATCGCGAGTGGTCGTGTCGTACGCGCAGACCACAGTGTCTTCTGAAATGGTTCTAAAACCATCATATCGGGAAGGTTTGAACTGGCCGGAATCACGTCAACCATCCTCCGGATATACCTGGAAGGTTTGAACAGTTTTTGCATATCCATCTCCCTTTGGAAACATCTCTTTTCACACTCGGTTTCATCTTGTGGATGTTTGATGATCAATTCATCCCTTTCATTGTCTGACCGGAATGCTTGCCAGACATTAGGAGGGGTTCGTCGGACCAAAGGCGAAAGCAAGGTGTAGGATGTGCCGCTCTCACCCATGAGCTTGAGCCCTTTTTGGATCCGTGAGATGGACATGTTGTGTTTGGTGAACTCGTGTGGTGGTCGAGTTGCTAGTTGTTCAGGCTGTGCTCATGGCTCCGATCTGCCCCGGCCAAGGCGGCGACCCGGAATCCCCCGGAGCCGGGCCCAAAAGGGAAGTCGACGCGCTCCGATACACAAATAGCAAAACATTGGAAGATCTCTAGTCAAATGTATACAGATGATCGTTCATCATTTCTCATACTATACTAACCGATCCTTCACGCATCCACAGACTATCAAATAACATTACATCAGTCATCCTCGTTCATGCTTGCTGCTGCCTTCCTGCCGTCTCAGCAGACCATGTCTTCTGAACCGGGTTCATCATGTTCATAGCGACAGCATGTTCCCGCTGCACCTTCTTCTGCCAGTACCGACCTAAAAAGAATGCTGCTGCCCCGAGCAAAACTGCGCCGGCAACACTTCCCACCACAATTCCCGCAATGTCCCCTCCAGACAGACCTTGTGAGCCGCTCGAGCTGCTGCTCGAGCCGCTACTCGACGTCGAGGAAGACGAGGAGCTTGTCGTGCCCGCCTCCGACACATTGAAGCAAGGAATATCCGTGGTGAAGGAGCTATAAGGCACATACACAATATCGGCACAGGCATAGTAGGTCTCGTTGCCGTCATTGTCAAAGTCAGACACATACTTCAACTGGAGAGTGGCGTTGGCCCCGGAGGTGATGTTGGACGGCGGATTGGGAACGGAGTAACATTCATGGCCAGGCTCCACGTCGGGGAAGCTCTTCCCAGACACGGATGTGACAAAGTCAGCATTGCTCGTGGGATCTACCTGGCATCAATAGCGTTCAATAAGGAGGAATAGTGGGTAATAACGCACTGTCATCATATGAGATGGCAAGGTTGACCGAGTATGACTCCGTCTGGAGGACAATCGCAACGGAACCGTCCGCTGGTGGAGAGACGAGTCAGCGGGGCAATGGATCACACAAAGAGGCTTACTCAAAGGGAATTCCGTTCGGTTTCCCACACCCGCTGATGAACCGCACGGAGACGTGGTATCCCAGGTGGCTGTCCAAGTCCTGTCTGGCGGCCACAAGAACGCGGCAGCTCCCATGTCAGTGGCTTCAACAGCATATACGCCAGAAGCCAGGCTGGCTGTAGCCAGCAAGCCAGTGAAAAGTGAGATCGGAGACATCATGGTAGACAACTGGATTCTGTAGAGCGTGCTAAGGGAAAGACTGCTTCTAGTGAATCTTGAGCTTTGCTAGTTGTGGATGAAGAGGGTGAGCCAGGATGATCGCAACCTGTTTTGTGCAACGCCGAGTGTCTGCTCTTATATAGCGGCCATCACACCGGTTTGTTCGGTTCCATGTATTCATCCTGCAACCTCTCCAGTCTATGTCCGGTTGGATACAACCGTCTGAGCCCAATCAGAGCGCACCGGAGCAAAAATGGCATGTGATGCATCCACTCGGGCTCAAACGATGCACACAGGTTGAAGCCATGCGAGCTACTCCGGAGAGCGGTGGTTCCATGGTCGCCCACTAACGGCGGGCTAAGTTATCAATCATGAGACTAGGCTGCTTGTGGAATGGGAAAATGACAGCGAAACCCTCCCTGGTCATTATTGCACGGCTGAACCAGCAGCGCCAACCGGAAGGGGCAATTCCCGACATCAGATCATATCAGATTGATAAGATGGGCTCCACTGCGGGTCAATCCGGTTTCCCACCGGCCTCGGGTCAATTTCGAGAATGGGATACAGTCTTCCTTCTGTCTGTTCTCCAGATGGCCAGCGGTATATCGTTTTGGTGTACTGGTAAGAACGCGACAGAACCGATTTTTCTGTCGTCAATGAACACTCTTACCAAATTCAAGGGCACCATATTCCTTGGCTATGTTCCACCTCTGGCATGGACTTGCAGCCAGCTACGCGACTGGCAAGACCAACACTGGAACCTGCCATCGAATAAGGTACCATGCGGGTCCCAACCCTGATGACCCTGACTCGTCCGAAAATTTCCTCTCCGACATCCCACTTACTGGCAGTAAATTTGTTCCTTCGCGCCAAGCCACGGCCTTCATCCATGACCCAACCCGAACAAGGGGCCGATTCCTTCTTCGTACAATTGCCCCGAAGCCGAGAGGGACCCCGTGAGTGACTCTTGGCTCATCCCATGGGAATTTCGTCTTCCCATGTGACGACTGACGACATAAGGTGGTCTACTGTGTAGCTCCACAATCAGATTTCCGTCGGATCAGATAAGTTCTGTCACCCGAATCCACTCGACTCCGAAGACAAAGCTTTGACCAGGGTGCCGCTAAAAGTTTTGCCCGGTCTATGCTCCACTAACACCCTACCTGGACTGGCAGTTTGGGCCGTAAGGGTTACAGCCGATAACCGGACCCTTCTAATGTTCCATGCTCCGACAAATCGAGACGCTAGGGGAGACATGATGTAAGAGCGTTCGATGCAACCCTCGAGGCAGATGGCTCACCGGTCTTCCATCTACTACATCCTTGCGCGATTAATCTATTAGACTCTTCACAAGTGCCACCCTCGGCCTCCATGTATCGCCCCTCATATTCACACTTATTCAGCACATAGTCTAGCTATCGCGCTAAACAAGCCATTCCATGGAGAAGGAATATACGCTAGCGTAAGTGTACGGAGGTGGCGGGAGCTGCCTAAATGGACTGGAAAATATCAGTGGCCTGACACAATTGAGACGGTTGCCGGCGACGAGCTAGCCGGTGTGTCGGCGCAACGTTCTAGGTAGAACTACCTGGGTGAATAAGGCGAGTGATATATGCCTGTCCAAGGACATAAAATCTTGCTCGTCCCATCTACCGATACATTCCGAAAATTAAATCGACTGGACGGTCCTTGTACAATATCAAATCATTTTTTGTCTCTTGACCAGCCAGGCAGGCACTTCAATTCTCTACTTCATACTTCTTTCTTGAATAGAGAGGCCAGTGCATCAACTCAAAATGCACCGAATTACGCTCCTCATAGCTGCCGTGGCAGCATTTGTCACATCTAGCTTTGCATTGAACTTCCCTAATGTCCTTCCCATGTTGAGGAGAGAATCAATAGAGCCTGGCAGTCCACTGTATGAATGTCATGCTGATTGCGGTACGTGTATCCCATCTCTGTACGGCATGAGTATAGTAGATGCCTCAACCACTCACTTACCCGACCCTTTCCACTATTCTATTTATCCTACTCAGGGTCTCTCTGCAAGCAACCGATTGACATCAATAGGTGGCGTCATCCTCATCTCCCAAGATAGCGACGACTACTGCTCCAACTCGACGTACAAATCCGAGCTGAGCGACTGCCTCAAGTGTGCCTTGACATACAACATCTGGCAATACTATGGCGACGATGTGGCGTCTGCAGCCGAGGCGTGTGGTGATAGTGCCACGCCTGGCGCTTCTTCTGCTACCGGTGCTGCGGCCACTGCCACTGGCGCTTCTAACTATGTGCGTCTCTACCCTCTCCTAAATTAGGTGTCAGTCTCGTTCAAGCTAACATTATTGGGCCACAGTCAGCGACAAACATCGGCACTCGGGCTACAATCACCTCCACCGCTACCACTAGTAGCTCGTCCTCGTCCGCGACATCTACTTCAGGCAGCACATCTACGTTTAGCTTCAGTGCGGTCGTACTTGTTATCGCAGCCGTGGCTGGTATGGGGTCGCTGGCGTGATAAGTCTGTGTCTGATAGATATACTGGCCGGTTGAACTGTGCAAGGCCTGGTTGCTGGGGAATCAAAGACTCCCATTGAGACACATGCCATAGTAATGTACTTCTACCTGCGTCAAAAACTGAAACATGCAGTCTGCATCTCATCCCGATGCATCTTGACGGGATCCTTCCAGATATCCCCTCATCTCATCAATAGAACACCGCTGAACAACAACCCAGTCACCCCCCCCAACCCTCACACTCCACCCTCTCTCTCCATCACGCATTCCTCTCATCCCTCGCCGCCCCCACCACAACCCCCACCAACTCCCCCCTCTTCGACAAAAACGGCGAATGACAAGAATCCAACTCCACCATCCTCACATCCCCCCCATGTTCCCTCACCCTCCCCACCATCCCAACCTGCCACTCCCTCCAAACCATCCGATCGCTCCCCGTAACCACATACGTCACGGGCACAAACCTCCACGCCTCCCCAACTGACTCCATATCACACGCTTCAAACGGAAACCTCACCAACCCACCCACCACACTCTCTGCCACCCCCCTCTCAACCATATTATACATCTGCGCGATGGGATCCTTGGGATACATGAACCGATCATCCCCCACATCGACAATCGTCTCAGCCGGGTTCTCAACCCCGCCTTCTTGAATCGTCTTGACCACGCTTCCTCCGGGGAGGAGCATATAGGCACATATATAGACCAGGTGGATGACGCCGCCTGGCAGCCCGCGGGATTGTCGATCAGGGAGGGTTAAGTCGCGGGTGATGGCGTCGGTTCCGACGACGCCGCCGTAGGAGTGGAAGAGGGGGAGGATTCGGTGGCCTTGATTGGCGAGGGTGGAGATTAGGTTTCGTATGCAGGCGATATCTTCGGGGAGTGAGGCTGGTTTGTCTTGGTGTTGGCTTTGTGATGGGTTGAGGGATTGTGCGGAGCTGGGGAGAAGGGGCGCGTGCACGGTGAAACCTTGGGCTTTAAGAGCGGAGATGAAGGGTTGGTAGGCGGTTGGGGTGTGCCAGGCGCCGTGGACGAGGACGATGGTTGGTGGTGATTGGGAGGACATGGTGGTTGAGCTGATGGTGCTACTTGGGTTGGTGGGGGAAGGATGGACCTTTCAGGGCGGGAGGATAGGAGGTCGCCAGCGTGTCCTTAGCATCATTTATTTGTGTGAGTTAGTTGAAGCTAGCTGGGAGGATCAGTGAGAGATTTTAAAGCTAGAGGAGAACTAGTTGGTTAGATAGAGAAGTTTAGATAGGATTTAGTTTAGGCGGATGGATGACGATGGGGAGGTGGCGAGCAGGCCAATCGGAAGGCGGGGTGGAGTTAAGTCCGGGCCAATCAGCGTCGTTTACTCTGGACCCTCATCTCCTTGGTGCTTGCTATTTCTTACTGTCGCAAGGCTAGAATTTCCTAGTTGTGACTGAAGGTCTTGTTATGGATTTTAGATAGAAGCAAGCAAAAGGGTCTGATGTAAGTAAGGATATGACCAGAGTATCAGCACAGCCTACTGTCAGAGAATTGGGTGCAAGGACGGATATAGATAGCAGCAGTATACTTATGTTTGAAGCATGTTTCGGTTTCTCGATACAGCCTAGCTGCTCTCATCAAACAGGGAGTTTCACTAATTATCGTCAGTGTAATGGCTGTCTTTAAAGCCAAAGGACGCACGTACATCGGCTTGGTCGGCCATGCTTGTTGCATTCCCTGGCTGTCCTAATTTCCTCCAGCTTGGCAGCGAATGATTCGAGGGTGGACACACTGTAGATATTTCCGTTATTGACACTGAATCCAGGGTCCTCATGGACCAGATAAGTATGTCATCTGTATAGTGTATACAGGTCACAAACCAGTTGTCACTGATAGGATGATCTGCTTTACAAATATAACAGATATGAGCCTGTACCAAAGCTTGCACGCGCCTGATTGATACTCTGTCCTTAGCCTAGGCCAACGGAGTTGGGAACCACTATACTCTGAATCATGGTCGATATATCTGTCCCTAGCAGTACTTACAAATGTCCATAATCGTTTGCATCACCGTCATGCGTAATATGGGCCTTTCGGGTGAATCAATCGTTTAGTTATTTGCCTGGCGGTCAAGGCGGAGTCATACTCGATGTTTGGGTTTATCACTCGGCTAAATGGAAGCTGGCTGGACAGAAGTTTTTACCATTCCACGTGTATAGCTGTACTGTTGAAGTGATTCTCCAGATTTATGGGAGCATGAGAGACTGGCACTGGCCGACGAGGACCGGGACAAACGGGCCGTATCAGATTGATACAGGTGTTAGTAGAGCCTATTCAACACCTTGTGCTAGACACCCAGACAAACCAAACAGATCATACGCACCCGGTAGCCTAACCTGAGAAAGTAATCTGGAAAGGTCCAGTCATCCGGAGATGGCGTGGTTGGGATCATCGCTGCCATGGCATCGATTGGCATCAGAATAAATCAGAGCAGGCTTCACGACGGGAAACCAGGCAGCATAATTATTGGTTGTTTGCAGGCAAGGAGGTACTTGGACCCCTTGGCGCTGATAAGATCACGTGCCCCATTCACTTGGGCATGGGAGAGGATTCTTAGCCGTCCTACCCCGACCCGGTGGATGAACGTGGGTCCGAGTGGTTGGTTAGCAACCCACAGTTCTCTCATCTGCAGTGGGCCTTTACTGGGTCGGCAGGTAGACATTCTGAATGATATTATCAGATTCCCAGGTGGGATGGATTGCGCGTCCAGAAAGCCTTTTTCATTGGGGGTGTGGAAGTTTCGTGGTAGAACCACCCACCTGGCGATAGCGAAGCCCATGGATGACGCACGCGGAGGGAATGGAAGCCGATGGCAGAGATCTTTCCAAGATGCGTGTTCGTGGTCACGCTTCTAACAGATTCCGTCAACACGGGACGTGGTTGTTACTCCTGCACTTGCAAGACAGGGGGAGACCTGTCCTGCAAGACGATACCTCGCCTTGCTCGATTTTGTCCACTTCTGGAGGCCTAGATGCTATAAAGGGGTTCATTGCGAGCTCCTAAAGTTTCAACCGATCATGGACACTACCTAAAAGTTATTGCAGCCAGATGGATGTCCTTCCTTGCATTATTCCTTCCAATGTCATCCCTTCAACGGGTGTCCGATGGCGAAGGCTCAACAAGAGACATAGTTCACCATTAAGCATGAGAGGCTAAATCCTATCAGGCCGTGATCAGGGTGCAGCGAGATCATGGGAGTCGACCAGCAAGCAAGTTTGACCGTGGAGACTCAATATTCATCCAAATCTCTTCTTCCTTCTCTGTTCCCGTAGTGAAGGTAATCTCGATACCTACTGCACTGACTAAACCAATTGTCCCTTCCTAGGCGTGTACATTCCATCCATACTCAGTATGATTCCCTCCATCCCACCCACCCGCATTGTATTTACTATGATGGCCCGTTTTTGCTGTGCAGGTTTATACCTTAACCTGAGGCGATTCTTCCCCGATATAGAGCACCTGACGCCCGTCCATGCTGCCGCGGTAAGAAAGAACAGCTATTCGGCCCTAAGATACCTTCTTCGGGCCCTCGATAAACCTTCCTCCGGGTCTAGCTGTGAGAGGGCCAGCAATTCCTGCATCGGACTGATGTCGGAGAAATATCGGGGGATTTCATGACCGTGTCCCACTGGCATTCGGATATGTCCCTGTCAGTGGTTGTGAGTAGGGCTTCCAAGTCGCAGCCGAAATAACTTATTCTTGGCTGGAGGGGATTCTCAATTCAAGATAGCAGCAGATATGATACGCCTGCCGGAGGAATTCCGGTGCAAAGCAGGCCGCGGGACTCGGCACCACCGGGACGCTCCGTCCATCGGTCCCCCGCCCCCGGCCCCGCCATTCCTGCCTGACCTACCTGGCGGGACGCTTCCTTCGCCATCCAGCATCGTCCTTCCCCATCTACCCTACCTCAACCATTAATCTCGCCATGTCTGTCGCTGCCACCGAAAAGCGCCCCGAGCTCATCGAGATTGCTCGCAGTCTGAACCATGTACCTTTGTGTGAGGAATACGAGCGCATGATTTCGGGCATGCTGTAACTCCCCCTCGTGAAGAAACTCCCAAGACCATACTGATAACGGTGTCAGGTATAACCCTAACGTTCCGAGGCTGATGGAAGCCCGCCATCGGGCTCGTGGTGCCGCGCAGGACTACAACAACCTTGACGCGAAGTCAGTCTCGTACGAGAAGATCGTCGACGTTCGTTTCGAGCTGTTGCAACAGGTTGTGGGCCACGTCGGCTCGGGCACCTTCATCGAGCCTCCTTTCCGCCCGGATTACGGCTCCAACATTTCCATCGGGCGCGACTGCTTCATCAACTTCAAGTAAATCATCTATCCTTCTTGGGTATCTCCCGGACAAATCCCAGTCTGACCCAACCAGCTTCACTGCCCTAGACACCAGCTTGATCCTGATCGGTGACCGCGTCCAGTGCGGCCCCAATGTCAACATCTTCACAGCCGGCCATGATGTGAGCGTGCTTTCACGCCGCAAATTCGTCGAGTTCGGCCATCCCGTTCGCATCGGCAATGACTGCTGGATCGGGGGTAATGTTGTCATCTTGCCGGGAGTCACCATCGGCGAGGGATCGACCATCGGAGCCGGATCTGTCGTCACCAAAGACATTCCACCTTTTTCTGTCGCTGTGGGCAGTCCTTGTCGCGTGCGCAAGACCATTCCATCAGCTGAGGAGGAGGAACAGGATCCGAACAATCCTTACCGCAATATGGTTCGCGAAGATCGCCCTTAGACGCAATACATCGTGATAGAGTCCTTTTTGTTCTCTGCTATGCAATTCTTGTAGCGCATCTAGAATCACCATATCTATTGTCAAATATATACAAAGACACTTGCATCGTACAGTCGGATTAAAACTCAATACAGACCTTGCCAACATGCTGCCCACTAGCCAAATACTGGTATGCCTCAACCACCTGCTCCTGACTGAACTGGAACGTCTTCTCCACAGGCACAGGGAGATCCCTCGCCCCAATGAACCGCACTGCCTCCTCCAACAACTGTCTAGAACCGATCATGATGCCCCGCACCACCGCCCCTTTACAGATAACCAGTGCGGCCACGTTGGGCATATCCTCCTGGGACGCCTGTGCGAGGAAGCCAATCACGGAAATGATACCTCCAAAGGCAATGGCATCGATGGATTGCTTAATGGTTCCCGCACCACAAGTCTCCAAGATATAGTCCACGCCCTTTCCGTTGGTAATCTTCTGCACCTCGGCCGCCCAATTGGGAGTAGTCTTGTAATTGATGGTGTGATCAACACCATACTTCTCCTTAACAAGCCTCAGCTTCTCATCAGAAGAGGACGTAATAATCGTCGTAGCACCAGCCGCCTTGGCCAACACCAGACCAGTTATCGAGACACCACCAGTTCCTAACAAGTCAGCCCTATCCCACCAACCCACCACCCAACACACAAAAACCCAAACATCACGTACCCAAGAACAGAACCGAATGCCCCGGCCTAATCGGCACATTCCCAAAAAGTGCATTCCACGCCGTAGTTCCCGTACAAACCACACTGGCCCACTGAGCATAACTCAACCTGGACGTCTCCGGAACCTTGACCACCGCCTGCGCTGGCACAAGGATATACTCCCTCAACACACCATCCACCGGACCCCCCAATCCATTTCCCCACCCTTTAATGGGTCCATACATAGTCGCCAAATCAAACGCAACAATGACCTTATCACCCTGTTGCAGATCAGAGACACCATCGCCCACGGCAACAATATCACCCGCGGCATCAGATCCCGGAACCACTTGGTCTTTGACAGGGAAGGGATAATGGCCGGTGGAAATGTCAATGTCGCGGAAGTTTAGCGCCACACTGCGAACTTTGATCAGGACTTCGTACTTTCCGGCTGAGGGGATGGGTTCTTGGGTTGGGGTGAGATTATCCCATGATTCGCGGGAGGTGAGTCGGAGGACGGTTTGGGAGGACATTTTGTTGGGGGTATAGTTGGTGTGTATGTGGTGTAGATTGGGGGGTGGAAGGGAGGATATACGGGGAATATATATTCGAGGAGGAGGGTTTTTACCCCAATGGGATATCCACAATGATATCAGTAGAATGCTGTTTTGTTATTAAATACTAGCCTCTTATCTCATAATGTCTAAATTTCCAGGGAGTTTATTTCTGCCTTGAGAGTACTTCAGAGTCCCGCTGTTGGGGTTGAAATAGATGCCGACTTTCTTCTCCAACATTAGAAGATATGGTGAACTACGAACCATGACTTCCTAGAGGCTTATTTCAAGTTGGTATTGATGAGATATAAATCCAAAACATATAAAGATGCCTAATATTTGTGGCGTCTACCAGTCGCATGTAGAAGTCTCCCGTGTGGAATCGGCTATCTGAACGCAATTTCGATTACTTATGAGCTTTGAGCGTGCGTTTTTAGTTGGTATGATGATCATGTTTGATAAAACATATCTTCTGAGATACATCGGCCCAGAAGGGGTTGTTTATTAGCATTGCCCACCTGGTGTTTTGTTCTGATTATACAGCGGTAAGTTGAGAACTGCGCCAATGAGGCAGGCTGACAGATACAGGCTGGACCATTGGATTCAACTCATATCAATCACCCATTGGTCACGGAGACATTTCCGGTCGAGGTGACGCCGTGAAACGAGCAGCCTGTGCAGGTGATTCGCGAGGAGCAAAAGGGAATTCAATGAGGCGATGCCGGTCTTATCAATGAACACATTGAACAAAATGTTGGGACATATCGGTCCATCAGTTCCCCAGATAGCAGTGCTGCGTTTGGTCTACGGTCGGAACTTAGACACAAATTAATGCCCCGCAGATACGCACTGAATATATAGTTCCTGAGAATAGTCGATACCAGTAGAATCGCAGAGTACAGGATAATACCAACATAGATGAAACATTTCACAGATGGTGGCTGAATGTGGGGAAATGGACAGCTGACTAATCCTAAATTTCTTCTCCGAATCCCCGAATCTCCAATTTCTCCCCCAATTCTTCCCCAGCCTCCATCCAACATCACCCCGTTGCCATGCCTAGAGGAAGACCCAAGTCACACGTCCCGCCATGTCGGTTCTGCGGCAAGGACTTTAGACGACTGGAACATTTGCAGCGGCATGAACGGACTCGTGAGTGTCTGTACCGAATCCTCTGTTCTGGCACTGATTGTTGTAGACACCCAGGAAAAGCCGTTTGCATGCCATTGTGGCCGTTCATTCTCGAGGCAGTAAGCAGGCTTCTTCCTGTTTATAATTGCTGGACTAACAATCACAGGGACCTCTTTAGTCGCCATGTCCGACTGTCACGGTGTGACCCCAGGGTCGAAACTCCCTCGAGAGATACCTCCAGTCAGCTCTACCCAGGGAGCTCAGCTCTGCAAACCACCAGACTGGTAAATCAAGGCATCCCAGCACCGGTTTTGCCCTCGCCTGCATCCCACCTATCAGACTTTGTTACTCCTGGAACCTTTGACGGGCCACCAGATCCACTGCCCATGGAACAATACCCTGCGAACCTGTCAGGAGTGCTAGGCCCAGACCTCCTATGTGACAACTTTGCGTTTTCCTTTCCCGACTTTATCCCCTCTCAGTTCCTGGACACGGACATCTCCTTGTCGCATCTCCTAGACCAGTTTCCTTCACAAAGGCAACCAGAACCGGCTCTATGGCAGCCCCCAGTACCCGCCGGACAGCGCGCTCCTCCTGATGACGAGGTAGCAGAATATCCCGGATATCTCGTTGCTCCACAGAACCAAACACAACGTCGGATACCATCCATGGACGATCAACTCCACAAGACCGGCCTCGAGGCACAACTCGATACCGCCGGGTGCGCATGGGCCGTGTCCGCTCAAGCCTACAAGAGAATCATGGAAAAGATTGCCGAAAAGAAGTCGGCCTTGGTAGACTTCTCACTGCCGTCTCGCTGCGCCCTCGTCCGATACCTGGAAGGCTACTTTCGGGGCTTCCATGACCATCTGCCGTTCATCCATGTTCCGACCTTCCGCCCCGAGGCCATTGAACTCGAACTTCTCCTGTCGCTGGCGGCAGTCGGCGCGTTCCAGCGCTTCGAGCATTACAAGGGACACCAAATCTACATGGCCGCGCGGTCACTGATGGACCACAACGCCCGCGATCGCCGTCAAACCCTCGTCAGCCAACTAACGCGCCGATCACCCCCGTCCGTAAAATCTACTTCTAACTCCCACGAACCTGACACCCCTACAACACCTGCCGCTGACCCCGGAGACACCGTCCAGCTGCAACGCACCCAAGCTCTGATCGTCCTCATGGCCATGAGCGCCTGGGGCGAAGAAATCCTCGTGCAAGACAGCCTAGCAATGAGCAGCCAGCTAGCATCACTCGTCCGCAGCCTAGGACTCCAACAACCCGACCATTGCGACCGTGCCAACCTAACCTGGCTAGAATGGGTGGCACACCAACAACGCCGACGCACCCTCCTAGTAGCCTACATCCTATTCAACCTCCACTGCATCTACTTTAACGTCCCACCCCAAATCCTCACCAGCGAAGTCGCCCTCTGCCTCCCCTCCTGCGAAGCCGAATGGAAAGCATCCTCCGCCACCGCGTGGAACCGTCACTGCTCCGTATCCAACCTCCAAGAACGCCCCTTCACCACAACCTTAACCCAACTCCTCAACGGCCAAGACATCACCACCGACGGCCTCATCGCGCCTTTCTCCAACTACCTCCTGATTCACGGCCTCATCCAACGGATCTACTTCGACCGTCAATCCGGTTCCCTATCCCACCCCACCATCCTCGAAACCATCGAAACGGCCCTCAAATGCTGGCAATGCTCCTGGGAAGCGACCTGGGAATCCACCCTAGACCCATACTCCCCTAAAGGCCCATTAGGGTTCAACGCCACCGCCCTCCTCCGACTAGCTTACATTCGCCTAAACTGCCACTCGGGACTCTGCCACGAACTCCTCTCCAGCAACCCCACCCGAATCGCCTCCCTCATCCGTGCCCCCACCCCACCTCCACCCCCCAGCAGCAGCACCACCAGCTAACCCGCTCCCCCTCCCTCGACCGCGCCATCCTCCAATGCATCCACGCCCTCAGCATCCCCGTCCGTGTCGGAATCCCATACGTCGCCCGCACCCAAACCCTGCACTGGAGCGTACAACACTCGATCTGCCACATCGAATGCGCATTCCTCCTGATGCGATGGATGCAAACCCTCTCGACAGCAGTCTCCCAATCCCACCAAGGAATGAACTGTCTCCGTCCCGACGAACAAAAACTCCTCACTATGGCGCGGTATCTCGTTCAGGAGACACATCTTCAGGAGGAATTAGAGGAGGGGATTAGAATCAACGAAGGGGAGAGTATTATTCGCTTGATGAAGACGACGGCGCGGCTGTGGGCGGAGATATCTAGTGGGATTCATGTATTCGATATAGTAAGGAGAATTGGGGAGACGTTGGGGGTTATTGCGGATGTTTTGGAGGATATCCCTACTACTGGATTATAATACTAATTCAATGCGAGGGAAATGATAGATGTCATAGATGATATTGTATAAAAGATGTTATCCCTAGCATAAAATATCGACAGATTATTTCACCTTCAATGCACAACTAAAGAGGAGTTAACGTAGAGGTCAAAAATATACATTTTCAAATCACAACATGAATTCAAATAAGGTTTAATCAGTTCCATTGGAATGTGTTTTGATCATTGGTATACATCCCATTCTGCTTTCCCTCATATACCATACCATACCAGGTAAAGTATCACTTCAACGCCGGCACCGTCAACCCAAACACTCCCTCCGGATCAAACCTCTCTTTCAAATCCCTCACCACCCCCGCATACTTCCCATACACCTTCTCCAGAACATCCTGGGATTTCACCCCCTCCATCTTAAACAACGAGATATACGCCGTAGGCAAGACATCCCCCGCCCCAACCTCCTCAATCTCCCTCGCCATCTTTTCCGCCCATCTCTCCGACTCCTCCCTCCCTTTCTCATCAGTCACAAACCCCAACACCTCAAACATAAAATGCGGTTCTCGACTGGCAAACACCGAATCCCCCTTCTCCACCGCCGACGGTCCCCTAAGCTCATGAATCGAGAACATCGTCCCCATATCCCCAGGCATGATGGCCAAATTCCGTCCAATCACCTCCGCCACGGCGGGAGTAATCCTGCGGATGTTATGCGTCGCGGAGGAACCATACATCGTCTTCGGAACGAGGGCACCATTACCCGCGAACCAGTCGGGGATTGTGGTCTGCGCGACGGTGTTCATGAGGAGAGGGGCGAGGGAGGCGATTTTCTCACTCCATTGTTTGCCTTCGTCTAGGTTGGAACCACTCCAGGTGAAGATTACGGCGAAGAGACGGCCGTGGGGCGAGTTGAAGGCGATTTGTTGGAGGGTTAGTTGGGGGGGTAAGGGGGAGGTGGAGATTAGGGATTGGTAGGATTTGTTGTAGGTTGTGATGGTTTGGGCGATGTTGGTGGAGTCGAACATGATGGCGCCGGCGAGGAGCTAATTATTGGCTGTTGGTATTGGGGGTTTGGAGGAAAAGGGGAAGGGGATAGGCTTACGCTGGGAAGTGGATAGACTTTGATGGTCAGGTCGAGGATGATTCCGAAGAGACCCCCCGCGCCGCGGATGCCCTGGAGGGTTTGTTCATCGGCCGGGACGATGTCGCCGTCGGGGTTGACGAGGGTTGCGCCGAGGATCTGATCGGCGCCGAGACCCCAGTGGGATGAAAAGGATCCGTAGCCGCCGTAGGTGGCCCAGCCGATGTAGCCCACGTCGGGGATAGCACCGGTGGGGGTGCCTAGACCGTCGGCCCAGAGCTTGGAGGCCAGTTCGTGTTGGAGGATGCCGCCCTGGACGGTGGCGGACTGGCGATCCGCGGCGATGGTGACGGCGGTGAGGGCGCGGAGGTCGATGAGGAGGGCGCCGTCGTAGATGGACAGACCCTCGAGGTTGTGACCGCCGGAGCGGACGGAGAAGGGCAGAGCCTGGGCTTTGGCGTGTTGGACGAGGGCGGCGACGTCGGCGGGGGATTGCGGGTGGGCAATGGCCAGCGGGTGGGCGAGGCGGCCCGCATTGAAGACGCGGCGGGCGGCGGGGAAGTCGGGCGAGGCGGGAGTGGTCAGGCGGATGGTCGGGTGGGCGGCCACAAAGGCCTCGAGGGCAGTCAACTGGGTGGTGCCGGTCATGATGTAGATGGACGGTTGGAGATGGAAGGCAGGAGAGGTGGAATGAGGAAGAGAGGGGAGGGGAGGTATTGATGTGTGGCTTTTTTTATAGTAGTGGGAAGAGGGCAGTGAAGTCAGACTTAGGGAACAGAGCGGGGATTGGACCCGGCTGTATCGCTCAGCTCCGGGCCGCCTTCCGTGGTACCATTCTCTGTTTATTTCTGGACAAGGCTGTGGTTGACAGCGGAGCCCCGTGGGTCAGCTACAAAGCATCCGATCCGGTCCACTGGACATATCGCTTGGCTTAGTTCGTAGTGCTTAGTTGCTGGCTGCTGACTGCCCAGGAACAGAAAGTAGATCCACCGGCTGGCCGGGTTTGGCCCCCACGAGGCTGTGAGTGAGATGCATCAGGGTTGCATTGACGACGTTCTACAATGTACTATCTAGGCAGCACCTGAGTGGCATGTCACCCCCTGCATGAAGTCTCTCCATGATCACTCCACCACTTCTCTACTGTACACATGTTGTAACAAAGAACTGAACCATAGTGTCCCTCGGGTGGTGTCTGTCTCCCCACCTTTTCCCCGGCGTAAGCACTAAGCCCCTGCATTATTAATCCGCCCTCTCCAAGGGAAAGAATTGACCGAAATGATTGTCCGGATCGTACACCCCCTTGAGCTGTTGCAGCTGCGCCACATTCCCCCCGTAGATGTCCTCCAGCGTCTCATCTCCAAATGCAAAGTTGATGTACCTGTCGAGTCAGAAATGCCGCATGGTAGGACAGACAAAAACTTACGTGGAATTGGACTTCAACCCGCTGGTCGATCGCCAGTGATCGCGAATCTGCCCCGCCCATGCATTGGCCGTCACATCCAGTCCCGCGTCCGCATACCAGGCAATGGCCACCGTGTTGAACCGGTTGGTCGATCGCCACGCGTACGCCGAACTGCCGTCTCCCAGCTGCTCCGCCGTCCCCAGGCTGTAGGCCTCCATCAGCACCGTCGAGTTGCCAACGGCGGCCCCACCATATCGCGCAATGAAGCTGGTGTACTCGTTCCAAATGGCTCGCCATGTGGTCGGGTCCAGCTGGCCCTCCGCTGCGCCGTAGCTCACCTTGCGGTTTCCGGCCACACAGAACGAGTTACTGCCCTCGTTGACCTCGTTGTAGGGTGTAAACGTCGTGCCATCTGTCACCGGGCCAATATCCAGCACCGAAGCGAACGCTTGCCGGGCTTCTGCCGTGTTGTTGCCCAGGTAGAAGGGAAAGACAATGATGGCGGGCGTGTAGTCAGGGGCCCCGGTGGTGGCGTAGTACAGGAAGATGGCCATCTTGGAGGTTAGGGTCAGATTGTTGATCGCCGAAACAACATCCTCAAGCTGGTCGTCGCCAAAGATGAGACTTCCCAGCCAGGCTCCATTCTGGGCCGCGGGTGTCGGATACGCCTTGAAGACGGCCGAGGTGACGATGCCAAAGTTGGCTCCAGCCCCGCGCAGTGCCCACCAGAGATCGGGATGCGAAGTGGGTGTCACTTCCACCAGCTCCCCAGAGGCCAAAACCACCCGCAACGATAGCACGTTGTCGACCATGAATCCGCGCTCACCCATCATCCGGCTGTACCCTCCCCCAAGTAGGGCCCCCATCACCCCGACGCAGTTGCAGTTGGCCGTCACCACCTGCGTGTTATTGGCATACGCGGCGTCCACCAGCTCCGAGATGATGGCGCCACCCTCGACCTGCACCTGGGTGCGGTTGTCATTGAAGGTGATGGCGTTGAGCGCCCGGAGGTCAATTACTACATCCCCCTGGGAGAGGTTCCAAGTGGTTGCCCAAGCATTGCCCCCAGATTGAGCAAAGAACTTGACTCCTGCCTCGTTGGCGCAGCGGACCTGGAAGATGTCAGTAACACTAGGCTATTCATAGAAGAAAGTACGCGTACCGCGGCTTGGACATCCGCCTCTGTCGCGACATTCACTACATGCCCAGTAACAGGTTCTTTGTATTCCGTCCATCGGGGCGCCACCACATTGGACTCGGCCGTCTCCAGGGTTGCTCCAGACGACAACTCCGACTGGATGCACTCTTCAAATGTGGTGAGTGTACACGCCGAAGCAATGACGGTAGGAATGGCCACGAGGGCCAAACCCAGTCTAGACAGCAAATGAAACATGACACGGATGGGAGAACAAAAGGGTTGGGATCAAAGCTCCTCCAGGGATAGCTGGTCAGGAACGGGCGGGAGCGCCATTTTATACTTCTGGATGGAAGGAGCTTGTCGGACCATTGAGTTGGCACTAGTGTAGTACCCCCTCATGGCGCTGCAACTAAGCACCCCAGGATCCTCGTGGTCAGAAGTTCGAGAAGGGGAGATGATGGGGATCGGTGAAGCTAGTCGGTTGGTCCATATCGACCCCATTTCCTCCCACTCAACCCTTGGCTTCTGCAATTTGACACCTCTGATGAAGTATTCATGAGGAAGAGTTCAAAACGAAGAACAAGTCAATTTGGACAAGACACAACAGGCAGCCGTCGCACAATCCCGGACCGGTCCTTCCGTGGAGACGAGACACCGAGCGCAACAACGTGCCATTCGGCGCCCCATCCTGGCTGCCACGCGAGAGATCCTGCAGGATCCCTCGTGGTTGGGCCGTTCCAAAGGGGGAACTGCAGAGGTGATACTAAAATAGCCTGCAGCAATACACAACATGGTACGCCGACAATATGGGTTCCAAGGATTGTTGGGAAAAGAGCTACGCGTGTGCCAGGCTACCCCGGCCAACTACGCACCGCAGTTAAGCTGCTGGACCTATCGCTTATAAACCTGGCAATACTGGACGATCCAGTGAGGTGGACAAGCATCGATGGATTGCAGGGGCCTCCCACCGGAGATTTACTCGCTGAACTCGGGCTTATCAATCAACCGAGCAATCGGATTTACTTTACTTCCATCTCATATATAACATACAAATAACAAGTATACAGTCTAGCACATGGCAACCTTCTTATCTCGATCCAAACAATCCGTGTCGCTCCAGGTGGTGCTGTGCTGCACCAGGATCACCCCGTCGGTCGGGTGCTCATGCTCCTCGACCGATGACGACCGCTGGATATGGATTTGCACCCCACCGGTGTTGCGACTGGCCAGCACCGGAATCTCCAAGTCATCCGTCGTGCCGGTGGACCGGTGGTATCGCGACCGTCGGCTCGGATGCGACCGATAGTCACTGGGATAGTCCGACAGCGCCTTTTTCCGCTGAAAGACAAACAGCGGTCGGAGGGTGGGCATACACGCACACATGATGGCCACGGCCAGCTCGACCACCGTCCAAATGAACACTCCTGACGTATAGTAGGTCTCATCATTGTAGTGGGTCACTAGCGTGTGATCGCACTCGACAAAAGAGACCAACCGCGCAATGCTGCAGGCCACGGCCAGTCCGCCCAGCAGGAACATCCCGAGCACGGCCAGGCGCTGGCGGAGACTCATCTGGATGCTTAGCACGGGCGCAATGGGGAGAATAATGATGACCACGTCTAGGGCGACATCGGACCCGCTGAGGACATTATAAAAGACAAGCGTGTTGATGCACTTGTTGCCGTAGAAGAACTCCACGAGGGCTGTCACCGGGTAACATTGGAACAGACAAGCGAACGTGAAGCTGATGGTCCATCCGATCACAAAGACGATACAACCCTGGCAGATGCGCTGGAAGACGGGCGTACGGAAGATTCGAAGATAGAGCAATATCATGGATGTCTTGGTGAAGCCCAGGCCCAGGGTGGACAGCATATGCAGCGCGAACTTGCACTAAGCCAGCAGTTAGTCATGGGCCACTATGCTTTCCTTTGCCATCAGCACTGCGATGAACGCACTCTTTCATAGATCAGGAAGCGTGGATCATCCAGGATAGGAGATCCATCTGGATAGGTGGTCTGGTGCTGCCCCAGTTGGCCTTGAATGGCAGCAATCAAGTGGCAGATACAGACGGAGATGGCAAACGCCTGTCACCATTAGCAACCAGAAGCAAGACTCATGCATGAATATCCACTGCCTTACCAACCCACAGAAGGCGGTGTAATCATCCCAGTGAAGCCCCGCCCGACAAAGCACTCGGGCCCAGATGCGCAGGGCAACGAAAATAGTGGGCAGGAACAAGAGCACGAAGCCCAAGGCTATCATCTCCCCCCTTGTGTAGCCCATTGTGAATCACCCGGTCGGAGGACAGTGGGGAGAGGCAACCGGATTTCATGACATCCATGAGAGAGGCATGGCATCCCGGCTATCTTTTGTGCAGCGCTGTCGACCAGCGTGGTTGCTGACTGCCTTGCATGTCAGATAGTGCAGTGAGGGGGCAGAAACCAAGGGATGTTGGGGCCAAAAGATGCAGGGCCGGATGACTGCAGCAATCACTCAGCAATCACTCAGTAATCACTGGCCAGCCCACTGCAGGAATGCCCCGGGCACGTTGCTGCAGGAATCATGCAGCATCCCGCAGAACACGGGCTACGTGGTGGTCAGACAGCAGCCCAGCCAGCAGCCGAGAAAGCGTCTATCAGTTGTGGATTGCTGACCCCCTCCTGCATGCGGCATGTCAGGGATACGACTCCTGACTCGCCCCATCCAAAGCCACCCCCTTCCTTACGAATCACCCCGGTGGAGTCCACCAACACGAGGAAAGTGGCACTCCGCTGGTCGCCACATGGGATGCGAATATGTTATCTTCATCTAAATTAATGCCACAATTGAGGCCTACGTCAAGCGCTGGCTTATCCCAATGGTCTATTTCTGCCCTAAACACCCTGCCAGGACACCTCAATAATGGACAGGTTGGATCCTTCCGGCTGCCAGACTCCCTCCCACCGGAATCGCGCGTCAGCCCCGGCCAGGAGTCGCTTCCAATCATCAACATCTCTCTCTCGTGAATTGAACAAACTCAGCATGTTCATATCCATCGTGCTACGCGTAGTCGATTAGCTCCTCAGAAAGCAATTGCGAAAATGTAATAGGCACATACCGAACCTGCTTCTCCTCAAACAATCCGGCAGTCCCAGGCTCTGGCAGACAGAATTCATTCAACACCACCTTTCCGCCGTTCTCTAGGGCCGGAATCAGCGCTCGCAAGATGCGCACACAGTCTGTATCCCCAAAATCATGCAGAACCATACGCAGCAGGTACACATCCGCCCCATGGATGGGCTGTGGGGTGAAGAAGTCGTGAGCGATGCGCTTCACTCGCGGAATCTCCGGCTCCTGAAGCTTTCCAATTGTTTCCGGGGTGTCCTGGACAATCAAGTCCAGCTGGGGAAATTGTTCAGCCAAAGCGACAGATACGTACCCGGTTGAGCCCCCAACATCAACCACCGTTCCGGGGCCCAATGCCTCCCAAGGGTAGCCGTCGCAGAGATGACTAACGTCATTTTCTGGCCCGCTGCTGTAAGCAGACATGGCCGAGGCAAATTTCCGAGCGCGTTCCGGATGGGCCCCCAGGTAGTCGAAGAAGGCCGGATGCCCGGGCTGCGACAGGGAGAACCCCGCTTGAGCACGCTCCTCCGACCGGGGCCATTTCTTCATCGCAGGAACCGTCTAATGGGATCAGTCAATCCATTTAAAGCCCGTGGGGCGTATACCTACCTGTTGCATCGCGGGAAAGATCTCCCCATAGCAAACATCCATGTAGTCCCGTACGACTTCATCTTCCGCCAGCATCTGGGAGGCCGCGGTATGCCGGACGATGCCCTTGGGGGACTCTTGAAAGATTCCCTCTGTGGCAGCGTGTCGAACAATACGACGAACATCGTGTTCTGGGATGCCACTCACCTCGCTGATCTCGGCAAAGGATGCAGTTGCCCCGATGGGGAATGCCCGGGCCAGATCGAACTCACATACGGCACGGATTGTGGCCTGGTTGTTTCGCTGTCGGATGCATATTTAGTCACCCTCAGTCAAGCATAGGCTTGGGGCGGGAGAAGAGGGGTAACTCACGGCCCAGAGAAACAGGGCCTCCTTGGGACCCAAGACCAGTTGCTGCAGCTCCATGGTGGCGTCCAACAAGTCCCGCCGCACACGTTGCAAGTCCGCGGGAAGGTCCGGCATCGAGCCATTCTCCTCCGACCGGTCGACGTAATCGCTGATTCGCTGGGCATGGGTCGCAATCAGCTGTCCCAGGTGTGCCGCTTTGGCCGCGGACATGGTGTTGGGGATGGCAGGGATGTGGACTGGACCGCTCTAGCGGAGACGCGAGGGAGGGCCTTCAAATGGAAGGGGGACTGTCACGCCAGCTCATGGCACCGTGCCAGACTATTTCTGCCAATTTCTGCCAATTTCTGCCATGGGGGCTAGCCGTTCTGCAGGCACGGAGCAATGACCTTTTTTTCGGAGGGTCGTGCGGGGAGAGGGGGAAGTTGGGGGCTGAACAATCTGGGTCTCGGGGGTGTTAAATCCGGATCCTAATGGGACATCCAACCAAGTTCAACTTTCTTGGCAGGCTTATGCATGGGCTAAGCAGCTGAGCGCTAGGCAGTTGGTTAGGCAGTTAGTGGTCTGTCGCACGGCCCCCTGGGACCCCGCGTGATGACAGCCAGCAGCCGCTCGTGGGGGGAACGTCCGGAATTAAAGAATAACCGTCCAGGGCCCTTTCCCCGACGGGGATCGGCCATCTCCGGCCCTGCCGTGGTATTCACTAGTAACGTTGATGCTTGGTAATCCCGGTGGGATGGGATTCCCAGACGTGCTGCAAGAGTCCCAATGCGAGGGGCATGGGGCGGTGATGAAGATAGCAGCAGCACACAGGGGGCCGGATTGGCGTTGGTTTCTTTCATGAGTGTCCATGGCTCTCTAACCGAGTCGTGCAACATCAACATGTATTATACCTACAGTTCGAGCGAACAGGCCAATCGGCTACAACCCCGGCTACGACAGGATTTGCTGACTCGACCAGTGTCGGAATTTAAAGTCAACGCCGAGTGGGTCCCCGGCATCCTTAATACATCCGTCTACCATCCATGGCCTTACAGCTGACTGGTGTGATTCATCGAGAAGTGATACTATCGCCTGTGCTGAAAACATCTCACAAAGAGCCTCAGCGCCTGTGCTACCTTCACGTTCAGGACAGGAATGGCCATCTCCGATTCTTGGTCCTTTCCTCTACAGTCTGACCTGCAAGGCTCATCGGTTCCCCGGCCCCTTGGTCGTGTAGAACATCACTCCGTCTGAAGTGACCACCTCGATCTTGTACACTCATGGCCAAGCACGAGGAAAGCTACCACTTGGCACCCACCGAGGAAGATTCCCTCCAAGGGGAGGAACCCCCATACATCCCTCCTCCAACCAGGTGGCTCAAATTACACTATACCTTCCTGGCTGTTGCATATCTTGTTCTCATCCTACTTTACCTCACCCTGATCGGGAAAGCATATCCCTTCTCCGACTCCCCTCATCTGTCCGTTCCCAGCTCCCCCCTTTCTGATGGATTTCCTTCCCTCCATGCAGCTGGAGTGCTCGAGTACGAGACTCGGACATGGCCGGTTAGCATCCACAACAACCCTTTCGCTGGAAAGCCCCGTCCAGAGCTAGAAGAGGCCTGGCATCGTCTGTTCGAGAAGAACAATATTCGCGTCCGCAAGGAGGACCTTGACTTCTACAATGTAACCTCCTTGCGAATGACCGACGGCAACGACTGGGTTGGCCAGATGGGCGTTTTCCATGAATTGCACTGCTTGAAGCGCGTGCGCCACTGGGTCTATCGCGATCATTATCTGGCGGATGCGCCGGAGGGGGTCTTGATCGAAGAAGAGGCCCATGTGGATCATTGTATGGAGTTACTTCGAGAAGCCATCATCTGTCGAGGGGATCCGACTTTGAGTGGCTTCCGGTGGATTGGACCTGAGGGGGGCGAAGACGGCTATCATGTCACAGTGGAAGCGCCGGGTTACCATACCTGTGTCAATTGGGAAAAGTTGCGGGCATGGAATGATGAGAGAGCAGTCGATGCATTCGCGCCGGGGGTGCTCATGGGTCCAAATTAGACAGCTTTGATAGCTACAGTGACAATTCCACTCGAAGGGACTGTATCTGTTGACAGCACGTCAATTGCGTCGTAATCAATTGTAACTACCTCAACATAGCAAAAAATAACATCAAATCTCATTCGACCAATTCTTCTCCGCCCACGCCTTCACACCCTCCAAATCACGACACGTCCTCGTGAATCCCCACCCCGTAACCCCCTTCAAATCCTTCGACACCGGCTCCAAGTTCGTATCCGCCGAGCACATCAGACTCTGTCGGAGATAATCAAAGCAGTGTCGAACATGATGAGGATCCGTCTGATGATCGTGTTCGTCGGCCATATGGGCCAACTTGCCATCAACAGCCGCATAGTAAACTTCACGGAGGGCATTGAGACAATGGAGTCCGTGGTAGACAACAATACCCGAAGTCTCGGGTGCAATGGTGGGATGTTTAACGAACCCTTTACCCGTGGGGAAGAGAGCATCCCATGCTGCGTTGCTTTCGGGTGAGGGGTGGAGAGTGAATGTGCTATTGTATTCCATGAAGACATTTACGTTGCCTTCGGGTGCTATCAAGGTGTTAGTTTTCATGTGTCGAAAATGAGGGATGGGTGAGGGGTAACCAGTCCTACCCAGGAGGCCTCTCGGTCTGGTCGGGAGATTCTTGCCCGCCGCAACCCCCAAGCCGAACAGCAGGACTGCTGCCACAACAGCGAGAACGGTGGTCCGTATGGACGACCAGGTTCGCGACTGGCTTTGTTTTCGTCTCCCTGGTTCTTCGAGGAAATCATCCTCCCCGATCATAAGAGGTTCATCAGGTTTGGACGTGACTTCAAACGACATGGTGATATCTCCTGTGGGTGTGAAGGTCTAGGTTCAGATACAATGTAAGCAAGGGATCCTCACCAGAAAATGGACAAAGGGATTGTCCTCACGGGGACTGGGAAATCCCATTGATTGTAGGCTCTGCTAGCTAGCAACAGCCGCAGTCTCGCAACCCTGGCCCAATCCCCATCCGACAAGGAGGGTGCAGCAACCACACGAACTAACCATCCCATCATATCCAACCCGCGTCGCTAAACCCAGCCGGTCAGCATACACAATGTGACTGCTCATCATTACCGACCAAAGCCATGGCACTACCAACAACCACCAACACAGACACCGGATTGGACCCCCCAAACGCATCACCACGCCATGGCGGCAGAACTAGTCTGCAACCGTCCATACGCCCTAGCGTGCCCAGCGATAGTACACCTCACACTTGGCTGGGTGATATCCTCTGCATCGCTCACTCTTATCCCCCGAGAGGAGCCGACCGGCAGTGGCCAGCCAAGCGCGGGAGGAACAATTTCAATGCTTGTCTAATATCCACGGCCTGGTGCGGGGCTGACCAGTCTTTAAATTGAACTCATCTCACCCTCGTTGCTTTTTGTCGGTGTGGTGGCAAGTCTTCGATTTCAGCCTACACTTGTCATTTTTTTCGTTCACTGTCGTGTCTGTCCAGTAAGGGAGAATACCCTTGCATCCTTCGATCGGTTGTGAAAATGCATTTTACCTCGGTGCTGTGTGCCTTTTTGGCTGCTATTGCTTTGACTGGTGCTTCTCCAGTTAGGAGGGGTAAGTGAGATGCTGCATATCTTGATAATGAGCTAGCTAACCGTGGTATGCAGTATCTACTGGGCGCGATGTCGCTGATGGAGACGACAAGGTAGCCTATACTTGGGCGGTTCCTGAAGCCCGCAAGCGTGAGGACGGCGACGACAAAGTTGCTTACACTTGGGCCGTCCCTGAAAAGCGCGACGATGGAGATGACAAGGTTGCCTATACATGGGCTGTTCCGGAAAAGCGAGAGGATGGTGATGACAAGGTTGCTTATACTTGGGCTGTTCCTGAAAAGCGCGACGACGGTGATGACAAAGTCGCATACACTTGGGCTGTCCCCGAGAAACGAGAGGACGGTGATGACAAGGTTGCCTATACATGGGCTGTTCCTGAGAAGCGCGACGACGGTGACGACAAAGTAGCCTATACCTGGGCCGTCCCTGAGACCAGCACATAGACTGTCCAGCACAACTCGACAACGATTGATTTACGAGAACAAATGAACATAGGATGGGAATTCAAGACACGGCCTGAGCCATACCTGCTGATATGACAATGACAATGGACGCAACCCTTACGATAGATGTTGATATCTTATTGCACTCCTTACTTTGCCTACAAAGCTAGCTTCACCTGCATATACTAGGAGAATATTATCTGGCTATCTATTATTTGAATGTATCCTCTCGGCACTGACCGCACTTTGGTGCCACCACACACTTCCCAACCTTGTATAGTGCCATGATCCATCGCCAACGAAAGACTCGCTTAACAGTCTTCGCTAAATTAAGCGACTGTTCCACGGAGTCTCCGAGATAAGCACTAAACGACTCCGCATCACTATCATCAAAGACCAATCGGGCAGATAGAATATCCCACCATCACCCCCCGCCTAGGATGGGAATAACACCTCTCAGCTAGTGTGTAACGGCCCCTTACCTAGTAATCCTTAGCACTAACCAATCAACCCAGATGATCAATTACAAAGGACAGACCGTATCCACCTCATATCAAGTCCGATGCATAAGCGATATTAGAGGTACTAGTAGAAATAGAGAACAGACCAATCAGATTAGCTGGTATCATAATTCCGCGGGATTCGAAGGAACGCTAGTTTTTAGTTATCCGGTTCCTCCGGCTTCCTTTTTCGCAGCCGTTGAGAAACTAATCATGAATGATCCTTGGGATTGCACAAGCATTTGGGTGTTGTGCGAATATTATACAAGGTATAGATATTTTATGTATTGTTGGTTGTTACATGCGCTACCAACGGGATCCATTATGTATCAACTGAATGGTGTGTATCATTACCCGTAGCCACCATCACAGGTGCATCTGAAAACCATTCATTACATGCTGTTCCCTCTCTTGGAGAAGTTTTACCCGGCAATTTACTCCTTCACATCGCACCCACCCAATGTGGTTCAACGACTTGACATATTTGATGCTCATTGCTGTACCCTGCGCTCCTATCTATGATTCTTCCCGTACAGCCACGGTGGGGCACCTAGCAACACTGTGACCCATGTCCAGGCAGTCGAAAATTGGATTTCGCTTCATCCTTTCACCGATACCCTATGTCCTTTGCTGCAGTATCGAGGTCTTCTCCGTGATTGCGATCGAGTGGAGATATCTTCGATCCCTAGAGTATCAGCAAACTCCCACTTGTTTGTTCTTCCCTAGCAACTTGTCTGCGCTCCTTCGGGCTCTTATTCTGACGATAAATAGGCCATACCGTTATGGCCTACTTTACCTTTATTGCTCAGCAAGTCCAACTGGCCTCCAGAAAGAATGCAGTGGTTGTCAAAGTCTATTAAGTAAGTAGAGAGCGTGTGAAACATGTAACACCGATGGTGTTCCCAGGATGACTGAACTACAATTATCATATCAGGCCAGTCGAGAATTCACTGCGCTCCAGCCACACCCAAAAGACGATTGTTAAGGCCTTGTACTACGCGAATTTATCGTTTGCCATTCCCAGCAGTTTTCACAGATTAATTGAGTGCCATTGATCCGATCCACTACAAATGGCTCCCGACCGGAGGATGTGATCTGGGACTGCTCGTGTCCCTTCCTAGGGTGTTGGTGAAGTTGGCTTCCACCACATTGTGCATACGTCATTGCGAACGGCATTGCTTTTTCCGTTCCATTTGCTTTTGTGGAGCCGTGTTGCTGGTGGAATTCCGTGCAAGGTTAGTCGCCGCGCAGATCCACTCTTGACCCTTCAGATCGGCACGAGGCCACGCCAGCTTCTCCATCAAGACTGCCTCCACCCCAACCTCCACGCCTGCGATTGACAGTGACCGGTTTATGTGGCTGGACCTGTCTTTCTCCGCCACTTCTGCGTTCCAGACCTACGGCAACTGTGTTCTCCGAAACTGGCGCCTGCCAGAGTCTTCGTGACGTGCTAAATCAGTCCAGACACCTGCGTGAGGTTTTCTGTTGACTACATATTCAGTTAGACTTCTTGCTCACTGCTCTGTTGTGTCTCGCCTGCTGCATATTCTGGGTGCTGGGATAGAATCTTGAGTCATTTCAACACGGATCAATCGCCGCCACACCAATGAACAGAAACACTAACTGTGACAGTTTTGATGATCTCCACCACTTACCTTACCGACTCTACCAGACCGCAAAGACACATCATACCAGCCCTGCAGTTGCTATTGCGGTGGCCATTGTATGTGGATAGTGTGGATGTCTTGAGTAATAATGACCGCTCGGTCGACACAAACTTAGCTTCAGCCCGAGTCTGGCCCAGGCACAGGCACATGCTGTAGTCTGATTCGACTGGTACTATGATCATCCAGCACAGCTTCCTTGATTGGATAGAGATTATCAATCTGATTATCGTGTCACACTGGTCAAAAGATGGCTGGGATGTCGATCACAAGCTGCGGTCCACCTCCAACTGCCGACCCAACCGTACAGTGTGCCACTGGCACACTGCATTGGAAGCATCGTGGCTGGGGCAACGACACTGAAAGTCATCTGTCAACCTTGAAACAAATGTGACCTCATTGAATATTGTTGTCAGTTGCCGGGCGGACAAAGTCATCGTCACTCATGCGATGCCCTAAGCAGTCACCACTCCCTAGCCACCTTCGAAGCTTAAGCCATGCCGATGCGGTTGATAAAGCAGATCAATTGCCGTGAGAACGAGCGAGCATGTTGATCACTCCACTCGGTAACTGGAAATCCCAAGTGGCCTAACCTGCAGTCTCTAATCCTCAGAACTGCCGACCTCGGAGAAAGTCTCTAGCCTCCTGAATTTCTACCTTGAGAGGCGATCTTCTCTACTGTTGAAGTGGCAGGAATAGGTGCTGCAGGATAGCTCTGTTCATTATAAAAGCCCAGTTCTTTCCCGTCCTCCGAGCCATCTTCCACAGATCACAATCGCAATCCGGTTCAGAACCTCTTCACTTCAATATCCATCTCAAAATGAAGCTCACCGGGGTCATCCTCACCAGTCTCATCGGCTGCGTCGCTGCCCTTCCTCCGCCTTTCTTTAACGGCCCTCCCGCTGCCTCTGGCACAGTGGCTCCTGAGGCTTCTTCCTTCCCTCCGCCCAGCTCAGCCTCTGGCGCTGCTCCATCTGAAGCCCCCGAAGGCTACCAAAAGCGTCAATTTGGCACTCCACAGCAGTCCGCTCCACTTCCTCCCTCTGGATCTCTTGGTCCCGCTCCCTCCGGTCACCCTGAAGGGTTCGACATACGTCAGTTTGGAGGCCCTTTCAACTCCGCTCCTGCCCCTAGTCCCTCGGCCACGCCTGAGGGCTTCACAGAGCATCAATTTGCAGGACCTGCCGAGTCCGCCCCCGCCGGTGCTCCGTCCGGCACACCCGGTCCCGTACCATCCGGCAACTTCAATGGTTTTGCTCAACGCCAATACGGAAGCCCATCCGAGTCTGCTCCTGCAGGTCCCTCTGGTGCACCGGGTCCTGCACCCTCTGCTTCCCTCGAAAGCTTCCCCAAGCGCCAGTTCGGATCTTTTGCAGAAGGATCCGAGCAAGGCCAGCAAGGCCAGGCGCCTCCGCCTCCTAGTGGGGTTCCTTCTGGCTTCCCGTCTACGACACCCTTCGGTACTGTTGAACAGCGCCAGGTTGGAGAGTTTCCGGCTCCCTCTCCTACCCCCAGTGGTGCGGTTCGCGGCTACTAAGCAGTCTAACAAGATAGTGGTGACCTGACTGGACGGCTCAGAGTTTGGCATAGTTATCCATTCTTCCGCACTTCTTGTCTAGTAACTCTGTATCTGTCAGGTGCTGAACACCAGACTTACCCGGAGCAAATATTCCGTTCTCAGGTTTTGGTTGTTTGGTGGAGCGGCGAATGCGCTACATGAATTTATTCCTCTCTACGGTTGATGCTTTTCCTTGTCTAATTTTGTACGGTTACTGGATATGGCAATCTTTTGCAATGTAAATAATCAATGCTAGTTCGCATCTTACTTGAAACGGAAACATCAACCCGCTGACTCACATCTGAATGTTAATCAGAATTTCAATTCTCTTTTTCGTCTTTGATCACCCCATATTGTTTCTATATGACAACCTGTGCTTCCAGCATAGTAAAGAGACGCACATATTTGACGTCTAATGCATCTGTAACGTACACCTGCTGGTTCGGGGCGCTGATCGAATCAAGGACCCGATGGAACATCCCTGCACGGCGTGGCTGAGAGGCTGATCCAGCCAGTAGCGGAACTCGGATTCCATCCTGCATTGATGCCCAACTTCAGATTCCTAAATCCCAGCCACTGTATGGCTGAGGACTGGCAGTCTGCCATGCCTTTCTAGAAGTTGGAGCCATATCATCCCCTTCAATGCTAAAGATGGGTCAAAGTTATTCTCGCAGTCTTTCATCATCCCCAGCTCATTCTAAAAAGTGGCAGCTAATTGCGCTCAAGAAAATACCCCGGTATACTGATGGAACACTCTGCCGCAATTGCGCAGATCTACCCATATGGGAAACACTTGCAGACAATACTCCCTACTCAGGAGGGCTTGCTCGAACAATCATACTGAGCGCAAGTTGTACACACTGCGGGATCGTGATTGAAGCCCTCCGAGGCCAGCCCCATCCTTTGTATGAGGAAATTCCGACCACCGCGGTCTATCGTGTGTCAGGACAGCCCAGCATATGTATTTACTTATCGGACAAGAGTGGAGGCCGGGACTTGAGAAGCCATATTCGGCTTCTAGCAGAAAGCCGAATGCGGTTGACAACCAGACTCCTATCGCACCATACACTCGATGGTGATCATTTTGGTCGTACCATCAAACAGCAGATCGACTTCCGCCTCGTTCGGTCCTGGCTCGATGAGTGTATAAACCATGCGGACCATGACTGTGGGAGCGTGCGATCGGACCTCCCGTTCATTCTTTTGATTGATGTTCAAGACAGACGACTCGTGAGAGCAAGAGGGCATGTCAAGTATCTGGCACTGAGTTATGTCTGGGGCCAGGTGGGAGGGCTTCAGACGGTGACCCAGAACTACAAGGCAGTGCAGGAGAAAGGGTCACTTTGCCCAGATAATCCGGACATACCGCGAGTCATCACGGACAGCATGATCCTTGTGCAACAACTTAACGAGCGCTATCTATGGGTGGACCGCCTGTGTATCATCCAGGATAGTGTGTCGAAGCATGACAATATACAGAATATGGGAAAGATCTATTCCCACGCACTTCTGACTATCTTCGCCCTCAGTGGGGAAGATGCAAACCATGGCTTGCCAGGTGTTAGACCTGGGTCTCGGCCCCGCCGACGATCAGACGAGTGAAGGGCGTCGCCCTTACGCCTGCACTTCCCGACCTTCATTATGCTTTACAGCGTCTCGCTACACGAGTCGTGGGTGGACTTTTCAAGAAGTCTTACTCTCTCCTAGGCGTCTGTTCATCTCGGATCGGCAGGCATACTTCACCTGCATGGAAGGTAACGGAGCCCACTGCGAGGACCGTAACCATACTCTTGATTACCTATCCTTTAAGCAAGTCTACGGTTTAACAGACCGGCTAGGACTATACGGGGGTCTAGTGGAAAGCTACACACGACGGACCTTGACATACGATAGTGACATCTTGGATGCGTTTTCCGGAATTTCGTCGATCTTGATGCGCGACAATCCTATGCATGGCTGGGAGGAGCTGTATTCCGGTCTTCCTCGGCGGGAATTTCTATATTCTCTGCTCTGGTCTCCCATCGAGACTCCCGTCCGACGCCCACCGAGGAGAGCAGACCTCATTGAGGAATCCTTTCCAAGCTGGTCCTGGATAGGCTGGAAAGGTCTCATATCCTACCAGCCGGTCTGGGCTTGGAGCAACATGAAGGGGAGGGAGGAAGTTTTTGCGCCTGGTCCGATCAAGCTTATACAGCCCAATGGAGCAGAGACGACGGTATACCAACCGCAGGGAGGCTCTCATGAGGGTTACTGCTCATGTGCGATTTGGGAACGGAGCCCGTACACGCCCGCGTGCGTGCATGGCACTTCTGAACCTATATCTGGCCCTTCCAGCCCAGCGAGCCAGAGTGTTCTTCACTTCCGGACTCTTTCTATTCCAGCAGACTCTTTCTCCTATGAAGAAGGCTTAGGCCTTGAGAACGATGGTAGGATCGGCTGCTTTCGTCTCTTTCATGAGCAAGAATGCGGAGTCATCATCGGTCAATTGCCCCGGGACATTAATCTAGATGAATGTATGTATATATTCTTGTGTTATGGTAAGGAGCTGCCCAAAAATACCTCGGTGATGAGAATGGGTGTGTACAATGTGCTTTGTCGGGACTCTGATTGGTGTGGCTGCATCCCGTTTTGCCTGCTTGTTCGTGGCTGCGAAGGGTTCTGGGAGCGAGTTGGACTGGCTATTATTCAACCAATGGCTTTTGAAGCAGCACAACCAAAATGGGAGGATATTCAATTGGCCTAGCATAGCAATCAGCAAGCGATAATACAACATATTAGTTTGAATCACAGTATCCTCTTAGCAATCCCTTTCACTAGAGGGCGCTCTTGTTTGCAGTGCAACAACAAACTTCCACCTGACAGAATTCGAAATCCTCTGAAAATGAGGACCCCTGGTGAGTCATTCATAAAAGGTCCCGGGGTTCCCAGCTATACGACCCTCTTCTGACCAGTCCACCGTTCCACACCAACCCATCATCTTAGACCTTACAACCATCCTATATCTCGATTCTTCTCTCCCTTACCCCCAACTACACCACAAATCCAGCAAACCAAACCGCCAAGCCTTCCCTTCACCGAGACACATTTCCATAACCACATAATTTCCCAACCGAGTCTAGTCCACCGCCACGTTATCTGATTCTACTTTCCCCACCCACCAGCCTTACGACACCTCTTCAACTTTCATTTCAAACAAATCCAATCTCCCAAATCCCAAACAAACTGAAACTATTATTTTCCGTGCCCTTCCGTCCCGCTACCTACATACCGTCCACTTTATATCCAAATGCTGTTGATCCAATCTAATCTAATCAAACCCGCCCGTGGACGGAAATCCGGATACCTTTTCGGATCCTCGGACCTCCGAACCGCCGAAATAATCCATCCATCCAATATCCATACATCCACCCATCCCTTGAATCAAAACCCCAATAGTTTTATCGATCTACTGCTGATCCGGACTAGCGGCGGGGCCTCGACTCAATCCAGTAAAGTGGACTTTCTTGATCGTGATTCATGCATGAATTGGCCTAGGGAGAAAGAATTGCCGAGGGGTCTCCGCTGTCGATATTATCTGCCTATTATAACGAAGTATCGTATCCACTTGGTGTCTATCTAGGATGGGATGGATGCTACCTTCCTTTTTGGGAAATGAGTGATTTTATATCTTATAGTAGTTAATAGTATACTGTGTGATGAAATAGTGTGTAGTAGTATAGCATGGTGGTTGTATAGTAGTTATCGATCGGGAATTATGTATTTCATAAAATGAACAAGATCATTTTCCGTAAGCACTGAGGTACTTTCATGATAGTCTACTAGTAACATACTGTTTAGTTGGAAATCGCATCATAGCGCCTCTCTTTCAGTTCTAGTTCTTGATTATTACTGTCAGAGTCGATACTACTACTCTCACCATGCATGTATCTAAGCTAGAGGAATTTAAATCTAAGTCTAAGATAGATATACTAGTGTATACACGCATATGGGCGAGATATATTTATATATATAGTAGTACTAGTACTATATATTTTCCGTTGACATACAAGGACGACCAACACCTAGACACTATGGTTTTTAGTCGTGAGATACTTACATAAATATATAGTATATGTATATTATGTTGGAATCTACCGACCTTTCCAGTTACTCCTCCAGCCGAGGGAGGTCTCCCTTGGTCTATTGGGAACATTTCCATCATTTTATACGATTGTCAGTGATTCAGAAGGAACGTCCTGGAAGTAGCATTATTTAAGGATGCACAGTTAATCGCTGTCGGTCGGAAATAGAAATAATAGTAAATGGGGTTCAAGCTAGAAGCGCGCGATCGTGTTGTTTACTGGTCTTGGTGGTAGGTATGTATAAAGCAAACAAACGTCTATTCCATCTATCGTCTATCATCTATCCATCTATCCAGTCTATAAAAGCATCGCAATCTATAAAGCAAAACAATCAAACAAACAACGCAATCTATCACTCAGCGCAGCTACCCAAAGTAACAGCTCAATAACACATCTGTGTCCCAACCCACCCAACCACCCAACCACATCACGGGTTTACTGGCTCGAAGCATAATCCGCCAGAATAGCATCCGAAATCTTCAAAGCCATGGCATAAAACACAGTCATGACGTGAGAAGAAACCTGGGTGGGAGGAATAGAACCATCAATGACACGCAGACTATCCACACCATAGACACGGGCGGAAGAGTCCACCACACCTCCCATCTCCTTCGCCATCATGGAGCAAGTACCCACAGCGTGGTAGTTGGGACGGAAGTTGTACTTGATGTACTCGGCCCAGTCGCTCAGGCTGGCATCGTAAGCGAGATTGTCACCCGGGGTAGTCTCGCCGGCAAAGTAGGTCTGCATGGCATCCGAGTTGGACAGGTTGCGGGCCAGCTGGGAGGCAGCGGCCTGGCCGTAGAGGTCGAGCTCGTTGAGGAAGTACTGGGGGTCGTAGGCGAAGAGACGGAGGTAGGGGTCCTTGTCGGTGATGTGGACGTAACCGCGGGTGAAGGGGATGAGGTCCCAGATGGTGAAGCTGACGGCGCCGGCGGTGTCGAGGAAGAGCTCGGAGTAGGCGACGTTGTGGTTGACGAGCCAGTCACGGTAGTTCTCGTACTGGATCAGCAGGGCAGTGGTGTTGTGGAACCCGCCACGGGCGACGGTCTCTTCGGCCCATTGTTCGAGCTTGGTGTTGAGCAGGGCATGTGCGTGAGGGGCGTAGTCGCCAAAGGTCTCGTTGAAGGTGGCGAAGTAGGCAGCCTGGCCTTGACCGGCTCCGGCGGCGGTGATGCGGGAGCTGACGGGGACGGTGGTCTGGTCCTGCATGTTGAGACCGACGGGCAGGTCGACCACAGTGTCGATGCCAACCGAGTCCAGGACGGACTTCATACCGATACCGGAGTGTTCGAGGATTTGGGGAGAGACGGCAGAGCCAGCGGCCAGAAGGACCTCGTGCTTGGCATAGACATTGAAGGTGTTGGCCTTGTGAGTGCCGAATTCGACGCCGACAGCCTTGGGGACGGTGGTGTTCTGGTCGAGAAGCACCTTTCCAACCAACTGGCCGGTCAGGACCTGCAGGTTGGGTCGCTGGTAGTTGGGGAGGAGCCATTCGCGAGCGGCATCGGAGCGGACCTGATCTTCGTGGAGGGTGTTGGGGAACATGGACACGCCATGGGGATCACCGCAGCCGAGGTCCTTCTTGGTGGGAACGCCTCTGTTCTCGACGGTGGTCATGAGGGCGTCGATGATGGGGGTGAAGTCATCGCCAGTGTCACGGGGTCCAACGTGGACGGTTCCATTGGTGCCGTGGCAGGAGGGATCGAAGTAGTGACCAGCAGCGATCTGTTTGGCGTTGGGCTCGCGAGCACGCTCAGCCTGAAGGGAATAAGCGGCCACTTTCTCCCAGTTCCAGCCCTCATTGCCAAAGACGGTCTCCCAGGAGTCGACCTGGACCTTGTGGGGACGAGTCCAGGTGCCACCATTGACGAGGGTAGAACCACCCAGGCCATTTCCGGAGCGGATCAGCTCCGTCAGGTTGTTGGTGGCCAGCTCCACTGTCTGGTAGGCGTGGTCCACCTCCGAGCCGAAGATTTCACCATAGGCGTTGAGATCCTCGACGAGCGGGCCGCGGTCGGACTCGTAGAAACCGCTTTCGATGACAAGGACGGTGATGTCGGGGTTCTCAGTCAGACGGGCTGCAGTGGTCAAGCCAGTCAGACCTCCACCGGCGATAATGTAGTCGACCGTACGGCCGGCGACTGCCTTGGGGTCGGTCAGAAGGCTTGCTTCGATGCCACTGCTGCGGATGTAGTGTGGCAGGGCCGCAGCCATGGAGACCACGAGCGAGCTGGAGAGGATAGTCTTCATGATGGAAGAGGTAGATGAAGAATGAGAGAGGATGAGATTGCTGCTGATCTGAAGTTGAGGGATGGACCGATGAAGCTATATATACCTGAGAACCACGGTCCAGAACCTTGTTGTACAATAATCCAATTCCTCTGCTGTCGAAGCTATAGTGATATCTGGATGATAGGGGCGAGCTGAAAGCTGCAGCCGTCGGTATCCCGAAGTCAGCCTGGGAGCAGATCTAATCCTGCATGAGTGGAGCGAAGGATTGGCATCCTAGGCAGCTCCCCTATCATGCATGTCGTGCTCCCACTATGCGTACCTCGTTGGCTCGACCGTAGCTAAGAATTGACGCTGACAACCGGTTTCATGCAACCAGAAGTCTATACGAACCCCGTCGCACATCATCTCGGCGCCAAGATTACCGAGAATCGGGATGCCGAACTGTTGATCCTGCACTTCCCAATTGGTGTTTCGGTCAGCTCTTGCCAAGGGGATGAACCTTAAGGTCCTCGTGGCATCCTTGGTTGGTCAGGGGTCGATCATTGTATACAGTCTTGGCAGGGTGGGTGAATCGAGCACATGGGCACCTTGAGGGTTTTGACAGGCGACCTTCCATGGTATCCCCCTCCTCGTGCGGTGCCTGTGGTTCAAACTAGGCACTCTTCAGACGTCTGCAGAGTCCCGTGCACAGGTATGATCTGCGGACCGTCGCCCGAACCGTGGTTAGTCGTTCTACAGCCGGCATGTGGGCCACCTCGATGGATCCGAGGGCAAAGCATTGGCGCCCAGAAACGCCGTCGCGGACTATTCAGGGCTAATTCTCCCTAATTCTCCCTAACTCTACCGAACCCTCGGTGGCGGTCCAATCATGGCCACTCATGCGGTAGGCTGCAGCCGTGAAGGAACAGCTGTCTTACTATACAGCCTGCCAAGTGATAAGTGCTATTAGTCCGATGCAGGACAAACGCCAAGGGACCAAAGGGCACTTAGGGTACCTGCTTATCACACCCTCGGTTCTGGAACCTGCCCTGCTTGCAAATCACCTCGTTTTACCAATCCCGCCGCGTCCAGACTTTCTCTTCTCCTCTCCCCCCTTGACAAATCCCTCTTCCCATTCTTAAGCCTGGTCAAGACAACTCCGGTCACTTATCAGCATCCACGTTTGTGCTGCAAGTTCCCCGCTTAGCAAAATGAGACTCGCCCTGGTACCCCTCTTTTTTGGGGCGACTGCTGTCGCCTCCAGACTCTACGCGGCCTCCTACGCAGGCACCGTCACCACTCTGTCCCTGTCCCAGTCTCGGGGCCAGTATGAGCTGGAGACCATTGCTCAATCGACCGAGTGTGGTATCAACCCCTCCTGGTTGATGCTGGACAGCGAACACCGTGTCCTGTACTGTCTGGACGAAGCTGTCGACCTCGCCAATGGCACTTTGACTTCACTTGCCATCGGGGCCAATGGCACCTTGACCCGCATCGTGCAGCGGGAGACGATCGCTGGCCCAGTCATGTCGCAGTTTTATTCAGCCCCGGGGCTTCCGGACCGCAAGTTCTTCGCCGTCGCTCACTAGTAGGTGCCATCGCCGTTAGTTTGATATCATCGCATGCTAATCCGCCACTCACAGCGAAGGATCCGCCGTCACCACCTACTCCTTGGACCCGATCACTGGCGTTTTCAATCGCTCCCAGACCTTTACCTATACCCTTGCTCAGCCTGGCCCCAACGCTGCCCGACAGGATGCGCCCCATTCGCATGGTGTCGTTGTCGACCCCACCGGACAGTTCGTCCTGGTTCCTGACCTGGGCGCCGACTTTGTTCGTATCTTCCGTGTGAATCCTTCTACAGGGCTGCTGGAGCCGCAGGATCCCCTGGTCGCAGCCCCTGGCTCTGGGCCCCGACACGGTGTGTTCTGGACTCCCAAGGACGCCAAGGTTGGTCAGCACACGGAAACCATCTTCTACCTGGTGTCGGAGCTGAGCAACGGTCTCACCGGATACCGGGTGTCGTATCCCAACGGAACTATTGCTTTCAGCGAGTTCTACACCACCAACTCTTACGGTGGCGCCGTGGCTCCTAATGCCTCCAAGGTCGCCGAAATCCATCTCTCGGTAAGTTGTCATCTAAACTGAAAATAACCCGGCTAACAACCTAGCCTCAAAACAACCGTATCGTGCTGAGCAATCGGGGTGACAACACCTTTGGGGTTAACAACGATTCCATGGCCGTGTTTGGCTGTGCTGATGCAACCGGAAACATCGCGACCAACATCACCTTCAATGGTCTGTATCCCGCCTACGGATCCTACCCTCGCCAGTACGACCTGTCTGCCAAGAACGAGATGATCGCCGAGGCGCTGCAGGAATCGGATGCCGTGGTGGTGACTGGGTGGAACGGAACCACCGGAAAGCCTGGCCCTTTTCTTGCCAGAAAGTCTCTGGTTGGGGAGATTGTTGCTGTTGTCTGGGACTCTTTGTAGATGTCAGTGTTCCGGTAGCTGTCGGGAATTGTCTCAGACAATAAGCCTCGCTAGGCCATGTAGATCAACGTCCTATCGGTAGAGCGGCGGCAGTCGCTCTTCCGGTGACTGGCGATCATATTATGTCATTCTTTCTAGAATAACTAGTGTTAGTGGAAGACAAACCATGATAATGTTAGTAACACAATGTGGCAGTGCCGCCGCCAAGGCCCGAGGATGTCTGTTTCCTAAATCTGGATACCTTATTTACTCAGCTAGGAAATGAGACCTCGTAGCTCATCCTTCGCAACTTGAAATAAACATAGGGAATTCCCTCACGACCGCAGCTGAGACAATGTGGCCAAAGCGTTGCACGCTGCTGCCTTCAGACCCTTAGAGGTACATGAGTAAAATTGCTGAATGATGGTATTTCACATGTGCATTCGATGATGTGGACATGTCGAGGATTGGGAAGGAGCATGCACGCAACACAGAGGCAGGAGTGAATGCAACCATGTAGTATCCTCACATTCACTTCTCGTATCTTGTCATCTACAGTCGACTAACCATCTTTTGGCAAGTACTGTCACTCTATTGTTAATGTCCCGAAATGCCGGACGGGTATCAATTTCAATGGTATAAATTTACCAAGGAGGAGCGACTCATAATCTTGCAAGTTCTGGCCAAAGAAAAGAGTGGGTATGCTTGGGTCTGTCGCGAGTGGCGGGATGTCTTCGAGCGGCACAATTTTCGCCGACTGAAGCTGCAAGTCTGCAAGGAGGATATGTCGGAACTGGACGAGTTTGAGCGGATTGTTGTTCGACAGAGACCATTTGTACGGCATGTCTGGTTAAACATCAGGCTTAAACGATACACCTGTAAGGTCTGTGCCAAGGAACAGCCGAAATCATCGGGACGTGCGGACAACTCGACCATGCGAGTAGCCATCTTAAGACTCTTCGAGATCTTGACTACATGGGAGCCAGTTCAAGAAGAATTGTCGCTGGAGCTCAGTGCCCAGTCCCCCAGCGACTCGGAGCATTGGTTCAGGGACTATTACTTTGGAGCCCGTGGCGAGAACGAAGATATTAACCTTGCCCCTGGTGCCCCTGGCAACTTCCATGATGCAGGACACCATTGGTTCCACGGCCAGCAACACACACTTCCTTCCAAAGATGCGCTCCGGCGGATCCACGGGCATTTTGGCAATCAAATCCTGAGGCGTCTACGTAACGTCCATGCCGTCACCAAATTTGTGGTCCGTCGACAATGTCGGAATCGGATATTGCCCCACTCATTACCAAGTATCTTGGGAAAGCTTCCCCGGCTACAGTGCCTGGTGTACGAGCCATGGCTGACGGATGATGTCGACGAGCAGGAGCGACTGGATGAAGGCAAGCAATCATGACGAGATGGGGGATGTTACTAACCTCGTAATGTAGATTACCGTACCTTAGTGGGCTCACATCTACCACAAACTGTCAGGAAGCTTTCTCTCTTTGAAGATTTCAATGAAGACTACCTTCCCCGGTTCGATCGAACTCTTCGTATCCGAAGTGCAAAATCTTCTGTGGGCGAAACGGTTGCGTTCCGAAGCCTCGAACTGGAACAACTTTGCGTCTCGTTCATAGTTGATGCCAGTCACTTTTTCGAGGCACTCCAGCCAGGATGGACTTGGAATCACCTACAGACTTTAGTGCTGACGTCGCGACTCCTCGCACCTCCCAGACACGTATCAGCGCCTTTTGCAACGGCTGAAAAGATTGCTGGTCTGTTGCGGAATGCAGCTGATACAGCACGACAGATGCCCCTGCTGGAAACCATGGCCCTGTGGAATTATGCGGAAGGCAACGGATGTGTGTTCATCTATCGTTACAATGCAATCCATCCTTCGATCAAGTTTATGAGTACGTGGACCGTGACGCTGGAGCCTGAAGTTATCCAAGCATGGAGACGTCTCGTGTCTCTGCAAACTCCAGCCGAGCTGCAGATTCGAACGGAATCAATCGAGGGGTTCCTGCGGGGGGATTTCATTGAACAATTGAACTTGCCCAAGGGAGTGATTGATCCAGTTTCTTTATGGCAGATGAAGGGGGAAGGATTGAACCATAGAACACATGCAGTGCAACCAGTGACCGTGTAACAACCTCGGCTTAACCGAGTGACTTTGACTTTCATTAAACAGACACAAAGTATAGACCTATCCACAATCCACATACCATCCTCAACCCACCCAACCATCACACTCCAAAATATCAACCATCAATCCCAAAACCGCCCAACCAAATAGACATATACCCCCTACCCACCCTCCCCTCCCCATCCAAAATATCCGCATACCTATTCAACGACCTCCCAATCAAATTCACCAACTCCCAAATATAATCCGCCGTAAACAACCCGGCCCACAACCTCGTCACGGTGGCACTAAGTCTAGTATTATTCCCCAACAACCACTCCCTACTAACCCCATGTCTCGCCTCCATCACCATCTCCAACACAAACTCCAACAACTTACACTCCTGCTCCGTCAACCCGGGCACCGGATCCTCCACCGTCGCAACCTCCAGCCACTTCGCCAACAAAACCGCACATTCCAACGAACATAACGCATACTGATTCGACCACGAAACCACCAACGTCCTCGCCACATAATTAATCCCTAGTTTGATAGGCGTGCTGAGTGCGTGTGCGCAATGTAATGCCGCGCGGGTTAGGCGGTCGCTGCGATGCACGGAGATGTTGTTTTTCAGTGAGTGGGCGATTTCATCTGGGTTCCAGGTGTGGAGGCGGCGAGCGGAGCTGAAGTCGACGTTGAGACGGATGTAAGCGAGGCGGAGGAGAGCGGTGGAGGTGAATGATAATGGTCCGTGGGGGTTGAATGGGTCGATGGAGGATTCTTGGTTGTGTTCCCAGCATTGACACCATTGTTCGAGGGCTTGTTCGAGGGAGGTGATTATTGCGGGGGAGAGGAAGTTGGAGGTACTGTTGGAGGTGGAGGTGGAGGTAGGGATGGAGATTGGGAGACGGGTGGCTTTTTGAATCAGCCAGATGTTTTGGATCATGGCGTGGATGAGAACGTAGCCGCCCATTGAGGAGAAGGTTTCGAGGTGGGGGTTTGTGGGTTTAGTGGTTGTGGTTGTGGGGGCAGGGTGGGTGAAGAGGGAGGTGAGGGCGTCTTGGAGTTTGGGTTCGGTGCGACTGGTGCTGCGTTCTTGGAGCCATTGGGATTCGGTATTGGCTGTCCATTCTTTCTCAGTGCAGGGGAGGTCCAGGGTGAGTTCTTCGGTGAGGATTAAAGGGGGGATGTCGAAGACGATGGTGTGGACGCTGAAGAAGCAGAAGACGATGAGTTTGGTCCGTTTCACCATTTCGCTGCGGATCCAACTTTCCCAGGATCCGTCCTGGGCGGGGAGATCGTTGAGACCACCTTGGCGGAGGAGGGTTTCCATGAAGCTGCGGATGTAGAGGGCTTCGTGGTGGGGGGGATCGCGTTCGAACCAGCAGGAGACGGAGATGAGGAGGAGGAGGGCCTGGACGGTTTCGATGATGTCTTTGTTTTTGGAGACGGGGTCGATGGGCTCTTCGGGTTTGGGGGTTGTGCAGCCCCATTGGAGTTCGCGGCGGATGTGTTCGAGGGTGACGGCTTTGGCGGTTTTGTAGAGGCTCATGCTGGATTCGGGTTCGCGGCAGTATTGGGCGCCGACGGAGGCCATGGCGAGGATGAGGTGGACGGGGATGGTGTTGATGTTGAGGGTGGGGACGTGCATGAAGGGGTAGTGGCAGTGGAAGTTGGTCATGTAGCCGCCGATGAATCGGGAGAGGGCGTGGCGGGAGGGAGTGTAGGGGTCGGAGACGACGTTGGAGTAGTCGGAGAGGGTGGCGATGATGTGGTCGCGGTATTGGGCTGTGACGACGATGGGGGCGCCGGGATCGCGGGGTTTGTAGGGCGTGTGAGTGCCATCAGGTTGGAAGGAGGGCAGTTGGGTGCCGTGTCGGGGGAGGACGGAGCTGGAGGGGGTGGTGACGGAGTGGCTGGCTTTTTCGACGGAGTGGCTGTATTCTGATGTCGAGTCGAAGTGGAATGGGGGGAATAAGGGGAGTGGTTGGTAGGTTGGGGAGTAGGGATGGCTGGGGAGGGGGATGCTGTCGAGAAAGGTGGTAAAGTCGTCGCCATCGTAGGAAGTGGGTGGTGCGTATCCGACAAAGGGTTCGTTGAAGGCAGCTGATCCGGGGGGTGGTGCGGGATTGGGGGTCATGGAGCCCTGCACGGTGGATGCCAGATCAGGGGTGAATGAGGCATGGGGACCAGAGAGTAAGGGCTGGGTGGTTGGCAGCGTGGTGGGATGGTCGGTGACTGCTGATGCCAATACATTGAGGCCGTCAAACACTTGGGGAGAGGCTGTGGATGGTGATGATGAGACTTGGACGGGTGTGGCAGCGTGGGTTAGACGTTCATGACGCGCCAGGAGATCTCTATCACAGGTTAGTAGATGTGGCGACAGTATGATGAACAGGGAGATGTACTTCCGGGTGAATGACTTGGGACATTGTGTACAGATGTAGGGCTTTTCCTTGGTGTCTGAACGGTCAGTCAGATTCGTTGGTTCCGCGGGGAACATACGCGACCGGTCATGACGTTGGAGATGTTCCAAGCGGGCAAAGGTGCGGGAACATCGCTGGCATTGGTACTGCTTGGAGGGTTTCACCATCACGGGTGTACATCACGGGGGTATAATGGGGTGAACTAGAGGCGGAGACGCGACAGATGAGATGCAGACAAACAGCGTGGACGAGCGCCACCCATAATTACCACGAGAAGACCGCCAAGCCTCGGATAGAATGCCGAGCTCCGTGGGCCGCATCGGGTAATGCTGCCATCGTTTTGGTTTCATCTGATTGTGGTCTAGTATCTGGTCTTCAATGAATTGAACATGGTTTTTCTAGTTTTTACTTTATTCGCTGAGGGTTATGAGTATCTTCTCGGCTGAGAGGGTACGGAAATATATCCCTGAGCTGTCTTCATCGTTGACACATCGGAGTTTTCTATTCTTTACGGACATACCCAGATTTAGATAATATATACATCTGGTCCAGAGGATTGATTCATGCATCCTGGTTGCAGCAGGATAGTAGACGATGCAATAACCGCACTCGAATCCTAGCATGCCAGGTTATGATCCCGCACTTGCTCAAATAGCCAGTACCAATCTAGACAACCCGCGAAAAGCGCATTATCAAGGGACGGTGGTGACTGGTCTGGACAGAGCTGCATGATGTAGTCCATTTCAAATTACCACGCATCTCCGACTACCATGATTCTCATCGCTGGATGACACTGGATGAAGCACAGGTCAGATAGCATAGGCAGACATCGCTGGAACCGGTAGCATAGTGTGTCGTGGATTCCCCGCAGCAACCAGGCTCATGCAGAGTCCATCATTTAAATGATTCGCTGTGGCAGGTTCTGGCATGGCCACGCGACACGAAGCCGAATCGATCCATCATCTGGTGCAGCCGGAGTTGGAACGTCTCTCCCCGGGGATGCTAGGACCACCTGTGCGATCGATGCTCTTCTCGGAAATAGATGGCCGCAGGGAAGCAATGAAGACGAAACAGCTCAGATGTATACTAGAGGGGACAAATCGGCCAGTTCCCCGATCCCAAGATCGTGCATCAAACACAGCGTGGCGGTGGATGAGTCAGGATTCGAGCCTTCTCCGAATTGGAGAACAGTGGAGACACCCGGTTTTTCACGCCAATTTTTGGCCCCATCGGCAATGCGTCAGCTGCCCAGGATACTTACTGATTGAATAAACACACAGGGGTATGATTCTGTCAACAGTGATCTAGAGCAGAGTTCACAAGAAACTTAGCAATAACCTAGATTACCGACAACATGCTGGGGGACGGGGTTATGCCGAGTGGCAATCATCACGAAAGGCGGCAGAGCGGTGCGGCAACTCGACATAAGCATCTCGATAAGAATCCGACTTCTCCAATTTCATCCCGGCACTAGAGCCCGCTCAAATGCTGGATCGTCTTTATAAAGCGCACTGTCCCGGCGCCCAAATGACACACGATCCTGCTCACAGCTTGCGCAATGCATCCCCAGATTTCCTCCCCGAGTGAGTCGGGCTCCGCCGACACCGTCTACCTCCCCGAGTCCGATCGTCTCGACCCTGTCTTCAGTCAAGAGAAGGATGCCGCCGCCCAGGAAATCGAATACCTCTATCTCGAGCTGGAAACGCCTCTCCCGACGCCGCTCATCACATCACCCCCCGGCCCCGGCCAGTCGCCTCCTCCCGATCCTCCGAGTCTCGAACAATATACCTCCCCGTTTCTGTGGCCTAAATGGCGCAAGTGGATGATGACCTGGATCGCATGCGGAGTGACAGCGTTGGCGGGATACTCGGCCGGCGAAGTCAACCCCGCTGCAACTGAGCTGACGGCCGAGTGGGGGATCAGTTCGGTGGTTTACAATCTGAGCATTACGATTTTCTGTGTCGGGTTTGCCTTGGCTCCTATGGTTCTGGCGCCTTTTTCGGAAATCAATGGACGGCGGCCGATTTTCGTTGCCAGTGGTTTCGTCTTCACTGGTATGGTCCACTGAGTCCACTGAGGTGATGGAGTTGGCTGACTGAACAGGGTGTATCATTGCTTGTGGAGGCACGCATGTTTTTGCAGGACTTTTGATCGCACGGTTGTTTCAAGGCGTGGGCGCATGTATGTACCTATCGCATATCGCATGGATATAGCTAATCGATACAGCAACCTTTTCGACCATGGTGGGCGGTGTCATCAGTGACATCTTCCACGCAGAGGATCGCAATACCCCCATGGCCTTGTTCTCCGGCGCAGCGCTTTTTGGCACTGGGTTGGCCCCAATGATCTCCAGTGTCATCGTGGCTCATACCTCCTGGCGCTGGGTGTACTACTCGCATGCCATCGTGTCGGCTGTATTCGTGGCAATCATCTATTTCTTCTTCAAAGAGACGCGAGGCAGTGTACTACTCAGCCGCAAAGCCCTCGCCGTGAACAAGTATTACGAGCAGCTCGAGGCCGCAGGCCACTATGGTGTCATCATGGGCGAGAAGAACGAGGCCCGACGGATCCGATGGAAAGTGAAGAGTGACGAACAGCGCGAGTCTCTGGTGCAGATGATCAGCATTTCATGCTACCGACCATTCCGTATGTCCCCACTCATTACTAGAAACGCATTCTAACAACTCAGACATGCTCGTCACCGAACCCGTGGTGTTCTTCTTCTCCCTCTGGGTTTCTTTCAGCTGGGCCGTTTTATACCTCCAATTCGGGTCCATTCCTCTCGTCTTCCGAACCAACCACCATTTTACCACCGAACAAACCGGCGCCGTCTTCACATGTACCTCACTTCCAACGCCCCAGTATTCCCTAAACTTAGCTAACCTCTTCAGCAATGTGCGTCGGCTCCATCATCATCACCCTGGTGAGCATCTACCAAGACAAACTGGCCAACCGGTACGGCCTGCTGCCCAAGAGACCGGAAGCCCGGTTGTACTTTGTCTGCATCGAAGCCATTCTCATGCCGATTGGGTTGTTCTGGTTCGGATGGACCTCGTACTCCTCGGTCCCGTGGATCGTCCCAACAATGGCAATTGCCTGTGCCACTATGGGTATTTTCGCGGTGTATCTGGCTGTGTTTAATTATCTGGCCGATACGTATCATCGATATGCAAGTTCGGCGATTGCAGCGCAGTCGTGCTGTACGTCTCCACTGAATTGGGATTGTATAATGGATGGGCTTGCTAACTGGAATAGGTCGGAATCTGCTCGGAGGAGTCTTTCCTCTTGTCACAAACGCCATGTTCACCAATCTCGGGTATCCAGGGGCGTCAAGTCTGCTGGGTGGAATTGTATGTTAATCATCTGTGAATGATCGAATTGTGCTAATAACTGCATAGGGCCTCCTTCTGACTCTGGTCCCATGGATTCTAGTCTTTTATGGGAGTCAGATCCGTGCAAAGAGCAAGCTTGCTAGTGTAGGTTCACATCCTTATGTTACTAGTACCATGCTAACGAAACAGGAACTCGCTCATTAAAAACATGATAGATGATAGACGATAGACGATGCATGACAAAAGTTAGAACATAGATCATATTAATTAGACGGCGAGTTCAGTCCTTGCATACTCAATGTGTTCCACACTTATTCCACAAGATCATACCAATGATCAACTGCATGTCGAAGTAATGCACGATCCGCTGCCACTAGAACACCGCCGGTTGTCTCCTATTCGCCTCCCCAAGGAGATGTCCCCAGACGACCAACTCGCGCGAACAGTCCGCCCGATCAATATAGCATTCAATCAACGTCGGACCGCGCCGATTGACCAACCCCCGCTCAATCGCCTGCTGCAACTCGCCCGCCTTCGTCACCTTATACCCCCTCCCATACCCATCATCACTATTCAACGCGTCCAGAAACGTCGTATAATCCCAGTTCTTGATATTATTGACGAAGCCATCCCCGATCTCCACATCCACCGTATATCCCCGATTATTGATCAGGAACAGCGAAATCGGCGTCTGATACCGCGTCATCTGACTGACCTCCTGCGCCGTCATCTGAAACGCCCCATCGCCCACCAACACCACCACCTTCCGCTCCGGCTCCCCCATCGCATACCCAAACGCGGCCGGGATCGACCACCCCGTATGCGCCCACTGCATCTGCATTTCCACCCGCGCCCCATCCGGCAACGCCATCTGCGCCGCATCAAACCACGAGTCCCCAATATCCACAAACAACGTCGTCTCCGGCGTCAGCAGATTCTCAATCTGTCTCGAGATCTCCTTTCTCGTCAACGCGCTGCCCCCATGCGCCCTCAACGGAGCAATCCGATCACTGCCTCTCCGTCGACACCCAACCACCTCCCTCGCCGCCGGGGCCGCCGGGGGCAACGTACTCGCCAACCCGCCCAAAACCTCCTTCATCAACACATCATTCCACTCCCCCCGGGCACCGTAACCTGATCCATCCCAATCGTAATGCGATTCCCCACCTCCGGCACCGCCGTCCACCCCGCAGTACTATAATCCGTAAACACCGTCCCCACACAAACCACCGCATCCGCCCACTCCACCACCTCTTCCGCCCCCAACGTACTCGCTCCCCCCAATACACCCCCGCAAACAACGGATGTCCCTCAGGAAACATCGACTTAGCCGCAGGCTGCACCGCCACCATACACCCCATCACCTCGGCCACCTGCACCAACACCTCCTCCGCGCCCGCAGCCCTCACCTTCGGACCACCAACATGACCACCTCCCCGCCCTCCCCCGTCCACTTCCCCACCCACTCGCCCACCTTCCTAACCGCATCATCCACCCCGACTGCATCCCCCCTCCTCCTCTCCAACACACTAGACGGCGGCCCCGCCAACAAACATGCTTCCCTGGCCACATTCACCGGAATCTCAATATACACCGGCTTCCTACACCACCTCGCCCACCGAATCACCTCATCAATCAACCGGGGGGCATCCCCCGCCCTCCGAACAACCACAGCCTTACACGTAATCCTCCTCACCATCTCCACCTGGAAATCCAAATCCCCATTATCCAACGAATGATGCACGGAGTGAAACGCCTCGCGATCGTTGGTATTCGGTGCCCCGGAGATAAGTATAACGGGCAGGTTTTCAGCATAAGCACTAGCGATGCCATTGAATGCAGACAATGCGCCAACGCCGTAGGTCACCACGCAAGCGGCGATGCCGCGGGCCCGGGCATATCCCTCCGCTGCGAAAGAGCAGTTGAGTTCATTGGTGCAGGTTGTTTCGGTGAGGGAGGTGTGGTTTCGGAGAGTGGCGAGGAGGGGACTGTTGTAGTCGCCGGGGACGGTGAAATGGTGGGTTATTCCTGCTTGGGAGAGACGGGTGGCGAGGAGGTAGGATACTGTTGTTGTCATTTTTTTTCCCTCTCACTTATTATTTGGTATGGTGGTGATGTAGTGATATTTGAGATAGATGTAAACGCATGCATGTACACGTCCGAATATCATATTGATTGATGTAAAGTATCCCGGGGAGAAGCAGGACCTGATCATAAATATACTCTCCAGGCAAGCAGGTCACACTGGATAAAGTTAATATTAACTCCAGATCATCCCCGGAACCACGGGGAAGGACCTGGAGAATAACTCATTCTGATGCCATAGGGTAGCTGTAGGTTTGGTCCTGTGTGGTTATTGGATGAGGGACTGGTGGTTAATTCTGATATCATGACCACGGGATCAGAGCTTGGTTCAGTTGATTCGAGATGGAATGGAATTTTCCAGAATGATTCGAATATTCTTCTGCCTAGGAGGCTGTCGCCACTGAAGTTTCATGTTGTTCCACTGCTGAGGATCGTGATCTGCGAAGGGAGGATCCAATGAGATTGATGGTTTAGCTGGAAGGGGGTATATGCTCCGGTATGTATGGTGAGGACACGTTCATATGCAAATGCGCGGGTGGAATGGCCATGGTCTGTTGTTTGTTGTCATAGGTCCGTCCGGCGGACAAACACATTGACCTACCCTCTACCAAATTTGTGGCACCCTCACTCTTCCAAATTTACTAAATGATTGTAGCAACCAACCAAGCTCATAACAGCATAAATATATTCATTAATGATCTCACTCATACGCCAGTGGCGCCTCCCCCGCCGCCAGGTTACACTGCCTAAACAACCGCACCTCATCATTCCCAAACGCCCCCACCACCGAATGAATAACGCCCCTATTATTAAACAGCACGAGATCACCCTCCTCCCAATCATGCGGATACACATGTGGGGGACTAATCGCCGGCCGTTGCAACTTGTACACGATGTCTCGGACCTGGGCCAAATCATCAATCACCGTGCCATCCTGGCAGTGGATCTTGCGCACAGCGGACGGGTGGATCTGCAGCGCGGGTTTCCCTGTGACAGGGTTCTTCCATAACATGGGGAGGATCTGGATTTTGGATTCGTCGATGGGAGGAAGCTCGGAGAGAGGGAGTTCTTTGGTTTCGGAGTAGAGGCCTAGTCCGGTGGGGAGGGCTCGGGCGGGGCTCATCCAGATGTATCTATCCCGTTAGTATGGTATGGTGGGAGTGTGGGTAGGGGAGACATACGGGTGAGGGGCGTATTCCACGCGACTGGTACGTGCAAATTCCTTGTCCTCGTCGGACAACATCTCATACATCCTCTCGCCGCTGACAAACGCCGTCGTTCCTAGGGGTACATCTAGTGTTTCGTTCGATCCGTCATCGTACCGGAGTGTCTGTCGTCGACCCTTGGGGACCCGAACAGCCAACAATGTCGTCACGTTGGGCGGATAGAAATCATACAGGGCCGCATCGATATGCCAGCGGTAGAAGCGAGTGAAGTCATAATCCTCGTCGTCGGGGATAGCGTCGCGGTGGAAGGTGCGGTGATGGGGATGTTTGAGTTGAATGTCGGTGAGACCCTCGTAGGCATCAACTCTGCCATGGCCGATGACCTGGACTTGGGGCTGGTGAGGAACGGTCTTGAGATCAGGATGCAGGATGCTGCGCTTCGCGTCGAGGGTTTTGCCGTGGCCGTATTGCGAGGCGGCGGGGTCGAATCGTCGGGTGAGTTCGTACTGGGCTTTGGGGGTAACGTGTTGTTGGTTCTTTACCACCACGACGAGGTTTTCATACAGAGCGCGGTGGATCACGGCGAAGTCGTCGTCTAAAACAATTAGCATCATCCATAAGACGAGGTGGCCGACATACCGGAGAGGTTCTCAAGGTCGACATTATCGACAATGGCACCAAAGTCGATATCAGAGCCGGGCGGAGGAGGAAGGGAGTGAACGGTAGGAGCCATTGTGCAAATCTCTCAAAGCGATTCGGATTACCTGACTTGTGGCGAGCAGTAATGCTTAAATAGTGGTGGTGGTGTTGAGCGTCGGGCAACCCCGGTCGCGGAAGAGGCCGATCGCCTCATCTCATCTCATCTTATCGCTATCGGCTTATCGGTGTTATCAATCAGGTGCCTCAGGCAGGACAATGATGATGTTATTTTAATCGGCCAATGGATTGGGATGGCGGAAGGGGTGGATATGATGCCAGAATGGGTAGGTAGGTCCGGTGGCTGTATTTCAGCTAGCCTCTTGAGGGTTAGGCATGATCATTGCAGCCTGCTCGGACTTGTCTGGCCTACCTGACATCCTCAGTACTTCAATTTCCACATTGCCGGTCAGGCAATGCCGTGCCGGTAATCCACTACCCAGTCTCTGTCTTCAAGATACCGGATGTGTCGGAACCAGGCAAGTCAGGCAACTCAACTGGGTGTTATGGAATTGTTATTCTACCAGCAGATGCTGCTTAACAACGATCTAGTCATGTGTATTTATGCTGTCTAGGAATTATGCTGTTGAATAAAGGGACAGTATAAACCCCTACGAGTTGTTTAGATGCCGTACTCTATTTGAATGCTCATCATTCAATTGAGGAATTTCTACCTGCACTTTTAGATAATGATCTAATTGGTGGTTTACAGGAATCCCTGGCGGGAGTGTCTGCAGCATCCAGCCGCTATACAAAACTTCGGCTGGTAAATTCACTTACCCGAATTCACTTCTTTGGAGTCCACCATGCATAAGTTATATTATTATACAACATGACTTCACAAGGCATAGGAGTCAGATATGAAAGCAGAATCGTAGACAGAAGTAGGATGGCTGCTCCATCAGTCATCTCCGGACGGGAAGTGATCGGCAGCACTATCCGATTCTGGACCTTACCACCATCACCAAGACAGGTCAAGGGTCGACATCAACCGGCACCGAACAGCTCTGACTGCTTCAAATACAGTGTCATCTCAATTTCCCACCACTCACGCGGTACTCATCGCGGCAGATGGTGCAGCATTGCGCGTCAGGACGGGAAATATAGTGTGGCGCTTGAGGAGAAATATGCAGAATGCAGGAACAATCACATTATCCCGTGCGCTACGGCACTTGTGCCGCCGGAGTTGCGGTGCCAATTGTCTTATCCCACTGAACCCGATCAACGAGCTATAAAGGCAGCATGTCAATCATGATCCAACAACCAAGAAATACTCAAAGCTTGTCTTGATCTGCATCAACATGGTAACTTCTAGCTCTCTGATCGCCGTCGGGCTAACCCTCTGGGCCTCGCTGGTCAGTGCGACCCCCGCCGACCCGCGGGTGACGGCTGCCCCTAAGCTCGAGGATCTCGACAAACGCGCCACCAGCTGCACCTTTTCCGGCTCCGAGGGGGCTTCCTCTGCCAGCAAGTCCAAAACCTCGTGCTCCACCATTGTTCTGTCCGATGTGGCGGTCCCCTCGGGTACTACTTTGGACCTGACCGACTTGAACGAAGGCACTCATGTGAGTTCGTCCTGGTTCTGTGACTCTAGCTCATCATCGATAGGTCATCTTCGAAGGCGAAACCACCTTTGGCTACGAGGAATGGGATGGACCTCTTGTTTCTGTCTCCGGAACTGACATCACCGTCACCGGTGCTGATGGCGCCTATCTCAACGGCGACGGTAGTCGCTGGTGGGACGACGAGGGCAGTAATGGCGGCAAGACGAAGCCGAAATTCTTCTACGCCCACAACATGATCGACTCGACGATCAGCGGCATCTACATCCAGAATTCCCCGGTGCAGGTGTTCAGCATCGACGACTCGTCGTACCTCACCCTGGAAGACATCACCATTGATGACTCGGATGGAGATGACGCAGGGGCTGCCAATACCGACGGCTTCGACATCGGATCCAGCACGTACATTACCATCACGGGCGCGAACGTGTATAACCAGGATGATTGTGTGGCGGTGAACTCGGGCGAGGTGGGTACATCCAGAGGTATATCGACAGGGCTAATTCGTCCAGAATATTTACTTTTCGGGCGGAGTTTGCTCCGGTGGACATGGGCTGTCGATTGGCTCGGTGGGTGGTCGTGATGACAACACTGTGAAGAATGTCACGTTTTACAACTCGGAGATTAAGAGCTCGCAGAATGGTGAGTCTACTGATTGTTGGAGGGATGCAACTAACGCTGTGTAGGAGTCCGAATCAAAACCATCTACGGGGACACTGGCTCCGTCAGCGACATCACCTACGAGAAGATCACTCTGTCCGAGATCACCAAGTACGGCATTGTTGTGGAGCAGAATTACGACGATACCAGCAAATCGCCGACCGACGGAATCACCATTGAGAACTTCATCCTGGATGGGGTCGAAGGCACAGTGGAGAGCTCGGGCACGAACATCTACATTGTCTGTGGATCGGATAGCTGCACAGACTGGACTTGGACCACTGTGGACATCACTGGCGGCAAGACCAGCTCTGACTGCGAGAATGTACCGGATGATATCAGCTGTTAGACAGAGTCGGGTTCAGGATCATAGATAATTGAGGAGTGGTATCTACTGTATCTAACCGGGCAGAATCCATCCATCCGCAGTGATCCGGATGATTCACTACATCCAAATCGGGCATGACAGCCTCTGCTCCAGCTCGACCGAGCACCACCTCGTAATGGACCCTTGCCCCCTGTTGCCCGTTTTGGTTTTATGGGCCCTGAAGTCCGGGTGGATGATTTGATTGGTGGAAAAAGGTGCCTCACCGGTTCCAGCGCCACTGCATGCTGATGCCAGATGCCACTGATGCTGCTGCACAGCAACATCGCTATTGATACTAGTAAAGAGTGATTCTCTTCACATTAGACTATGCCCTGAACAGCAATATCCCTACATTTAAGAGATCTCCGAATCAAACCCATCGTACAAATGCATGTACCATGCATCATGCAGGGACCTAGTAAAGTTCACAGAACCAGACTGTCGGGCCTACTACCCTGCGAGCCATACTCTACCAGACAATCACGTCTGTGCCTCAAAGTCAATCCATCACACGTGAACCATATCCCAGATCCGAACTGTATCCCGATCAGGCATCACATCACCCACAGACCCGTGAGCATGATGTCATGTGCATCTCCCTATCAAGGAACAATCTGCAGAAGATGAACAGGCTCATCCTGCTGCCGGGGAATCAAACTGAATCCCGATCCCCGCATTACACAGGAGTCTGATATATAGACCCACAACATACTGCCGATGTCTCCGCCACCCACACCCTCCACCACCATACCACCTCACCATGTCCATCCCCGACATAGAATCAACACCACCAACTACAACAACAACAACAACAACAACCAACAACAACATGTACTCAAACATGTACTCAAGCATAACCACAACCACACCCACACCCACACCCACCAACCTCCCATCCACACCACCTCCACCCCAACCCCCACAATCCCCTGGACCCCAACAACACCACAAACCCGCCCACTAGCCATAATCGGCGCCGGCTGCCTCGGCCGGCGCATCGCCTGCATCTTCTCCGCAGCCGGCCACACCGTCCACCTCCGGGACCCCTCCGCCAAAGCCCGCACCGAAGCCCTCGAATACATCACCACGCACATGCCCGAATACACCGACTTTCCCTTAATCCCCCGCCCGCAAGGCCCCTGCCACACCTTCTCCGACCTAGACACATGTGTCCAAAATGCCTGGCTAGTCATCGAATCCGTCCCCGAACGCTTACCACTCAAAATCGAGGTAATGGGGGAACTCGACGCCAAGACCCCTTCCGATTGCATATTAGCGTCGAACTCCTCATCATTCAAAACGAGCTTCATGGTGGAGAAAGTCCGGAGTGAACGTCGGCCCTTGATATGTAATATGCATTTTGCCATGCCGCCGAGGATAAGAGCCGTGGAGTTGATGACGAATGGGGAGACGGATTTACAGGTCTTGAGCTTTTTGACCTGGGTGTTGGATGATTGTGGGATGATGCCGGTTACGGCTAGGAAGGAGAGGAGTGGGTTGGTGAGGAGTCATTGTTTGAATACGGTTACTTAAAGTACCTCCACCTTCACCTGCATGGTGGAGGGGATGATAATGGTTGGATAGGGTGTTATGGGGCGCTGTGACGGGATGGAATATGTCTGTTCTACCATCCAGGTTCTTAACAGTCATGATGAAGACATCGGCCCAGCACATCCCCGATGGTTATACCACCAACCCTAAGGACATATACTTCCATCCGTGCACCGAGACAACCTCTATGCGATATGTCCCTTTAGCCTCAGACCGACACTGTTCGAAACCACCTGACTATTGACAACGCTCGAACCTAAGTACAGTCAACAGTGCGCTAGCGTTTACCCATATAAACAAATCGTGCAGGACATACTGGGACAAAGATGAGAGGTGGATATACAGAACCACATCATGCAGGACACATCTTGGACGAGATGAGAGCACCCGAGACACATCTACAAAGCGAGAACAGACAATGTCACCAGATGACGGAATAAGGAATGCAGAATACCCCGAGACAAACAACATAGGATGTATATATATACTTTCACGCGAAGTGACTTCCATAGTCCACAGAACAATATGGATAAGAATATGGCATGGGGTACGAAGTACATCTTTATCATCACGATCATCTAGATGGCGAATATCATATCACCGATCGATTCGATATATCATTGTCTATAACTCATAGCTTATCATCACTTTTACGATAAGATTCCACGTGGGGAATGTCAAATGAATATCTAGCTCCCTTACAGGAACAGATCCTGACAGAAACACTTCTATATCCTATCCTCTCCATTCAACATCCATCTACAGATATTCAATCATCCCTTCGTGTAAACTATACTATACCCTCCTCCCACATTAATTCCTCCCCTCGCTTTGCACCTCTCCATCTCCCTCCCCTCACCTGTAACACAACCGTCGGCAAAAAGCTCACCCCCATAATCAACGCCGTCACCACACCCGAACTATTCGCAATTCCCACACTATCGAACATATCCGTGAACCTACCCTCCCTCTCATTAGTAACCATCCACTTGCATCATTCTAGAATAAGAAGGGACATACCAAAACGGCCCAATAAACCCCCACGTAGACCTCACAAAATTGACAAAAACCCCCACACTCCCCGCATCAGCAGGATACGTATCCACCGCATAGGTAATCATCACGGTGGTAACGACCTGATTCCCAAATGCGGCAATACCCGTCCCCACCACCGGAGTGACGGTCCACTTCCCCGTCGGGGCATGTTCCGTACAGACCAAGAAAATTACCATACCTGCTATACTAAGTAAATAGCCGATATAGCTCAACCAGAGTCTATACTCCGGCTGTGGATTCTGGCCTGTTCGTTTGGCGCGGACATTCATCCATGTATCGGAGAGGATTCCGCCGAGTTGTTCGCCTAGAAGGGATCCGATGATGAGGCCGAGGAATTGGAGGCCGAGTTGTTGCGCGTTGAGGTTGAATTTGGTCTGCAGGAGTTGGGGCACTTCGACGGAGTTGAGGACCGAGGCGAAGAGGAAGACCATTGCGTAGGCGGCGGAGGCGATGAGGATGGGTATGTTGGTGATTAGGGTGAGAGGGTGGTAGAATTCGGAGAGATGGAAGGGGGTGGGGTCGATGCGGTGGAGGGTGAGGTATTCGCGTTTGAAGGCCGAGGGGGAGGAGTGCATTTCTGTGCCTATGTAGCGGGTTTCGGGGCCGAAGAAGATGTATAGGATTAGTTCGATGGCGTTGGTCTAGTGATGTTAGCTCTGTATGAATAGCCAATACTGATCAGGTTAGGAGTATGTTATAGGGTGTGGATGGGCGTACAATGGCCAGAATCCAATATATCCATCGATATCCCACCCGTTGAGCCACAAATCCAAAGATGAATGGACCCACAGGTACCCCTAATGTAACCATCACTGCCCAGATACCCATGTATTGTGCGCGTTCACGGCGAAAGAATGTCTCTGTGACCACTGCACTGCCTATCGCCATGGCCGGCGAAATAAAGAAGGATACTAGGGCGCGACATGCTGCCATCGACGCATAGTCCGGGCTCTTCGCACAACCGATATTGCAGACGCAGCTGAGGATCAACGAGAGGAGGAAAATAGGACGACGTCCGAAGCGATGCGACAGCGGTTTCCAGAACAATGGAGCACCGCCCAAAATGGCGATCTGAAGCGAGGTGAGATAGCTCACTCGCTGAAGGGAGACTCCGAGGTCTAGAGCAATGTCTTCGTAGGCGGGGATGATGGCTGCAGCTGTGAACGTCCCCATACAGGCGTGAAAAGCGACTAGAATGAGGTTCAAGGTTTTCTGACTCGTTAGATGCTTCTCAAAAAGCGACATGGGGGTTACCTTAAGCGGCGGCCAGTTATACGGATCCGCTGGATCCATGCTAGGGACAGGGTCGAGGTCGAGGGTGCCATGTCGTTGGAGGAGGTAGGATTTGTGTGGTTCAGAAAGAGTACTGCCCTCGGTGGCGATAAAGCCAGCCTCTGTCTTTTCGATATAGTCGGATTGTGAGGTTTTGTCGTCGGAAGACATGGCTACATGGCACAATATTAATCTGGGGATCGTATGATTCTCCAGATATATCCCCGGACGGGCCTGACATGACATGTAGAATCCGGGGGTGGGCCTCGCGAGGCCACGCAACTGCCGGCATAATGCGATAACGGTCAGTTCAATTGGATTAGTCTGGCCAGAGTGAAGTTGGGGAAGTTGGGGTAGCGGGGCCGTAACCACCATCAACCCGTCAGGGCCCTGATCGCGGTGGATTGGCGGTAATTGGCAGCCCCATCATTGCCGAGCGCTTGGCTGGTGGTCCCTTGATTATATACGCGTGTTCCCCGGGATTCTTAGCTAGCCTAGGCATACACCTGGACCGAGGCTTGTTGAATTGCCGATGGTTGTTCCGAGCTGAGGTGCAGAGCTTGGGTTGCTGAGCTGCTGCACTTACTGCTGACAAATAGGCTTTCGCTGACTATTGCCAGGCAACAATGTAACTAAACCCCGCAATCGATGCGATCTTGCTTCAGATGAAAACTCCCTGCGTCGCGGATAATTACATGATGCATAAATTGTGGTAATACACAGTGCCACAGACCTGCTCGCATGCCAGAGTGGATTTTATTGGAAGGGTTGTTATAGCCGGACCAATGGAATGCATGCCCAATTTCACTCACCATAGCTGAAAACACAGGGCTTCACATTTGGCAATAACACATATGATGATTTAAAAACAGTTACAAGCAGCATCCAAGTAGGTCATCAGACAAGAATATCTTAATCCTTGAAAGCACAGTCTCATCCGCACATCTCAGCTACAGCATAACATCATGCAGCACAGCTCCATGGCTGGCAACTGGAAGCACAGCAAGGGTATGCACCCTGCCACGCGCATTCCTTGCGCAATCCCGATGGTACCTTTCTGCCAGGTACGTAGCACTAAATTGGATGTTGTGGCTGGTTCCCCCTAGAACGCGTCCGACGCAAGGGATGCGCCAGGGGAACCCGACATTCCATCATCGAGACAGCCCTTAAATATGCGATGGATGCAGCGAATGGACTGATTACCTTCTACCAACGGTCAACTCAGCATCACCATGTATACTTTCAGAGCAATTTCCCTCTTGAGCACGCTGCTCCTGGTCGGGCTTAGTGGCGCGTCCACAACCACGGTACGATCCTCGAATACTTGTCTGGCAGTCTACTGACGATTCAGGTTGGAATTGAAACAGAAGAAGGGAGTCGGTCGGTCCAGGTGCCGTTGAACGAGTGTCACCAAATGGGAGAATTGTAAGCCCTACAGCCATCCCCTATCCTCGGGTATGATGCTAACATCTGCAGTGAGGTGTATGGGGTTTTCATCTCGCGAACATGCCGTCTCTTCACGTAAGTGCCTGCCATCCATGTGGAGAGATCATGCTAACAGTCGTGTAGTGGAGTAGGCTGCACAGGACGCACCACGCTGCTGCAACCCGGCCAGCACTCTTCCTCCGAGGCAGTCTACATCGACAGCCTGTTTTGCTATCCGTGAGCGAACCATGTATTAGGGTGTAATCCTTTTTGTCGAATGAGTCTGTCACTGCCACTGTAACATACCCCGAGGAATTCATCGGATCCGAGTGCTCGTTAGTGGAATGCTGATCGTCAACTCAATCGATCTTGGCTGCCAGAAATCATCATTCGTAGTTACATCTACTTGATTTGTGCAGCTGTAAACAAGAGAGCCAAGATGTGGCGCGGACCAAGCCTGCAAACTATATGTCCATGTTGGTGCCTAACAATATCTCATCGAGGGATATTCATACTCAGCAGAGGTTGTGGCGGTCCACAACGTAGTACTATTTACAGATGGAATGAGACATGTATAAAGCCCAGTCCTCCTACTTCCCATCTACTCCTACCACGAAGCAATACCAGAACAATGCATTGGACCAGTTTTCTTCTGCCAGCACTGGCAGCCGCAGGCACAATACAGCAATGCAAATCCTCACGGGCCAGTACCCGAAAAGAATGGTATGACCCTCTACAAAAAGCGAATCAAACTAACAGTCTAGGGGCGAACTGACCACAACAGAACGAACAAACTACATCAACGCAGTATGGTGTCTACGCGGACTTCCATCCCAGCTCCCAAATGACCAATACCCCGGTGTACGAGATCGTATGGACGACTTTGTAGCGTAAGTCCCTACCCTAAGATTTTCGTCGTGTTACACAGACCCACTAACACATTCAGAACACACATCAACAACACCCTGTACATTCACAGCAACGGACTCCTCCTCCCCTGGCACCGACACTTTATCTACCTCTACGAAAAGGCCCTGCAAGATGAATGCCACTACCAAGGCACTCTCCCGTATGCCCCCAGCCCCCATCAACTCCATCCCATCCCCCCAGCAAAACACCCCCAAGAACCCCTTAAGTGGGCATGCTAACAACCCAGATACTGGAACTGGTCCCTCTTCACCACCAACCTAACCCTCAGCCCCGTCTTCGACGGCACCCCGACCTCCCTCTCCGGCAACGGCCTCCCAACAGCAAACAACACCTCCAACCTCTGCCCACACAACATCCCCTGCCCATCCCCCGGCACCGGCGGCGGCTGTCTCTACAACGGGCCCTTCACCAACTGGACCGCCCATCTCGGCCCCTTCTCCATCTCCCAAGTGCAACCCTACGGCTCTCTCCCCCCAAACACCTGGTCCTACAACCCGAGATGCCTAACCCGAAACTTCACAACCGACTGGCTCACCTCCCTCAACACCCCCACCAACATCACCTCCATGCTCTCCGCCCCGGACCTAAAATCCTTCCTCGCCCTAATGAGCCCCAGCACACTCGGGTACGTAGGGGCCCACGAAGGCGGCCACGCCGCCGTGGGAGCAAACATGCTCGATACGTGGGCGTCAGCCCAAGACCCGGTGTTTTTTCTCCATCATGCGATGGTTGATCGGGTGTGGACGTTATGGCAGGAGTTGGATCCGGTGAGTCGATTGGTGGCGGTGAATGGGACGGGGATTGTGCATGATCCGCCGGATGCGGAGTTGGTGACGTTAAACACGGTGATGGATTTTGGGGTGTTGGATGGGCCAAGGACCGTGTGGGAGGTTATGGATGTCAGGGGGGGGAGGTATTGTTATGGGTATGATTAATCTCTTGGGTGGGTTATGGCAGGCAGTGTTTGTTAATATGCAGTTTATTGAATAATCAATCAAATACCAACTATGTCCATCCTAAGAACAACACAAAACTACCCCCTATGCACATCAATAAACAGTAGCCTGCTCCCTATCCACATGCCCCGAAAACAACTCCTCCCTCCCCGGATCCTCCGGAAACTCAATCCCATAAAACTTCTTCAAAACATCCTGAATCACATCATAACAAGCCCCATACCTCACCAGCTTCATATCCCTAAAATTAATAATCGTCGACGACGCCCTCGGTTCACTAAACGTCCTCTTCCCATAATCCACCACAATATCCGCGGCGGCCACAATCTCCGGCTCAATATCCTCAATCCGAACCTTCATCCCAGAACCAGAGATATTCGCCGACGACCCAAGCACCGGCATATTCGCCTCATGACACAACTTAATCAATTCCTCCTGAAACGGACCCCCATTAACCAGCATAGACAGGGTTCCGTCGTGAGTACACCTAGAAAGTAACTCCGGCCCGAGGTTCCGAATAATCGGATGCTCGGGCCGAAACGGGGCCGCGACGCCGACAGGCACGTCCAGATCGATAGTGAGGGTTTTGACGATGGATTCTTCGCGGGGGGGCAGAATGTGAATTTCTTGATGTAACGCGTAGTTTCCAATCATGGCGTGTTTTTTGTGTGGTTTGCGACGTTTCGTGGAGAAGAGCTTGTCCAAGGCGGTGGGGTCGCTGGCTACAAGCCCGTATCCGATGCTACCCGGGATTAGGGCAATGCCTTTGTTTTGGAGGACTTCGAAGACGCGTTGAGCGTCGCGGTGGACGTTGATGGGGTCGGTGAGTTTCATTTTGGGTCTTTGGTCTTTGGGTTTTGTTTGGGTTTGGGTTTGGGGAAAGTAGAGGAGTGGAGTGGAAAGGATGAGAGGAGTGGATGGATAGAATACTGGGGATGGACGGCATCTACGGCCCTTATAAGCTACGTGCGGGGTGCAGACGACAAGGATGGCAAGGATGGGGAATCCCCCTTAGTGTTCGTGTGACCGGTCTATGCAGACGCCACCATTAATCACGCGAGAATTATTGGACAGCGGGGTAGAATGGTCCAGCAATCGGGGAGAAGAACCACAGTAGAGACAAAGAAAATTTCAACCGAGGACAAACTAGACGAGTAAAAAGAAACAAAAAAAAATTGCCTCGGGTATCACATCGGTCAATCCAGAACCAGCCATCCGACCTCCGATTCAAACTCGCCTTGTTCGGCTTCGCTCAGATTCTCCAGATGGTGGTTGGTCACTCGGTCGATCGGACCCTTCCACAATGCATGCCAGGAGCCCTGGGCTTGGATGGTGTAGCGGTGGCCGTGGAAGAGCGGAACGCGCGGCAATTCGACGTATGCTTCGACCATGCCGGTGGCCGGGACTTCGACCAGGTCGTCGATGAAGGGGAGACTGCGACGCGACATTTCAATGGTGGGGATGTGGACGATTTCGCCAGTGTCTGCGTCGTGGATGTCAAACACGCCGAGGATGTCCGCGTTCGGATCCATCGGAGTGGACCAGTTGAGAAAGGTGATGGGGGTGTTGCTCGTGTTGTGGATGGTGACCTTGATGGTCACATCGATGACGTAGCCAGTAGCGGTGAGGTTGGGATCCAGGTGGATCTGCAAGGACGAGGCGGTCATTTTGCTTTTTTGCATGGATTGGTGGATCAATGTGATTGAGTGAGGATGTGATTGATGTGATAGCGGATTGGGTGGTTGGGAGATGGGATGTAGGACGGAGAGAGAAGAGGTAGGACGGGGATGGCTTCGGTGTCACGATATGTAGATGGCCGGCGCATTCACGCCAGTTAACGGTTAATTCCTGTGTTACTTGAAATGACGAGTGTACGTGAAGGGGGCTCCCGCATCGGGTATTGCTTCATGGAATCAAGAAGCACGATACCTTTCTTGGGTTACTAGTGACACTGACTTATCTTCATGAGTGTATCTCGTAATTACACACTTCACCTACTCTCGTGAATATCACAGCGCTAATCCTTATGCAGTTATCATTAAGTGCGTGATATCTCAAGCAGCTGAATAGCTTCACAGTACAACACAGTCAAATGAAGATCAACAACCCGCAAACACCGAATTGGTAAACAAAGTATACGTATCCGCATTTCTCAATGCTTGATTGCCCGTCAACCTCATCGCAGCCTGATACCCATACCCCAGATCATCCGTCCCAGGGGCATAAACCCCGGGAGCATGGGAAAACTCATGAATGATAGTATTTGCCTGGTCCTGGGCATGGCACGCCTTTTGCACCGGCTGCAATATCGACCAATAAATGGGACAATTCACTACTACATTCCACTGGGGAAATGTATACGCCAGAGTTCGAGGACCACAGGCCCGGAATTTGTCAGTACAGTAGTAGGTGGTTCTCTCGGCATTGAGGGAGGCTTCCGCTGCGATGTAAGCTAGTCGATTGGCAACCAGACTGCGAGTTTCCTGGGAGGAGGATTTGAAGTATTCTTCCAATCGGGCGGCGGAGCCCATCCAGGCCTCGTTGGCCGCGGCGACGGACATTCGCATGGCGTTGTCGAGAGCGGCACGCATGATGGCGGCCCGGTTGTCGTCGCAGTCGCTGAGTCTGGTTCGACGGTGGAGGGATGGAGGGATAGTGAGGGCTTTAGGGACAGTGGCGGCTTTGGCGGCGTCGATGGTGATGGTGAGTGTGTTGGAGGTGTAGGGGAGGTAGGAGGTGATTTCGGAGTCGGTGGTAATGGGCACGAAACCGGAGGTGTGGATGGTGATGGGGCCGCTGTCGGTGATGTCGAGAGTCGAGGCAATGTCGAATTCGTCGATGAGGGATTCGCCGGCGTGGATCGTGGTGAGGGCGTCATGGGTGAGGTTTTCCAGGACTAGACGCTGTCTGATGCCGTTGAAATCGAGCTCGGTTTCTGGTTTGTTAGGGTTGTTGGTGATGATGGGAGGAGACTTACCATTGTGGAACACGGAGACCTTTTTAATGGGAGCAGTGTCTCCGAAGAAATTCAGATGCACGATGGTAAGATCTTCGTTGCCGGTGTTTTTGACTTCAGCTTTTATATGCGTGTTGCTCACCTGGCTGAGAATCACGTCGAGGCTGGTACCAGGCATAGTGAGGATAGCCTTGATGCATTGCACCACGGCCAACTGGGTTAGGAAGATGGAAAGCAACATGATGGATGTTTACTGATGAGAGAAGCAAAGGGGGGAGGTGGTTTGAGAAGACTGTGTGAGCCTGGAAAGGAGGTCATTTTAATGTTCTGGTCAGTGAAGGAACGCGTTCTTTTTTAGGATGTTGACGCTCCGAGTATTAGAATTCAATATGGCATTGGGGAGTATCCCGCGTTTTTACATATGGTGCTGCAATTCCAGATCTATAACTATCTGGTAAAATCTGTAGAAGAGCTGATATCTCAGAGAATGTGTTGGGACAGTCTTTTGTTCTGTCTGTTCTCCAGAGGTCAGCGGTATATCGTTTTTGGCCTAATCGTATAAACTTGACAGAATGCTACGGATCTGATCTTATATGCAGGTGACTTACGATACTTCGCTGCGATGAAACCCGAGTCTACATATTTGACATGAATCGGTCAGTTCAATCCGACTGTTGATTAATATAATCACGCTCATTATATCGTAGAGATTTGGCAGTATCATATTCTATAGAAATAACTGTGTAGGTCTGGTTATGCTTCATTTGTAGATAGTTCAGCTGGTACACATCTGAGCCCTCAATCAAACAGCTTCCACTACACCCAGCCCACACCAAGTAACGCATTTAATGCTACTCACTCCTCAACAATACCCATATACCACCAGCAACTACATCAAAACATCTCCATGAATAATCCAACCCAAAGAACCCCGACCAGCCACCCCAGGTACCAAACACATGCCAACAACTCCAACCGAGCTACCCAGCCCAGCCCAGCCCCCCCCCCCCCATCCCCACTCATAAACCCCCAACTATAACCGGATCCAAACCCCCGGAATCCCGATAAACCAGTTAGTCCAACCCAGACAGCAACTACCCCACAAACACGACCTCCGCAAGGGGTCCAACCACCGTCGGGCCGAAAGCGCGCCGACCGCAGCCCGTAGATACATCATCCTTCTCAGGCAGTAAACGCCCCCAGCAAAACGGTACCGTCAGCACCTAATCGCCGGATATTTTGCGGGGTGAGTGAGGGGGATCTTCCAATCTATTCCTTCTATGGAGATGGGCAGTCAAGGGTGTGGCTACGTCATTTTCGGTGCAAGGAAATATCTCATTCTCATTCTCATTCTGATTCTGCTGCTCAATACACTAACCAAATAACTACCTAACAAAGAATCAAGTCTCCCTCTCACAAAGCCCATCAACACATTCATTCCCATAACAACAATCCCCATCATCCCTACACACCCCCTCATCCTCACTACAACCCGGCCAATCCGGATCCGTAGACCGACATTTCGTCGCAGCGCAATACCCCGAGCAACAGGCCGGGCCGCCACCGCCCGAGATGCAGTTCGCTGCGGGTGCAAATCTTAGCCGTGTTATCCGGTTAGATGGGATGGAATGGGATGCTTACCGTAAACGGTCAGACAGGTGGGAGTGGGCACGCAGGTGGTGATGTAGGTGGTGGTGGGGGTGTAGAATGTTGCGGTGGTGCAGAAGTGTTTGGTTGGGCAGGAGGGGATGGGACCGCAGGGGGTGGTGGTTGTTGTTGTTAGGGTGGATTGGGTATCTAGGCGGAGGTTAGTCGGGATTTGTGGTGGTGGTGGTGGACATACGGGTTAGGGGGAGGAGGGGGATGATGAAGGTGAGGGATTTTTGGAGATGCATGATGTTTGTGATGGATTGGATTGCATGGGTTGGTTGTGGGTATAGTAGGGATTTGGGTGGAGTGGTTGCGATCGCAGGAGAATTGTGTTTATATCTGACCTGTGCTGATGTATGTCTCACCGCAATGCTACAGATGACGTTAAATACGAGGCTGTGTATCTACATGGCTCTCTGGCTACACGAGAGATGTGGTCATTCAAATGTTGTGGCACGATAGAATTTCCACATAATCATCAGTCACCAAGGAATGGACTCCCGATCCAGAGAGATCCGGTGGCGGCTCGCCACGATGTAAGGAATTCATGGATTGTCAAACCTTACCAATAGGTGACAATCAAGTAACATGCAACAGCAGCTATTTATAGACAAGATGGGTCACGAATTGCACTGCAATCCCTTCACCTCGGCATTCTTACACAGCACCTTCTCGCCAGTATAATTTACTGGCAGTGTAATATCAATATTCTGGAATGTCAAATCCATGCACGGTGCCTGGTCCGAACAAAGCAAGGACACAGCAAAAGTGATGTTCTTCCCTGGGTAGTCAGTCACGGTGGCTAGTCCATTCCCGCTGATGTTCTTAAAGTGCAGGTCCTCAAACTTGTAGGTCGAGGTGTCACAATACTGCGTTACGTTTTCGTTGAATAGATAGCTCAGACTACTGCTGTCAGCCAGTGTCATCTAGTTAGGCAAAAGTCTCACCAAGTATCAATATACACCGGCAGCTGCACCTCTTTGAGCTGGATGTTCTCTACCGTCACATTTCGAACATATCCAGTGCCGCCTCCGCCTCCGTTAGGAGGGACGCCATAGTTGACCCCAATCCTGACTGATCAGCTACATCGCTCTCAGGACATGACACTTACCAGCTTTTGAAGTAGACGCCGGAATCCATCTCCCGTTTGAACGACGGTTGAACCTGTATGATCAATATAGATACCATGCCATCTTCGAAAGTCAAACATTCTTGACTGTGATGATTTCCACAATATCAGCCCGGTCGGGATATTGTCCCAGCGATCCAAACGCAATGCCAGGCCCTCCATAGACAGTCACATTCTCCACATGGGTATTTGTCGAGTTTCCCTTGAACGCCACGGCATCGTCCCCCCCTTGGTATACCCAGTTGGTGATACTGATGTAATCCGAACGGTACGTATCAACCCCGTCAGTATTCTGAACCCACTCACCTTCAGGACTCACTGAAAAATCGTGGTTGGTCGCGTTGACATAGACGTGGTCCAGGGCAATATGCGAAGATGAATCCACAAGAACAGCCCAGAACTGGGGCTGTCGGATGGATAAATTGCGAAGAGTCGCGCGCGTCAACTGAAACACATGCAACGGGATGGGACGCCCAAAGACATTACTTCCTCCCTTGGCCCAAGTATACCACAGCTGCCCGTTTCCGTCGATTCCACCCTGGTGTGGACCGCCGTCAATCACATAGTCATGCCCTGTGATGCGCCAGGCGCTCGACTGGTTCTGAAAGTCCACCCGGTAAGAGTTATTGACCCAATAGTCGATGTCGTCGCTGAAGAGAAGCGTTCCGCCAATTTCAAGGCGTGAGTTGGCCAGATGGGTTGTCATCCGTTGGTTGATACGGTAGGTGTATGGCGCTGGGAGGACGACTCTTCCTCCGGGCGTCTGGCCGCATTGGCTGACAGCTGTGAGAATGTTAGGAACATCATCTTGCCCATTTCCGAGAGGATTGGCGGTGCAGCTGGTTCCATCCTGTTGAATAGAGGTACTCGAAATCGGGACAGAAAGCCCCACGAGAAAAAAAAGTGTGCTGGCTGAAAACTTCATCTTGGTCCACTGCTTACCTGACACTGCTTGTCATCGGGACTTTGCGCCACTTTTATTCGCCATTTCCGACGTTGGATATAATTCCGAGCGTGCGGATTAAGCTGCGAGTCGATGAACCTTGCGGGGAGAATCAGACGTCATCTGTTTGGACTCTGGTGGGTGGGGAAACAGGTCGGCATGGTTAAGCAAAGCCAAGCCCGCTGCTCCTATTCACTGTCGCATTGACCATCCTCAATCAGTGTCAAGTCCTGGGGTTTAGCAATGAGTACTATACTACACTTGGTTGAGAATCCCGGCGTCATGCCAAGCATCATTTAACCTCCGATAGGCAGTGCAGTCTCACGTTACACCGACAAGGCTGAGATCATAACGCCCCTCCACTCTCTCAGCTCCTTCATGCTCCTCTCATATACAGGATGGACAATGCACAGTTGATGCGATTATCGCTCGTCCATCCTCAACATGTCTACTTCGTGCTATGCGCTTCATGAAGCTATCGCAGGTAACGGACCCTCACCGAACTTGGCATATATGCCCTGCGGAGTCACCAATTCCACCCATCCTTATGTGAATTGCTGCCGCAGAGGGGACTATTGTATGAGAAATGCCCTCTGCCACTATACAATGCCGAACGGGCAGGATGGATATTATTCAGCCGGCTGCACCGATCCGAAAATGCAGGATCCAGCGTGTATGACCCGATGCGGTATGTCAGGATGGTCTCCAAAGTCCTGGCCAAGCTGACCCTGTCTTCATTTGCAAAGGTGGCCGATCCACAGACGCCACTTATGTTACAGCTGAACTATGGGCCTGCTGCATGGTTACCAAGAACGACAAAGGCGACCCGATCGTGACTTGTAGCAATCACACCCAGGAGATCTTCCCAGCTCCGGCCCCGAGCGACCTTGTTACCCTACAGTATATTCCCATAACAGGAACACCAACGTATGCTACAGCGAACTCGACCGCGGCACCGATAGCAAGTGTCTCGAATGGATTGTCCAATTCTAGCGCATCGTCCAATTCGAGCGGTAGTGATATCGGTGCTGCGGCTGGGATCGGAGTGGGGGTTGCGGCTGCAATACTCCTCATTGCAATGGCTATCGCGTTCCTTTTCTTCCGACGTAGGGTGCATGCGCGGTCCAAGGCTCCGCGACCAGAGTCTGATTCCACTGCACCGATCATGCCACATACAGGGTTTTACTCCGCGTGGATGGAGTCAACGACTAACATGCGGCAACCGGAGACTCGATATGAGCTTCCCAGAGGAACTGAACGACGAGAGCTCCACTGATGACCAGTATACGCTTCAAAAAAATACTGTCAGCGATTGATGCAGCTTCTGGGCAATGTGTACGTACCTGCTGGAACCATTCAAACTGGCAGATCCCAGCGGCCAGGCTACACATTAGTAATGAAACATGAATCGAGAATATATATTAAATCATTTATTCGCTCGTGATTAAATGTCCGCAAGACACGCTCTTGTGGGTATAACAAAGAAGTTGAAATCACCAGTCCTACCCTCGCCCGGTCACAAAAATTATCATTACGCATATCATATCGAAAAGTAGGGTGCCGCGAACTACCGCGGAGTACCGCCAGGTCCCACCGGTTGCGAAGGCCAAGCGTTTGACCAGACCTTGGTCTCAAAAGATTGCTTGGGCATTTGCGAGAATGGACACCCAGACGATTGGAGGGATGGTTTGGGGGTGGTAATGGTCGGCGGGGATGGCGCGGTCTCGGCCGACGACGCCTCAGAGAAAACACTCGCATACGACGAGGAAGACGTTGAACTTGCAGTGGTGGTCTTGACGCAGGACGAGCAATCTGCCCGCAGGTGCGTCGAGCTAGGCTTCGGGGTGACTTGAGCACCATTTTCCTGTTGTTTATGGAGCGCTTCTATCTCCTCCGTGAACTCTTCACCATCACGCAGACGCCATCGTGCAAAGAGGTCATTCTGAATCCAGATCACCTTTCCCAGCGCTCTGACTAGTGCCAGCCGAAAAGGCAGAGTAAGCTTTTCGAATGTCAAAACCGCCTCGAGGACGATGTCCTGGATGAATCCGAGACAGGCACCGATATGGATATACTCGACATTTAACGCGTGCAGACGTTCTTTGCCATAGTGCATTCTCCTATCGCAACTATTAGCCTATGCCCAACACAAGACTGAAAAAGACCTACCCGACTTGGTTGAGATAGCGCCAGAATTCGGGTTTGGTCGGATCTGAGCATAGTTTCGTCATGTACCATCGAAGAAACTGGCGGCGGCGCTGAACTGTAGGACTGTCGATGGTTGGATAATCGTCCGGCTCTTCTTCCACGGCCGTATTCCGGGTGCGAAAGACGCGCGCTGTGATGTCGGCCTCTAAAAGCTTTGCATACACCTTATCCACCACCGTTGGAGCGAGGGCCTTGACATATTTGGCGCCTCGAACAAGAGCGGCGACATCGTCTGCATCCACCAGAGTTAGTATGTCTCCTTCAATTGGTTTGGTTGCGGAAGGGAATCTCCGCGGAGGTCATAAGCAGCCCTGTGGGGAAGCTTGGGGCACCAACCGGCATTAAAATCGAGAAACTTCTGCAGATAGTCGATCCGCGCTTCTAGATCGGTATAAAGGGCCTTCCGATCGACGTGTCTTGGACGGTTCTCAGAAAGGTCGGGGTCAGACATGGTGCAGGCTGGAAAAGAACTTGGAGGAGAAAGAAGGAAAGTGGGCAGGGGACTGTTCAAATCTCCTGACAGGAATCGCCCCCGACCTGGCTGCGCAGGTATATACCTGCCATGCCAGATAAAATCCTGTCATGCTGCAGATTGCGACCCCTCCGCCCGTCAATTGGGGAAAAAAGACAGCGAATCAGTGGGGCGGGTGAGTTGATCTGTTGGGTTTTTCGGCTCCGCTTCGCCTGTCATCGACTCATCAACCGCCCTTTTCGACAGCTCTCCTGATCGGCCATCCATCTCCCCTCTCCACGAGTCGAGTCCGATATCGCCCTCAATCTGCGACCAGCGCGGTTTCCGCCTGCCTCAGCTGTCAAACGCCTGGGTGCCTTGGCGTCGAGCGATCATCGCGGTGAAAGTTTAGCCATCGACCCTTAGACCGATGCTTGGTGTTCATTCCGAGATGGGCAAGCCAACCGCAGCCCCCAAATCCCATCTCACGTCACATCGGCAGGACGTGGATGCTTCTGCAGCCTCTGCCTAATGGGCCCTAGTGTGTTGAAAATTTTCCGGGTCGGCATTCGATTGGTTGAAGGCCGGCAATTGCTAGGGGGATGACGCTTCAGCGGCCGAGATGGAGAACAGTGGAGCGCAGGCGACGTTCCCGCCGGTTTGCCGTCAACGCAAATTTGGGCGGGCAACTTGCTGGCACTTTCCAATCGGAGTTGTAGGGCCAATAACACTCAATGGAATTAGATATCGCCTGGTTGTCGGAGAATTCGGAGCGCGCACCTCGGCGGATCTTATCTTCAGATTCCGTAGGAGTGGCATGAAAAAATCCAGTACTCCGTATTCCGTGCACAATGGATAGACGCACACCGACATTGTCTCGGGAGCCGAAAGGGGGAAACTAACAGCCTCATTAATGCTATTCTCGGCGCAACCCCCGGGACCAGCTTTACCTACAAAGTCCTGCCTTCTTCATCAATCTCGGGCATTGCCAAAGCTGGTACGGACTCCAGTCTCCAAGTCTCCAATATCAGGTACCCCACCGGATTGCAGGACGCACGTTGAGGTATTCGATCCATCATCGGGGAATAGAACGGAGTAATAAGTACCCTTAATTTGTTCCAGACAGGGGTGGTTCTTTAAACGCGACTGACAGGGTTTGGAGACGACTTGGAAGTTGGAACCCCTTTAAGATCTTCACTAGTTGGATGGATGGAGGCCCGCTCAGCGACACCAGTCAACTCTGGTGGAGTCGCAGCCCTTTGGTTCCCGCCACCTTAATCGTTCCCCCTTGACGCCGGTGAGGACTATCGCGAACCTCAAAAAAGGGATCCAAAAGGAGTCCCAAGGGTGCCCCTGATTGGATGGGAGATGGTTTGTGAACATTCGATAGATAAGAATTAATCTATAAATAAATGAAAATCAATCTGGGTTATCTGGAACGGGTGAGACATGCTCCGTTCTCGTTCATGAACTCCCCTTGCAAGCCTGGGAACGTATGAGAGGATAAAGTAGACCCCGTCGACTCGGCCGAAGGAAAGCAAGCTCTGCTGGCGGTCAAGCATTAGTCCAGCCCGGCTTGAAACGCGTGACCGGGTCACCTGTCACACGCCTGAAACGGCCACTCGCTCTGACATCACCACCCAAACTCTCTTCCTCCCATCCTCCCCACTCCATCTATACCTTCTCAGACTTCTAGTTCCCACCACTACTCATCCATTACGAATCATCCTAAAGAAGCCAAACAATGTCCGCTGCAATGATCCTCCGACGAAGTTCCACCCTGAGCCGTCCACCCCTTCTCCGCCCCGCTTATGCGGCCAGAGTGTGTTACTACCACCCGCCTGAAGTACACAGCAATAAAGACGAGGAGTGTACGTTCTTGCCACCGGCATTCCCATCTTATCATCCTCCGTCTTGTCGAGGACTTCAAGAGAGTGACGATTGAACTAACCAGTATCCAGTCTTCATCACAGCTTCCTTCCCCGATGACTTCGAGGCCCCCAGTCTCGTCAAGAAACGCGACCCACAGGGACAGAGTCTGGGCCATTGGGACGAGTTCCACGCGACGTCCAGTGAGGTCTCGGTGTGTTTCCCCATTCTCTCTGAGATACCTGAATGGTGATACCTGAATGGTAAAATGAAAGGCTAAGGCACCCGGTGCATGCAGGTCAAGGCCGACCGGGGCGATATCCACATCCACCAGCAACAGCAGCAGTGGAGTCGGGATCTGGACAGAAGGCTCCAGGAAGCAGAGGAGCCAAAGATTGATGAGATGTGATTGATAATCTCCATCACGCCATGTCTGATGATAATTGCGTAGTCTGTGAGGTAAAGTGATACAGATTGCACCATGGACGTGTATAGTAAGATTGGTGAGTGCGTTGATTTCTTTTGAAGTTTGGTATCTCTGGCTGGTTCAGATTGTGTTTTGTATCATATCCAGCTGTATTTACTGTGGTGTGAATCGATGGTTCCTAATGTACTCGTGGGTTGTTGAGTCTGACATTATCGTGTTGGATTCTAGGTTTATACTCTACTACAGCCACTCAACTGATATCCTCCACCTGATGCACTGTGCCCTCGACCTTTTGGTCGACGTGGGCTTGCAGCGCGTGTTGGCCTGGTGTGACTGTTCGCCCACCCTTCGAGGTGAACACGCCACCCGTAATTCCGCCCTTGTGGAATAGCAAAGGGATATCTTCCAGCTCTAGTCCCTTGGTCTCGGGATAGAAAAAGTAAACCATTGGGATGAAGACGGCGTTCAACACGGCGAAGATTATGAAGGTGCGCCAGCCAATGTTGTCTATATATGTCAGTATCTGTCCCGGTTCGTCAAGTGGGGAACCTACCAAATGCGATCGGTGTGATCTTCACCACGGCAAACACCGCCATCCAGTTCCATCCTGACGCAATTGCCTGCATTCTTGTCCGCACCCGCGTGGTATTTAGCTCGGCCGGGTAGAACCACGGCACAGGCAGCCAGCCCACACCATAGAAGATCTGGAAAATGAAGATGAAGGCAGTCGCTCCGTAGGCGCAGTCCTCACGGTCCAGCGACAGCAGGATTGCCACCATCACAAAGCAAAGACACAGACCCGCTGAACACACCATGAGCAGAGTACGTCGCCCGTACCGGTCCATCAGGAACACCGGAATTGCCGACCCAACCAGGTAAGTACACTGCATCGCACCACCCAGGATCAACGATAGGTTACGGCTCATGTTCATGGTCTCCTGGAACATGACAGGGCCATAGTAGTTGATCATGTTGGAACCGGTGAACTGCTGCCCCAGCTCGATGGTGATGGTGATGAGGAGACGGCGCAGATTCTGCACCTCACCCCATGTGAAGAGCTCCTTGAAGCGGAAGGGCCCGTCCTTTTGTTCCTCCTCTAGCACGAATTGGATGTCGAGAATGGTCTTGGTAACGCGTGCATCGTCAATGGTGGTGTCTTCGATGGCAGCCACCACGGCGCGCGCTTCTTCATGTCGATCATGTTGGACCAGCCAACGAGGAGTCTCGGGAAGACCGACAACCTGGAATATGAGGCAGACAGCAAATACCGCCTGGAACGCGAGAGGAAGCCGCCATTCGTATGAGGAATCGGTGAAGCTGGTGCCGTAATCCATCCTGCATCGTTCGTCCGTTAGTTTGCGGGCAGTTAATGGTGCGGGATGGTCTCACCAGTAGGCGATCACCACGCCTAAGATGGTGACAGTTCCCTGGAGGGTGAGCAGGGCACCGCGATATGCTGCTGGAGAACATTCACTCTGGTACACAGGTGCCGTGGACGAGTTCATTCCATTCCCGAGACCAGTGATGATCCGGCCGACCAGCAGTTGGGCCAAGGTGTAGGAGGAAGACAGGATGATGGATCCGATGACCATGATGAACCCGCCCGTCATGAGCATGGTTCGTCGCCCCATCTTCTCACCGATGAAGTAGCAGATGATGGAGCCAACGACGCAGCCGATGTCGTAGAGACCGGTGATATTGCCCTGCATCGCTGCGTCGGGGTTGTTGAAATCGCGTGCAAATCGGTTGTCCGCACCAACAATGCCAGACATGACACCTGCCGCCAACGTTAATCGGTCACTTTTCACCCTGTCTTAGTAGGCGCAACGACGAACCCTGGTCAAACCCCAGCAGAAGGAAAGCCTGGCAGGAGGCCATGGTGATGGCGATGATCAGGGCCCTGCCCCGAAAGTCATGTTTCCAGAGACGCATTTGGCCGTCAATTCGTCTGATATATTCCTTAATGGACGAAAAAGAAGGCAGAGAAAGAACGAACAAGCTTCATTAAGCATTGGACGGAGCTGGATGGCCGTCGGGCTAATACGCCCGAACGCAGTCGCGAGGATTCGATGCCCAGCTGCCGGTCTTCGCCCAGGATTACCCCGAGCAGGACATATCTGGTCCAGCTGGGCAGGGTCTGCAGAGCTCGTCAGCTTGATTGGACCTGGCCGGGTCGGCAGGTCGGGGGATCATCGTGCCGAAATGCGGGGTACCCCATGGGACACCCCTGACTAATCTTATGGGCTCAAAGGGTTCACCGGAGACCGTCATCGGGAGCTGACAGCGGCATTGAGACGATCCTGCCGAGGGGGGATCTGACAGGGATGATCCTCCGCAAATAGAGAATGAAAAACGACCAGAGAAGGAACGCGCTCACATACAGAGAAGTAGTCGGAATCTTCGAGGCACGTTCGTGGGATCGGCAAACAGTTCAGTCCGAAAGATCCAACGTGGAATGATATGGCCGGAAAATACAAGGATGCAGTCGCCACGCCAATGACCACCGGACACCTGCTTACTCCAATTACCCGATCTCCACAACCTCCAGATCAATACTCATATGCCATGATCCACGGTGCTCACCTCCAATCAATCCTGCTGGACCACTTCCAATCCCACCCCAATTTTTTGAGCCATGCACACGAGCAATGTGGGTGTACCAACTCAATGCTGCCATATTATGCTTGTTTAGCAGACAAACACCTCGTATCCAAAGACAAGAAGTCTTCCAAGCTCGGGCTAGGCTATTTTCAGCTGTACCAACTATCCTAGGAGCAAATCACATCCTCGACCATCTAACTCTAACATCAGGATGAGTCCACTTAAAATTGTTCCAGCATACGATAACACAACGCTCTTGTTCGGTGTACAATTGCCCCTTCAATTTACGTCTCTTCGGGGGGTGTATATTCCCGAAGTATAATATTTTTACTCGACGTGAAGCCCCTCGGTGACCGACCTTGTCACTAATGATTTCTCAACGCTACGGCACAGAGATGAGAATAGTGAGTAATATTCGGGGAATATTGCTTGATGAAAGGATATCGTGATTTGGTCAAGCCAACGCGAGGATCAGTGTGAATTGGATTGATACAAGAAGTGAAACCCATCGGGACTAATTATATACAGAAAAACACAATCGAGCGAACTGCTTAGCAGTCCTCCTCCTCCTCGGCCTGAACCAGGGTGTGGGTAGCCGAGGAAGAGGTCTCGACGGTGATGGTAGCAGACCCGCTGCTCTCGTAACCCTCGGTGGCAACGATCATGTAGTTGGGGGTACCGAGCTCCAGACCCAGCTTCTCCCAGGCGTCGAAGTGGTTCTGGGTGGTGACGGTACCGCCAATGCGGCCAGACTCGCGGACGGACCAGTACTGCTTGAAGGTGGCGGTGCCCTCGACCGAGGCGGCGTTCTCGCGGGTGGTCTGGTAGATCTTGTAGGTGCCGTCGTCGCTCTCGACGGTGCCGAGCTCGGTCAGGCCCGAGGAGGGGTTGTAGTCGCCGTACTTCTCGACAATGTAGAATTCGACCAGAGGGGAGGTGGTCCAGCCGTAAACGGACAGGTAGGCGTTGGCGTTGGTCTCCCAAGTTCCGCTGTAGGTGACGGTCCTGATGAGATGGTTAGTATCGTTTGGTCAATGAGGGGGGAAGGTATCGTACTGAGCGTCAGCAGGGTTCCAGCCCTTGCCGGCAACAAAGTCACCGCAGTTGGTCCAGTCGACGGTGTATTCACCGGCGTTGCCGTTGGTGTAGGTCACATCGCCGCCACCATCGGTCCAGAAGGAGTAGAAGTAACCGTCGCTGGTGCCCTCGGCGGAGGAGGTGAGGCTGCGCTTGGCCATGTCCAGGTAGGCCCGGCTACCGGGGGCGGCGAGGGCGCTGGAGGCAGCCGACAGGGCGAGAAGGAGGGAAGAGAAGGCAACCATGGTGACGGTGGTGATGAAGGGGAGGTGGATGAAGTTGGAAAGAAAAAGAGTGTGGTGTGGTTTGCAGGGAAGAAGGGTTCTGCGACCCTCCTTATATGAGCGGAGCAGCCAGTTTCCTGGTACGATGCTCCATGCGACCCGATCGAGCGCAAGCCAGGTGCTCCATATTGCGACACTGATCGGTCTGTCGTTGATTAAACTGGCGCCGTGGGCCCCTGAGATTGTTCCTGGACAATCTTAGACGGCCGTGCTGTTTCACATTGAATGTGGGCACCCACTTTTTTCTCCGGCGGACCGACCCAGTAACCCTACCATCGGCCACTCACCAGCGCCCATCCAGCCATGACTGCGTGATGAATGGTGCCTGATGAGAAGGTGGACTCGGCCGTTTTCCCCAGCAAGATGACCCGCCGATATTGCCGGCATCCCTGGTTTTGCTCTCGGACACCGATGCCTCCACCAGCGCCACTAGTGGACTTTTTTTTTAGCAACTGCTTGTCCTTAGCGCCCGGACTTCCTCACAGACAGCTTGATGAACCAATGGTGCCCCTGGATGAATGTCTTTATTAATCTCAAGGACGGAAGTAGCTGCACGGTTGACCTAGCCGAGGCAGGGTGGGCAGCCCGGAAGTCTCATTATTCAAAACTGAAGCCAGCGCTTTTGTGTGTTTGAATATCGTATTCTTATTTGATGATTCCTAATAGCAGGTCTGGAAGATGCCATGCCAGAGGCTATTTCAGAGTCCTCCGGTGATGTGGCTCTGTCGCATCAATCGGGCGTATACACGTTGACGATAAGTCCGAACTTTCTCGGCTGTCACTCCACAGGCTAGCTTCTGAATGAAATCAAGTATATCCGGATGCTCCGGCAGGAGTACTCCGGCCAGTTAGCGTGTCAATCCCAACATACCCCTTGAAGACATACATCCTTTCTTCAATGCTATCATACGATATGTGCCAGCAGTCCATGGAGTCTTTCAGACACCTTCTAAGTCAGCATTCTTCTTTCAGTATAACTCACGATGAAGAATAAGCTGCAGTCTTCCCAGTCTCCAGCGAGCCGGAACATTAACTTTGGATATAATACTAGTTCTGGGAGCTTTTGAGATAGTGATCATTGTGTCTCAGTCATAATATCGACCATTATTACTCAAGGCCCGACAGCAACCGGTCGACCCATGTTTATTTAAAGCATCTGCTGCTCTATCACGTCGGTCGACGCCAGAGCCCCACATTTAATATAAGGAAGCCAGGTTCCGAACTCATTATTCACGAGGTTGATAATTGGGTCATCTTCAGCATATTTACGACTTCCCACAGCTAGGTGCTTCAATCTATCACGATAACATTTTTGCCAGTCGATTTCCCAGCCAGGTATTCTTGCCTCATTTCCTCCGCTTGCTCCAACATCCACTCTTTGACTTGCACATGCAGTTTATTCTCGTGGAACAACTGAATAAACGCCTCCGCGTCGGCCGTATCCGCGATCAAAGACCCCACCAGCTTGATGTCTTTGTAAATGGTGGTATGGTATGACATGGTTATCCCCTTTTCAGGCTGACCCAGGAGAACCATAGTCCCGTGCTTCCGAGTGAGAGCTGCTGCCAACTCAAAGGCAGATGGATGATCAGTAGCCAACACTGTTGCATCGAGACCTGGATAGTCACCAGAAACAGCATTGTTGATCTTCTCTTGAGACTTCTCTACTGGGTCAGTCGCCAGGATGAGCACATCAGGTTTATGCTCATAAGTTGCAACTGCATCCAAAGCTGACTGCTTGATGTCGATTGCGGCTACCTCGTAGCCCTGTCATATTCAATTAAAATAATTCATATAAAAGCTAGGAGAGGTATTCTTACCATGCATTTAGCAACTTGGGTCCCAATATGGCCCAGTCCACCGATTCCGACAATGCGAATCGAACCCCCTTTAGGCACATTCGCTCGCACAATCCCTCCATAAATGCTGATTCCGGCACACATCAAAGGAGCCGCCACCTTGAAGTCCATGTCGTCCGGTAGCTTTACCATGAAGCGAGCATCACTGCAGTAGATGTTAAAGTGGAACACTCATGGAGGATGATGAAACTTGTCACACACGCGACCATATATTCCGCCCATGCCCCATCTGCAGTGATACCCTTCATATTCGGAGCATCGCAATAGATCGGAAGGCCTGCTTTGCAGTCCGGACATTTGCCTAAAGAAGGCAGCAACCATTTTTAGATCACCGCTGCTGCACATTCCCTCTGTTCATCCTGTACTTACCACAAACACTATCAAAATTGATACAACCAACCCGATCCCCTACCTCAAAGCCTTCCACATCGGTACCGATTTCCTCAACAATCCCAGCAGGTTCGTGTGACCCTATAAATGGCAACTTTGTACCAAACTCCTTATGCAAAGCCATCAAATCCGTATGACAGAAGCCAGCGGCCTTGATGCGCACTAACACCTGGTACGGCTTTGGTTGAGGGACAGGCACGTCGGAGACATGGTATGGCTTGTTGTACTGTTGGATGTGGATGGCTTTCATTGTTTTTGGCGCCATTGCGACTATTGAAAAATAATTCGATTATACAATCGTGTTTTCTGGATATGCGAGACCTGATGGTTCAAATATTGACATCATCGGATCCCACGTGGACTCCTCCAAATTGGAGCAAGCCATGGCACTGGTGAATATTTGAAGTAGTCAACATACGGAACTCTAGATTGTACCCCTGGGATCCCAGAAACAACGTATCGCTAATTAATTGAGAATGGGGATAAACATCAGCATTCATCGCCACAGCGACCGATCGTAGCAAGCAAAAAAAGAGAAATTGAGCTCCGATAGGGGGAATCGAACCCCCGGCTGCCGTGTGAGAGACGGCGATGTTAGCCACTACACCATATCGGATCTTGTTGAAAGATCACTATTTATTATGTTACATAAAGGTAAATTAAACATTCTCTTACCATTGCCATGTTCGAGCTCCAAGTACTAGTACTCCGCACGGAGTAGATATTACCTTTATTGGCGACAATCCCACCCTTTAATAGCAAATTGTTCTTCCCCAAGATTGTAACGACCTTAGTACATTATAATAGGGAATACCTTATAATAATACACAGACTGCAATGCGCACACAAGCAGGCTGCCCATGGTACTTGGTTCCATCGAGCTTCTCTCGACCAATCAGAGTTGCTCTGCTCAGTTTCTCCTTGATTAGGACTAGCGGCAGCGGAGCTCCTGGAAGCTTCTTGGCGCAGCGACTGAGCTTCTCACCTCGATAACACTTTCACTCCGATGGAGCCTTGCTCGAATTGTTCTTGCTGGTATACCCCTGGATTCTTTGCGGTAGGCAGGCGGAGTCCACGCAGACTATTTCTACGCAGCTATGCAGCTAGTCCAGTCAACGACGCGAGTCGGTCAGGAGCTCGGTCATTTTATTTGCCTCGCATTAAGCTAGGCCACTGCGTGGACTAAGAATAGTACGTTCAAAATATGCCTGTTGCAGGGTGTGTACGTACGCTGCTCCTCTGATGCAGACCAGTCAATCAATTAAGATACTCGGCAGGTCGGGTAATATTTCATGCCTTCAGCACGGCAATTCGGTTTCCGCAGAGCTGACTAGCCCATACAGTTCAGCTGGGACTGGAAATAGATGCACGGTTTGATACTCGTCACAATGTTTGCCATATCGACCCTGCATGAGTACGAGGGCATAACTATCATACTCGCAGTTCTGCAACCAACTTCGACTGCATTTGTCCTCTTCACTTGTGGCTACCATGGATGAGGAGTCGGATTAGCGGAATTAGAACGCCAGGCCAAAGAGGGGAAGAATACAGTGGGCTCAAGGTACGGTCAGCATAGCACTTGTATTAGTGGTTGCAGCCTCATCTCATCCGCAAGGTACTCTGCATCTTTGTTGATTCTTACGGATATACGTCGATACGTCCTAGCGGATGCTTGGCTTACGCCGAGCATCGGGTTTAGGCAGACGAATCGGAGAAATCCACGTCTGCCACAGCAGCTGCAAAAAACTGCAAAATGTTACAGACCATTGTGCAGTATGCATTGATGCCACCTGAGTTATCCTGCAAGGGTTATGGTGGGTGTTGCAGTATAATCTGGGCAGGCTGAAAAGAAGCGTATATCCGGATTACAAGCAAACAAACCCCGCAGCACATTACGCTGCTCGTTCCGGGGTAGCTTATGACAGACGTCTCAGGCATCTTTGTCAATCGGTCCGGGGAAGTGCTTACAAAAGACCCATGCAAGGCCGGTCACGGAGCATGACGGTGGAGCTCTCGCAAACCCGCCCCAAATCGGGTAATCCGAAGATCTGCAAGACAACCTCAGGCCTCAACACAAGACCCAAGGATGGATGCAGGAACAAGGGAAACAGCTGCCCAGAACCGTTCCTGTTGATCCATGCCACTCCAAGGGAAAGTTGAAGAACCACAACCCATCTTTAGAGCTTGGCAAGCCGATCCACGACTCAAGCTCATGCCCCCGGTTTACTTGGCCATATGGACCAGGATCTGTCGCTAAACAACCTTATTTGCAGGTCTTGGGCATACTTCTTAAGGAATGAACAAGACAGATTCATTGACTGCAAGACAAGTGATACAATACAGATACCATGCGCCACCAACCAATTCTCCTGTCTGGTCCTGGTTAGACCGAGAGCTAGTCTCATGAGTCCGCTTCTCTCTCCGCATGACTACTACCAACCAACATATATTGCAATGAGATTACTATCAGAAGGCCTGAGAATACCAAATGACCTCGAGCCATGTTCCGTGCGCTGCCGCTGCTCCGTGACCAGGTCTCTGCTCCCCACTAACGGCATCATCCGTAGCGTCCGCGATGGAGGTTAAAGACACGCGTCGGGGATATTGGCCGCATCCGCCAATGGAAATCAACGAACCGAATGATGCAGTCGGTCATCTCACCCGTTTGAGGATTCGATATGCAATCCCCTGTTCGCGGGCCCAGTTGGGGAACCATGTGGGGATCTGGAAACAATATCTACAGCGACATTCATCAATCATATGATGAATACTAGCGCAGTTGGTGGAATTGACCGTTGAACTCATCCACTAATCGAGCCGTCGGCTCCTGCAAGCTGATAACTTCATACGAAGAGGTATCGGTGCTGTATAGCGACATGGAACGCCGAGATTAAGCCGCTTGATGGACTCATCTCACATGTAAAATCGCGCATAGAGAAGCCTTCTTTTCCAGCGCTGCAGCCCCAGTCCTGAACTCTGGGCTATATAAGGAGGGCATTCCTGCACCCTATGATTGAATCCAACAGCGACATTCATTCTCCTCAGCTCCAGTCATTCCAAACCTCTCCTTTCTCTCTCTCCCTCTTTCCATTCTCTTGGGCATATCCAACAGTCAAAATGAAGTCATTCAGCAACCCGCTTTGGACTCTTCTGTTTATCCCGCTGGCCATTGCAGCATCCTGCAACACCACCGCCCTGAATACAACCAGCTACTATTACGAAATTACCGTCGACGGCACAACCGTCTTCGACGTCGCTCGCGAAACCAACCGCGGCGTCTGTGACATCGGCCGCCAAAACCTCATGGCGGACGTAACCATCGTTCCCAATGTGGGCGAGTCATTCATCATCCCTGCCGAGGTCTGCGAGCCCGACAACACCTCCTGTCTCCTCCCAGGCACCAACGCCACACGCACCTGCATCTACGGTGGTCCTCGTCTCTACTACACCGTCCGGGGCGACACCTACGAGGTGATTGCCCGTCGATTGAACATCACCGTCGAATCGCTAATGCACGTGGACGGACCTTCCAACGAAACACTCGTCAACCCCATCTCCCCCACCGCAGAGCTCAACGTCGGTCAATTCATCAAAGTACCCCAGTGCGATCCCAGCCAGTGCATCATCCAACCATACCGCTTCACCTGGGGCGTGTACAAGGACCTCGCGGATAAATACGACACCACCGTCGGGCAGATCATGATGCTGAGCCCGACATACAATTACAGCAGTCTGGCGTTCTCCGCGGAGGGCGAATTCCCTCCGATCAACCTCCCGATTAACTGCACTGCGTTGTCCAACAACCTCACCACCATTGATTAGTTCCCTTGCTCGGACTATGGGTCATTGCTGGGACTTTCTTCTGTCTTCTGTAACATCCTACATGCTGCTGTGCTATCCTTATTGTGTATGTACCCTATGCTTGCCTTGACAAGAAAAAAAAAAAAAAACTGTCACTGCAACAGCTCCAGCCACCCGGACCGACGTCAAACATGTATCTAGTTTCATCGTCCACATAGCATAGCATTACTTCTACATCCATTGCTTGTACATAGCATAAGATCACACGTAATACCATCCTACTCAGTCCAATCCAGCCCCTTTCACTAGTTATATACTCCAATGATTCTGTCTTGACCTTCTTCTTCTTCTTCTCCCATAACTGAATCCCCTACACCATGACCACCATCTCCACACCATCCCTAGAATGATCAATATATACCCGCCTCCCAATCCATCAAGTTCATAATCCACAATGATCTAAATCATTCTCCTTCTGTATTTAAATCCCTTTGGGGTAGGAAGTGTGCTCTGGCACGCAAGATAAACACAGTTACAGATAAATTGTCATATCATTGATGAATCAGCGTAAGTCACACAACCAAGGACAGATGACAGAGACAGAGACAGATAGAGTCGATCGGTGGGCAGATATCTGACTGTCTGAGTCTCGCAGAGTTATTGGATGTAGGTTTGCTTTGTAGACAGGGTGGGTTGGTGTGTTATGTTGTTTGGTGGTTATCACCTTTGCAGCTGTTTTCATAGCCGGGGGGATATCTCTTTTGGTCTAGGTGGAAGGAAGCTCCTGATATTAGGTCGACGGTGAAGATTATCTTGGAAAAGAACGTGTCTAGTTGGAGAAGATGAGATTGATTAGGAAGATTGAAATGCTAACAATAATCATCTAACTATTACCTGTTGTGTGCTATCATAACTACCGTGCTTCCCAAGCAGGAGGCAACTCCTCTGGGACATAAGTCTCATCCGGTTCCATATACAGGTAGGGTTTCACATCCGAGAGGGAATGTTGGCAGAAGGCAACTCTCACTGCTTTATGACGGGTCTGCATGGCGTACCAGATCGGGGTTCGTCCATTTGCGTCAGGGGCTGTGAGGTCTGCGCCGGCGGCGAGAAGAACCTCGGCTATACCTGCGTGGCCAGCTTCCCCCGCATGCGACAGAGCGGTTCGAGTGCCGTTCCTGATATGATCGGGGTTCGCGCCCTTGGCGAGGAAATAATTGGTCATGCTTTCCTGGCCCCAGCGCGCGGCCTCAAACATGGCGTCTGCAACCTGACGCTCCAGCTCAGGGTGGTTCTTCACCAGCATATATACGATGGCGTGGTGGCCGCGCCATGCGGCACATACCAGGATCGGACTATCCCATCGTTGAACTTCGATCATTGGGTCGGCGCCGTGATCGAGCAATAGGCGGACTAGTTTCTTGTCTCCGATGCGGACTGCATTGAACAGGGCAGTTTGGGCTTCATCGCGATAGATGTGGTTGACTCGAGCGCCGCTTTGGAGCAGCAACTCAATGACTTCCTTTTTTGTTTGGGCGCATACCGCTGAACACAACGCATCTCCAAGTTGTTGCTGATATGTAGCCGAGCCCTTCAGCTTCTGCATTTGAGCGAGCAGATACTTGAAGATTTCGAGACTGTTGCACATTGCAGCACTTTCTAGTGGACCGCAACCTGTCTTACCAAGGCGGGCCGGGTCCGCGCCTCGTTCAACCAATCATTTAATCATAGGGAGATGCCACCCTGAGATGGCGAGGCTGAGGGGTGTTATACCCCCATGGAAAGATGGGTGGTCTATATCTGTTCCTAATTCTAGGAGAAACTCCACGATATGGATATGTCCACACTGACCGGCGATGGAAATCGGGTGACCTATGTCCATTTGTCGGGAAGCTTCTTCATCACGTTCATTTTCCCTGTAATATTCCACGTCGGAGATATCGCAATGGGCGTCGGTTGCAGGGGCGTAAGGGGCGGGGAGCTTGGCGCCAGTGTTGAGTGCTTTCTTGAGGGTTTCTAATTGGCCCTCGGCGGTGGCCCAATATAGCAGACGGTTGGCTCGGGTGCGGACCCCGTGTTTGTACAGACGGGGGTTGACCCACTGGTAGAGATAGTGGCTGGTGCGGGCCAGGGAGTTGAGGTCTTTTTTGCGGGACAAAAATCCTGCGATGATCAGGACCAGCTCGGGAGTGAGAAGATGGAGTGACATTCTGATTGTAGATGGATGCTGAGTACTCTGTGAATCTGTTGCAGGAATTGCAAAGGGCTCGTTGCTTGATTCCGCGGGTGGTCCGCCGTCGCGCTTCCCGCTAACGCGACGCGTTCTCCACTCATCTTGGACTCCACAAAGTTATTAACTTGGCCATTAGATCTGGACTCATAGTGAGATTATGGGCGGAAGCCTATTAGTACCTAGGGCGTGTGGTACATCAAGGCAATAGGACAATGAGCAATCGCACGATTGGATCGGCTCAGAGTACTAGTAATATATATAGCGGAACCAATTCCGAGCGGGGCGTCCGCCCCGCCCCTGGTTATGCCTCAATTGGGCCAGAAACCAGGTGAACGACTCCATACTCGTGTGTTTCAAGAAGGTATGAGCTTGAATTGGAATTTATCATGTTTGACTTGATGTCGAAATTGCTTGATGGCAAGATGGAAGCTATGCTGTGGCTAGGAAAGAGGAAGAAGACGAAGGAGCGAGAGGATCAGGTGATCCCACAATCAGCTTTGAAAGACGTCCTACCGATTATCCGTCCAACAAATCTCAATGGCATGCCCCTGAACCTCTCCGTTGAAGCAGCCACTGACCACAATCTTTTCCTCACAGGCCACAGATCCCTCCAAAACCTTCGACTTGACCGTCGCAGCGACCGCTTCAAACAGCTCACACAGCGCCAGATTTCTGCCGATACATGATCGCGATCCTAGGCCAAACGGAAAGAAACACTGGTCGCGTCTCTCATCCGCCATCTCTAGCCACCGCTCCGGTCTGAATGTGAAGGGTTCAGGAAACGCCTCTGGGTCGTGATGCATCACATATATCGCAGCTCCAACGGAGACTCCTTCGGGGAGGTGCACTCCATCTACGTGACACCCAACTTTGGCAACAGTTCTGGTGAGGGGAGCCGGGTTGGTCATGGCGAGACGAAGGCCTTCGTTGACCACGGCCTTCAAGTACGGAAGGCTTTGCAGGTCAGCTGTGTCCGATTCGCGTAGCTCTTGGTGGACTCTGTCGCGAATGCTAGGCTGACGCACAAGGTGGAACAAGATGGTAGCCAGTGTCTGACCAGTCGAGCTCGTCCCTGCAAACAGCGATCCTCCACATATCCCGATGATCTCTTCCTCTGTCGCTCCAGCGGCAGATAGACGGCCGTGGTAGGTGGATGCCATATTTGCTTTGTCTCCGACGACCGACTCGACGAATGCTCCGACGCGACGCACCGATGCGCCCCGAGCAGGATCCAAAAGGGAAGTATGGACCAACAAGGCTTTGGAGAACAACCACGGCGGGAGCATGGAATAGTATCCAAACGCTGCAATGGCCTGCAGCCAGGGACTTTCTGAGAACTTCCGTGGCTGTGAGCGACCGGACGAATCCTCGTCCAGCGCTCCATACGACCTGTCAAACATGTAGCCCGTCATTACGTCCATCGACAGCCGCAGCGCCAAATCTAAGATATCGACACGACTCGACGTGCTTGAAACGGACTTGACGCGACTCCTTTCGCCATTCAACCGAGCGATAAATCTCTCAACATAACGCTGGACATTTTGTCCCTCCTGCGCTGCTCGTATCCTAGCAGGCGCAAATAACGGCAGTACAGCTTTGGCTCGCACATCACGGTAGGCTTTGTCGATGGCGGAAAAGATAGTGGGCCGGCCGTTGACGTCGAAGTTGCGATACCGGCCGTCTTTCACGAAGCCCCCGTCGGCCACATAAATGGTCGCCAAGGCCTTTGGGTCGGAAATGGAAACCAAACTCGGGGCAATGCGCAGGACTCGAGTTTTGTATTGGCGATGGTAGTGCGCAAGGATCTGGGGTTCGATCCCAAGAAAAACGATCGCCCACTGGGGAATGGAGGAGATGCAAAAGATCCAGGGCCCAGGGAGGTGGGATAATGGATGGAGAGTAAGACGGTAGACCGCCACCGTGAATAGGAGGATGCACAAGAGGGTCAAGGCTTCGAACAGCATCCTGATGACGACACTTCACATGACCACCATAGATAGTCGGGTAGTCTCAGTATTCTGCGATTTCCCTTTGTGTCATCGATCATGTTTCAGGCGTTGATCGCAAGCCTGCCGATCGTGTTACATACGTCGAGCGGTGAGGTGCATTCCTGACTAAGTTCTTCAACCTACATCAGCATTGGTCCCTCCCGACCCATTTCCATCACCAAGCTTTGGGATCATGACCAGCGAAGAAATGAGGTGAAACTTGACGTGGGAAATGATAAGGTACGGCCGGCCCATGGACCAGATCCTCAAAGTCGAGATTAACGCAGTCAGTCTCGTGAAAGTGGATGCATCCAATTCAAACATGTTTGGCTGCCACCAATAGCCAACAGCGCATTCCATCGCCGCAGTGCCTGGAAAAGGGAGCTGGATGCTCATCAAACACGCACCACTGAGAAATGGGAACGTTCCCCGCAGTCCGAGCGGACAATCCGCGTCGATCCTTGGGCGAACCACGGGCCGGCCAGCAAACCCCTGAACCCATCGAGATCCGAGGTTGGTCGATCCCAAAGAGTGGAAGTTTCATATGCAACTGGCTCGGCTAAGACGAAGCTACATAAGCATGGCAGTTTGCCCTCAGATGCACTCCTGACAGACTTACACACTTCATCTATTCATCATCATGGCTACCACAACCGGATTCATCGGCAACCTGACTCAGGATCAGGAAGCCAAACTGCGGCAGCTTTGGTCTATTGTTTTGACCTTGCTAGACGTTAAGTCCCTTCAGAATGGCGATGCTCCAGCGCAACTCGAGCGCCAAAGCACGTCGCTCTCCCGTGCCGACACCGTCGTCTCCGCGAATGGTCAGACGGCCTTTACGGAGGATTTGTCCCGGGTGCTTCAGAAGAACGGCATGAGCAGCGCCGACATCAAGTCTGTTCGAGAGACCTTGAGCAGCAGCTCGACTGACGACCTCCGCTCTGGCCTGCTGTACATCGCCAAGCATGACTCCCCTGATGTCCTCCTCCTTCGCTTCCTACGCGCTCGCAAGTGGGATGTCGGCAAGGGCTTTGGGATGATGTTGAGGGCGATGGTGTGGCGCAAGAACCAGCATGTCGACGACAAGGTGATTGCCAACCCGGAGCTGGACGCATTGGTCACATCCCAGAATACAGTGGATACTGCTGCAGCCAAAGAGTGCAAGGACTTTCTGGACCAGATGCGCATGGGCAAGTGCTACATGCATGGGACCGACCGGCACGGCCGGCCTGTCCTGGTGGTGCGAGTAAAGTTCCATCAGCCCTCGAAGCAGAGCGAGGCGGTGATCAACCGGTTTATCCTACATACGATTGAGACGGCCCGGTTGTTGCTGGCGCCCCCGACAGAGACAGTGGTATGTCATACCCTTCATTACTCTTGACTCAGGCTGATCAACAGACCATCATCTTTGACATGACGGGCTTTGGCCTTTCCAACATGGTATGTGTGTCCTGCAATTGCATCTACGCCACTAACGCCGAGCAGGAATACGCGCCCGTGAAATTCATCATTGAGTGTTTCCAGGAGAACTACCCCGAGTCGCTCGGGAACATGCTCATTCACAATTCACCTTGGGTCTTCTCCGGTATGTCTATCCCCCACTTCGTCTATACTAGTCTAACTTCAACAGGCATCTGGAAGATCATCAAGGGCTGGATGGATCCGGTGATTGTGTCCAAGGTCAACTTCACCAGCAAGGTGTCGGATCTGGAAAAGTTCATCGCACCGGAGCAGATCCCGAAGGAGCTCAAGGGCAAGGAGGACTGGGCGTATGAGTACATAGAGCCGGTGGCGGGCGAGAACGACCTGATGGCAGACACGGAGACCCGCGATCGCATCTTCGCGGAGCGACTGAAGATTGGCGAGGACCTGCTGCTCCGGACATCGGAGTGGGTGGCTGCCAGCCAGCAGAACGACGGAGCAGCCGCGGCGACGGCCAAGAGCCAGCGGACGCAGACGATTGAGACGTTGCGACAGAACTACTGGCAGCTGGATCCATATGTGCGCGGGCGCACGTACCTGGACCGGGTTGGGGTCGTCAAGAAGGGGGGAAAGATTGACTTTTATCCCAGCCCGAAGGCACCGGAGATGGCGAAGAGCTTGGGGGTGGAGCATTTTGAAGGCGCACAAGTCAAGGTGGTGGACCTGCGATAGATGCATGATGGCTAATTAGCAGGAGGTATTTCATCAATTGGCCGGATGGTGTAGTTGGTTATCACGTATCGTTAACACCGATAAGGTCCTGGGATCGAGCCCCAGTCTGGTCATTGTTTTTGTTTTTGTTCATGTTTGGGTCTGGGTTTGAGTTTGGCGTTGTTTGTTTCTAAGTTTGTACTAATGCCGAACCAGCTAGTGCCGCGCACTCCTGGATTCAATTCCAACGAGTCGCTTCAATCTAATCACTTCATTTCACTTCACTTCCACTTGTTAGGATCTCTCCATGTCAGTTGTCTGCAACCTTGTATGCACCAACCTCAGATAACCTTTAGGCAGCCTTCAACATCACAAGATGTATCCATGTGCAGCTGTGCCGTGGGTCAGCCGGCTTTTGGCTGTGGAGATCCTCATTTGAGCGCCCGATCCGGGATCCCCTTTCCAGGGGTTCATTGGCACTATCGATCCTGCCAGCCACGACATCCCTCTGCTTGGCTCGGTCTCAAGGTTCGCGTTCATCCATCTGACCGGACATGTTGACCTGCATCTTTAAAGTACTACTTGTCTGTTTCTGCACCACCGATAGGACCACTGACAGTGTACAGCTCTACAAAGTACAAACATTAGCAACTAACATGAGCTCCTGGTCCGTGAGGAAGTGGATCCACGTCGATCCTTGCCGAGACTCTTCAGGCACCCCCTCGCCTGATTGGCAGAAGGAGAATAAGTCGGCACTATGGATGCTTCCAATTTCTCACGGCGAACCACCAACCGGGCATGAAGACAATCAGCTCGGCCAGCTGAGGACCTGTAAGACGGTGACTTCGGCCTGATTGGTTCGTTTCACAGCTACCATCCACTATTGGCAATCGGTATGACACCCACCGCCTGACATTCCTGCCGTCTGGCCAGACTATTTATCCTGCAGGCTGAACCTGTCCAGCTGCTTGTCTCCGCCTCCTGTTTGACTGCAGCTCAGGAATGTCGTCCATCATGAGCTTCTCGGTTATTCGCGTGCTCGCGTCGTTTCTCTTTCTCGGTCTATCGACGGCCTCGACTCTCCGTCAATGTCTTCTCACCGCGGTGCAGAATGACCCGACTCTGGTTGCCGTCGACGGAGACCTCCTCTACCAGACTCTCGCCGTCCAAGTCTACAACCTCAACTGGCCCGTCACCCCGGCGGCCGTGACCTTTCCCAAGTCCACCCAACAAGTCGCCTCGATTGTGTCCTGCGCCGCGACACTCGGCTACAAAGTCCAAGCCAAGAGCGGCGGCCACAGCTATGGCAATTACGGTACCTCCCCTCTTCCTCTTCAACTGCCACAACTAACTCCGTAAACCAGGCCTCGGCGGCACCAACGGCGCCATCAACATCAACCTCAAAAACATGAAATCCTTCTCGATGGACTACACCAACTACCAAGCCACCGTCGGCGCCGGCATGCTCAACGGCGAACTCGACGATTACCTCCACAACGCCGGCGGTCGAGCCATCTCCCACGGCACATCCCCCCAGATCGGAGTCGGCGGACACGCAACCATCGGCGGACTGGGCCCAACCGCCCGACAATACGGAATGGAACTAGACCACGTCCTCGAAGCAGAAGTAGTCCTCGCCAACGGCACCGTAGTACACACATCAGCAACCCAAAACCCAGACCTCCTCTTCGCCATCAAAGGCGCCGGCGCCAGCTTCGGCATCGTCACCGAATTCATCTTCCGCACCGAACCCGAACCCACCTCCGCAGTCCAATACACCTACACCTTCGACCTCGGAAGCACCTCTTCCCGCGCCAACCTGTTCAAAAAATGGCAATCATTCATCTCCCAACCAACCCTCACCCACAAATTCGCCAGTATCTGCACAATCCTCGAACACAGCATAGTCATCTCAGGCACCTTCTTCGGCACAAAAGCCGAATACGACGACCTCGGCCTAGCGGATCAATTCCCAGGCCAAACCAACTCCTCCGTCATCGTCTTCACCGACTGGCTAGGCCTCGCAGCCCATTGGGCCGAGCAATCCATCCTTGATCTAACAGGCGGCATCCCCGCCGACTTCTACGCCCGCTGTCTCTCATTCACTGAAAAGACCCCCATCCCATCAACCGGCGTCGACCAACTCTTCGAATACCTCGACACAGCAGACAAGGGAGCCTTGATCTGGTTCGTTATTTTCGATCTCGAAGGCGGAGCCATCAATGATGTCCCCATGGACGCAACGGGGTATGCCCACCGGGACACGCTCTTCTGGTTGCAGTCGTATGCAGTCACGCTGGGGTCGGTGTCCCAGACTACGTACGATTTTCTGGATGGTGTGAATGAGGTCATTCGGAATAATACCCCTGGTTTGGGGATTGGGGTTTATCCGGGTTATGTGGATCCGAGGTTGGAGAATGCGCGGGAGGCGTACTGGGGTGAGAATCTTCCGAGGTTGGAGAGGATTAAGGAGGTGTATGATCCGTCGGATTTGTTTCATAATCCGCAGGGAGTGTTGCCTGCTGGTGCTGGTGCTGCGTAGATTGGGGGAGGGGGGGTTGGTCGTATATACTGTTTAATTTACTACAATCTTCTATTGTATAGGCAATGTCATTATATTGAACATCTACACGTTTATAGCTTATCAATTGCTACTTACCGAGTATCGTTAAATTTCACATCTTCACGCACATGGCTCATCTATCCTATATCTTATATCTTATATCTAATCTCTCTTATATACCCAACGGCCATCTATCCCCATCCCACTCTATCCCCACTCTACCCAGCCACGATCTATACACCCCACAGAGCCACATACGTAAAAAGAAAAGAAAGAAATGAAGAAAACTATAACCTCGCCACCGTCCCATCAGGCCTTATCCTCGCCAACGCAGCAGGAGTAATATCCTTCAGAGTCCGAAACCCCGTCAACTGCATGCAGCGTTTGAATTCCTCGTAGAGGATATCCAATACGCGAGAGACTCCTTTTTCGCCGTCATACTATATGCAATCATTGATTAGCAGTCATCCACAATACCCGTGTGTATCGTCATTAAAGGAACAGAAACCAAAAAGGGATCAATTAAGCACAGCGACGAAGAAAGGAAGGGGCAAAAGAAAGGGTAAACCATACCGCCAACCCCCAAACCACCGGCCTGCCCACCCAAACCCACTCCGCGCCCAGCGCCAACGCCTTAAAAACATCCACTCCCGATCTAACCCCCCCATCGACATGAACTCGAATCTTCCCCTCCGCGGCCCTCACACACTCCGGCAAGGCATCCACCGTCGCAACAACCCCATCCAATTGTCTTCCACCATGATTACTCACCACCACGCCATCACAGCCCCATTCCCTCGCCAGTAACACATCCTCGGCCGTAAGAACGCCCTTAATCCAAATCTCCATGTTAGTTACGCTGCGCAGCCAGGGGATTTCCCTCGCCCAGGAATGCGAGTCGGAGTTTGTGGCCGTGAACCCGCTATCGTGGGATTGGGATTGGAGGGCCTCGGAAGAGACGTTGAGCATGGGCCAGGAGAGACCGGGGGGTGTGCGGAAGTTGTTTCTTGTTTCGTTGTAGCGCACACCGAGGACGGGGCTGTCGGCTGTGAGGAAGATGGCGCGACAGCCTGCTTTTTCGGCGCGGGTGAGAATGGATTGTTGGAGGGGGCGGGAACGGAGGGTGTAGAGTTGGATTGCGTAAGGTCCGCCTCTTTTCTCGGTTGGTATTGTTGGCTGTGGGGTAGAGGTTGGGGTTAACTTCGCAGCATCGACTATCTCCTCTACCGGATACGTCGCAAATGAAGACACAGCCATCGGGATGTTTCGTTTCGCTGCGGCGCGACTTGTGGCTAGTTCGCCGTCTGGGTGAGCCATGGCTTGGAGGCCGGTGGGGGAGATGCCGAGGGGGAAATCGAAGGTTTGGTTGAAAAGGGTGTGGGTTAGGGAGAGGTTGGAGACGTCGACGAGGACGCGGGGTCGGAGTCGGTATTTGTTGTAGGCGGTTGTGTTTTCGTGGACGGTGATTTGGGCGGTTGAGCCGGAGTTGTAAAATTCTGGATGTTTTATGCCATAGGTTAGTGGGGGTTGGTCTTGTGATGGTGGTGGTGGTGGTGGTGGGGGGGGATTGGGGGAGGAGGGGGGGATACCGCGTGCCATCTTGGGGAGTTTCTTCGATCCAGCGATCTTGATATCTTCGATGCTGAGCATTAGGTCTGGTGGGGGAGACATTGTGATGGTTGTGGTGTTTGGTGGGATGTTGTGCTGCCTGGATGATTGAGTGAAGAATATTCAGATCAGTTGAGAAGCTGGGGATTATGCAGTTTAACAAATGGCGGGGATGTCGTGTCGTGGTGACTTGGCCTTGCAGCTGCAGCTGAGCTGCAGGTCGCGGCGATTGGTTAATTGCGTTGTGCGCCCGCCATGGTGTCACGCTGTTGGTCGGGATTGGGCTGATGCTCCATTTGAATTGACAAATCGTGGGTGCGATAGGATTCCATGGATTGTTAATGACGATTGGTATTGGAAATATTTGCTATGGTGTTGGATTTATCTGCTATTGTGTGGAAGGAAAGTTTGCTATTCGACTGTATTCTTATCGCCGGGTTGTATGAAGGGTGAGATGTGAGTGCTTTTTTGGGATAGATAGACCAAGGAGGGGGAAAGATCAGAGTTCTTGATGACTTGCAATAGAATAGAGTGGAAGAGACTATGGTCTAATAGTATCAAGATGGACTGAAATGTTCGTGGGAATGTTTATGTGTAGATGCGCATCGTGGGTTGATAAGTGCAGAGGGATCCTGTTCGAGTGCTAAGCACTACAGGTTGGCATCAAGTGAGGTGTAGCAGTTGGATTTACAGCCCATGTAGATGAGATAGATACAGTGAGGATTTAGGCAAGGTAGACAGTGTTATGGATGAGACATGGCGAATGATACTCCAATATGAATGTAGCTGGAGATTGCCGGTAAAGGTCAACTACAAACATAACAATGAATTTTCTTATAGCTTCAAAAAGGCCATTCTCAAAAATTAGACAATTCTTCCATCTGTCAGGTGGAAAAGGCTAGCTGAGAGCTACGCAATAGCTTCAACGGAACCTGCCTGCCACCCATTTCTTTCCAGACTAACCACAGGTCGATACACTACGTATAACCAACCTCACGAGCAAGAAAAAAAGAAGACCAGGTAACCAGGAACTAATCTTTCGATCTCCCCTGGAAGAAACATCATCTTCATGCTTAGGAGCGGCCTGGTCAGCCTACATCCTACCCCGCTCCACGGTCAGGGACGCGCTAGTTGAAGATGTCAGGTCGAAAACCTCGATATCCGCTGGTAGGGGCCAGTCGGACTCGAACGCAGGTCTCCCAACACCTCGACTCTCAGGTGGAGGCTATGGGCGGTATTAAGAACTCCACTGGGCGTTCCTTAGGATCATCTTGGAGGGCCCTCGGCCGATTCGACCATCGCAGGGGTTCTTGAGTACTGGGGAAAACTGGAAGTTGGTGAAAGGGGTCCAATGTTTCTGAAATGGAGGCTGCCGTAAATAAGATGGCCGGTTGGGGGGAGGTGCCCGGATGTGGTGATGATTCCAGCGCGGATTGGTGGTGGATAATCGGTACACTCCGGCGAGGAGAGTTCCCGCCCAGGGCTTGCATGGCACCCGCGTGGTGGGCTGGCAGCCCCTGGGTGCCTGGCTGTCCCCCAACAAACAGCGCCATTGTCAGAGCACTTCAGTCGCACTCCATGCTATTGCAGCAGAGGCATCGTGGAAGCATGGAAGCATCTGGATAGGGGACATGTCGCCAAAGCCATGCTTGGCTTGAAGTGGTGCCATTGTCCTCTGGATGGACGTGGTGCTCTGCCTGCGACTTTTGTGGTGGGAGACAGCCATTCCCGCCTGTCGACCAACAGAGCAGGCGGTGGGATTCTGCCTAACAATCATCCCCTCGCAACACGATCAGCCGCTAAGATCCTATGCTCTTAAGCTCTTCCATTAGATTATCTCTATAAATGTCAGCCAGGTTCGTGTCCTGAGGCCTACGGGTATTCTATTTTGTCTACATCTCATCCGTCAGCGATTGGTGCCATTTCGCTCCGCAACAGCGTCGGCCGTCAGCTCAAAAGCCCATTCAACCGACTGCGCTATCTCTTCTGCATGCCGTCAGCTCGTGATCGGAAGATGAACAGATCTAACGCACCCCTCATCCCATCCAGCGCTTCAAACGCTATCGCATAGTTCCCTAATGCCTTGGACACCAGCCGCAGACTCTGTCGCAACTCGTCCAAGAATCCTCCCAATGACCGACCCGAAGCCGTCGACTCGTCTCCCACAGGCTCGTGCATTGCCCGCGCCTTCAAGCACAACATCAGCATCGCGTAGCTGGATTGCATGGCACAACAGGCGAACGTCGGCATCGTCCGGGGAATCTCCACCCGGGAGGTTCGCGACAGATAGGGCGGACGGGTCAACGGGATCTCGTTCATCGGATTCGGGTACGGCAGGTTGTCCAGGAGGTTGACAATGTTGAGTGCGGCGTGGAGGCAGATCTTCGAAGATGCATGGGCGGAGAACGGAAAGTCTATCGTCGAAGATTCGGACATCATGGATGACAAGAAGCTGTCGGGTGTGGATGAAGCGGATTTGGAAGCTCCAACACGACAGCACTTGGGCCCGGCCGCGACCAGGTCGCAATGGCGCTTGCGGAAGACGGGGATATCCTGGAAAGCGCAGAATCGGTGGGTTTTAATCCTCGCACTGAAGAGTCAGCCTGGATCGAGGCAGGAGAGTAGCCACCTACCTGTGTAGTTTGATCTCCGCAATGTAGTTGATCGCGTGTAGGGCGACCACATCCGGCGAGTCCTGAGTGGCAATGGGGGGCATTTTGTTCACACGACCAGACCCTCTGCACGGATGTAGCAAGCACGTTATCTGGTTGTCAAGGTCCATCATTCGCTGGGACACCCACGACGCATTAAATTGGGATTTAGTGGTCAGATCGAGGTCGTGGGCAAACGTAGTGGCTTCGAGGATTGTTTGCTGGGCTTCGATGAGAAGTTTCCATCCCTGCACGGTCAGCCAGTCCACCCCAACTATAGAGGTAAAGACTCACATCGGGGATCGGTGTGACGAAGCGAGGATCATACGGATTGATCGCGGGGGGCTATTTTATCAGTCTTCTCATCATATATCGAGAGCAGGTCCTTACCATTCCGCTGACAATTGATCCCTGGCAGACGGTCAAATACTTGACGACGTTAGCATAGTTCATCCATATCTCCAGGGATATTAACCGTAATCCACCAAGCCCTCCGACGAGCTTCAGAAAACTCATCCTCATCAACCATCTCATGCAGCGACATACTCATCGCAGCCGTCAGGGCTTGTCCCGCACGATTGCACATTTTGTTGATATTCCCTCTCTGCGCATACTCGTACACACTCAACAGTACCAATGCCAGAACCGCTTCCAGACAAATTGGCACCTTGCTGTGAAACCCAACTCGTTGGAACTGAGGTGTGCCATCAGAAAGTGCTTTCGACGGATCCGATGATGAATCGAGCAGCTCGAGGTCCGTCTCCACGGCTTCCAGCGCAGCTTGTGCAAACGAATGAGCAAGGTCTCTGCGCAGCTTGACATACTCCGTTCGCGAGGGTTGCTTCACTTCAGGATGCGGGATCAGAGCCAGGATAGCCGATATAGCAAGACCCAAGGGGCTAGAAGGTTGAAACGTCGACTTTTCAGACAAGGGACGATTATGCACCGGCACGCGTTCTGGAGGGGGCAGAATAGGATAATAGATATGGATAAAAGCATAATAGGCATCCAATCTATACAGTCAGTCAGATCAACACAACACAATTAGTGTAGCCCATGGGTCATACATATCCTTATTACTTCCATAAGTCTGCAACAGATCCGGCGGTGGCCCCGTCACTTCCGGCAAGACGGGCTGCTCATCAACATCAACCGTAAAAATGGAATCAAAGATCTGCTCCATCTCCATAACGGAATTCTCAATACTGCGCAGCCCAGCACCAGGTGCCCCCAGACTCAACAACTGGTTCATCCAGCCTACAATCATTAGCTTCCACCACAACCACCACCACACGGCAACAAAAGACAGAGACATACCATCCTCATCCTCACTCGACACGGGCCCCTCCACACTCGAAGTATATTTATTCCCCCTCAAACCCTGATATTCCTCATCCCTCACATCCGAAACCGTAGTCGGCGGCGTCGACAACCGTTTTCGTTTCCGATTCTGACAATTCCTCGGTCCTCCCCGTTTACTCGGCAAATAGCAACAAACTGTATCCTTGGCGATACAATTCGAGCATCGTTCTTGGCCATCACAGCGGACTCGTAGTGTTCGACTATGCAATTATTAATGAATTGATTAATATAAGTAATTCATTCACCAGAGTATGCAATAAAGGGGAGGAAGTAAAGAAGGACGGAAGATACCAAGACAAACAAGCCACCTTAACGGGCGGTTTACAAAACCGTCGATGACCGGGACGAGTGACGTCGAGGAATGTTTTGGGGGAGGTCATCGCATCACTCTTCACCATCGATCACTCTTCACCATCACTCAAACAGAATCGAATCCTGGCTGGACTGGGAACTGGGAATGTGTACGGTGTAGATTTATGCAAAACCCGGGGGCAGCAAATCCCGAACAAAGGCAAAGCCCGGACGATCCACCTCCGTCACTGCTTATCGAGATTCAGTGGGGGAAGATCGTATGATTCAGAGGATGGGGTGGGGGTATTGGGCCAGGGGGCTGTGAATGATTGGTGGGAGTTTGAGGACTCGGGCGATTCGGTGGATTATCTACTTGAGCAGACCCCGGACGGGCTGGACTGGCGGCGAATTCGGCGGTGGGTTGGGGTGGGTTGCAGATTGTGGGGCGAGGTTGCAGTTCCAGCTGCCATGTCGGACGGATTATTTGGATGGATGATGCTGGATTGGAAGATGGGGGAGTGAGGAGGTTGGAAAAAAAGAAGGAAGAAGAAAGGAAAGAGAACAAATGATAAGTGATGAAAGAACCGAAAAGAAAAGAGAGGAAAGAAATAAGAAGACAGAAGTACTAGAGATTACACTGTTGGTGGAAATCTACCGGTCGGCTGAGGCAGTCCCTCATGTCTGCGAAGCTGGAATAAGCGACTGAAGCTAGAGCACAAACTCAGCTAGTATCAGAATAAAATGTCGGTAGGTCATATTTCATTCGAGCATCTAATATACAAATTCATCATCCTTATCTCTATACCTATCGAGCTCAGTGGATGGAGTGGAGAGAGCCTAATTGAAGAAGCCAGTCTAGTTCTCCGAATCCGCAGCAGCAGCGTTCAAGGCATCCAAAGGAGCCGACAATCCAACCCGGTCAACTGTCCGGGTGTATGCAACTCCTCCGTTCACTCGGTCCTCGTGAACCACGAGGTCCTTGCGGTTGGTGTCGACCAGCAGGCGGATCAGGTCGGGGCGCATGTAGTGGCCGCCCTGAGAATGTTAGCAGGATCCACGGAATATCTCCAAAGATACTTACAAAGTCGGCCAGAGACTTGGAAAGCTGACATTCATCGAGGTCGATCTGTGATCATGTCAGTACGGTACATCTCGATTGGCAGAGAAACTCACGTCAACAAACAAAAGCCCTTCAAAGTCCTTATCCGGGTGAGGAACAAGGTTCTGACCGTCAGGACCGAAGATGCGACCGTGGCCGTTGTAGATGCGAGGGTCCTCCAGCTCCTTGCCCGGGGGAGTGTTCAACTTGATTCCCTCGGCGGTAATCGTCTGCCACGGCGCCAGGGTGAAGGTGCCGGTCTCGATCGCATAGGCGGGTGTGACAAGCTGCGCGGTCTCATCAGCCCTCAGACATCACGCAAAGAAGATCATAAAGGAATACTTACGTCCGCATTGGCCTCGGCCACGTTGGTGAAGGGATCCGGGTACTTCAATGTCTCCTTGCCCGGGTACAGGGGCCAGGCAGCAACGTGCACCTGCTCTCCCAAGGAGGCAGCATACGCCTTCATGAAAGGGTTCATATTCTCCCAGCAGTTGAGGTGGCCGACACGGCCGATATCCGTCTGCATGACCGACTCGGTGGTGTCACCAGTGCCGTCACCAAACACCAGGCGCTCAACATGAGTGGCTCTGATCTTGCGACGGTGGTTGATGATATCACCCGAGGGGGAGATCATGACCTGGGTGGTGTACAGACTGGCCAAGTCCACCTCGGAGTAGCCCAAAGACACGTAGATCTTGTTAGCCCGGGCGGCATTGCGGATGCGACGCATCTCATCGGAGTCGGAGGGAAGACTGTTCTCGCGGTACTTCTTCAACAGAGGCAGGCTTTCCTGGTAGTTGACCTTCCACGCCCAGTAGGGGTATCCAGGAATCCCTAGTCGGTTAGCTAGACTTCAACATTTGAACATACTCTGAATGACATACAGAGCTCAGGGAAAGCAATGAATTTGCATCCGGCCTTGCCAGCTTCGTCAATCCAGTGGATGGTCCGGCGGACGGATTCCTCCAGGTTGAACCAGCCGGGCTCAGCATTGACAGCTGCGGCCTTGTACTTCTTGAGAATGGGAGCCATGGTGGATGATTGTTCTTGGATGACTGATGTGTAAATGTGTTGAGAGGATTGATCTTGCTGTTGATGATGAGAGTGATGGAGGTGAGGCCTGTCTCTCCTTTATACCTTGGAAGATGCACCGTGCAACATATCTATCAGAGTCCTCCATCCTCATCATTTGATCCGGATGCCACGGAGAACGGTGTCTGCTCTCTGCTCTCGGATGTGTCAAGGCGTATACACGGGCGCTGTCTGAAACATCGTCCCATCGCTCCGGGATTTGGCAGGTTAGTAGGGACGGGATCGAGCGGTTCGGGAAGGGCGGAGCCGTCGGGATTCCTGGGATGCGACGGTGAACTAACCAATCAGTAATTCCGATGCTCAATCTAATCTGCAGCAAGGCGTGCGGATTAACGGAAAGTCTAGTATATTCCTTAACGTTAATCTGCCGTCCCGCCCGTTCTTAGCGTAAAGTCTCGGACGATAGCGGCAGCGGGATCTGACACAGGCACAGGAGACAGAATAAGATCAGATACCGGGCAGATTGATGTGGAGTGTTGCAGCAAACCCCGGCCAGAGTAAGCATGCAGGACCTGACTTGGATCATGCCACCCGCGACTGCAGAATAGCGGAAATATCTCGGATGTAAACAATGTTCGCATGCTTATGAATGCCTCAGGGATGAAGTCAAGATATTCGTGGGGAGTTTTCGATTCACGACGTTGAAAGGTTCAGTTGCATTATGTTGTGCAAATTTGGCTAAGTGGAAGGGTCTTGAAGAGTAGCCAGCCATTTTTCCAGATTATTCGGGTGGTTTGCTCGTGAGCTGTTTGACTTCATACCATCATCCTCTTGGTCCTCATCAGTATCCTCATCATCAAGACCCTCCAGCCATTCATCCTTATAAATCATTCCTGGGGGAAACCCTTCCCCATTCGTGATAAACCAACGGAAAATGTCCAGCGACGCTTCTTCCGATGCGTCCTGATCAAGCGGTTTATGAGGAAACCGCTGTAAATCTTGCACTCGGAGAGAATCTACATCCAGCGTAGTAGGCATAACTGTTGCCATCGAAAACCCTTTGTCCTGAATGGCCGGGCCGTTCTCAGGCTCCCAGATCCAATATTGGTAACGGAGGTGATGTCGTGGACAGTCCAAATGCGAGGCGACCCGAAGAGCACAATTCCGCGTCTCCATCATTCCACATGGCTCCCAAGGTGTGCGTGGTGGATAATTGTATGATAGGTCATCTTCCTCGGTTGTAGGAAGGTGAAGAAGTCGCCAGACGTCGGCCCTCCGGACTTGTTTCTTGTATTGATCGATGATATAAGGCCCCATGCCAGCAATGTCCATGAAGCTTTGCAGACAGCCAGTCCAAGGGAAGGCAACTGGGTCCAGAGGGGGTCTACCCCGTCTAGTCCTGCGAAGGATGATCGGGGCCAACCCCCCAGCTACAGCTCCAAGCCAAAGCGCAGATATCGTGGGTCGCCGAATGCCACAGATAATGGCAAGAATGTCATAATAAAGGCCCGGCAGGTCTTCAAATTTCGTTCCTTCAGGCACCTCGTTTAGTATTGGATGTAGCCATGCACTAACAAGATTACACGGCACACCTGGCTCCCAGAACATGCCGCAGAGGGAAGACATAAACAGCGTCTGGATTGCAACTCAAGGTGATGTAATAAGGAATGTTATCATAGAGCATACACCATTCAGAGGGTATTTACTTTCCTGGGGTAGCAGGACACTGTGCCCCTGTGAGTGTTGGCGGAGGAAGTTGAATGGTTGAGCCATGACAGTTATGTGTTGGTACTGTAATGGCAGTTCCAAGAGCAACGGGGAACTGACTCCCCAAGTTATACATGAGAGCAAACCGAGAAAGAGCTTCAAACGCCCTACTAGATGACATTGGTATGGGAGGGAAATCCCCAGTAGCAGTCTTTCTTTTGCATTGAATCGCGAATGATTGCTGTGATCTGCAGATGACTGACCAAGGTGCAAGGAATTCCCCATCATCACACTCCTTCATGATAGCTTTCCAACCATCGCCAGGAGCCAGGATTGATGACCACCATGAGATTGTGTCGTCGTCCGCCTCACCGATATCGATCATATGTGTTGGGGTGTACTGAGTAGTCTGGCGATATACAGCGGCTTTTGACTCTGTATATTTCATACCACCTCTCCCCTGGATTTCAAGTAGGCGGGCGGAAAGTATGTAACATCATTCCAAGGTGGGGATTGCCAAATAATTTGGACCGACAGCCGTTTCATCTTCTGTGCCAACCCAATGACGAAACCCATTGCCATTGAGCGCATAGGGGACTGAAGCTTTCGTGCCAATATACAAAAGCACAATGTTTGTTTTGTCTCTTTCAATGCGATCGCAGTCTGTAGATTCATCTACATGCCAGCTAACGGATGCTTGAAGACAGAGCAATGGGGAAAGAGATGCGCCAACGTGGTGGGAATGAGTAGTATGGGGTCCGGCATGCATGCTAAGGACTTTCATAAGCATGTGGTGAGGATTTGCCAATTCTGGCTTGATGCCATGCTCATGTCAATGACAAGCAGCTGCTGTAACTTTGTACCAATATGATCTGCTCTTCGCCAAGGCATCTTCTAACTGTTGTTTGGTCGGTTGAAGTGCGTCACTGTCAGCGACGATCTGTAGATATCATATTTGGTCAATAATTTAAGAAAATTCTGAAATAAGGAGGAAGTGAATTGCTGTAGCAAGGCAATACTATACTGACCCCGGATAACTGTGGCGGATGTAGATCATTTGTATCCCTCTTCTGGACTTCATTTTCATCAGCATTCGGTGCCGCCTCAAAGCTTGATAATAACTGAGCATGCGGGGTCATATTGATGGACTAGGAGGAGTGGGAGTTGAGTTTGAGTTTCCCAGATGAGAAAAGAATGCTCCATGCACGACAGCCTAACCAGTCAGGTGATGAACTGGTGTCTGCCCCACTCATCCAACATTGAGATGTCATAGCATCGTTTGATAACGCAGTTTACACGGGGCTGATTATCCCTTCCTTTGGATCATCTATAAGTGAATACGGATGAAATGGCTTTCCCGATTTTGTCTTTTGTGTCTTGTATCTAACCTACTGTCTATATAACATCACGCCATCAAGGAGCTGCTGCGAGAGCTCTGGACATCAGTCCAGTAATAGTTGCATGATTGCGACCGGTTCTTTTTGGTTATAAACAGTGTTCACAAGAAGCAACCCGTCGAAATCAACTTCAGGTAGAGGATCTGCATTGTTGTCCAGTAAAAGTCGCAGTATTTCCTTGTTTCCATGTTCTGCCGCTATCAAAAACAGATTGAAAGACCGGACCCTCTTGGCTTCGAGGTCATCAACGTGAAACAAGCTTCCGTTGCGTATCAGGTATTCGGCTATCTCGTACTGGCCATATTCAAGGGCGGCGTTGAACAGAAGATCCTCTTCCAAATGCAAATGCTGGGGGATTAGAGTTATTAGTATATGATTGGGCTTTGCTCAAAAGTAGTTATTCGTGGTATCCACCGCAGATACTTTCCTGCTAAAGATTGAACTATGTAGACAGATCTGGCTGGCTAACCACCATTATATCAGCGGCTACTACCGACACCTATTGGCCAGAACGTCTCTGATTCCGCTATCTTTGTTAATCATAATGATGGTTCCCCAAATTTCATTGAACGTATTTATTCTTTCCCGTTCGTAGGCTTTTCATCTTCTTGGACCTGATCGGCCAGCCATACAATACCATCAGCAGAATTTCCTGGTCTTCCAAGGATTGCACGCTTTATCAGTCTGGTTTTCCCTGATGTAATCCTAGGGATTGGTCATGATTCTTACAGACAATGGGCCGTGGATTTCCAAAGACGACTTACTTAGCCTTTGTCGCAAAATCACCCACCCACTTGTCGCACCACGAACAAAGACTTGAATCTGGGATGTTTCTTCATACAAATCCGTTTTTACCAAGAGAATATCGGATCTGTTCAAGAGATTTCACCTACCCGACAGGTGCCCATGCTCTCATTCAGTGTTCATTTATTAAATAAAGGCGTTGGTGCTCCTCTTTCCACCCACTGTCATCGACTCCTTTATCTTCCCTCACTCGCATTCTATCCTCTGCCCTGGTGTTCTTCTTCTCCACCAAGATGCCGCCCCCTCACCTACCCTATGAAATGAAAACGGCAATTGCAAAGTTTCTCACACGCAAACAAGACCTCAACGCACTGGCCCAAACTAGCCGAGATTTCTATCACGCCGTCAACCCTGTCCTTTACGAGAAAGCTGTCACCACACATAGATTATCTATTTTTAGGTGGGCTGCCATGAACGGTCAAGTGTCGACCATCCAGATGCTTCTGGAGCACGGGGGCGAGGTTCCCCGGCCCGGTTCTTACGAGCTCCCTGAGTTTTACGATACAGATCACGTTGAATACAATCCTCGCCTAGATGAGTTGAGGTATGATTACCGGTGGGCTCGCACCATCACCTATGCGGCATATAATGGCCATGTGGGGGTGGTTGAGTTATATCTTGACAAAAGAGGTGCCAGCCCAAATCATCGCGATAGGGATGGATATACGCTACTCCATCACGCCGTTCTGAACAACCATGACTCCTTAGTCCGAATGCTCGTCGAAAGGGGTGCCTCTATCAACCATTGCAACGGTGAGGATCAGACGCCACTTGTCGTCAAAGCCGCTGAATTAGGAAACCTTGCAATGGTCGAATGCCTTCTGTCACCTACAAAGAAGAGATACCCACGCAACTACCTAAAATATATATGTAGGGCAGTGCGCTCTGCCATATTCTCAAAGTCTGCGGTAGTTGTCGAGTTTCCGTTGAGTCAAGGTGCCCCTCTTGACATTCCTGGCAAGGAATTGTCGGGCGATCCTTTCGCTGCAGCTTTCCTGAGCAACAATAAGCGACTGCTCTCCTTGGTTCTTGATCATGGAGCCAAGGTGTCGGATCGCCAAAGACTAGGTGTCTATCGCAGGGCCGCCGAGGCAGATTACGTAGATATGCTCAAGCTTGTGGTGGAAAAACGCCCTGGATGGAGGTGCAATTGAGGAAACCTGATACTAACAGCTGCGGGTTATGATTCTGACAGGATGGTCAGCTTTATCCTATCAAAGAACGTTGACCCGAACTTTCAGAGGAAAAGTGACCAGTGATCGGCACTCACCTGTGCGATAAATTCAGGGGCGTTGAAGGCAGTCAAAGTTCTTCTCGCAGCGGGGGCACACATCAACGATCCCGATACAGAGGGCCATTGCCCTATATATTGGGCCGAATTCTGGGTTAGCAGAGATGTCCTGGCTGCGTTGGAGAAACAAGATCCCGAAGGTTTTGCAGCATACATGCATAAGCGGGATATTACTCGGAAACAAGAATCGACTCCATGTTATAGAAATCTGTCGATAGGGTTAGGTATCATGTGAATGAAGAGGGCCCATTCTTATTTTTACATTCGCTAGTGAAATAGCATAGATGCACTGTCACAATCGAGGCACCACAGGAAATGATATTTTCGTGAATTGAGTTTTCTCTTGATGTTGTTGGTGTCAGTTTTCTTCCCTAGACTGGCTTTAAGAATGACTTTTGCCGGGATACAGTAGACCCATCTGTTTCTCTTTGTGTCTAATATACTGATTGGGATTGAGTACTCTCAAGTAATGGTTACTATGTCAGCAAAGACATGTATGAATACATTTTAGTTTATTACTATCCAGTGAACTGCTGGAAACTTCTGACGCGTCCAGAGGTTGAAATACGAGTCAGTAGATAAGCCACTGCAAGCCCTCCACCCACTTGAGTCAAAGCTACCCAGCACTTGGGCCAAGATTCAATCCTGTTCCTGCAAGTGATGTAGGGCTAGACTCCAGTGCTGGCGGTCGCCAATCCTGGCTGTGGGAAAACTCTTCTGGTCATGCTCCGCTCAGGCCCAGATGACAAAGGATCGGAGGCTGGCTTCCGGTGGATAGAATTCCTCCATCCGGTTAATCACGGGGCAGCACATGGCCATGACTCAATCCAGAGTTGATAGCTCACTCCCACTCAGCCTAAATCGGGACTGCAGTTCCGGTACTTGCGAACCTTCATGATGCGGCACTTGCCCTAGCTAAACATTTATTTTCATTTGAACCCGCGCCGCTCCGATTATTGGGGTTGCGCAGCGTTTCATCTATTCTTCTGTCTCTCCATCATGTCTCTGGTGCAGACTTTCCACTATGAGGTCACAGCCCCCCCACCGTCCTTGTCACATCCCGCAATTCCTTCCCCGCTCCATTCGATTCCCCCAACTCCAGCCGACGACACCCCAGATCCTCTCAATACTCCCCTCAGACAGAATCTGGCCCCGACAGCAGGCCAGGCAGTTTTTGAGCGGGCACCGTCCGTCCAAATCACTCAATCTCGTCGGTTGGCAATTACCGTGTTGCTTCTCCTGGCCAACCTCGTACAGGTTTCACTTCTTGTCCCCAATCCATCCATCCCATCGTGCTGATGGCATCAGATGACAGTGAGCTTCTCTGGGATGGCAGGTGGAACCCGTCTTGGGGAGTCTCTTGGGGCCAAGGCAACATCTGCAACCTGGGTCGGTGCCAGTTATGGGTAACAGCCTCTGAAATAATTCGTACTGCATGCATCTGACCCTCTAACATGAATAGTCTGACGCAAGGAACATTCGTGCTCATGAGCGGACGATTAGGAGATGTCTTCGGTCATCGAGAGCTCCTACTGCTAGGCGGGGCCTGGCTTAGCCTCTGCACCCTGATCAGCGCATTTTGCAATAATTTTGTCGCCTTTGTTGCCATGCGGGCGCTCGCCGGCTTGGGAGGGGCATTGATCATGCCGAACGCAGTGGCCATGATCACCAGCACCAATCCCCCGGGACGTGTGCGAAACCTCAGTTTGGGTTTCTTTGCAGCGTCGGCGCCGACCGGAGGGTACTTCGGCGCCTTGTTTCTCGGTGCCTTTATGGAGAAGACGGAATGGAAATGGTTCTTCGTCTTTATGTATGTCAACCCCGTATGAGAAAGCACATCTAACAAAATATCCTCTAGAGCTGCCATTGGCGTCGCCATCTTCCTCCCCTTATGGATACTAAGCTCACGAGAACCTCTACTCGACAAGCACGGCAAAATCGACTGGATTGGATCAGCCCTAGGCACGAGCTCTCTGATCTTATTCAACTTTGTCTGGAAGTAAGTCAACACATACCTCTAACCAATTCGTACTAATCACAGCTATAGCCAAGCTCCCAGCGTAGGATGGTCGACCCCCTACGAAATCGCCCTCCTCATCACCTCAATCATCCTCTTCGGCGCCTTTCTCCTTTGGGAGAAAACCGGCACCGACCATCCCATCATGCCCCTGGAAATCTTCCAAGCCCCATCCATCCTCACCCTCCTCTTGGTCGTCCTCCTCAACTACATGGCCGTAGGCACACTAATTTGGTACCAGATTCTATGGCTCCAAGACATCTGGCACTGGTCAACCCTCCACTTCGCCATCAGCTGGACACCGTTCGTCATCTGCGCAACGGGAGCCGCTTGTCTCGCCGCCTGGTTAATCCCCCGACTAGCCGCCCAATGGATCCTCGCCATCGGCACCACCACCATTCTAGTCTCCAACGCACTAATGGCCACCGTCCCTCTCCATCAAACCTACTGGGCCCAGGTATTCCCATCCATCATCCTCTTCTCCTTCTGTCCGGACTTTGTCTACACGGCCGCTCAGATCATCGCCAGTAACTCAGTCCGTCGGAATCAGCAAGGCATTGCGGGCTCGCTGATTGGCTCACTTAACCTCTACGGTGTGAGTTTAGGATTGGGGTTCTCTTCGACCATCGAAGACCAGATCGCTCAGCGGTCAGGGAGCCGGATCGAGGGGTACCGGGCTGCATTGTACTTCGGGGTGGGGATCAGTGTAGTGGCATTATTGTTAGATGTATGCTTTGTGCGCATGGTCAAGGATGAACGCGAAGGGTGGCGGGAAGAGGATCGCGCCCTGGCTGATGCTGATGCTGATGCTGATGCGCTTGAGATGACGGGACATGCGGCTGCCACTGGTGCGGAGTGGCCTGTTCCAGCTGAACGGGCTTAGTTGCATGCTACTATGACACGACGGCCAGGTGGGAGGATAGATTATGGCGATAGACAAAAAAGCCGTGAGGATTTAGATGAGTGGGCGCACAATGACTGGTTCAGGATACGACGAGTTACACACATACAACAGATGCTAAAATACTAATTGACACTCTCCTAATACGAAATACACCGCTCGTCAACCCGACATGATAATTAATAGATAGATGGACTACCGCGACGGTGCCATATCGGTGGTAGAACCCAATCAATCCACACAACCACCCGCATCCAGCAATGAAGGAAGGAGGAGGTAGGAGAAAAGCAAGAAAAAGCAAAAAAAGAAAATTCAAGGCCCGAGCCGCGGATCGAACGCGGGACCTCTCGCAGATATGCTTGGGTTTGTAGGCTGAAGCCATCCCTAAGCGAGAATCATACCACTAGACCACCCGGGCTTGATATATTGATTGCTTTTATTTAGTGTTATATACGCCATAATATATATATCTGTCTGTTACCATCTTGAAAATCTTACATCATTTCCATTGCCATTACAATGAGAGTAATGTTTGGAAACTATTACTACTACATAGGTACATTGAACAAGCCTTGGTTTTATCCACTCTGTATTATGACTCCACATTGATCTGGATTCGCATTGTGTTGGGTATCTGGCTGTGAGATATATATTTTCTTTGGCATGGTGTTCTATCCGCTGAGACATACTGGTGCGAGTTCAGTTACTGTATACTCCTCTCTTGATTAAGGACTCTGGCATCGACACATCAAAGCAACATCCACTTGCGACGAATGCTAATTAATTTCTCATAGAATTCCAATGGTTCCGTGTGTATAACGCTGTCCCTCCACCACCTGTTCATCCTCTGCTGGCTGGAGTGAGACCAAATGTGGATCCAGACGGGAAGTTCGGTGGACCTCCGCGGACTCTTCTGGATGATTTCTGGAAAACTCACCTCCCAACACACCCCCATTGGTGCTGACAGCTTGCAGAACGCCGAGCCAATCATGCTCTCCAGGCACCAGTGGGCCCATCAGAAGCCACTAAAATATTTTCAGCAGAGATTGGATGCGCATCTCCATCACTGGGACCCCCTTAATCATCGTGCCATTTCTTTGGCTTCGCCGTTGAGAAGTGGGGCAAAACTAGATTATTAATAGCACCCTTGTGACGGATCTTCATCGCCTCTGCAGTGTGGAATTGACTTACCCACTACCATGCATGCAGATTGGTGGTTGTCGTCAGCATGCTGTCTACTATCTTTCTGTGGCCGATATTCTTGTTGGCCGTGCAGGCTGCCTTTGTTCGGAGATGGGAATGCAGATCCTCGGATCAGATTTTGGTGGATTCTGTCTTCCAGCAGATGAGTTTGGATGGTGCTTTCGAGTCGAGGGATGGCATAACGACGCTGGATTTGAAGTTGACTGGAGAGTTCATGTTTCAGTCTTGTGATGCTCTTGATGGAGCAGCGGCGCAAATGCTTGTCGATGCTAGAGTGTTGGGTCGTTCGGTAGGGTACCAGGGACGGACTAGGGGATCGTGTGCGGAAAGTCTCTATCATGCTCATTCAAGGTGTGTTTGCCAGTATAGCCGAAGAGCTCAATAGTGACGATGATAGGACGGGTTTACGGCAGTATGCAATCTACCAGACGTCTTATTATCTCAACCATACATATGCCTTGCACACTTTGGACACCACAATCCGTCTTCAATTAGATGGTATCGAGATCACATGTGCCGCTGCCCACATCACGCCGTATATTGGATCGACGGCGTCTGTTCTTCTCAAAGCCTTTCCATTTATAATCATGGTTCTATTTGGCGCAGCCACAGGTCCGTTGAAGATTCGTCGTACTAATGGAAGAAGCATGTTTCGGTATGAGATGGACGACGCATCAAATGACCCAGCGCAGTCGCATGTTCAGGGACTTGGCGACTGCCTGCAATACCTTCAATTCATCTTCCTGAGTGGCTGTCTGACGCTCTCGTATCCCGGCTTCTATCAAGCAATCGTCAGCCAATTGGCGTGGTCGTCACTTATCTTTAAGAACTGGCCCGTTACACATCAGTTTGCCTACCCTGGTGTCATGAAGGGTTTTTATGCAACCAATTCGACCTGGGGGTTGGAGGAAATGAGTCAGGTACTGGGTGGGACTACTATGAGCGATCTCTGGGTCAATGCCATTGTCAACCTTGCCTTGGTGATCCTGGGAACAGCAGTGGTCATGCAAATTCCGTTTCTCAGCGAGTGGATATCTAAGAGCTTCCAATCACGACAAGCAGCTGAATTGTCGGACTTTCGGAAAGAATCAATAACCCAGTTCCAGCGGACCGGATGGAGCGTGATTCGAACTGTGCTCGATCGCTTCCTCCTCCCGATAGTCGCATACTCCTCGTTCCAGCCACTCTTGGCAACATGGTTTCCCGTATATTGGACGTTTATGGCGGTCTCCTTTGTCAGCTTTCTCACTGTATCACTGGGGATCACAGTTTGGTACCTGGCAAAGAATGGCAGACAGGGCGTCTTCTTTCGGCATAGCTCCTTCCCTTCGCGTCAATCAGGGGACTGGTTTGCCAGTGCGTTGTACGGTGTCCCTATTGTAAGGGGCGTGGCTATTGGGGGACTGCAACAGTCCGGGCTGAGCCAGATCCTCGTTCTCATAGCCTGTGAGGTTCTTATATTAGCATGCATGCTCTGGAATTGCCGGTATGGGCCGGTCTGGAGACATACATGCTTCTCGGCTGCCAGACTGGTGAGCATAGCAATGACCTGTGCATTTATTCCCCACGCGCAAGTGAGCGAGCGGAGCAGAGGACTCCTGGCATATTGTATTCTGCTAGTGCATGCTGGTGTTCTTCTGTTTGGGTTTCTGGGTCCTTGCCTGGTTGATATTGTTAGATTTTCTCTGTGCGAGATGGGATTCATCAAATCACCTGCGGAGGGCTTTGCACAGTCAAACCGAGCACCGGTACGGATCACTTGATCAACTGCCGACGCAACATGCTGACGTTCTAGGTCTTTGGGATCGGCCAACTTTCGCAACGATCGACGAGAAACATCTCGTTTACGGAGCTTCCCGCTCTCCGTCCTGCAGGTCCGTCCATTGATTCTTATATCAATACGATACTGACAGACGCAGCATACACCGATCGGGCAGGGAACGCCTATCCGTCGTTCTTCCGCGCCCCTCGACCTGGGACTGCCGGCTCCTCGTCCCGCAGTCTGACTTCCAAACTCCCATCCCAGAGTGGAAGTGAATCAGGGGAATCAGCTGGATCAACTGAATCGACTCTGGACTCGGTGGATCTGAGTATTCTCGACAGCGAAGCAGCAACGGAGCGGAGTGATGTGGATTATTCGAAACGCGAGGCGGACCAATACTACGGTCGGCCGACGGGATCCCGGATGCCTGCTGATACAGAGCGGGCAGATCATCCAACCACGGCGAGACATTGGAAATGGTCCCGACAAACGAAGACAAAGGGGTTTGAGGTTTTACGGCCTGGGCGTCCTGGATTGTGACAGACTTTATCATATATAATCTTCCTCTACTGCACTGATGATATCACAACTTGAAATACTAACAAGAATGAGATATACATCCAACCAGCCATCAGAGCCGATAAATGACGGATGCCTTCCATCTTAGCTCCAAATGAGTCAACCAAGAGTCAACAACGAACAAAGAACACAAAAGCTCAACACACAACCCAGCTCATCCCATCCATTTGACCCCCAGACTCACAACCCAAGTTAACACAACAACCATGACCACCTCCCCCCACCCCCGGGGGGCAACATCGCCATCCACCACCCAGGTATCTGCATACACCCCCGCCCAAATCACCACCTGGCTGCACCACCTCCACCTCCCCCGCGCCTACACTCCCTACATCACCAACCCCAGTACCTTCCCCCAGACCTTCGAGTCTCTCCGGACTCTGATGCGATGCCAAATCAGTCGATTCCCTTTCGAAAACCTCTCAGTGCATTACTCTTCCACTCATGTCGTGGACATCCGCCCGGCCATCCTCTACAATAAACTCCTCGGACCGAATGCCAACGGTCGTGGCGGGTATTGTCTCGAACTGAGCATTCTCTTTCATCATATGCTCTGCGGACTGGGGTTCAAGACGTATATGACTGGGGCGAGGATCCGGGCAAGGGTGGATGGCGTGCCCGGGGGGGGGCTATTCGGGGATGTAAGTCATATGGATACTTATCTATCATTCCCTCCTATTAATTTCCATGCGCAATCAGTACTGATAAATCATCTCAGAATCCACACAACAAACATCATCCACCTCCCTAACGGAACCAAGTACTCCATCGATGTCGGTTTCGGTGGCGACGGTCCCACAACCCCTCTTCCTCTTCAATCCCCATGCCCATCCTAAGCCCCCTCCATCTCCACCATCTCCTCCATCTCCTCCGCAAACCAACTCTCAATTTTCTCCAACCTCGGACCCCAACAAATCCGCCTCAGTCAATCGCACATCCCACTACAATCCCCCTTCCTAACCCACTCCCCAGAATCACAAAATAACAAATTCTGGATCTACCGATACCGAAACCGTCCCACTCACGAGTGGAATTCATTCTACTGTTTTCAGGAGATAGAGTTTTTTGAAGCGGATTTTGAAGTCGTGAATTTGTTTGCTTGTTTGAGGAGTCCCGTCCACCGGGGGAGTGTGTTGGTGGTTAGGTTTTTGAGGGGGGTGAAGTGGATTTAATGAATTGGAGGGTTGGGGAAGAAGGCGGGTTAGAGAAGGGGGTAGGGGTAGGCACAGGGGTAGTGGGAGGGAATGGAGAAGAGTAGGATGTGAATATCATAGGCAAGGTAATGCTCGTGGACAAGTTAATCAAGGTAAATCTCGGGGGAAAAACGAGGGTAGTGCATGAATTCACCACCGAGGAGGGGAGGATGCAGGCCCTGTGGAAGTATTTTGGGATTCGGTTAACAGAGGAAGAAAAGGAGGGGATTAGGGGGTGGGATAAGGAGTTGCTGTAGGTAGATAGCCAGGTAGGGCACGTAATCGGGTGGCTGCATTGGTTGCGAGGTACTATAGACAGGGATCATTCAGGATAGGTAGAGAATGACATGTGAAGAGACTGGATGTACCCCATACACAGTATGGGTATGAAGTCATCCTATATAATACTATGTAGTAATACAAGTGGCAATAATGGAAGTTATGAAAGAAAACAAGCATCTCCCTTCGACCGACTTCCCCATCCAAGACCCAGCAGGCATCACTGCAATGAACAGGATCACCGCACGCCAAGGCCCACTCTCGGCCCGAGTGTGATTAACCTGCAGCCAGCAAGTCGGCTTCCAGACGCCATCCACCCCCAATTGGCTAGCCAGCACCCAGCTCAAACACTTCGAGGGGATTGCTTTATCATATCCATGTCTATCGATCCTCCGGGCCCACGCACACCGCATCCGATACACAATGGGTAGAAAATATAGATAGCTGGGTATCCGGCTGCCACCCACCGCGCAACCCGACACTCAACCCACGGCGTGGTCAGCAGTATACATCTCATGGCAACGCTGATCCCGAGCGAAAAACGCTCGGACTCCCCTGCCGAAGCCGTGTGCAGTTCCGGCCAGGATGACCCGATCTCCTCCGATGAAACAGCAGCAGAAGAAGAAGAGGAAGAAGTCTACTCGATCTACACCGGCACGGCCAGAAGTCTAATCGTCCTAACGGCCTCCGTAGCCGGTTTCTTCTCCCCCCTCTCGGCCAACATCTACCTACCTGCTCTCGACACCCTAGCCGATGAGCTCCACGTCACCGACACCATGATCAACCTGACCGTGACAACATACATGGTGTGCCAACCCCCCACCCCCCCCATCCATCAGCGAATAAACTGACCATCTAGATCTTCCAAGGCCTCGCCCCTGCCATCTTCGGCGGTCTAGCAGACACCGCCGGCCGTCGCCCCGCCTACATCATGTGTTTCACCGTATACATCGCCGCCAATATCGGCCTCGCCCTGCAACGCAACTACGCCGCCTTGCTCGTCCTACGCTGTCTCCAAAGCACCGGCAGCAGCAGCACCATCGCCATCGCCAACGCCATCGTCGCCGACGTCGTCACTCCCGCCGAACGCGGCCTCTACATCGGCTACGGCTCAGCAGGGAGTATATTCGGCCCGTCGGTCGGGCCCATCATCGGCGGTCTCCTCACCCAATTCCTCGGATGGCCCTCTATCTTCTGGTTTCTGGTCATATTCGCAGGCGTCTTCTTCCTCCCCCTCCTTCTTTTCCTCCCGGAAACGGCCCGAAAGGTAGTGGGTAATGGCTCGCGACCAGCCCCGGCATGGAATCTCTCTATTATGCAACTCTGCAAATCCTCCCCTACTACGACCGATACCCCGGCAGTCAAAACGCAGATAACTTTCCCCAACCCACTCAAAACCCTCATCATCCTGTCGGACAAAGAAGTCTTCCTCATCCTTTTGGGGAACAGCCTCGCCTTCGCGGGCTACTACGCCGCCTCGACGAGCATAACCTCCCAATTCGCAACCATCTACCACTTCAACGACGTGCAAATCGGCCTATGCTTTATCCCCGTCGGCGCAGGAAGTCTAATAGCCGCATATACACAAGGCAAGATCGCGAATTGGAATTATCGTCGCCATGCTCATAAATCGGGAATTACGATATCCACGACCCGAAAACAAAACATGGATGAGTTTCCTCTCGAGCGCGCCAGGACGGAAGTCATCCTTCCTCTTGTGCTTATTGAGGGCATGGCGTTGATTGCTTATGGCTGGGTTCTTCATTATGAGACGAACCTGGCAGGGCCGTTAATTCTCCTCGTGTTCATTGGGTATACTTCCGGAGCGACGTTGAATATAATGAGTGTGTTGATGGTGGATATTTATCCTGAGAGTCCGGCCACGGCCACGGCGGCGAATAATCTCACGAGGTGTTGGTTGGGGGCTGTGGCCACGGCGGTGATTTTGCCTATGATTGAGGGGGTGGGCAGGGGTTGGGCGTTTACTATTATTGGGTGCTTGTGTTTTTTGTGTGGGCCGGTGATTGGTGTGGTTTGGGGGTGGGGGCATGGGTGGAGGAGGGAGAGGCATAGGAGGGAGAAGGAGAGGGGTTTGAGGGGGGGATAAAGGGGATGTTTGTTTGGTGGTGTTGGTAGGTAGGTAGATTAGATGGAATAGAGTTGTGTGTGTGGAGTCTGCATCCAGAAAGCTCTGATTATCAGATAGGTCGATTGGCTTCCAATGCTTGGGATATTCATGAAATCACTTATAAGAACTTCCAACCTCAGTGTTCCACCCGTTGGAAGGGAGGATGATATTGATCTTCATCGTTGACAGGTGCTGTTGCACCCGCCGTTGTATGCAAGTAGTCCACCTCCGTTATAAATAAGCTATTCTCGCAACTGCTTGGTCATCCTGCGGAGAGGAGAAATGTAAGCAATAGACTCCGACCCAGACTATTCACTAGTGATCAACCACCGACATAATACTGGCAAGTTAAATATCATTACCCATCCCCCGGGAAATCTCACCTTGGATTATCCGAAATCCACACCGCGAAAGCCTCGTTTCCACTGCAGCGACACGAGTGCCGAAAAATATGGAACAACGAAGTGGGTAGGAGGCTATTGCGGCTCATGATAACTGTCAGCACGAGTCAGAATCAAGTACGTAGTCGGTGACAGCGAGTTGGGGGCTGGGAGAATCTTATCATGAGCCTGTCTGATGGCCAGACTGATCTAGAAGGGTTTGGATCCGGCCGGATGAGAAGCTAATATGCTAGGAAGCTGGCTCGTGTTTCAGGAGGCATTGCATGACACGCCACGATAGTATTCTGTAAGTCTCTGAGAGCTCTGAGCGGTTCTAGCGAAATGAGGTGGAGGCGCAGGGTATATGGCGAATTTTCTAAAAATGTCTGTCGGTAGGTGGTGGGTCAGTATCTCCGAGATTGACATCGGTGTTGACAGTGATTGATGGAAGGTCATAGTCTGAGAGAGAAAGATTCTTGAACGTGCTTAGAGGCAAGAAAGTAAAAAGGTAAGAAGGTATGTGTTGGTGGCGGAGTGCTTAGTGGGGGCGGGGAAACCGAGCGAACGCTGAACAGCACACTCCTTGGGGCCAATGGGGCCAAATGATCCTTTAGCTCACCGATCGCCAGGGGACTTGTTGTTTTCAGCTAGTCGGCGGTGCCCCGCGAGGCTTCTGCTCAGATCTGACTGACCATACGATAACGTCTCCGACACTGTGTGTTGGTTCTGAGCAGCTCATATTGTTTTGCTTTCAGCATGAATCTTGATTTGGGAGTTATATGAGCGTATTGTTACTGCTATTTATACTGACATGGCTTTTGAAATAGGAACAAGAATCACAGATAGAAAGAATATACCACACCTGATGGGCTATAACAGCGATCCAACATCCACGCGTCCTCGGAATCAGATCCTGGAAAAAATGCTTTCCGCCCCAAGGAGCTATGAAGGACCCCCGACCCACTGTTGGCCATCCATCATTGGATCACTCGTATCCTGAGGTAGTCCCCGGATCTGCCACAGTTGAGGTCAAGCTTGGGGCCAGACCCTGCCAGCGTTTCAGCTCACCCGGGATGCTTCTGACGCCTGTCAGCGCGATCATATAAGGAGGATCATCGCCAGCCAGCTCAGCTCAGCTCCAGCACCAGTATCGAACACGCACAATGCCGGTCACGCTCAAGAGATCGTTGTTGCTGGCCCTGTGGGCCGGGAGCCTCGTCTCAGGCTCCTGGGGAGCCGATCCAGTCACTACCGATATCATATCTGCTGCCCCTGCTACCACCCCTCCACCGGTGGTAGACTCTTACCTGGTTGACACCGAACCTGTCGACGAGCCTGTGCAGGACGAACACGTCCACCTCGCTGGCCGAAAGCACGAGGGCTCTAAGAGCGGCAGTCGCAGCAGCAAGAAGAGCTCAAAGAAGACCACCAAGACTCACAAGAAGACCACCGAGAAGTCCACCGCTGAGGAGAAGACTACTTCCGAGAAGAAAACCACCACCGAGGAAAAGACTACCCATACCACCTCGGAGCATACCACCTCGACCGAGGAGGCCAAGGACACCACCACTCATACCACGGCGCCTCATACTACGTCTACTGAGGATAAGTCTAAGCACACGTCATCGACCACGACGCCTCATACTACGTCTACTGAGGATAAGACTACGCATACCTCGTCATCTACCACGAGTGAAAAGACCACCAGCACCCCGACCACGGAGTCTCAAGCTACTTCTCACAGTACCTCTGCTAGTGAGACCACGCCTCACACGACCACCACGTCTCATACTACGGCCTCGGTTGTCGCACCTGGCGAAACCACGCATACAAGCACCACTCCTTCCGAATCTCACAGCTCAACCCATACCAGTGGGACCACCCTGGCTGCCGAGTCTAATTCTGGCTCAACCACGACCCACTCTGCCACCAGCAAGGAAGCCGAGCACACAACCTCTCACACTGCTGTGCAGACATCTCAGTTAGTATCCTCTTACCTACTAAGTTATCCTACTAACAAGGTATAGTGAAACCTCAACTAGTGCAGCTCACTATGGGTCAACTACATCTGGAGGAGAGTTTTTGGAAACCTCGGCTCAAGCTACAGGCACCCCAACTGGACACACCACGGAATCTCATCACTTGACTGCTAGCACGGCTACAGGCAGCGCGGAGTTGCACACTGGCACCGAGTCCCATCATGTTACCGCTAGCACTGGGGCTTTTGCTACGGGAAGTGCTGAGTTGCACTCTACTGGCACTGAATCACATCATTTGACTGCTAGCACTGGCAGTGCCGAGTTGCCCACTGGCACCGAATCCCATCATCTTACAGGATCTCACACTGCTACCGGAAGTACTGAACTCCATACTGGCACAGAATCTCATCATTTGACCAGCACCGGATTGTACCACACAACCGGTACAGAATCCCGTCACTTGACGGAGACTGGATCCCACACTCTTACTGGATCCCATCATCTATCCACCGGCACGGAATCCCACCATTTGACCAGCACTGGTCTCCACACTGAAACGTCTCACCACCTGACAACCACCTCTGGATCCCATATCGCTACCTCCACGTCTACCTATAACGGCACAGAGATTACCGAGTCTCATCATGTTACGGCTACCTCGGACCACATTGCCAGCAGTACCGGTGCTATCAGAACCTCTACTCACGCGGCGTCGTCTACTCATCTCATTCCTTCGGAGAGTGGTGTTGCCACTCCGACCAGCTCTGACGCTGCTCAGGCAACCGACGATGGCTCTGGAGATGGAGATGATGGTGATGACGGATACGATACGGGAGACGACTCTGGGGATTATTCCGGAGATGACGGCGGTGATTCTGGAGATGATTCCGGTAGTAGCTCCGGAGATGATTCCAGTAATGATTCGGGCGACGACTCTGGAAATGAATCGAGTAACGAATCTAGCAATGACTCTGGAGACGACTCGGCTGGTGATTCTGGAGATGATTCCGACGATGAGGGCAATGATGATGACGGTGACTCCGATGATGAAGGAGATGATTCGGACGATGACGATGAAGATGACGACGATGGAGATGACTCTGATTCTGGCGACGGTTCGGATTCTTCCTCTGCCTCTGCCTCCGCTTCTTCATCAGTCGCCACTTCATCATCTGTCTCTGGTACACCAACCAGCTCTTCAGCTGCCCAAGCAACGGATACTGGATCGGACGATGGAGATGACACGGGAGACGACACGGGAGACGACACTGGGGATGATACCGAGGATGCGTCCGGAGACGACTCTGATAATCCTGATGATGACTCAGGAGAAGATAGCGGTTCTGATTCTACTACTGCTTCTGCCTCTGCTTCTGCCTCGTCGGTTGCCACTCGGACATCCTCTTCTGGTGTTACAGCAACTAGCTCTTCTGCTGCACAGGCAACCGATGATGGAGATGACACTGGAGATGACACTGGAGATAACACCGGAGATAACACTGGAGATGACACTGGGGACGACACCGGAGACGATACTGGGGATGATTCAGATGAGTCTGATGATGAATCGGGCTCTTCTACTGCCTCTGCTTCTGCCTCCGCTTCATCGGTTGCCACCCTGACATCTTCCTCCAGTGCCACAGCAACTAGCTCCTCGGCCGCTCAATCTACCGATGATGGATCTGACGATGAAGACGACTCCGGTACTGATGCTGATGAATCAGGTGATGACTCAGATGATGATTCTGGGGATGACTCCGCCGATTCAGATGCTGATTCAGGTGATGATTCTGACGATGATTCCGGGGATGACTCGGAAGATAGCGGTGATTCTTCTACTACCTTTGCCTCTACCTCTGCCTCCTCCTCATCGGTTGCCACTCCAACCTCCTCCGGTGTTGCAGCAACCAGCTCTTCGGCAGCCCAAACTGCCGATGATGGATCTGACGATGAAGAAGACTCTGAAGATGATGGCGATGACTCGGATGATGGTTCAGACGATGAATCAGGCGATGATGCAGATGATGACTCTGGTGATGACTCCGGTGATGATTCTGATGATTCCGGGGATTCTTCCATTGCCTCTGCCTCTGCCTCCTCATCCGTTGCTACTCCGACATCCTCATCTGCTGTTACAGCAACAAGTTCTTCTGCCGCTCAAGCTACAGACGATGGATCTGGAGATGGAAATGACTCGGGAGATGATACCGCCGATTCCGGTGATGACTCCGAAGACGCATCCGACGACTTGGGCGAGGATTCGGGTGATGATTCTGATGATTCAGCCGACGACTCTGATGATGATTCCGATGATTCTTCCGCTGCTGCATCTGCCTCATCAGTTGCTACTCCAACATCCTCCGCGGTTGCTACCCCAACCAGTTCCACAGCCGTGCAGTCATCTGGAGACGATGGTGACGATTCTGAGGATGATTCTGGTGATGATGCTGACGATTCAGGGGACGATACGGACGATGAGTCTGGGGACAACTCTGATGATTCAGATGACGACGACTCTGATGATACCGGCTCATCTGATACATCCGCTTCTGCCACAATCGCATCTAGTTCGGCCTCAACCTATGCATCCACTGTGGCTACCCCAACTAGTTCCCAAGCCGCACAGTCAACTGGTGACGCAGATGGAGATGACTCTGGAGACGATGCGGATGATTCTGGGGATGACACCGGCGATGATACCGGCGATGACTCGGATGCCGACTCTGATGATGGCGATGATGGCAATGATACCGACGACGAAGGCTCTGATGATACCGGTTCAACTGATGCCTCCACTACTGCCACCCCTAGTGCTACCTCGTCCATTGCCACCCCAACTAGCTCCCAAGCTGCCCAGTCAACTGATGATGGCGATAATGGTGATGATTCGGGTGACTCGGGAGATGGCTCTGGAGACGATACTGGAGACGATTCAGACGACTCTGATGATGACGAGGACTCTGGAGATGACTCTGGAAATGATACTGATGATGACGACTCCGATGATAGTGGTTCAGTCAGTGCATCCGCCACTGCCACCCCCAGTGCTTCTTCGTCTATTGCCACCCCGACCAGCTCCCAAGCTGCCCAGTCAACGGATGGTGGTGACTATGGCTCCGACTCGGGCGACGATTCTGGAGACGATAACGGTGACGAATCAGGCTATGACTCCGATGATGGGGATGATTCTGACGATGAGTCCGACGATGATGGCTCTGTTACTTCCAGTGCTGCCACTCCAGGTGCTACTGCAACTTCTGCTTCGTCCGTTGCTACTCCGACTAGCTCTTCCGCTGCCCAGTCAACCGATGGCACTGGTGAAGATAGTGACGATGGTGACGATGGGGATGACGGAGACGACTCAGGGGACGATACTGGAGATGCTACTGGAGACGATTCGGGCGATGATACCGATGACGATGACTCCGATGATGACTCTGATGATAGCGGGTCGACCGGTGCCTCAACCACTGCCACACCTAGTGCTACGTCAACTCCTGCCTCGTCTGTCGCTAGTTCTTCAGCCGCCCAGCCAACTGAAGATGGTTCAGGGGATGATTCTGGCGATGACGGTGATGACGGTGATTCTGGCGACGACAGCGACGACAGCGACGATGGAAACGATGGAGACGACGGCGATGACGGTGATGATGGGGATGATGGCGACGACTCTGGGGACGACTCTGGGGATGATTCGGGCGACGATGGCGACGATGGTGATGACGGCTCCAACACTAGCTCGGCCACCGCTACTCCCTCGTCAGCCGCAAGCTCAACCTACGCCACTCCGGCAGCTAGTTCAAGCGCGGCCGTTTCTAACGAGCTGTGCAGCCCGCAATGCACTGAATGTCTGTCTAATGACCTGACCGATACCTCGAGCACGTCATTCAAACGGTCCGGACTATTCAGCAGAGGCCTGACGAAGAGACTCTCCAGCTTCCTGACCTGGCTGCTCGACCAGATGCGATCCGGCCAGCTCCTCGCCAAGGACACCAGTGGCATGTCCACTTCGGAAACCGTGGTCTTTGGCAGCGGTTCCACCATCTTCGGTCAGACCAACATCCGCGGATGCACCGTCGTCATCGTGGTATCCAAGTACGCCGTCTACCAGGCTCATCTGTGGGAATCACCCGGCTTCGTCACAAACCAGGACGGCACTGTCTCCTTCGATGAGCAGGAATTCCAAACCACCGTTCTCGACTTCCTCACCAACGACCCCAACCTCAAGATGCCCCAGCTCACCGGCTCCACCACGTATAACGACCCCGGCACCCAGGTCTACATCGGCACGCCCGTTGCCACATCCGGACAAGGCGCCAAGTACTCGTCCCAGATCTCACAAGTCACGTCGACCATCAACTCCGTCCTTGGACTGTCCACTGACCCAACCGAGTACTACTACACGACCACCAGCACCGACGGAGAAGGCAAGTGGCTATTCAAATACAACGCCAACACATGCAACAAGCCGGTATGGCAGATCTGGTACGGCGACGTTCCCGACAATGCCCTGTGGTCTTCCACCGAGACAGCCTCCTGCGCTGCATCTGCTTCGATCACTCCTTCTCGCACTGCAGCCCTCCCGGCCTCTACCGAATCGTCGACGTTCAGGATACTGCCGAAGACGACATCAAGCTATTAATCAACATAACCCATACATGAGCTTATCCTCATGCTGTCCATCTTTTATTTTCTTCTCTTCCAACAACACTCTCTACTGCTTTTGACTTCCGTCGACTGACTATTCCATTCTGACTATCTTTCACATCCTTCTACCAAGTATTTATTATATTCTGTCCAACTGTGACTGTCCACTGATCGTTCCATTGCCAATGTGTATATTGATTACACTACCTGAGACAAAGACCAATTTCATTACTTCGTGTATATATTAGTGTTCCTTAAACAGATTAGCGCATATGATGCTGTGTATACCCACTACCACAGAATTGTAGAACAGACTTCCAGATACATCCTATCTGAAGACTTCTAGATCCATTATATCCGTAATCCAAATAACTTGGATGGGCTAGGTAGTATTACAACTGCAACTATCCAAATTCCATGTCTGAAACTATCACAACGGCTCTATATATGGTGTTGGGATCCCCGATGGGCTCCCACGCCGGTAGGCAACGTAGGGTCACGTGACACTCCTCCCTACACCGCTAGTTAGTCCATATAGATGGCCTACGAGGCCCCTAGCTAGATCATTATCCATCTCATTCTACACGGTTGAATCGCCTTAGTAGCCACTCCAACAGGTTATGAGCCCTCTCCGGACCCCCTAGGCTAGCGATATCATCCAGAAGGATCGCCCAATTGCTTCATACGAAGCACTCCCAGGACCTCTGTCCTATACTAACCTCTACCGAGGCAACGGTTACGCCTACGCGAACCATCCTACCGGGCTTCTACAAGCCAGCCTACCGACCTCCACCGAGGCAACGGTCACGCCTACGCGTATAATATCACCACTTCGACGCTTCTGCTACATTCGGACGAACGAACGAACAAACGAACGCGTCAAGATGGCTCCTACAACACGAAGCACTTCCTCGGCCGCGCCGGCCGCAGGGGGTAGTATCAACACTTCAGACTTCCTAAACACCGCGATCAACACCGATCCGCGGACACAGGCAGAGGGCCTACCATCCAAGCTGCCTGGATCGCTTCAAGGAGTCACAGAACTCCTCACAGGTCGTAAGAACTTCGAACGATGGCATCTCTGGGTGGAAACAAGCCTACGACCACTGTCCCTATACCAACTCCTCCAAAAGGATCTACCCCGGCCACAGATCGACGATCCGTCATACAACCTCTGGCATAGACTATCCTCAATAATCTGCGCTTGGTTATTGAAGCAACTATCGCCAGAGATCAGTGAACGCTTCGTCAGAGCCGAGGGAGGTAGGGAATTCGCAGACAACGCCTATAAAACCATATGCAAAATCGCCTTAGGCGAAGAACTAATCAAAGTTATCAACACCTGTATAAAACTTGTCTCCGAAAGCCGAAACAACTATTCAACGATCGCGCAATACATCAACAGCTTCATGAATACCTTTACTACTGCGCAGAGAATAAGATGCAAGATGCCTGCCTTTATGGCAACTTGCATACTGCTGAGCAATTTGGAAACGGAATTGCCAACGTGGACTACACCCATACGAATAGCCCTTCCTCTAGCCAACCCGGATACGCTGACCAACACGGACTTTTACAAATACTGCGACGAAGCCATAGCTACAGGAAATGGGCTTGATGCAAAGCACCTGGCTGCCTCCGCACCGATCATACAGGCGTCCGCAGCACCTAGGGACATCAAATCAGATCATTGGAAGAAACGGACCTTCCCTGAGCCAGGCATATCGCCCGAAGACCACGTGGCAAAGATGAGAAATCAGCAACCGCAACAACTTGATAGGAAATGCGCGTACTGCCATATAGGTGGCCACGGTTCCCTAGTCTACTACCATTTAAATCCTAGCCTCCGACCACCACACTGGAAGCCTACCAGAGGCCTCTGATCATACAATCCGCCGAAGGAACCACCCAAAAGGCCCGAAATAAACGCCACGGCATATAGAATACAGGATCCTGATATCATCGATTTTAGCGGTATGACGGTAGCCGTTAGGGGCAACGCAGCAAACACCTGGATCTACGATACAGGCAGTTCCCACCACCTGACCCCTGATCTTGATTCCTTGACCAATTACCACAAACTTGCACCTCATGAATACTACATCTACGGCACCTCAGAAGGGACTACCGCCACGGCTAAATCAGCCAGCTACACTACTATCTACCTAGAATCCCCGACCGGGAAACCAACAGCGTTAAAGATCAAGGCATACTACCAACCGAATTTAAAATATGGCCTCCTTTCAGCAGATCGCCTCCGTACTGACTTCAACCTCTACGGGACCACCAAAGACCTAACTCTACGAGATCTAGATACTGATCAAACTGCAGGCTATCTACAGATATCGAAGAACATCACCTTCATCAGACTTACCGAGCCAAACAGAATCGCCGCAGCGGCGCCTACCCTCAATCCCCTACTACTACACCGAAGACTCGGCCATACGGGATCCCACAACATAAAACTGCAAAATCACGAAAAGTTCGACTGCGAAGCCTGCCGGCTCGCTAAAGCCAAACACCTCGTATCACGAGACCCTATCTCACGGACCGCTGATCCCACAGAACTCTGGCATACAGATGTACAAGCAGTGACCCCGACTGGCTACGGCGGGATCAAATACTATCTGATCATGATCAACAACGCCACGCGTTTGACGAGAATCGCGCTATTGCATACAAAGGCTGAAGCCTCGCAGGAACTTATAAAGATGAACTCACAACACAAGAATCTCGTCAGCCGCTACCCTGCAGCCTGACACCTAGACGGTGGCCGAGAATTTACTCGCTTCAAGTCATGAGCAACCCACGAAGACCGTGGAATTCATATACAGATATCACCACCCCGTACGCCTGAAGCAAACAGACTATCGGAACGATATGGTGGTTTGATAAATCAAATAGCAAGAACAATCATGATCGACTCCGGCCTACCGGGCCACCTCTGGCCATTCACCATCAAGCTCAGCGCTCAGATACGAAATCACTTACCACCAAAAAAAGGAGATCCGAAGAAGACTCCGGCGTTTCTATACCAAACGTTTTACAACTTGCCAAATCCCAACGCCTCGCTTGAAGTCCTACGCGTCTTCAGCTGCCGCGCGTACATCCACATACCTGCGGAAGATCGAACGCGATCCCAGAAGCTGAATCCCAGGGCCTCGATAGGCTACCTTGTTGGCTTCGACGGAGATCACGGCCACGTCTACCATATTTGGTTCCCTGATTCCGATAAGGTGAAACGATCGAGGGACGTCACCTTTGATGAAACGAAGACATACCGAACAGATCGCAAGAATCCTGATATGCAGAAGCAACTGCCCCTGACCCCACAAGCCGGAGGATCCATACAACTAGGGGACATCCTCGCTGGCAATAATGAAATATCAACACCAAGACGCGCGATAGAGGCCTCCACTGAGGAAGACGTCATCACCGGCCGGGTAAGGACGATTTCCAACACGGCAGAGCCCACGACCACCCTCCTACTTGAATCCGTGGAGGACCCCCACGCGTACGATACTGCAAACACTAAATACTCAGCTCAGGATCACCGACTTCCTGAAGCCCAACCAATCGAGGCCCCTACCGAGGAATCCAAATCGCTACTACGATCAGGCAGACCGTACGGCAATGCTGCCTTGGCTGCCCCCACCGAAAACACTGCAATTCCACGCCCCAACCACAACCACCAGGAGAAAACTGATATAGCGCGATCGCTAGGCAACTTTGGCTTCATTTTGCGCGTTTTGGGGGACACCTCGTTGCCTAGGGGGGTGTGTTGGGATCCCCGATGGGCTCCCACGCCGGTAGGCAACGTAGGGTCACGTGACACTCCTCCCTACACCGCTAGTTAGTCCATATAGATGGCCTACGAGGCCCCTAGCTAGATCATTATCCATCTCATTCTACACGGTTGAATCGCCTTAGTAGCCACTCCAACATATGGTATCTACTAGCCACAGTCCACGGTACAGTAATCGAGTATCTATTTAGCAAAGGACACTGTCTTCTACTAGACTACAATTACATGAACAGGAATACCTACCTACCTGTTTCCTACCACTCAGTGGACTAGTCTAATTAGCTGCAACCCAACCGCCGACCTATAAACTCACGCTCCAAGCTGCACGATGACGATGAGGGAGGGGTAGAGGGGCAACCCGCATACAGCTCAACCCTCTTCCAACACCCTAGATAGACATCTCATCCCATCCCACCCTACCACAAATTACCCCATCTCACGTCAAACATCAACTTCATCCCCATTCCACACACCCGACCAAACACCTCTCTTATCCAACTCACTCCCCAACCCAAACCACCGGAGAACAAAAGAGAATCGAAATGCCCTTTCAAATCCTCCTCCTCGCGCACCGCAAACCCACCCTGAGTCCCACAACCTTCCACACATACTACGAATCCCACATCGAACTCCTAAAGCGCGTCACAGGAAGCGATTTCCCTCTCTCCCATCGCCGAAGCTACATCGCTCGCACTACAACCACCACCAACACCCCACCCTCTCCAACCTCTGTAGAAGAAGCATCCCACCCCGCAACACTCCTCCTCGGCCAACAGAGCAATTTCCCCTTCGATGCCATCGCAGAACTCACATTCGAGGATAGGGCTGCGTTTGAGCGTTTCACGGCGAAGATACAAGAACCTGAGAATAAGAGGTTGATTGAGGAGGATGAGGAGAGGTGGTCGGATGGGGGAGGTTGGGGATTGTGGTTTTGGGGGAGGTGGTTGTTACGGAACGATAATTACGGCCGTTGATTTGAGACGGGAGACGGAATGGTGTGGGGGTGGCTTTGGCCTGGATTTGTAAGTTTTGATGGGGTTCAAAATTAGTTGTTTCTTGGTATCTGTTGTGACACTGCAAAATCTGTAAAGTTGTTAAAATGATTAGTGAATGAGTATGGCGCTGATGTTATACCTATCGTGGAGTTGGGTAAGTGAAAGGTGGGAGGTAAGCCGTGCGTGCGCTGTTTGATCGCCATACATGCTTTCTCTCGAAGTGATGGACCCGCTGCCTGAAGTGTAAAACCCACCACGGCATTACAGTCTCTTCTAGTGGCTCTGAAAGACTTACATCGTATCTATATCAAGAATGTTAGCCAAGGCTGCCCGAAAAGAGAAAAATCGAAGAACGAGTGGTGAGGCTGTCCAATAAACCAATCCGGCGAGATGTCACGGAGAGCCACCAAGGCTCAAACGAAGCAACTATCAGTAGCTTACACTTCACTGCTCATACCAAAGGCTTGGCGGAGTCGGTTATCATAATCCTTCTTGTCTGCTAGCTTGCATCTTGCTATGCCCACTGTATCTGTCGTCCAGTACCATGACATTATTCCATGAAACTCATCATGTTCTGGGCAATGCTTTGTCATAATCGGTTGTATGTGTTTATCGAACAAGAAGAAGAGCCCGGCGGGACTGGTTAGAGCGAGACTGAACCAGAAGGTACCAGTTTTCCAGGCTTGGTTCATCATTTTAGACAGTGTCTCGGACTTCGAAGATACTCGATCATCCTTCGCTAGAGCTAGCTCTTCCTCTTCCAGGATACTCATAAACTCCAGCCGGATGTTGTTATACTCCGCCGCATCCATATGGTCTACTGACTTATTTGTAAACCAGTGCGGAGGCTGAATCATCTCAGCTGATAACGAATATCACCACTCTAGATCTATCAGGCACGTAATATGCCAGTCTTTATCAACCAGGATGTTGCTTTGATGGATGTCAGTGAGTGCAAAGAAGAATGGTGCCCGGCGAAGCTCGCGCCGAAAGAATAACGGGAATATGGCACGCATCGCAGCTAGAGCCGATGCCTGATATGCAAAATCGGAGATGTGGTTGATTGCATTGGGCTGATGCCGTAGCCGATTATCATGGTAAGCGAGTGTGTCCACGATGTATGAGTCAGTGTTGGAGTACGTGTAATCCCGAGGCATGTCTACTGGAATTTCTTCATTCTCCAACTCCTGAATTCCCAAGGACAGCGGTCGGTTTGTGTGCTTCAGAAAGCCGCGATTGTCGATAGTAAAGGATCCGATCTTTTGAAGGGGGATCTTAGCAAGACTTAGGAAAATTCGACTGAGATCGCGGAAAAAATTTGTTCGCAACCTGGAGCAGGTATGCTGTAGAGGCCATGTATTGAAAAGCATGGTTCCTGTCGACTCTTCGATGTATTCGACCAATAGATAGCCTACTGGGGGTTTGTCGCACCGCATGTTATGCCGGCTATCATGGCGAACGTAGCATGAGGGCACAGGCAGCCTGAATAATGAGCGCTTCCAGCAACGTAGGCGATGGACGTAGCGCGTTAGAAAGGGCAAGTTCTCAAGCCGAGTAAACTAGACACGTCAATTTCGCGACAATATTGAGCCTAACCGTGCCTACCGTATCTCCCGTCGATGCAGCAAACCCATACAGCCTTGGGATAGACACATCTGGGCAGTTTCCTCCGATCCAAGCATAAGTAGCTGCTTCATAGCGGATTTTCTCATCGCCATTCCCGGGTCTGAAAGCTTCACCGATGCGATACGGCAAGGGGACGCGAAGCAGAACGCGCTTATTGCATTGAGGGTGACCCACGGTCACCGGAATACAGACATTAAAGCTTCCATGGAGCCAATCGTCTTTGTTAGCGACATGACAATTGTTCGGTGACTTTAAAGACAGATGATGAGCCACGACGGTCTGGATCCAGTCCCGCCTGTCATCGAGCAAGGCAAAGAATTGAGATTGCTGATCCGGATACTGCAGCCGATGCAAGATATTCACCTCCTTTTCTTTTGCAACAGAATAAGTAATCTCCTCGCGCAACAACCGCCGTGTCTGTACCGGGGTGGTGGCCATGGCTTTCCATGGTGGCATGGATTGCTTGGGGATTCAACCTGGAAACGGACGGCGGATGGCGGAGCCCCGATTTAAGGGGCTGGGCCGGTTCCACCAATCACAAGACGTTGTCGTGATTAGTCACAATGCATAGTTACATCTCCCTGATTCTTCGCTTGTTCTTTCTGTAAGATTGAGCCCAAAGGTTATTATAGAAACTCGAAACTGTCAGTGGGAAACTGCTTCGATCACGACGAGAGTTCCAGCTTCGTCAAGAAAGACCTCGGTGCGACAAGATCGTCAACTAGAGGTGGGTCGCGGAGACGATGAATGTCGACCATATCTGCGATCCTAAGATGCAAAGCAACTGATCACAAGGATAGCATGAGCAGGATGCAATACAAAGTAAGCTGGAATTGCGAGGAAAGTTACGGCTTGAGTGATTTGAATTTCTGACATGTCCCGGTATCAGTAACGGCCCCATGCATGCCACTCATGCCGGGATCGCCAACATGGCTGACTCCCTGCTTTGCAAAATCCCACCACCAGCCGATCTTCATCATGGCATGGTATTCCAACATAGCCACCATGCGAGCAATACCTTCCTCTTCATCACTAGGTTTGCTATCACGTCCATCCCCAATTCGACGCGTCACTCATCCCCCACACAACTCCCTCACGCGCCTGCGCCTCACTGCGTCCTATTCTTCCACAACAACCACCACCGCACCACCCAAAGCCTACTCTCCCAAATACTACTGGATTGACGGAGCTGAAGATCTCGAGCGCTACGAGCCTGGCGGCTACCACCCCATCAAGATCAACGATGTCCTCCACAACCGCTACCACATCGTAGATAAACTCGGGTATGGCGGGTACTCTACCGTGTGGCTTGCGCGAGACACGCATCTGTCGCGCTATGTCGCAGTAAAGGTCGGCATAGCAGATTCACTCCCCCATGAAACCAAAGCGCTTCGAGCCCTTACCGCGCCCGGGCCTTCATCTACCCATCCAGGGTTCTCTTCAATCCCCTGTCCACTGGATGAATTTGAAGTGACTGGTCCAAACGGAACACATCCATGCTATACCGTGACTCCCGCACGGCGCAGCCTTAGGGAGGCCTCTTACAGTCGTCTCTTCCCTTTGGACGTTGCGCGTGCGTTATCAGGTGGGCTTGTCCAAGCTATTGCATATATCCATTCCCAAGGCTATATTCACGGAGGTCAGTCCCGGTTCGAGAAATGGGAGGAGAGGAGTGATTTCTTTGATGAGAGTGGACGACCGAAGGAGGGGACGGAGGTATGGCCACCATTAGATCAGGAATTCGAGCAAGGGGTAAGGAAGTATCGACAAAAGCAACCGGGAATAGAGGATTTTGATGACGAGGAGACAGCGGCGATCTTGGACCTGATGCGGCGGATGCTCAAGTTCCGACCGGAAGAGCGACTGACAATTGAGGAGGTGATGCAGTCGGAGTGGATGGTGAAGTGGGTGATGCCTGACTACGAACGAAGTTTGCAGACCCAAAAGGAGTAGATGGAGGACCAGCCCCGGCGCACCCTTGTAATTAACCAAAACACTCCACTTCTGTACTACTAATACTACGAGCCATCGGTGACATCTCAAGTTGTAGGTTATCTCGATGTTAAACAATCCTTGTAACTATACCTTCAGTGTTGAGTTAGGTTAGTCCATTCAACATCATCATCGTCACCATCATTTCCTCCAGTCTGACACCAATCTCTAAACTGCGATAAGAAATTCTTCATTGCCGTATGTGAACCTGACTTCGTTGGAACTAGGTCTCTTATATTGTTCCTGCGTGAGGTCTTAGCCCGCGTAGATATATGGTGTAAAGTACTATGCGTATGAAGATCAGCAAGGCCCCCGTGTTCCTGCTTCTGGATCAGGTTCAAGAGGTTTAGTGCAATTATAGCAATGCGACGTAATTCTATTACGTCAATTTGAACAAGGAAATGAAATATGTACGTGAAAAAACATCAGTTAACCACCTCCTCTGCAAACTCAATCAGGAGCTTATTCACAATCTCCGGCTTCTCCAATTGCACCCAATGACCGCAATCCACCGTCTCAACTCTCGAGTTAGGAGCATTCAGGTTAGTCATCATGGTGCCCATTTCAGCACGACAGAGATAGTCCTGCTTCGCGGCGATAAACAGATTCCGTATGGGGCATTTACTCTCGCCTTCGGCGATGCCGGCTTCGTCCTCGGTATTGTAACCGCGGATCATAGCCTTGTACCATGACAGGGGGCCGGTGTAACCACCCTTGGAGAAGACCTTATGGTGGATTTCGTAGTCTTCCTGGGTGAGCCAGGAAGCGAGGGGAGCTGTCCGTCCCGAGCGGACAAATTCTGCGGCCTTGCCGCGGGGAGCGACATCGGTCTTCCATAGTAGGGGATCATCGGGAAAGATCATTTTGAAGCAGGACTCGGGCTATATCTTGTCAGTTTTGAAGGAGAAAATAAGACAGGAATCGTACATGAGCTTCGATATCGGCTGCGGCCTCGTCGCTGTTGTGCCAAAGCCAGTAACCGAAGGTTTCGTAGCCGAAGATGCTCTTGGTGCGCTCGAGTATCGCGTCTGAACGGTTAGATTATATGGCGATGTGATGAGTCGAGGTATGAACATACCGAGATCAAACTTTCCGCCTGGAGCACTGTAGGCCACCGCAATGGTCACGAGACCATAAAATCGATCGGGATAGTAGAAGGCGACTCTGGAAGCCAGACCAACACCCCTGATCCGTTTGTTAGCGATGACTGGCAACACTGCTATCAAGGGGAACCTACCAATCATGCCCGACCAGGACAGCGCGAGACACTTTCTCAATATCCAGAATTTCGACCACATGGCTGCTCATCACCTTCACCCGATAGGCGTTCAGATCGGTAGGCTTATCTGTATCGCCATATCCCAGGAGATCCGGGGCGATGACTCCGTATCCAGCCTCCTGGAGGGCCGCGATCTGGTGCCGCCAGTCATACGAGGTGGAGGGGTAACCGTGGAGGAGCAGAAAGGTGCTTTTTCCGGCCGCTGCGGGGATGGACACGTATCCATAAGTAGTGCCATCAGATAGCGTGGCCTTCGTAGCCTGAGTGGGGAAAGAAACGGATGCCATGGTGCTATGCTGTGATGGATGGAATCAAAGTCGAGGGGTTGTCCTATTTAACGGAAGTTTCGGATAGCCCTGTCAGCTAATCTTAGCATTTGGCTGGCATCATGCATCGTATTTAAAGTGTTCGCAGACGAAAGAGCCAATCTGGATCAAGTGGAGGGTCAGAAATTAGTGTATCGTCCGAGGATCCTGTGAGGCTGATTTGCCTTCAAGTGGATCCACTGCGACCGAGGTCCAACCCCGCTTAGTGCCATCACTAATCATCCACCATCGGGTATTGACTCACTACTGAAGCAAGCTGGATATCTTGGCAGCATCATGTGGGTCAGGTAGGCTGTCGAAGGACCGTAAGGTAGTTATGGATGAGACATGCCAGTCTTGAGTCTCATAGACCTCATCTCAATGTGTTTGGATAACTGTCTTGGCCCAACAGTGTCTTTATGACATATTATTCATTTCCCAATGATAATCCGTATCGAAATTGTCCAGGTTGTACCAGCCACAGAGATCTTCAAGAGAATTTAAAGACGGCACGATGTCAATGCTATCGCCCCATGCTCCAGCATCCAGCCCAGAGGTTCCCTGACCACCGCCAGATCCTACTTGGCTAGATGGGGGCGTACTATGATTTCTCGCTGACTCAAGGCCTAGCACATGGTGTGCGATCGTCTGGATCTCCCGCACATTCCTGGCTGTGCGTGGCCACAGTTCGCCCAACGCCCTGAGACAGCCGATCGTCATGCGAATCTGGGCTCTCGCGACTGTCAGCTCAACCCCCTTGAGCAGGAAACAGCAGGATGACAGCAGCGCTAGAGTGCCCTCGCTGATCATGCAGGTGGTGAATGGAGTATGGTGGAATTCTGAAACTGGAAGGGCTAGGAGGCGGATTTGGGCCTCAACGGACCGCAAGACTCGTACGGTGTGTACGTTGACGAGCTCGGGGGTGGGAATATCTGGCGCTGGGTCGCGGGCGCAGCTGGAAATATCCTCGATAGGGTTGAACTTCAGGTCTGAAAAAGGCCGGTGCAGGCCGACAGTTGCTCTGATGCACATGAGCTAGGGTTAGCCGTAGGGTCGGGGGACTTACACATGGATGAGCAGATGCGCTTGGAACATCAGCTCATCAACTTCTCCAGTCTTTGCCATGACTTGTTTGCGATCCTTGGGCAGTAGAAGCAGCCATCCGTCGAGAATGGAGTCGGCGGCCTGGATGACTTGCATCGAGTCTTCCTTGACTGCCATTTTCGGAGATGTCGATAGGGCGAGTACTGCGCATCGTACAGCGCCGATGAGGTAGGCGAAGGATGAGAATGCGGTTTCATCAGAGGCGAATTCCCGGCAGTCGAACTCTTGAAGTGTTTTAGATTTGGGGATATCCTATGGCGAGTAAGCACCAGCTTAAGAGCAATATGTCAGCGCCTACCCCCGACTCATACTCTGATTCCTCACATGGCAACTCGACGGTTGCATCAATGTCGAGAAGCTCAGAAGTCATGGTTCCCAGAGTGCCCGCAAAGTATGCATCCACAGTATATAACATCCACCATGTTCGCCTCCAGCATTCCTTCACGACCGGGTCACTGGCTCCATGCTCCGCCGCGAACTCTTGACGAAACATTTGTAACTCAATGGCAAGGTGGATGGCAGCGTCTATTTGCGATTTGGCATCAGCTTTGTAGTCGTACCAAAATAGGACGATGGAGTAAAGAAGTCGACACTGAACGAGAACCGGGTCTGTCGGTGGTGCTTGCAAGAACCAGGCCTCGGCGTATTCCTTGAGCGGAAGTGACCATCCTCGCGCTTTGACTATATATCCGACCAAGCGTACGGTCGCGATGAGGGGTCGTAAGCTAGACTGTCTGCTTGGATCTTGGTAGATTTTCATCAGGTGACTTTGGGGAAGTAGGAAAGGGTGGAAGTTGTGGAAATTCCTGTAGTATGAGTCGATTAACGGATCATTCGCAATGTTGTCAGCGTGAATTTGGATCGCAGCGGGCGATGCCATACTAGACCCGTCGCTTGCAGTTCCTGCATCGCGTGGGCTCCAACTGCTGTGGGAGTCTATCTCGACGAGCTGGGATCGAGATTTTTCCGGTTGCTGCGATCCCGCTTGCGAGGCGGCCGCCCGTTGTTTGCGCCGCTCTGCCAGAGTTGCGCGGTCGAGGCCCCCGCGACGCGACCGAGCGTAGAGGCACTGCTTGGCGCCCGCATCGCAGCGGCTACAACTCGGTTGTTTTCCGTCGCATTTGACGTGACGTGAGCGGCATGGCAGACAAGCCAACGTAGACCGCGAATTCCTGCTGTTATCCAAGGCTGGGGCGATAGTGGAATCCATGGAGGAGTTGATGATGACAGGAAGAGAGGCGGACGGAAATGTCCGCAGACGCGGGGACTCGGCGACCCGATGCGGGTATCCGCGTGGGGCTCGGCTATTCGATCATCCTCTATACACTTACTGTGTATACGATCCACAAGACAGCTATACCTCGTCCATCGGGGTCTCGTTAATCGATGGAAACCCGTGCAAGGAATATAAAATGGCTCTCAATGTCTTGCTTGATGACCCTCATCTCATATCCCAACGTCATCGCCACCATCATCATCTACAATCACCCCCACTCCTGCTCATAGCATCCAACCATGGCAAGCAAGATCGTCATCATCGGCGCCGGCTTTGCTGGCGTCTGGAGTGCCCTCGCAGCAAAACGACTCATCAATCTCAACAACAAGGAGAACAATGTCGAAGTCCTCGTCATCGCCCCCGAACCAACCCTCGTCATGCGAATCCGGCTTTACGAGACCAACGCCTCCTCCATGACCCACCCTCTCGGCCCCCTCTTCGAAGCCGCAGGCATCAAATACATCCAAGGCACCGTCACCACCATCCAACCCGAAACACACTCCATCCTCGTCCAATCCCCCTCAAGCCCCAACTCAACCATCCCAATCACCTACAACCGCCTGATCCTCGCAGCCGGAAGCACCCTCATCCACCCACCCAGCATAACCGGCCTCCAGGACCACGCCTTCAACATCGACTCCCTCCCCTCAGCCACCAAACTTAACACCCACCTCTCCAACCTCCCCTCCCTCCCAGAAACCTCCGCCCGAGACACCATCGCCATCTGCGGCGCCGGTTTCACCGGAATCGAACTCGCCACCGAGCTCCCCAAACGCCTCACCCACCTCCCCAACCCCCGAATCGTTCTGATCGACACGGCCAACGAAATCGGCCCCGAACTCGGCGCTGGCCCCCGTCCCATCATCACCGAAGCTATCAACGCCCTGAAGATCCACCTCAAACTCAACTCATCAGTCACATCCATCACCGCGGACAGCGTGACCCTCTCCACCGGGGAAACCATCCAAACCAACACCACAATCTGGACAGCAGGTGTAAAAGCCACCCCATTAACCCACCAAATCCCCAGTCCTAAAGACCATCTTTCACGTCTCCACGTCACGCAACATCTCCGCGTCCCTTCCACGCCTGATATATTCGCCACTGGCGATGTAGCCTGCGTCCTCGCTGACACAGAAGGTCATTACGCGTTAATGTCCTGCCAACATGCCCTTGAACTAGGTCGTGTCGCGGGACATAACGCGGCTGCGGATCTTCTCGGTGAGTCCCGGTGGGAGTACTCCCAGGCTGGGTACGTGACTTGTTTGGATCTGGGGGCTTGGGGGGCGGTGGTTTCGCAGGGCTGGGAACGAGAGGTGAGGTTTGCGGGGGAGTTGGCGAAGCGCGTGAAAGGGTTTATCAATGGGACGGCGATTTATCCGCCGGTTGATGTGGAGGAGGCGTTGGGTGCGGCGGCACCGGGTAGTTATCAGTCGGATGTGTTGTTGGAGGAGATTGTGAAGGTGGTGGGGTAGCTGCGTTTGTTCGGTTGATGCGCTTTAGTTTGTTTTCTGGCTTTGTCTTTGGATTTGTTGTTTATTTAATGTAACTAACTGCAGGTATGTTGTTTAACTAGTCCTCAAGAATAGTACTCAGCTCACTACACCGAGTGTCTCGAATTGGGAGCCCAAATATGCAAGCGAATGGGCTCCTATCATGTAATATATTGATATATACTCCTAAATCAACACATGCCCCCAATATACTACAATGAAGTACACCCCACCTCAACCAACTCTCTAAGCATCACTAAGGAAGTAATTCGCCGCAGTCGGACCCCCAACAGCCTGCACAACCGGCTCCAGGGTAAAGTTGAACCTCGCAAACGCGGTCTGAGAGTAATAAGTCCCATCCATAGCCTCCTCCGGCGGGACGTATCCCTCCGGCTGGTCAAAGAGATACAACGTGTAGGTATGATTGGTACTATCTCTGGGCCGGGGTGCCGTATACTCGGCGAGAGCATCGCTGGCGTTGACGAATCGTCCGTTCTCGACGGTGTAGTTGCCACCCCACCAGTGTAGACGGGTGGTTGTGTTGGTGGCTAGACCAGGGACCAGGCTGTTGTAGTAGGCGGCTGTGGTGACGTCCGAGTCGGGGATGTTGAGGTCGAGCATGAGGATCATGTAGGTGCCATCGTAGACTTGGTCGTCGGTTACATAGATGGCGGGTTGGGTGTCGACATCTTTCCTTTGGTGGTTAGTTTGAGGTTGGAATGGAAGTTGGGCGGAGGGTACGTACAGTCGGGGTCAACCCAGGTTCCTGGGGTCACGGTGGCATTGGGGTAGGCGACGCCGAGGTTCTTGTTGGTGGATGGGTAGCTGCCCGCGGGGGTCTGGGCCAGCGCGGTGGCTGTAAGAGCAGATATCAGAGTGAGATAGCGCATGATGTTGCAGAGAGAATGGTAGTTAAAAAGGCCTCCTGGAATATGGCCACCTCTTTATTTAAACTGACAATTCATCACGGAGCATAAAAAGCGCTCCGTATGCCGATGGATTCGTCATGCATCGGCGGAGAATACTATATTGGGTCCCGAGTGGATCCCCGGTTTTCTGTATCTCGGCTGCAGACCCGCTTCCACCAGGGGGTGATAGCGAAACGTCCGACATTTCGGGGATGCTTTTGCGGGAATATTGTTCTCATGTCCCCTGGCTACATGTACTTGAATCGGGGGTGGTATGCGAGCCCCAACAGTCATCTTCGGTCCCGATATCCTGAAACATGCTTCGGAGGTTGTACCTGTGCCTACTGGTCTGAGAGACGTCTTAGGATATCACAATAAACGTGTAATATCAGACTTATAGACAGCGTTATGGATACCTTCACCACAGGGCTCGTTTCATGAATCCACCAAGATCGACGAGCGTGTAACTGATCGGATCGCGTGTCATCCTCTAAAAAGCTGTCCAGTTAACTTGACTAATGGTGATTTCAAGTTTCCTTCAATCTAATCATAGCCGATCAGTCCCACAACAGCGGTATTAGGGAGAGCCATCCATCGCGTTGTCGATCCCTTACCAGTCTTGGCTGCTGTGGAGCGTTTTCTGTCCCCGGCATAGTATACGTCGCAGTCGATCTTATCTGATCCACCTGTTATTATCGGACTAAGCAGCACGTTCTTGACCTGAAACACTGTCGTTAGGCATGCGAAGTCTTGACTACTGATCCCCAGCGCGCCATGATTATGTAGATGACGCTGTCGGAAATGGAACTGCCATGTGCACAAAACTGGCCTGCCGGCCAGCTCTGCAGTTCAGTCGAGGATCTGCCTAGGACCACCATTTGGAATCTCAGATGAACAGAGTACTGGCATAGATTCCAGTTCATGTCACCGGGAACCGCGATATGGCGCCTCAACAATATCGAGAGACGAAATTGGAAGTTGACCGTCATCCAAGTATAACCGCCATTTTTACGGCGAACCATCGTACTGCCTGTCGAGCTCTGTATGACACAAACTGCTTCTGTGTGAGCCCCAGATCTTTTTGACCCGATGACGTGATAGTCATTTATCCCCACAAAGCAATTGCTCTGGGAAGCCGATCAGTTTCACTAATTAGTACGGCCGGTATGGGTGCTGAATCTTGGCAGGCCATGTTGCTGAACAGCGAAAGTGAAAGCCGTCATCAATCGGTTAGGATGGGGGTGCTCTCCCACCACATCGGACCCGAGATTTGGATGTGTAGAGCACCCAAAGTATATAAAGAAAAAAGGAGCTCGTCATCTTACGAAAACGACAACGACGGCCCAGTACAAAGTCGGACTTCAGCGGACGGACCTAGCCAGGTAAGCTCCTCAAGCATCTGTTCCCAGATACCTGCGTTCCAATCGTCTCGTACATCTCCAGGAAATGCGGATGGACCAAATTGTGGGGCTAATAATAGCTCTAAATGTGGGTAAGGTCCACTGTTGATACCCTGACTGCGAGGCACTTGAGTCAAGTGTCCTTGCGATGAATTATTTTCCAACCACAACAACATGCTCCCGACGACCTTGTTGCAGTTTGCCCACACGTCTTCATCCTGGGATATGTCTCCAAGCTTCCGTATCAGGGCTAGTCCGATCTCGCGCATGTTATCTTTCCTGATTTGGGAGATCTCGAGCTGCGTTTCGGAAAGAAGACTAAGCTTGGAAAGAACCATAAGGCTGTATCGAAGGGTGTTGTATGACGAAGCAGGCAGGTGGACAAATCCAGTCGATGGTATCGTAAGGAAGATGTTAACCGTGTTGTATGCTGATGAGGTCAAGTATGAGAGTTCTCGTGTACTGTGAAGGTGAAAGACATCCTTGTGTCGTCCAAGAGCGTGTCCGAGAACCAGCACTGGTATTGCACTAAGCTCCATGCGCAAAGCCCCTGTTAACGTTAAACATGAGAAGATAATTGTTTCAGACAAAGAACCCACAGTTATCCCATAGATTATATTGACGAAGAAGTTCTTCTGTCCGCTTTTCTCGCACTTCCGTCAGTCCAAACAACTGTTGCCAGTCCATGCCCTGAACCGAGCTCGGCGTACGCCCCTCAAACAATGACTGGCTTATTTGGGCCAGTGAACGGACGTCAATATAGGTTCTGAGAAACAAATCTGTGGGGTATTCTGTCCTTTCTGCAAGCATCTTAGTGCACCGTTCAATCCACTCAGTATGTCTCATGATAAATTGTCTCCGAAAGAGTGATGATCTGTCATAGTTAATGGAAATTTTAGTTTAGGCTCAAAAAGGAATGGAACGGTGGGGTATACTCACTTCAAACACAGATAATAGCACCCTAGTAAAGCTCGCTGTCCCGCAGGAGTCCAGTGATCCCCGTGCCCTTCTGTCTGATCAACGCCCCTCTTATCAAATGGGATGGTCTGCGTTCTGAAATTTCCATCTTTGTCCAATCCAAGAGCAACAACAACCATGATAGCCATTTGCAGCAACATGTAAACCTGAGTATGATACGTGCGCCAATGATAGTGATACCAGGCAATGTGAATCAAAAGCCCGAGAAGTAGATCCATGTTTCTTTCCATGTTGATGATCAAGCGGGTGGCAATGACTTTCCTGACTTCATGTTCCATGTGATGCTGTAAAGACGGCTTGTGTTCGAGGGAAGCGGTAATTATGCAGAGTAGAAGAAACGGAAATTCCTGCCGAAGTGTTGGAACACCAAGCTGTGTGGGAACAATCACGAAAGGGAATTGGGGCATCTTGTGAGTCCGAAACTTGGCCAGTAGCTCTTCGCATTCTAACAGGGTGAAAAGGCCACGAGATATGAAGTCCTGGTCGGTGTCTGCTCCAAATGACGACTTCTTTCCGGGCGTCCCCTCAAGGTATTGATGGTTTGCGACAATGTAAGTTTGATTCTTCGATGGTTGACAAGGTGCATGTTTATCACTATCTTGCTGATAAGAGCAGTTCAATAGGCTGCTCTAGGACAAGGACTGGAAATAAGTACCTTTGTAGCCTCCAGTTCAGCGACCAATTTGTCCACTTGCTCTTGAAGAACATCGATTCGGCTCTTTCTAGACACCAAGTTAGCCACAGCTAGGTTCAATGAACCTCTGGCCAGAATCGGATTAATGCGGACCTGTTGCTGCTGGGACGCGGGCTTTCTGGAAAGATACAAGCGTGGGAGAGTCTGGTACATCGTTCACAACTTCGCGTGTCTCGGACCGGGACACATTTCACCTTCAGTTGGATGCATCTGGCACAGGCGTGTCTCCTGCGATACTGCCTGGGTTGCATGTTGGCTTGACGAAAGACAAGGAAGATTGGACTCGATCACGCGTCAGACGGCGCGAGGAGAAGGCTCGGTCATTGAGGACACCGAGAACTTATAAGAGTCTCGGTGATGAATCCTTCGGGGGCAGAGACAAGGATCACAAACCGTCGAAGGTGATAGTGATGGAACCAACATGGACTGGGCCAATCAGCAGCGGGCATCGGAGCCGGACGGCGGACCGGAGCCGGAGTCGGAGTCGGCATTCCAGCCCTGTCCCGATTGCTCTCTTCTCATATCCGTCTTACAAGATCCCTTTATGCAAAGGGTAGAATCTGCATAATCCCGGGCATTACCTGCAAGGTATAGTGGTCTTCCTTTACACTATTGGTGATTCTTCCCAGCGATCAGGCGCCAAGCTCAGGCGGCCAGCTGTATATAGTTGAGGGTTCCCTTCTGAACTTGAGCTTCTCTCTAACTTTATATCTACTCGCGCCTTGTGAAGGCAGTATTGGGATCATGACAATAAAGTTAAAGAGCGAGTCCCCAACCGAAAAATTTGGCTCCAACGTCGTCATACAACAGCGATCTCCCCAAGAAAATTGGCGGATACCTGGGAGGTATCTTTATAAAAGGATTAAAAGATTATACGCATGAATGTCGAACATGGCGGGCGATGGGTTGAAGTGAACGGTCTGGATTGCCATGATCGGAAAGGTATTCCTTTACTACTGCGGCCATTCGGATTGATGAATCGCCCTCGTCTATCGAAATGTGGCTAATGACACAACCAAAACTCGCCCTTGATATATGGTCCGCAAGCTTCTATGCACACAACGAGTGTAATTGCTACTTTTTTGTGAGACTTGATTACACTGCAGATAAGCTGGGGAATTGGCGTCCAGGGCGGATAAGTTTTCTAGGATTTAATTGCTACCTATCACTCCTATATTCGCTCCCGAAGAAGACTACAACGATCGAAGTGCCCTATACTCAGTGTAAGTTACCCTTTATAAAATGTGAATGAGGCCCAAAGGTTAATCTTCGACAGTTCAATCCAGAGACTGCAGCCCTTGTACATGATGTCACTAGCTTCCGATATCTGCATGGTTTGTATCATGGTTACGAGACTCATTGAACTCTCTGCTATTATGCCCAGGGCGGTTTATAAGATGATACTGATCATAAAGTATCTCTGCCTCTCTTTCGTTGCTCTATCTTCATTCTTGACTACATTTCTTTCTAACATTTATTCCAAACATCCTTGATTTGGTCTTCGAATAAGTCGATGATGTCATGTCATTCCTACGATGTTTTTCTCCATTCATTCTACGATCTGTCTTATGATATCTGTAATGTATTTATCCTCATCGTTTCACCATAACCACGTTTAGATTATTACAGTATTTCAAGCAGCATTCTGCGTAAAGCCAAGGTCTTCTATTTGGATCCGAAAAGCTACATTGGCTTTCCATCTTTGATGAATTGAACGCCGGCCAGTGAAAGTTTGAGATGATCCTCGATGGAAAGAAAGCTTTTCAACAAGTTCTGTTATTCCCCAAAGAAAATGGCATGTGGGGTGCTGAATCGTGCATTCATTTTTGATACAGATGCTTATCTATACATACACTTTTCATTGAGATGATCTTTTATTGACTGAGGATGTTTATCGCATTACATGAAGAGACATTATGGCATACATTTCATCCCAAACAGCCGGTAGTAGTAGTGTTGAAGTCAACATTAAGTGAATCAGTACCTCTGCACCTGCATAAAGATTGATAACATATCATTTCTCGGTCCTGTGGCCTGTGACCACTGATTTGCGAGGACTTTACATCTTTGTATGCACGTGTAACATATTGGGCAGTAAATTTCCCATTTGATGGAGTTCTTAAACAAAGATTGTATAGGAATTAGTGTCATGTTTCCGAAACTTCCCATTACATACATGAGCATGCAAGGCTTATAAGGCAAGTACAGACTGTGTCAAGTTTCTGGAAAATGCGGATAAGTCGGAGAGTGCATCCGGATCCTGCCCCTCGTGGGTAGGAGATATCCTACACAGGTTATGTAATCCACGACGAATCAAACCTATATAAAGGGGCTTGAGACCATTTATTCTCCTCAGTATCAATATTCTTCAGTATCAGAGGAACAACGAGAGTGGGAGTTGGCATCATCGCATCCGGTGGCAGTCCCTCTTTCTTCACATCACTCTTCATCAATCTCAGGTTCTTTTCCACTGTTTCTGCCGTATTGAGATTTTTTAACTCAAGCTCGGATCTATCGACATGATACAAACCCGCTGTTCTCTTGGATTGTGCTTCCAAGTATCTTGATACCGTCGGATGCTTCTCAACACAATCTTATATCACTGGGAAATGGCTTTTACTAAACTGTCGACGGCTAATGGATAGGACCTTTTGAGAGCACCTCTCGGCTGCCTACTACACCAAGTGGCCAACAACCTGGAGCTATGGGCTCAGATCTCTACCTATACATATCACTTTCGTTTTCATATGCCAAAAGTGAAGCTACTGCAAGTGAGCATGTTAGCTTGCAATCACTCCGGTTTAAGCATGGAGTAATAGAAGGTTACCGGTATATGTCTAATCAGATTCTATCTTGATGCCCGACTCTATGATTCTTCTGCATGCGACGACACTGGGATAAGTTCGAAGGCTGTCCTGAAATCTAAGATAAACGGTGTTCTTCTCGAATTATATCACCTACATTTTGAGAGCCTTGTGACATATAGCAAGATTGCATGTTTCACTACCTTGAACAGATACTACGTGGTTCCAGTACGCCTAGTATCTTCACGGCGTACAGAAATTATCCAAGTTCCTCTCCTGACGTCTAACATCATCGCACATATTGTATACGGGATTTGAGACAAAATTATGCTCCAACCCATCAGTCTGCAGTGAACATTATCAGTGCCTTACTCGTCAATAATAACAAGAACTCGGCCTTCAAGGATATTTTCACCCGTTTGATGTGTTAAGATAAGCGTCTTTCCCACAGCGAATCGACGCTCATCGACCACTCATGGCATGAAAATAGCCTAGATCAACAGTCAGAAAGACAGCCACCACTTCAGCATAAGGGTTCCCTCAAAGGAGTATTCGAGGAGTTCCTCGGACTCTGCAAGTTTGAATATCAGGGAAAGCAGCAGTCAAACCTTCAACTTTGAGGGATTCCGCAATTCTCCTACCCACAGTCAGAACGAATAGCGATATAAATCAACCGTTCTATGGTATCAGTTGGAAGGAGTCTCCTGGCAATCAGTCAAAGCGCTGTCCGGAGTCCATACATGGCTGGGCTCAAATTCTTCGTTGAAATCGCCAAACCTCATGAAAATAGCCTGCTCCATGGCAAACTGGATATAGATGCATTGGCGGGTACGCCAATCTGTCCTTGGAAGGGTGTTGATTGACTCGTGATCTCAAGAGAGATCCCACTGCTCCGCTGTTCCGATGGGCGATGAGGCATGGTTTATCCTGGGATCATGGATCGATTTGAAGTGCGAGGGGGATACCATCTTACGATGGTATTCTCTACCCATGTTCAGAAAGTATATTTCTAGTCAACTTACCGTTACTCACGCTTGCAGAAAGCTCAACAGGCGACCATAACTGAGAAGTTCTAGGGAAGTTTTAAGCTACTGTCACAAATCATTATAGATTGACTAGGAGTTCACACGAAAGCTCCTGGAACCAGAGAGAATGGTTTGGTTGGAAAAAGAAGGATATAACTCTGGGCTGCTGAAGCTGAGGAAAGAGTCCTTTGTGAGCTGCTGCTGATGGAATTGATTTGATCTTCTTCACTCGCAATTTAAGCAACATGACTCGCCAATGTACGCGAGACTGCACGGAATACGATATAATGGACCCTCAACGGTCCTTTGTCTCAGCACTCTTTCGTATTGCCTGTCTTGATCGATAGACGACTCAATCTACAAAATGTAAGCTTCACCCAGCTCACTAACTTTAAAGATGTTGTCTCTTGATTCCTGGTGGCTGTCAAGCATATCAAAATCCCAGGGTTATTGATGGATGGGGCACTGGAATGCCCAGGCTATGTTATGATACTTATTATTGTGCATCCGATCAGGGTGACTAAAACACGATACCACTTACAAAAAGCTATTATAGCGTTGATTTAGATGCTTGAAGGTATTTATTTGGGCGGTTCTGCATGACTTGTGGTCTGCGGTGATTAGAGGATATCTATGGGTTAGATTGTTCTTCAAAGTGCAACTAAGAACTCTAAAATGGATAGTGCTTTGCTTACTGGGTATCCAAGGACATGGGATACATGCTATTTACTGCAAGAGGATGAACATGGCGAGAATAAAAGCAACACAGGATTGGTATCGACGCATGACTCTACTACCTAGCAGGCTCCGAAGCAGACCGAACAAGTTCACTCAGGGGTATCTAACTCAACCAACATCAGCAGATCAATAGGAGTGAAGGAATGGGAAAGCGTGATGTTTATCATTCCGACTCTGTACATGGAATATGTCAGCGAACCAAGAGGTCTTTCTGGCTACTAAAGCATCATGGTATCCAATCAGCACCCAATTTGTTCACTTGAAAATATTACCTGTCTCACTCAAATAATACACTCAGACTATTCTTCAAACACATTCACACATACTTCTCCAAACTGTACTTAACCTGCTTTATCAATCATACATCCTTGAATCAATCCTAATACCTATCCTACCAAACTCATCAAACAAAACCCGCCTAGCAAAATCCTCTGGAGTTATCAGATCCGACCCTCCGATCCTCCGCTAAATCCGAGATAAGATGTATACCAACCACTATAAATACCTCCAACACTTCAACAAATCCACCTCATTCAATCCCATCCCACCATCCCAGCTAACCTCTACAACTCAACAACAAAACCACCATGCTAACAATCCACCACCTCGAACGATCCCAATCCGAACGCATAATCTGGCTCTGCGAAGAACTCCACCTCCCCTACGAACTGAAAGTCTATAAACGATCTCCCCTCCTCGCTCCTCCTGAGCTGCAAGCACTGTGCTTCCCCCATCCCTCCCCCATCCCTGTCTTCACCCCCCACTAACGACCCACCTATATAAAAAAAAGACACCCCTCCCGCTCAGCCCCCATAATCCAAGACGGCCCCGTCACTCTCTCCGAATCGGGGGCAATATTCGAATACATCCTTACGAAACACAACCCGACGCACGCCCTCACCCTACCACCCACTCACCCTTCCTACGCAAACTACCTCTACTTCCTACACTTCGCCAACGGGACTTTTCAGCCGGCGTTACTTCGGTATGGCCTCGTCATTAAGAACAACTTACATTTACAGGAAGAAGGAGGAGGAAGGTTCAGTGCGCAGCTAGCGATAAGGGGTTTCGAGCGCGCGTTGAGGATTCTGGATGAGAGGGTAAGGGGGAATACGTGGTTAGCGGGGGAGGAGTTCACGGCTGCGGATGTGATGATGGGGTTTAGTTTGACGACTATGAGGGGGTGGGTGGAGTTTGGGTTGGAGGGGTGGGAGGGGATTAAGGGGTATTTGGGACGGGTGGGGGAGAGGGAGGGGTTTAGGAGGATGAGAGTGAGAGAGGGGGTTTGAAGGGGGGGTTGATGGTAGGTAGTGATGATGATGTGTTTAGTATGACAGGGCAATCTCAACTACTTATACTTACTATCCCATGTTCATGTCAGATAGATGTAAGATAGTAGAAAGTACCTGGTCATATCTCAAACACTAACCCAATCCTTCAATCCTGCAACCAGATATACACCGCATCAGGAGAGTTATGACATTGTTTCAGATGATGATCCACCAACACCAATCTCATACATAGTATGTAGTGACTGTACACAGCCATAGTGTTTAATCCAACCGATCCTCATTCATCCACAGAAACCAACACACTCGGTAATTACACCATATCCCTCTTCTCATAGCTAACAGTAGGCAGAGATATCACCGAACAAATCCTCCACTTTAACCCCTCACAATCCTTCCAGGTAGAAGGATTACCAACAGCACAGCACCGCACAGACTCAGATCTATAACACCCATCCCACGTCAGAACATAGCATACATAGATCTGACAACTCACCGCTTATCTGCATAATCTATGTACTAATGCACATTCATAAAATAAATCCACTCATAAATACTGACCTGCTACATAAAGTCCAAAATAGTATTCTTCTCCAATTTGTACCTATCTATCTCTCCCTTCTTACGTATTATATACCATAAGGCATAATCAGACCGTTAGATAAATAGTACCCCAATTAACTCACCAACTCACTCCACAATAATAATATTAAGAGGAATAAGAAGAATAACCCCACTAAATCAAACCATAGATAATGATACCCCTCCCCTCTATATAGTATGTATGTACCCACTAGGTACCTAGATAGTAGTAGATATCCCGCCCACCTCGCAAATGACGCAATGAACAAAACACCAAGACACTAACACTAAACCACCGGAATATCCCCAAGGTACTAACTAAACCAAACCAAACCAAACCTAATCAAGTGTTGGTTTCATCTTAATCCCGTTGGTTCACTAACCAATTAGATCCATTCATCCAGATACCTCTTCCTACTGATAACCAGTACTCCATACCTATTTACTCACTCACTTCCAATTTACTAGACTAAACTAAACTAACTAACTAACTAACTAATAATCAAGTCCCATCTATCTAGTATCTAGTTAGTACGAGTTAGTTCCTCAACATATCCCCAAACCCCTCATATTACAGGATTTACTCAACCCAACAAATTTCCCCCCCGAACTGAAACTAAAAATACACAACACGTGTTGGATGGGGGCCATTGCAGATCGTCACTTCCATCCCGGTCTGTCCTAGTTTTCTAGAGTACACTAGGGGGAATCCTGCGGCTAACTGGGTTTGACTAACTATCTAGGTACTTAGTAAAGTGCTACGTAGGTACTAGCTAGGGAGGTGGTTGGGGGTTGAGATTATTATCAGTTTTGGTTTTGGTTTGGGATTGGGATAGAGGGGTGTTTCATCATTACTTATTTACTATTCTTGTTTGTCTGTTCAAAGTAGGTAATGTCCGAGATTCATTAGGACTTGACTGCCTTCAGTCAAAGGGTATATACATCATATCACATAGAAAGAATCGCTGCTGCCTCATGATAATCACAATAATCAATCGCTAGCGTACTATTAAAAGAAATCATCCCACCACCTCTATTTCGCCCATCCCAAGAGAATCAAAACCAAACACCAGACTGTTCCACCAGTCCATCATCCCGCTTTATGCCGTTTTCCGTTCCGTTCCGTAGCTAATCGACAAGGAGAATAAAATGAAAGTCCAGAGGTTGATCAATGCCAACCCCTCTCGGCACCAGTCTGGTACCCCCCCACGACCACTGGGGGGTCCTCGTACAGCTGTACGTTTAGCCCCAGGCCGCCGCTGTTCATTCGCGGAACCCCCCCGCACACCACATCCCCCATGTACGGGGGCGGAAACCCGGGTGAGTGTTGCAAGGATCCCGCGTGGCTGTAGTCGGAGAGATCGTCACGAGGGTCCGAGAGCAGTCGCGGAGACGTCGGGTAGAGCGCCTGCGACGCCGGCGCCGTCACATATGCCCCGCTGACGTCAAACGGGGGGCTGGCGATCGTCACTTCGGGTGGGGATTGCAGGGGCGGGGTGTAGGGGGCGTAGGTGGCCGATGCTGAGGACGGGGAGGAGGATGAGGCGAGCCGGTAGTCATGCAGGCTGTGGTACGGGCTGGGAGGGGCCGGCGAGTAATGGTCGAGGGAAGTGCGCGGTGACCACTGGAGACGGCTTTTGTATCTGGCAACGGTGTGGCGAGGGAGGTCCATGGCGGAGAGCGCCAGCTGTGAATCCGGGTGAAATGGGTCGGCCGTGCTGCGGGCCACAACGATGCGGTAGATCTCTTCGATCGGACCGATCGACAGCGGACCCAGGTAGGCACCTCCCAAGTCTGGGAACAAACTGTCGAGGACGACGCCGACCCCGAAGAACTGGGCCAAAACGGCCAGCGAGCCGATATCCGCGTCTTCGGGTCGCAGCATGGCCGGAGGGAGCCAGAACAGCCACTGGCGCAGCGGTTGCATGCGCTCAAATGCCTGCTCGGGAGTCTGGGAGAGGAGATCTCGCTGAAAGTGTCGGACAAACTCCAGGAGATCTCCGATGCGGCGGTAGTGCTCATGGTGGTGTGTGACCCGCTTCTGGAGATGTTGGAGGGCCACGATGGTCTGGTCGAGGCTGGCCAGGTCTTCATCCTGGAACTGGTACCCCGACATAACCGGGGTGTTGGTGCACCCCAGATACCGTTGGTTCTCCAGGAACATGGCCAACTCGGATTCCTGCTTCCACAAGGGATGCATAGAACTCAGGACCTGCAGACGTCAGTATTGTCATCACGGCGCCAAACAAAGAATACATACAGTGGTAAGACCCTGCTGCAAAGACGCCCAGCTCTGCCATTCCGACGCCTGCCACGACAGGATGATCGAGGCAGCCAGGATAGCATCGCAGTTGTCTCTGGAAAACGCCCCCAGGGCATTGTGGAGTCCCTGAATGGCGACTCCACGGTGGTGGTATGCGAGTTGCTTGGTCTCCTGGTTCCGGGTAATCCAGGCGAGGTGAGAGGCGGACATGGTCAGGATCGCACTCATCACAAAGTCGTTGGAGAGAGCAATGGCGAGGAAACTGCAGATTGTCAGAGAGGAACTCCCACGCTTTCTGGCAATACTTACGTGGGCATCTTCTGCGCCCAGATGGTGCAGCTGCTGAAACCCCGTCGCTGAAGATCGATGGAGAGTCCGATAATGTGGTGGATCAAACGCAGATCAGCCCGTGACAGCTTGGTCCAGCTGGTGCGTGGGAACTGCATCAACTCGGCAAACGGGGCGATGCCCGTGAAATGCCAGTTCTTGACCTCCATTTCGATCTCGGCGGACATGAGGAGGTCGGGCACGTTGCGGATGGATGACGCGTCGTCGTGGACCGTCGCAACGTCCATGTAGTCGCAGCGACAGTTGTGCTTGGTGCAGTTCCGACTATAGCGGTCAGTAATGATCAGATACCACCATCACCACCAGATCAGACATACCATTGTGGAAAAGTCTCGTCACATCGAATGTGCCGCCGCTTGCATGTCTTGCAGCCAAACCGGGACTTGGTGTGGCTCTTGCGAGGAGGGCCACCACCGGGACCAGCCATATTGAAGACGAGACGTTGAGATGAAGAAGATGAAGAGTGATAGTGGATACAAGGTGAAACACACACGAGAGAGAGACAAAGCTCGAGCGCTGGGGAGTATCGGGGAGAAGGTGAATGGAAGAAGATGGGGGGAGACAAGATGCGGAGATGGAGATGGAGATGGAATGGAATGGATGGATGGGTGGATGGATGATGAATGGAAGGGCCAGGCCGGGATAATATAACAAGGTAATATGATAAACCCAATCTGATCGGAGTCGAGCAATGCCAGCCCACGGTTGGCTCGTCCAGTGCGGCGTCCAAAAATAACCTCGAGCCGCAGCCCCCCCCCCCAGTGAAGAGCAGCAGAGATACACGTGGGGAATACGAGAAAACGGTGCAAGAATAATAACGATGCTCGTTATTTTTCTCTCTAGTGGTCCTGCCTTGCCCAACCAAGACGAGTATAGTATAGCATGTAAGAAAAAAAAAGTATCGTCAGGCAGGAATTAGTGGAAGAGCAAGCAGCAAGCGTAGCAGCAGCAGCAGCGGCCGCAACTATAAGAGGCGGAGGAAAGCGAACAATCCGTAAATCAACAGGTCAGGACCGGCCGGCCGGTAGGGAACAAGACCTGCAGCCACTTTTCACTTCAGCTGCGGGTCGAGGGACCCCGATGGTGGATTGGTAATTAAAGGATGAAAAAAAATAATCATCAGATTGGAAAAGAAAAAAAAAATGCAAAAAAACAAATCAGAAAATCGATCGTTGGCAGTTCAGTTCACCCCTGCGGTCAAGAAAAACAATACTAAAATGTTACTAGGGACAAACCGAAAACCGACAACCCAGAAAAATGAAATAATCCAAATAAATAATATAAATAATCAGGAAAAATAAATTAAATTCCAGCCAGCGAGAACGGGTGGAATCTCTGGGGTTAGCGAAAGCCAAGATGTTGAGCGCCACGGTACGACCGGTCAGATGCTGATCTCCAGACACTCCTCACAGCCAGTCAGGACCGGAGCAGCTCCGGAAAAGGAGAGAAAAAGAAATACGGCCACCACCGTGGTCGTCTAGGATGCTCACAGCAGCCAAACTGCAAAAGCATGCTGGTGGGGGGTAACCCTGGCCAGACAGGCCAGACAGGCCAGACAGGCCAGACAGGCCAGACACGGGGGAGGAGCAGCAGGATCGGACCATGGCTGCAGGCAGGGGGGGTTAATTCGATTCTTCTGGATGACGCGGGAAGGAGTGATGATTTCATCTGGAAGTGAAGAATCGACCATAATCATCCTGGTGCTCAGCCAGCAGCTCAGCAGCAAGCCAGCAGCCGCCAGCAGCAGCTTTGTCGCAGACGATTTTCGGATTATTTGCGAGCATTTGAGCCTCTTCCGCCGAGAGGGGACTAGCGCGGGCGAGCCAGCTGGATCCACATGCTGATTCGGGATAGATTTGGACCAGTCCGTGGGATGTGATTGGCTACTAAAATAACCCCAAGGCCAATGAAGACGAGAGCACGGGGCGGCCACATGGCAGCATCACCGCCAGCGATGGAACTGGAAAAAAGTGCTTGGGCCATCCGTTGAAATGAAACACGCCAGAAGCGAATGCCTGCGCTGCTGACTCCTGCCCGTCTCTCCTTTGCCTCCGTGATGACTAGCAAGTCTAGGAACTTCTCTAGGAGCAGTCTAGTCAAGAGGATCCTGCGATCCACCGTCCACCTGATTTACTGGGTTCCATCTTTTTGCTTTTCCGTTTCATCTTCCCTTCCCCCCATTCATTCCCCCCATCCAAGTGGGCGGGACGGTATCCACGCCTCCGATGCCCGCCTCTGTGCCCAGTGCCAGTACCAGTGCCAGTGCCCGCCTCTGTCCTACTCCTCAGGTCTAAGCCGCATCAATCTGGAGTTCATCGCCCATTCCACGGTCAATCGATGGAACCCTCAAACTCAAACCATCCGTCCTCATTAAAAAAAAAAGAAGCAAGTTCATCCATTCCCAGAAAAACATCCCTACGCCGCAAACCCAGTATCATGCCACAGCCCTTCTAGCCCCCGACCTGGTGGTGGCGGGCACGGTCTAGGAATGCCCCAGGCTCAGTTCTCTGGTAAGTTGACACACCCCCGGTGGTCTCCTGGAGTCCAGATAGTCTGGGCGGGGTCTGCGGAATCCTCAACCCAAACTCTGGCGGGATCCATCTCTGGTTCCGAAGCGCTGCCTTTCCGTTACCATTATTGATATTGGTGGGGAGTGCTTTCCCCATACCAAGTGAGCGGCGCTCCCTCGTCCTATGGTTCTCTCCCATTTAGACTTGGGCCGGGGAACTTTACCCTCTGGTGCTGGCATATTGTTGGTTCGTTGTTGGGCTGTGCTGGTCGATAATATGACACACAGTAGACAGCCTGTCAGGCCGGTGGAGTCGCCGTCTATCATCTAGATCGGCTCTCGGTACCTTCCTCTGAGGCCTACCCTTTTGAGACGGAGGCGAGGCTTCGGTCTGACATCCCTTCTGGGAAGTAGTCACCGGGGACGCGGTAGGCAGAATGCTACTATCAGATGGTCTGTAGCCTGGTAGGTAGGTACCCCGTTCCTTTCCAGAGCCTCTGCCTAACAGATCATCCCCACGGAGTGCCATAGCCCATAAGTCTAATTAGACCCGCTCAACTGTCCCAGCCGTCTTCACGTCCACAGCCAGATGTTAATCGGTGGGCCATCGAATAAGATCACGGATGGACACCGATCCTACCGTTTCGGGGGATGTCAGGATGATCGTTATAGTAGCAGGGAAGCTAAGAGTCGCCGCCCGTGCTGGGATCGCTGCCACGATTGCAAAGGGAACGGTATTCGACAAATCGTGACGATGCTTCTGCTTGCAAGCAAGCAAGCAAGCAAGTCAGGGTCCTCATCGGAAATCCCAAGAATGACCGGGGTGGGATTGTAGACATGCCATTGGACCAGGGCAGCACCCCATGGCATAAGCGATGGAACGCTGATTGGATGGCCCGTAAATCTTCCCCCTTATCCGGGCCAGTAGGTCCTTTGCTTTTTCTCCTGCGCTTCACCCCTCATTCATTCATTCATCGATCGCTTGCCTCCTCTCGTGGAGATGTCAACTTTGGTCCAAGTTCCCTGCGCCAAGCACCGAAGTGCGCTGAGTATTCTCTTCGTCCCGCGCGACGCTCACCGAAGGGTTTGCCTTGCAAGGCGTCCTGAGCGCACCGTTCATGGTGCCTGAAAAAAGACCCAACCCCTCCTCGCACCCAGTGGAGGGGTGCACATTGCAGGAAGTCATCTAAAATACTATTCATGGTCATGTCACAACCTTAAAGTGCGCTAGGGTGGAGGTTCCGGTCGCTAGTCATTGCGCCTGGGAGATGATTTCCCCTTTCCGGGGTGGGTAATGAACAGTTGCAGCGGGTCTCGCAGACGGTCTTTGGATCGACATCGTAGATACTAGATACTCTGTAGGTCCCGACAAAGTCCGACATTTAAAAACGTGGTTTGTACAGGTCCTTCCATCTCGCTTGTAGTAGGTATGGTATCTATGGGATACCTTTCGCACCGACAAGGACGTCATCAGCAGGTGGAAATCTCTGAATCTAGCCATGACAGCCGAGCAGAGCGCAGACAAAATTCCAATCTGCAGGATTGATTTCGGTCATTGGCCGTGAGGAGGGTGCCCAGGGGTTGCTAGTCGGCCATTCTACTCTTGCCGAGCAGACCCTGTGTAACGGTGCAGGAGGCCATGCAGCCATGCAGCATCCGACCCGCGCACTCCTTTAGGGGGGGGCCAGAATAAGTACAACCCCCAAAAACCTGCATACTTCAATCTATTATGCGCCGTCCTCAAGGCGATGGAGGAAGACCATTGCCAATACACCCACTCACCTGCCCTGCTTGAGAGCATCCATGGCGTCCTAGTCTTGGGACCTGGAGTCAGTTAGGTTTAGTCCCGGCCGAGCTAAAGTTTTAGATCGAGGCTGTAAAAGTCCCTAATCGACCGGTGGGGGCTCTCCTATCACGACTGACGGCACATCCATCAGTCCATGGGGCACCTGGGATGGATAATGGCACGTCGCCAGAGAATCCTCGTAGCTTGGGCCTTCCCTTCATAGAAGATTCGGTCCTCGATTGCAGCAAGTGGGGCAATCCAAGCGGTCGATGATGATAGACGCGATCCACCGAGAATCGAATCGAATCAACGCGCTCTAAACTTGGCCGGGCACCTTACCTCAGCAGACATATGCAGCGAGGGCAGATCGCATTCTGACCACCGTCATGCACAGGTAAGCAGACAGTCTAGTAGTCCACATGCCTTGGGGCATGCGATACGGAGGTAACACGGTTTCAGCCTCGACAGATGGAAGCCAATCTGATCTGGCGATTCTCGGTTTCCAATCGACCGGATGAAACAACGTCAGCTGTCATACCCATGGCCAGCCCGGGCTCTCGGCGGTTTTCTTTCATCAGACGAGAAACTCTAGCATGGCCGGAGATTATGGTTATGGTTAGTTGGGGGGGAATGGTACAGATCGAATCATCAAATGAAACGGGAGGAAGGGGGAAAAAAAAGGAAACAAAGGAAGGCGGTGATAGATACCGGCCTGAAGGGTAGAGTTAAACTACTGAATTAAAGCTAAAAGGAAACCTCCACGACAACATTGTTTAGTCTGTTGATTGGAGCCAGGATTGAGAGCCCTGATGGATATCTATTGGATAGACAGGAGCTGGTAGGGTGGAAGCCAGAAGAGTCGGTCCTTTAGTTTGGGCACGCTTGGACATTCGCAGTCTAGTGGGAGACCAACTGGCTGGTCCGACCATCCAACCTTCAGCGAGTCGGACCCATCGAAACTCTGAAGATGACCCAGAGGCTAATTCGGACAAGGGTTGCTGGTGCCAAACCATCCGGGGCGGCGGGCCGGGTCCACGGTCACGGGGAGGCTGAGACTGTAAGATTGGCACTGGAGCCCTTCCACCAGTCATCGTCCCCTTCATCCGACCAAGTAAGCTAAATCTAGAGCCCGCCTGACAGCGGAAAACGCCTCGACCTGCATCACTGATGGAGGATTGAAGAGGGAGGAGGAGGGGTGGTTGCATGCGTCGTTGCACAAAGCCTCATTGCCACGTTTTTGTCCCGGCGATCGCGACTAGGCCATGTGATGACGGAGGAGGAGGAGGGATATGCGCTCATCGCCTAGATCCCTGTCCACATGTCAGAAGTTGAGGAACCGAGAGTGTGGGAAGGAAAGGGATGCTGGTCGGTCAGTCAGTCAGTCACCTCACCTCACTATCTACCTACTACTGACTACTGACTCAAGCTGGACCCTTTTCGGCCGCCAAGTTGTATTTGAGGCGATCTCCAGGGCCGACCATGGTTAGTTCGTCGACTTGGGTTGCTGCAGGAGTAGATGGATTGATAGATAATAGATTAATCGTAGATAACTGATATCGATTTGAGACACCGAAACACTCGGGCGAATCGAGTCTCTACAATGGCCGCCCAAAGTACCCTCGGTCACGGGGTCATCGGAGGTCATTGAAGGTTAGCCCACCTTGGCTAACCCCAGTCAGGAAACTGTCGTCGGAGCAGGCCGACCCAGATCTCAGCCGGCCAATCACCACATTACGGCCATTCTCCGCATTGGACGGCGACAGACAGGGAAGAGTGGACCACTCACAGACACTGACCGACACTGGCTCGGCAGATCCTGTTCCAAGGGCCAATGACAACCTCCGCAGTGGCTCAGCCCTCGCCAGATACAACCGCATCCGGTTAGTGCGGGAAGCCCTGGGCCCAGGCGGCCTATGCCGCTTTGGGATCTGCCAACTTTATCCTGGGAGAAATAATATTAAGAGAAAAAAAAAAGACAGTAAAAATAAAAATAAGAAAAATCAAATGGGATGATGTTCAGATGCTGAGCTGAGGGGGGAAAAAAGAAAGAAAAGGCGAGACCAAAACTAGCCCCCAAAAACCACGGCCTGGGATCAACCATGTCAGAACCCAATAACCCTTCCATTCCTCGTGGCCAACCTGAAGGATTACCCACCACCAACTTCCTCAACCCGAACATCCCAGCAGATCCAGCCCGTCGGGCGACCTATCGAAGTCAGTGACCACCGGTCCTCGGAAATGGAACCTCCCAAACACACACAGCCTCATTCGACTTGGGGAGAGATTGTCAGACAGGTCACAGTAAATGGTGAGTAGGTAGGCGGCCAGGCAGGCAGACGGGCAGGCAAGCAGGCAAGCAGGCAAGCAGGCCAGGAACCCCCGTCCAACCAAATTAGTCAACGTAGTATTATTATTATTCTTCTTCTTTTTATTATTCTTAATCTTACTACGGAGACATATGGCATGTCCAAAATCCGAAAACCTGCTCATGGCTTTTCAACTAGCGGCCGAAACATTTTCGCTTTCGCCGTGCATACCTCATTGGGTAGGAGTCACTACTACTATACACCACCACTACTTATTACTTATTACTTACTATCCCTAGTAAGTAATACTATGATGCTTAGATAAACTGGAGTAAGCCGGTAACACAGGGTGACAAATCCCCCCCCCCCCCCCAATTTTCTTCCTTCTGCATGGAAGATTCGAAAGAAAGACTGGCGGGAGACATAGTGCTTATGTTCTGACGTCGACTGAACATGGGTCGTGAGTCATGCATCATCAATTTCGCGAACCCGTCTCTGATCTGGCTGAACCCCCCCCCTTCCACTGATGTAGTGATGTCACACAAACCGCCTGTTCTCCTGGATCCTATCGGAGAGGCCGAACTGCTGGCCTGGAACACTTCCAGACCGGGGTGCAGAGCACCCACCATGGATGTTTGCAGCGACGTGGGAATGTCCGGTCGGGCGATGAAAGAAAGGTACAGGGGTGGAGCGGGATGATGCCGACACTGCTGGACACCCGTCGCGGGGAGACTTGTCAGGTACCTCCCCGTACCCTATCTATCCCGTCCAAGTGGCAGTCCTTTCGGAGCTACGATAGGGAGATAGATGGTCGCGGAGCGGACCTCTGCACCTGCGTAGATAGCTCCTGTCGATCAATCATCATGTCAAATCATTTACAGCGTGCAGATTGATTGATAACGTGGTGCACCACCATTCAACGCCAACGGCAAAGGCACTGCAGGGCAACCGACACCCCTGCGTGCAGAAAGGCTATCTAATTTACTATTCTACTAGTCTATCTAATAACAAAAAGGTACAGGATTTCAATCATCATGCGTCGATCAGGCCATTACGCATCTCTCATTGTTCATTCCCTCGCCCCTGGTATATAGTCCCGAGCTATACTATCCCAGGTGTCTTCCCCAGATGATGTGTTTTTTTTCCACGGCCCAGCCCATTAGCCCTCCCTCTATGCAGATCCCGACACGGCGATCCACGCACAGTCGAAAGAAAAGGATTCAACACGCCCGATCAACCATACCCACAAGATGGCGGTCCCATCCATGCTCACTCCGCCCGGAGATCGAAAAAGAAGCGAACGACCGAGCCAGGGGCCGGCGTGGGAGAAAGGAAAGGAAATGCAGTTTTATGCGCCTTTCGCCATGAATTTTGCTTTCAAACGAAACATTAACATGACAAACATAGATCTAAATCTGGTATACAGAACGAAGTTTCTGAGCAACATGGGCCGGAAGTTGCGACAGGAATGAATCGAAGTTGGGTATCATATTTTTGTATCCTTGCAGCACCTGCATCAAAGTCAGTCACGCCTTCTTCTAGAGAAATTTTGGAAATCTGGGGTCATACCTGCTGGAATGAGCTCTGGATGTCACGATAGTCCTCCTGGTTCATCGATTTGCTAGGGAATGCAGCGATAGCCTGGAAGTAGTTCACCAGACTGGATTCCATGGCTTCGGGGTTCTTCATCACTACCTGGTTGAACCCCAGGAAGGCGGAAGCCTTTTCACGCGTGAACTCAATCTTGTTCATCGACTTAAGGAAGGCACCGGCGTATTCGCTCAGACGAGGCGCAAGCTGGTCGGAAGAGCAGATTCCAAGCCGACCCAAAGCCATCGCAGCGTTCTCGTTTACCGAGTCGATAATCTCCTCGTTGTTAATGATGATGCAAAGTCCCTGGTACAACTTCTCCGTGTACGGAGACAGCGCAGCTTTCTCGTTGACGGCGATCTCACCGCACGACCAGCAGGCATTGTTGAGAACGCTGAATCCAGTGTGGCGGTCATCGTCGCGGATCAGATCCAGATCCAGTTGTTTGATCAGGGTTGGCATGATGTTTGGGATGAAGGGCTCGAGCTGAGGGTAAATGTTGATCGCACAGTCACCCAACAGAGCGTATGACGACTGACGGACTTCATAGTTCGGATCCTCCATGCAGAAGCAGAGCAGGTCAAAGAACCGGGGCTGGGAGTTGGCCACTAACTCGCCGCTCTTCTGCGGATCAATCGCCTGGATGATCGCACTCAGAAGATCTAAGCTCGTGACCAAGAAGTCCTTGTCCGGCTCATCGATAGCCTGGTTGTTAACGGAAGCCATATACTCCTGCAAGTTTTCGTAGATGATCTTGATGCACCGCTGGAAAAGAGGAGGAGCAAAAGGAGAGAATGCATCGCCGTAGGCCGCCGCAATGTATCCTAGACACTCCAGTAGCGGGAACAGCTCCCGAGATTGATCTGAGACTTTGTTGTAGCGATCAATGAGAGCAGGCATAAGGATCTCTACCAGCTGAGGCTTGGCCAGCTCTCCCATGACGCACTCAGCCAAAGTCTGAACACAGTCATACAAAATATACATGTTCCGGTCCTTGTATTTTCCGAAACATTCAACGAATTGCCGAAGGATTGGCTCGCAGTACGGAACGAGGTTCGCGTCGGATTTCTCCTCGAGACTCGCAAAAGCGGAGGCGGCTGCCTCCTGCACCTTCTTGTTGCCGTCTAGCATCCTGCGCAGGATACCCTCCATCATAGGTTCGAAAAAGCGCGCTCTTTCCGCGGGGTCACCCAAGTGCGATGCCCATTCAGAGTATCGGCCAAGGCACCAACAGGTGATCTGTCGAACTACGGGGTGGGAATCATTCAGCAGCGAGATGAGGTACGGGACGAGATCGGGGAGGTGAGGAGTGACCGCGTCCATACAGCCGTCCGCGACCGCACCAAGGGTCAAGACAGCAGCTTCCCGCTGAGGCCACTGCTCATGGCGAATGGTCTCCTTCAGGTAGGGCAGGATGATTTCGAAGATAGGCTCGTGATACACATTTGAGAAAACGTCCAACGCAGCAGCGGAGCACTTTCTGAGCGTCCACTCGTCCTCGGGATCATCGCCAAACTCGGAGTCCTCGATCTCACCTTCACTAAGATCGTCGTCCTCGGCCTCCTCCTCGGGAGCTGCGTTGCCGTTCGCTTGTTCGGACTTAGAGAGATCGAGCCGTCCGGCCTTCGACTTGGCGAATTGTGGCTTGAGGTCTTCCTCCCGGTCTTCGACCTCCGCATCGTCTCCCTCGGCAGTCAGCCGGATCGCTTCATCCTCATCATATACCATGCTTTGAAGCAACACCGGGACGATCTTGGACATGTGGGGAGCTAGCGGCTGCTGCAGCTTCACCTGCTCGCCCGCGACGAGCCAGAACTCAGCCGCGTCGAGCGCAAGCTCGGGATCTTCTCGGTTATGCTGCTGCATGATGATGTAATTGACCAAGCCTTCCATGTGTGGGATGAGCTTCTCGGGAGAGAAGTCTACCAGCTGCGCGAATGTCTGACAGACCGTGCGGCGAACGTCGGTACTTGAGTCATTAGCCAGCTGGAACAATTGCGACAAGAACAGATCCATCGAAGCGACCAGGGCTTTAGGGCGGTGGGGAAGGAAGACGTGGATGGTGCCCAGCGCCATTGACCGGACTTTGGAGCTTTGGTTGGATGTGAATTCGAGCAATTTCGGGATGATCACATCGAGAGGGCACTGTCCTTGGTAGTCACGGTCGAGGATCTTGCGATTATCCTCACAGACCTTGGAGAGGGCGGACATAGCCGCCTCCTGCGCCGTGGGCTGAACAGTTCCCGAGGTGTTGTCGACGAGCGTCAACAGCTCGTGAAGTACGTCAGGCCAAGCTAACAGACCGGCCTGTTGAACCAATTCTGTGATGATTGTTCCGGCAGATTTCCGCACGTGCGGGTTTGTGTCGCGCAACCCGAGCAGGGTGGCTGATCGGATATAGGTCAAACAAGGCTGGGGGATAGTGTTGTACGCAACGTGGATTTTCGTCTTGAGGTTCATCGCAGCGGCGAAACGGACCAAGTCGTAGGACTGATTGTCCATTCCCAGGACCGGCGACGCCTGCGGAGTGCTGAAAAGGTAGGTGATATAGTTGACATAATCGGGCGATGAGGTTGCTTGTACTAGCATCTATCAGACGACAGAAGAAAATAAAGAGCTCCAGTCAGCCATTTTGAATTTTTCAGGGAGGCGAAAGACAGGTCCCTAGACCGATAATGGAGATAGAGAAAAGCTGGTGAGTGACAAAAACGGGTCGCCTTCCCAAAGATGACCACTTTTTGAAGGCAGATGTGCGGAGAGAGAAGCAGAGAGGAGAAAGAAAAAAAGAGACGACGATGACGGAGAGAGGGGAAGAACGAAAGCGAGAGAACATACCTGTTCGGCCTGCTTTTGGACTGGGCGATCGTAGGGATTGAGGGAATCCCTGAGGCAGCAAGCCAGCTGCCTCAATGGATCGTCCTGCGGTTGCCACTCCATTGTGTCGCGAAGGTGGAAGGCAGAGGAGGGAGCAATTGCGGGAAGAAGGACGGTCGAGAGAGAGGAAGAGAGGGTGGAAGGGACGTTGTGTAGCCCAAGAAACCCCGCCCTGGACTCTTGTGGGAAGCGGCTCCAGCCCCTTCTTCCCCGGACAGGCTAAAAAAAAAATTGAAGACAAAGGGAAAAAAATTGTCTGAAAGACTAGACAAAGGGAGCCGATGGACAATCAGATGCGAGAGCTGATGGAGCGCTGATGAGGCGCACAAATATTCCCAAGTGGACCAAGTCGCAATCGAGCCAGAAGCCCGTCCGGTGACGACAAGAGAAAATTCCCCTGGCTGGCGGAGGGCAGGAAGACGCCGACTCTCTTCGTGCTAGCAACCGCGGTGGAAATACAGAGGGGGCTAGTGGTGGTAGCATACCGCAAAACCCATGTACCTGCTGCGTGGCCGTGCGCCCGGGAGGTACTTGGTACTTACACTGCTGGGCGGTTCACACCCTCTCTGCCCACGTCCTGAACCATCGCGGACGCAGGAGAGCACCGGAACATGAGGATCGATCCAATGAATCGACTCAAACCATGGATTTCTCCGTCATCCCGAGGGCCGCACCTGCAAGATCCTGTTGGCCCTTTGGGGCGATGGGCAGTAATACATGGACGATGTTTATGGCGGGTATCGTCGATGGTGACCCTCTTCTATCTTTCCGAGGTCTGGCGCCTGCGGTAAGAAGCGAGACCGTAATTAACAAGACCACCCCTCCGCTGGCAAGGCAACCAGCAATCTGGTATGGTCATCGGGGACTATGCCCGATACCTTTTGTTACCTCTTGTAACCTCCTGATACCTGCCTTACGGGAGGTACTCCGAACACAGCCAGCCCAGAGAGGGGTATCGGTTGCTGTGTCTCTCCACCTCCCACCTTCTACCTTCTACCACCATCTAGTGCTATCTACCTAGCTTCTGTTCCTTTTCCCACCTGCATGGCATATAATACCCTTTGTTAGCAAAGTCAAACAGGACGACTCCTAACAAACCTAGACAAATGCCAATAGATCGAGATAGCGTCTGGTGGCTGAACCAAGAAATGCACGTACCCTCCTAGGTATCTTCCTACTAATGTACATCTATGCATCTGTGCCATCCGGAATCCTGGACTCGGTACTCATCTACCCTCGTGCTTGCCTGCCCCATCATGGGACCGGTCGGCGGGGATCAGGCTATCGCCCGCTCCAGAATGACCTGTCAGAGGATATCGTGCGTGTTCCACGAGCTCCATCAGAGCTGTCTAAATCTAAAGTCCGCCTGAGCTCCTACGACCCCGTGCATATGGCCGATCGCGATCGATGGAGCGTTGACCATGTATGTACCCCAGCAATGTATCTACCGATTTACAGGGCCGTTTTTGAACCTCATTGACATTAATCTTCACTGGACTGGAAGTATGTAGAAATAATTATAGACCGAAACCTCTTCCTCCTTCCCCTGGTGCAGCTTGTTAACCCAGTTTAGGCCCAGACCAGTTTCTTGATGTCGTAGACCAAATGCTCAAGGTACCCAGTACGCTTCTTTGCCTCTTCTACTGAAATGATGTCTGACGACTCAAGGATGGAGGATCGTGCCCCTTCCTCATGTTGTGCCTCCCCTGCCATCACGGCGCGCTCGATTTCTTCGCATATACTCCGAACCCAATCTGGTTGGCTTACTGTCGCGCTTGTCGAACTTGGCGGGAGCGCCTTGAACGCAATGAGCCGCGTGGTCAGTCGCGAACCTCCTTTGAACCACGAATACATGTTCCACTCCGTACTAGGACGCGAATTGCTGTCGAGGGATTCCGGGGTGACCTGGCTCTGGAGAGACCGGGTGTTGACCCGTAATGCATTCTCATCACCGGCAAGATATTCGATCACCAGCCCAACATTATTCCGCTCATCTGTCTGTGCCTCCGTCAGGACCGATGTGACATAAGTGCCATGGTTGATCCGTGTCACCGAGTGCAAGTCGATACGTTCATACGATAACACCTTGTCGATGTTCCAGTCAAAGCGACAACTGTAGATGGCTGCGTCTGTCAGCAGAAGCACAGCCTCCTCGAATGGCAAGGACCTCAGAGTATTAGGCTGCCGTGGGGTCAACATAGTCCAGCCACCTAGGAATTCCTCCGACTGGTCGCTAATGACGATCTTGCAACTAGTATCGATAGCATTCTGCCGGAGCTTTTGGACCGAGATCCCGGGGTCTGTAGTTTGCATCTCCACCGCAAACTCCTGGAACACTTGCGTAGAGACATTACCCAGGAGATAATCGATACACGCCTGCGAGAAATAGTCGTTGACGATGTTGTTATAGTAGCGGGATAGGGTGAGGCCGAAGTCATTCAATGCTCCTCGATAATCCCGCTTCCGGGTCCTCGTATAGTCACCCTTTAAGGCCGCTGTCGAGGAGTATTGCTTAGAGATAGCATCTCCATTATCTGCCCAGAGTGTATTGAACCACCGAGTAGATGAGTCACGGCCTAGATCTATGCTGATGCCCTCGCGCTTCAATTCACGCTCGAGGGCCCATTGACCAAACGCGCATTGCGCGACCCCAGTGCGATCGAGACAGTCCATACAGTTCGTGCGCACAATACCTATTTGGCTCTCGAGAACAGTGTCGTTCTGTATAACAGTGTCGCCGAATTCATTCAAGGTTGCCTCCAGGCGATTCACGAGGCGGCTCACATTCTCAAACTTCATTCCCCGACACTCATTGTGGAAGTCAAACCACTCTAGTGCGAGGGGGACACCATCTATGCCCCCTGCCTCATTCAAGGATTTCGTGTACTTTTCGTATTGCTCTCCCAGTTTCAACTCGCCTGCTTGTTTGTCAATAAGTGAGACCCCCTGTATCTTTCCGTATCTTCGACTAAGATTCCGAAAGTGTCTATCAAAGGCAAGCTGGTTCGTTTCCGTCGAATGATGCAGTACGGGGACCGGCTTGAATGCATAAGGTGACTGCGAAAAGTACAGCGGGATAGACCCGCGCACTTGAAGGTAGGAGTAGACATTATGAGACGGATCCCACTCAGGAACAGAAAGAATCTGTTCTGTCTCCACTGCATTGGCAGTATTCCCCAAATCGTCGACACCGCGACGGAGATAGCGCAGACCTGGGCGCTTGACTGAACGGCGGGAGATCAGGGTGAGGAGATAGTCACGCTTCTTGTCGCTAGTTTGGTCTGCCTGTGCTTCTTGCTTGTCACCCAGTATGCGCCCTTCAAGAAGCTCCTCTTTCGGCTCCCCCTTTTCTGGGGCGTGAGTCTCTGCTGTAGATTCTGCAGCTTCTACGGTGAATTCTCGCTGGCCAACAAAGCCTTGCATTAGTGGAAGAACAAAATTATGGGCATCAGCTGTTATGAAGGGAGCCATGAGATGACGATTCCAAAAGTACTAGGAATAATCGATTAGCATATCCCTCTTCACTTCAATGATGAAGGTGAGGCTCATACCAGTTCATCCACAATCTTGTGCAACGGCAGATGGTTCTTCAGCGATGACTCTTCCTGTGCCGCAAACTTTCTGGTGAGATCATAATCATATGCGAAGAAGAAATTCTGGGAAGAAAAGATCATCTTCGTATAACGTAGCAGCTTTGGAAGCAACTCCACTGTTGGATCAGATGAGAAGGGCTCTCCAAGGGTCTTGGGTGTTGCATCATTGCTCTGTGAAACAGGCTTCGTACGTTCATCATTCACATCAGAGGCTCTAGAATCCGACTCTGCAGTCGTCCCTCTGGAATCTCCCGCGAGTGTCTCTATAGCAGTCTGACCTGCTGAGCCAAGCCCTGGTAGTCCGAGAGTTTTCCTCGACAACCAATTTGCAGCGAAGCGCCCGAATCGGACCCTCTTACCGATCACATCTTCAGCGATACTGCCGACACTGCGAGCTCTGGAATGGGTGATCTCCTGCTCCGGAGAAGCTGGTGCAGTGCTGATCTCGGTGTCGCCGCCTTCAGTTTCGGTGTCTGATATTGTGCTACTGTCGTCTGAGGCAGTCTCTCCCTGGCCACTCTCTCCGTGAGACAGGCTTTCTTTTGCCTGAGAGATCGCGCGGATCGCATCTGCTTGCGACGATGTAGGAATCACAGCAACATTGGTTACAGCGTAGATAGGTTTCCCTTGGATCTGAGCCACTTGTTGTCGCTGCGTTATAGAGATGAGGAAAGAATATGACGCAACGGAAAGGAGCCCTTTGGTTCAGGTCCGACGTCAGCTATGCGCTTTCGAGACAGAATTGGGTATGCGACTTCATCTCAAGAGCGAGACAAGCACAGAAGAAGGCCACACTGGCAAGAGTGGACTGCTTACCCACAAGCCCATAGGTTTCCAAGCCGGAGTCTCTGTCCTCGTCGTGGTCCGACGCGAGCGCCGGGAGCGAGGAAACCTTGTTGGTCTTATAGTCGATACGAAGAGAAGCGGGTTCATTGTTTCCAGCATGTCTTAGTCCATTGCCGGGCGACTGAAGGATCAGCCCGTCGACGGCGGCGATGATAACTAGTTTTCGCAGCAAGCCAGGCATGTCGCTGGATATTCGCGGGGTTGGGACGGTCACGGTGAGTGGGGAAGCGCAAAAGAAGAGCGCCGATAGCTAAGCTGCAGAGCCGAGCATCTCTAACCCATTTGTCCACAACACTGCCTGCATGATCATCGCTAGTTCGCTACACATTTAAGAGTACTTATAACTGGGGGGCCATGGTGTTGAAAAACAGGCCATCTGGGTAGCCAAGGAGCTGACCCCAACGCTTGCTCGGCCAGCGTGCGACATCATCGATCTTCGAGCGCGAACCCCACTGCGCCCAACCCAACCAGCCAGCCCGATCTCGAGAGCCATCGTCCCTTTACGTCACTTTTGCCCCATCCACCACGCGGTCAAATACATACGGTGTACTTCAATAGTAACAAGTAGGATACACTCATCAAGCCAAGCTCTCAACCAGGTCCGCAAGCCAATGCACAGGGTCTATCTTGCAAAGTTTATCCTAAGGCCTATATACAGTTCGGATCTATCGCAGGCGTTCGCCCGCGATTCATGCCAGACGGGGGGAGAAACCACAAAAGCAACAGAAGGGGTAAAAAGCAAACAATCCCAATGCACATCCAAATCATTCATGGGCATCTCTGGTTCCTCATCCTGGTATTTCCTCGCACGTGCAGACAAGTAAAAGTACAATGCATCCAGAAAGCGGCACCTTTTCCATCGAAAAATCACAGGTGGTCGAAGGTAGAAGAAGAGGTGAGAGAAGCGCCGGAGGCGGAAAAGAAAAGCAAGAGGGGAAACACAAGGTAGAAAAGAAAAACGTCACAGCAATATTCTGGGTCGTAAATTAAGCCAGCAAGCAGAAAACCAGTCGGGGGTCGTATCATTCTATAGGGCGGAATTCTTGTTGGGCTGATGAGAAGAGCGATCTACCTCGTCACTTCGCTTATAAGTAGGACCAGGCTCCCCGTCACTGTCTCCGGCCAAGTCGGAGAGCCCGAACGCCTGGTTCTCGACATCGTAGGCGCGCATGAGCCCTTCACGGTCCCCGTGACCGTTCATGTAAGCGCCCGAGGAGCTCCGACGGTGAGGCTCATTGCTGCGACGGGATTGCATGGATCGCCGCGTCTGGAAACCCGCAATGCCGTCCGTAGGGATTCCTTCATCATCGAGCTTCGAGTTGAGCATTTGCCGTCCATCTGGGTCATGCCGGGATAGATTCAAAAGATATACACCGGAGAAGATAATCAAGAATCCACACAGCAATGAGATCGTGTTAACAGCGTCGGTCGTGTTGAACCCCTTGAAGAGAATGAAAGAGGCGCACAAAGTCGCAGTTGTGAATGTGACGTAGTAGAGAGGGTTGACGCTGCCAAAGGGCGTCAGTGATTTTGCAGGTCGCGCAAGCTCGACATCCACTTACATCGATGTAGAGAATTGGTTCAATGCCTTGTTGATGTAGTTCATCTGCGTCAAAATGCAGAACCCCGTGACAATCATAAAAACGTAGGTCGAAGCCTGTGTGAACTGATTGTTGCCCCCCAAAGTAAGCTTCACCGCGATACCAAACGCCTTGATGGACATGACAGATACGGAGCCGACTGTGGAGCAGATGGAGATGTAGATCAGAGGGTTCCTCTTGCCGTATACGGGAGCGACGCGGTAAATCATGACGGTAGAGAAGATCGCAACCGCAAGACAGTAGACTAAGAATCCTGTAGATGGATTGGGTCAGCCTACTAAAGTCGGAACCGTGACTGAGAGTGGCTTATACCTGGTTGCAGCGCGTAGCCCAGTATCTCGTCAATTCTCTCCACGGGCTTGTCCGGAGGTGCATGAAGGACAATCACGACCGAGCCAAGCAGACACATGGCACATCCGAGCTTCCCCAGAACCCCCAGTCTTTCCTTGAGGAAATATGAGCCCAGGACGGCACTAGTGCGGGTTAGCGTATTGCACGGAAGACCTCGACCAGCAATGTAAAGGCTCACCCGATCAAGACACTTAGCGCACCTAATGGTGTGACCAGGATGGCAGGCGCGAAAGCATATGCGGCGAAATTGGCGATCTCTCCAACGGCCACTATGATTCCTTATCAGCTCCTCACACTCGAGCAACAACGGATAGAACAAGGGCTGGCGTACATGTAATAACACCACCCCACCAGATGGGGCTTTTGAGATATGAGAACCCTTCGCCTTCAAATCCATGTCTCTCGGATGCTTGCATCAAACCCTGTATGACAAAATTAGTCGCTCATTCGGGGCGACAGTCGATACCGACGACAGAAGGCAATTCCGGCGGTTATGCGGCGGCGGCGATTGGGGACGAACGAACCTTTTTCGTAATGACAAAACTTGTACCTAGAGAACCGTCAGCACATACAGAAGAGGAATCAGGGAGGGCACCGCATACCAATAGCCATTGTAGATGTAATGGCCAAAATAAGGCCGATATACCTGCACACGGTCAGCATACAGCGATCCGACGATGGCCCCTACGGCCAAGACTGCAGCAAGGCCGTTTCATACTTGTCGGAGATCATCGTGATTGTCTCTTGGAGCTGATTGCTCCTCGCGATTGGTCGACTTCAATGCTAGCGAGTGTTGGGACAGGTGTAGTCCGAGCCGGAGCTGAATGGGAAGCACGACGGAGAGGCTGAAGTGGACGGTTTGGCGTGGTTAATGACTGACTTGAGCGACCTTCAGCCAAGCATTCGGGAGCGCGCCAACAATGACCGATTGTCCAGGGACAAGAACGACGGCGCCTGGTAGGTAAGGACAGGGCAGGAAAACAAAGAAAAAAAAAGTCTGGTGGCAGAAAGGAGGGAGTAAGCCGGACTGGGTAGGATGCTGCAGCCTTGATGCGGCAGTAGGTTTGGGGGGTCGAGAACTCCTGCGATCGAAGGAGAGCTTGTTAGTGACCTTGTCGGATCCTAGAGGCTGGCTGCCTGCGCTCGTGCGGTGGGGTTTTCCCCTTCAGACGGAACCGGCCCGGATCTGGACGCGCGTATGTGGTCACTTGAAGCGAGTGAGAGAGGCGAAAACCCAGATACTGCTGCTCGAGGGTACGCAGGCAGAGACGACTTAGCTCAAGGTCGCAGGAGTCTCGAAAAAGCATCGACGAAAGAACAAGAGGCGGTCGACGCCATCCGGAGAGGACACCAGTTGATCTCTGATGGGAGCGTGACCGACACAGGCAGTTGTACTCGGCTGAAGTGCCAGATCAGTATTCAGTACGGCCTGCGTTACCGGGCAGCGTTTAATTAAACTTACCATACCTACTGCTGTACAGCCAGGAATGATTCCCTACTAGGCCCTCTAAATATAGGTAGGCGTCATGTCTAGCAGCAGGGGAGGAGAACTCCTATTAGCCAGTCCAGCTGCTGACGCCTTTCTAAAGGAAAGGGGAAATAAATACTCCGTCCACCCGGATATACTGCTGCTTTCTTCTGCTTGCTTGCTTGTTGCAATACGTAGTGAACAAGATCTCCTCCATATTACGTATCGTATGTATGGATGGGTCAGGCCTGCGGCCTGTGAGAGCTTAGATAATCGCGGTTTGCAATGCCTTTGGTAATGACGCCTGAAAAGAAGGGCAACGGTGGCCATTCCAGTCACCCAATCAAGGCCTGCCAGCCACCGCCCGGCCCCTTGAGGAGCCTGGTTTCAGTATCCGATCGGCGTTTTGAAACGTAAGGTGCCGACTAAGAATAGGAACCTGGAACTGGAACCTCGCCTCAATTCTGGTTCCGGGGTCGACATCTCCAGCCTTGGTTAGGTCCATTACCGATCGCTTGAGCATTGTTACGGCCTTGGCATCGAGAGATGTGCATCTCGGTGCCGTCCATATGAACATAAGATTCTATCCACTATCCATACTCATCTTATCAGGGATTTGACACGTCTAATAACACATACATCATGCGTAAAACAGCAACTAGTCATGATCGTCTAGCACGATCCCGTTCAATCCGGATAGTCGGCTTAATTTTTCCTAGAAGCTGTTGACTTCTGACTTCAAGTGACGAATTCATGGCTTTTGTGTGCCTGCAATCTCCGAAAACCATCTTCCCTTCAAAATTGTCGAAATCCATCAATCTTTGGAGAATTTGAGGTATATGCTGCTCATTTTCTACAGAATAGGCCCTTCAATTGGCGTGTAGCAAGGCCACTATATATAAATTCCTCCATGGAGGTTCATTGGCCGAAATGAGTGCAATAGCATACATACCTCACCATGTACCAGCTGCATGATATTGCGATGACTGGTGCTATTGAGATGTACCAATAATGGAATTTTTGCCCAGACAATCAAAAATCTAATCTACTAGTTGTAGGGAGATGGGCACGAGGCAAGGGAAAAAAGAAAAAAAAAAACAAAAAAGGTGAAACACGGTGCCTAGGTCAATTATTTCTCATAACTACCCCATCCCATTACTACGAACAGACCAACTACACCTTCGAGGTCCAAGATGCCTGACCCCGAAGAAAACATGCCCTCCGCGAACCAGTTCTTGACGAAATATACGAACCCGAAGGGACGTTCTGCAAAATATCAATACAATCATCATGCTTTTTTTCAAGCACTCAAATTGACGATAGACCCAGTTCTGTATACTAATATAGTATTCTACCGAGAGAACCAGCCAGCCACCCTATGAATAGGCATTCTAGCAAAAATAATTTCCACTGACTCACCCCACTTTAGCACGGCCCATCCGCAAGTTGGCAGCTGCAAAAATGCGGGGGACGTTATCCTTATTCCCGCCTTTATTGCGCAGAGCTGAATAGAGAAGTCATTTGTCGGCCGCACGCTTTTAAGGCAGGGTAACCTACTAATAGCTATTACTGATAGGAAAAGAGTAGCGTGGCTCATATAATAAAGCCAAATCCCCTCGCACTACGATCCTGCCCTTGATATACCCAATAAAACACGGTAAGCGCACCGACCCCTTTGCGATCCATCTAGGAGACTAGAGCCAAGTATCGAGGAATAGACAAAGGAGCACGAAGGTAACGCGCAGTAAAGATAATAACATCCGCATTAAGTTGTCATTGAAATCAAGAACCCCAGCACGGCTAAATTACAAACAGGAGCAAGATGCTTTTATTTCTGGTCGCCTTAGAGAAGCAAAGCCGAAGACGATATTAGGGCTCATGTGCTTCCCCGGCAATCTCCAGACTGGTATCAACTTCCTGGAACTGATAGTTCTGAGAAGCACCGAAATCATAAAGATGAGATCATAGAGAAATTGTCATTTTGCAACACCCAAGGAGATAAGACGCAAGGCAAATCAAATCACCATATCACGCCTCCGTGGAAGCTACCTGGGATATAACACAATAACGCCTCGATCGAATACAGCAGAAAGACGCCACAAGAACCATCATTGGTGGTATCGCTGACCAGAGCGAAACAAAAAGCACAGGGGAGAAAGGAATCGGAGCCATGGGAAGTATCAAGTACAAACCTAGTAATTTACACCCCGCATGCCGAGTGCCCAAGGCTGTGGTATACGAGGGCAGTATACCCATCCGGTAATGAGGACGTAATGGGGGAATGGATCGAAGTAACACGTACCTGTCTAGCTTGACAATATCTGCGAAATTCCGGAGTTCAACTGGCCGACACGCTCCGTGGTTGAAATCATTAGTAGCTCGCCACATATGTAAGCTGCCCCACTGAGTGAAACTCACGGCCAGCTGTCCAAGAATGCTGGATTGGTTAGATATGGCCTTCATAAAGCCCATGGAATGGTCATGACAGAGGAAACGTCTGAAGGTGTGAAAACAGATGTAGTTGGTGGGTGGATGATGGGTAGGAGGATGGAAATCACGATGACCGGGAACGTTTCGCGTCCGGGGTAGGGGTCTCGGTCAACTCAAAGTCGTCCTCTGGTTCACGATGTCGTTTCGCAGGAGCGTGGCTTGGTGACTTCGCAAGATTTGCTTCGTCGTCCGCCCCTTCCTGTACACCCAAATCCAAATACTCTTCGTCATCGAATGTCAACTCTTCGACTTCGTCGTGGGTGGCTGGAGCATGTTGGGGTTCATCATGGAGCTCTCCCGGCTCGAGTTCATCCGCATTGGTATCCTCGCCGATGTGTTTAATACCTTTGCTAGGACTCTTTAGCAGATCTTCCGCAATACCTAGTGAGTCATCCTCCAGGTCCTGGGTAGGTTTGGTGGTGATCTCTGAAATATCCTGGGAGACGCTATCCGAAACTGGTTCAGTATCCTTGTATAGAGCCTCTTCGTCGTGGCTACTCTGTGGGACTTCCCCATCAATATCCTCATGGTCATGGAGGTCGTCATCGACTGCATCGTCTCTGGAATGAGTTGCGTCATGAATATCCTCGAAGGCATTTTCGTGAAATTCTTCCGCATTGGGTTCCGTCACGTCGCCATAGAGTTCTCCGACTGCTTCAACATCTTCATGAAAGACGAATTGTTCAGTAGCATCTACATTAGTCTCCTCTTCTGGGTAGGCTTCATCATCAGCACCTTCCGTGTCGTGATACCCATGATCATATTGGTCGTCAAACACATTGCCAGCCTCATTATCAAGCTGCTGCTCGTCTGCTAGTTCGGGGTGGGGCAGTTGAGTCACTGTGGCAGTTGATTCCGATTGCTCCTCTGAGTCATACGGCTCCTCATTTGGCAGCTGGTGATCGCCAACTCTAGTGGTCTCGGCCTCAGCCAGATCAGCTTCATGAGAATTGCCGTCCTCAGCATCATTTCCTTCTGGAACATTGTCTGAAGAAGGACCGGTCGTTTCGCCATTGCCTGGAGCCGTATGACCATAATCCTCATGGTCTTGCTCGCGTTGCTGGTCTTGCTGTTCATCGTTTATGACCTCCTGCAGCGTGGATTCAGCCTGCAGCTCATGATATCTCTCAGATCCACTGTGATCATCATCAGGTTCGGAAGAGTCTTGCTCAAGATAGTCCGGATTGAACTCTTCATGCTCCTCGTAAACATTCGCAGATGTGGCTTCTGCTTCAGCATAACCGTCCCAGTAGATCTCAGATAACCCTTTCCCTTCATTTGCAGCTACGAGAAGATTAGAAACTTCGGCAAAAATCGTCGGTCTAGTGCTAAGGGTGAGATAGAGTGCTTCTGGCTCTTCAACCCCGTCGTTGTGGGACAGGCGCAGGTACAGACCAACGATCTGATGCAGTGTAACCTTATCAATGTGTATTGAGTCCTATAACACAATAGTCAGCAATTGCCGAAGAATAGTGGATCGCGTGAACAAACCTCTGTTAGCTGGATATTCAATGCTTCGACGTCTACAACCAAGACATCACTTTCACTAATATGATCCCGTAGCACTTCGCGACACGATTCGAACAGTTTGCCGAAAGACTCAAAAGCAAGGCTCTCATCCTCCAGGAAAAAGGTCTCCGAAGAGTCGCCTTCCCTGGGGGGAAATAACGATATTTCGTTGTCTTGATAATAGACCTTGACTGGATACAGAGGCGTTCGTTCTGTTGCTGGAAGCTCGCGTTGTTCGGACCGATGCTCAACAGCTTGTTCCTTTGAAGAGGAAACCTGGTTTTCGCTCACTTCCGCCACCTCTTGTCCTTCTCCTTCTCCCTTTTCTTCATTTTCTTGAACTTCTCCATCTTCTACATCTCCGGCATCTCCCTCTTTAAAACACTCCTCTTCTTCTCTATCCTTTGTTTCTGCAACGGGCTCCTTGCGCTCATCAGATGATGGTTGAGCATCATCAGGACTGCTTGCTTGGGATTGAGCGGGCTTGGAGTGGTCAACGTTGTTCTGCTCGTCAGTTTCTGTGGCGCTTGGAGCTTCTCGCTCCACTTCGTTGAAGTCATCGAGAGGTTTCCCGTTCTCCGGTAGTTCGGCTGTGTCTACTTCGTTCTCTTGGGGAACATTCTCTTCCGACAGATCGACATGCTGTTCGGTGTCTTGCACAGCAGGGTGGTCATCTTGTACGAGAGGTTCGGCTTGCTGGTCGGAATGAAGCTTTTCGTGAGGCTGGTCTTTATCCCCTGCGGTTATAGTAATCTCCTCCAAATGATGCGCTCCTTCTGCCTCTAAATGCTGGACCTGCTCAGACGCTGGCGTCTCTCCTTGGACTTCAGGAACGGGAGCATCGATATCCTCATCGTAGTCGTCTTCCAGCATTTCCGCCTCATAGGTCCGTTCGTTCCCGTCCTGCATTTCGACGGTGTAACCTGTCTCGGCGTAAGGATCATCGACATCATCTATGGTGGGTTCCGCAACATCATCGATCATATCCGCATCGTGGGCTCCATCGTGATCATAGTCTAGATATTCGTCTGTGCCCATCATATCTTTGTCGGTGGTGGAGGCCTGGTCTTCCATGATGTCGATATCGATATCGAAATCATCAGCATGCCCTTGATAGGGGGAAGCCATCTCCATCTGATCATCAGCCACCGATATCTCCATAGTTGTAAATGCGAGCGATGAAGCAGTTGTCATGTCATCGATATGCGAGAGGAGGAGGACGCGTCAAAAGGTTTGGCGTGGCGATCTAGGTGTGCCTGACAGTAGCCCAAGGACAGGATCTGGGTGTTGCGGTGGCAAGCAGTAAGAGAATCACCTGGCGCTATGAGAATAAAACTGCGTCTCCAGCGAAGACAACTCTGTCGTGACCACTGAGAGAAGGTGTGGTAAGAGAGAGAGGGAGGGGCGGACGTTGACTTGCAATGAAGAGAGTGAAGTGACAGACGAAGCTTCTTGTGCTGCGGTAAGCGAGGGGGTAGCGCGGCGCACGGGCCAACGGGGACCGAAGAGAACAGCAAGCGATTCCCCGTGGCCTCGACGTCAAGAACCGCCTGCTAGACATTCGTCCGTTGCGAGATCGGTGCCATTCGGGCGAGAAGCTATTATCTCTCACTCTACCTTTGAATTCCTCTCACACAACCATGGTGCGGCTCGAATATTTCTTCCTTTTCCCAGAACACTGCTGACAATCGCGCACAAACAACAGGTCGTGCTCGCAGCGTCCATATGCACCCGCGGGGGCAAGGCTGTACTTTCGCGCCAATTCCGAGAGATTGCTCGCTCAAGAATCGAGGCCTTGCTCGCATCCTTCCCTAAACTGGCCGACTCCGGGACTCAGCATACGACTGTTGAACAAGACAACGTCCGCTTTGTCTACCAACCTCTGGACGAGCTATACATCGTTCTGATTACGAACCGCCAGTCGAACATCTTGCAGGACATCGACAGCCTTCACCTTTTCGCCCAAGTCACCACTAGCATTTGTAAGAGCCTGGACGAGAGGGAGATTCTTCGCAATGCTTTCGAGCTACTGAGTGCCTATGATGAATTGGTGACTCTGGGGTACAGAGAGAACCTGTCTCTTTCTCAGATCAAGACATTCCTGGAAATGGAGAGTCACGAGGAGAGAATTCAGGAAATTATTGAAAGGGTATATCTTCTCCTCTGGCTACTATGTCGGCACATGGCTGATTCCGCCCGTATAGAACAAGGAACTCGAGGCCAGCGAGGAGCGCAAGAGAAAGGCCAAGCAGCTGGAGATGCAACGGAAAGAGGCCGCCAAAACCGGTCGCTCTATGGCTCCCCGGGCGCCTTCTTATCCCGTCTATACACCCCCCTCTCGGCCTGCTGTGCCTGACACCTACGACACCTACGAGGCGGAGAAGAAGAAGTCGTTCGCTAAGTGTGTTCATCACTTCCTTACCTCTGATTCCGTTTCTAACGAACTCCAACCCCAGACCGTTACCAACTCGCGGAAAGGGCATGCAGCTCGGCAAGAAATCCAAAACCACCGATATCTACGAGAAAGTGCGCGGCGACCTTGGCCCTGAGGTCGAAGAGTCCAGCCCCTTGGTGACTCCACAAGCCTCAACTCCCGTCGGCGAAAAGGTGTCCTCCGCTCGTGCCTCGCTGTCTACAGACCGGGATCCTGTCCACATAACCATTGCCGAGACCATCTCTGCCACGCTTACTCGAGAAGGTGCACTGAAATCCTTCGAGGTCAAGGGTGATCTGCAACTCCGGATCTCCGACCCATCTTTCACCAAACTCAAACTCGACCTTCTCGCCAACCCCACGCATGGTGCGCAGTTCCGCACCCACCCCAATGTCGACAAAGCTGTCTTCACAAACTCTTCTGCAATCCAGTTGAAGGATACGACCAAGAGATTCCCTGCCAACAATTCAATTGGTGTGCTGCGCTGGCGTGTCGCAAGCTCTGGATCAGACAGCGCTGACATCCTTCCCATCACCTTCACCGTTTGGGTGAACAAGGGCTCTGACTCCACTACTGTGACAGTTGAGTATGAGCTCACCGGCTCTGATACTCTGCGTGATGTTATTGTCACTATTCCATACGGCGCGACAGAACCGGCAGTGTCCAGCTTCGACGCTGTGTATGAAGTATCTGGAGACAGCCTGGACTGGAACATCGGGACCGTGGATGAAAGCAATGCATCTGGCAGCTTTGAATTCGAGTCTACGGGTGACGGGGATGAGAATGAGTTCTTCCCCATGAGCGTGCACTTTGCAAAGTCCAGCCCTTTCGTCGAGGTCGACGTAAATGATATCTCTTTATTGGAGATGGAGGGCGAGAGCACCGGATTCTCCAAGGATGTGAAGAGCGTCGCTGAGGGATATGTTATCGAGTAATCCTTTTCACGTCTCCGTTGCTTGGGTGTATAGAGTACTAATGACGTTCGGACCGCCCATTTGGGGTTTCTGCGAGTTGTTTCTATGCTTTCTGACCAGGGTATTTACCTGTTTGATTCTCCAATTTAAGCCTATCTTGCCGCTTTGTTTTCATTCCTCAATTATTCTTCTCCCTGTTATTCGCAGTCGCTAGGCAGGAACGCTTTCGGCGCCGGAAATCCATTCTAACCTATAGGCGATCCCTAGTACCAGGGTCACTGCTTCCCCCATACATGAGAGTTTCGTTTCTATGCTCAGATAAGTACTCGGTGTCTGCTGACGGTCTGGGCCCGCTCAAGTAAACAATACCACCCCATTCAATGGCGTACCTTGGTAGACAAGCTCCTCAAGTAAGGCTCAGATACGTAAGCTGGACATAATATCAACGTATGAATTATCCAGGCTTGGGTTTGAGTCACATGTGGAGCGGAAAACGAGGAAAAGCGGTGTCGCAACCATTCGCAACCAGTGACTACCTATTCCAACCACTTCCTCTCTTTCCTTCCCTTCGAATATTTCTCACGATCACTCCCTGTCATGTCATGGGATGACGATGGAACATCTCGATCCTGACGACAATGTCTTGATCACTGCAGTGTAAGTGGCATGGCCGCATCATCGCACTATCATTACTTGGCCGCCACAAGTGAATTAACCATGGAGACGGCCAGCCAGAGTCACGGCTATGGTTGGCCGATTTAAGACCGATTGGAGAGTCCATCGGGGGGCCAGGCATCATGTAACCATCCATGATGTCTAGGTGCTTGGTTAGGCCCTCGTTGGAAACGCCAGGGATTCCATGGGAATATCTCCCACTCTTTGAATTTGGAGGAGTTACTAGACTGACATTGTCATTTGCATATCTCGGAACTAAGGCTATAATGATGCCGACCGTGGTTACCCCAGGATAGAAATACTCTTCTAAGGAAGTGCATTCCTCTTGAACCATTCCTTGACTTCGTTAGACATGCAGACACCCCCACCCATGTCGCCGTCAGAGGGCGACATGAGTTCGAGCGCTCCAACCTCATTATACAACCTCTAGCTAATGTTGGTAGTACGTCGAATAGGATTGTAGTTCAATCCATGGGAAGCCGGTCCATTGCTACACCTGCAGCGGCCGTCTGAGATTGCCGGTGACAAATTCTGACCTCTGGCATCTACTATCTAGTATTCATAGCCAATCATATAATACAGGCTCGCCAATATCCGGCTTTAATCAATAAAAGCTTCGGTACTAGGTACCCAGCGTCTAGACCCAGAGGGGCCGGTCTCCTCGATATCACGGTCGTTGGAAAGGCAGCCACAACTGGCTTCCACCTTCCTTCCCAGTTGGATAAACAACTCGAGGAAATTCAAGGATGATGGGATTCACCGTCTGTTGGGCCTTGCTTCCCGCCTTCAGAGTCAAATGCATACCTATACTTTCGTTGAAAGGATCCAGTCTTAAGTATAAAGATAGGGTCCGACCCCGGCTGCTGTTTGCACCATCCTCATTTTTTTCTTCCCATTCTTTTTGGTGTTTTCTACAAGAATTTTGGGTCATGAGGTATAACTGACACCCAGAGTGACATCAAGATGAGCTGTTATGAGGGGCTATTTCAGAGCGAACACTGACGATTGCATCTCTGTCCAGACAATCGTGTTTTATCTTCCATCAGGATTCCCTCTTCTCCACTCATTAATTCCACAAGACGATGCAATATCCACCTTGGCCAGAACAGCCGATCTTCAAGGTATCTTCGACTGAGAGCGGCTACAGCAATGCGGTGAGCAACAACCGGCCCTTACGTTGACAGTCCTGGAGCTTCACTAAATGTGTTTCAACGCATAGGGAAGCTCATCCCAGTCAATAGCAAGACAGGAGACCGATCGCCTTTTACCAAACAGGAAGATGGCAATTCCCAGATTGGCCGAAGGTGCGGAGTCTACTTTCTCAGCTCCGGGCAGGTTCCACCGTCGCCACGTGAGTCGAGCTTGTGAATCCTGCAGGCAAAGGAAAACAAAGTGCACGGGGGATAAGTCTGGCTGTCGCAATTGCCGGGAGGCAGGCATTATTTGCTGTTATACAGACGGCAAAAGAGAGAAATCCAAGAGGTGTGTATGGATTCAGTTGACTGGTAAACCTCTTCGCTGACTATATAAATTGATTCAAAGGCAGTTGGCTAGCCTAGAAGCAAAGATACAGACCTATGAAGATGTTCTGAAGAACCTGAGCAGCCGATTTGGAATCACCAATGAACAGCTGATGAACTTGGCATTGACAGTGGTATGATTGAGAATTCATTGGACTTGTCTCTTACCAATCTTCCACTAATTGATGACAGGAAGGGTCCACTAGCCAGGCCTTGCAATCTGATATGCGAACACCTTTCCCTGAAGACAAGAGGCTTCTCTACGCCTCTAACCCCGAACTACCGTTGTTTGTCGATCCTGCTTACTGCGTTGATTACATCAAAGAGGACTTCAACAAAGACGAAGTCTCCCAAGCCACAGGTTTCATCGGTCAAAGCTCCGAAATATCGTGGATACAGAATTTAAGCAGAGAGCTCAACCGTGGGTTGGAAACTGCTAAGTCCGGCGAGACCATGCAGCAATCCTTACCGGAACTCGGCGGGGGCATTATATCCACTTCGAATTACCATCTGGATTATCAAGAGATGCCCATTGTCGAGCGACCGGAGGCTTATGCACTACCCTCAAAGGATATTGCTACAAAGCTCTATAAGACATATCTAGATTGGGTGCACCCTTCTTTTCCAATTATCGGGACCACACCATTCGGACCACAGTTCCAAGCATTCTTCAGCAACCCCACTTTGCGCCCAGGAAATAAGTGGCTGGCAATCCTAAACCTGATTTTTGCAATAGCTGCAAGGTACGCTTACATATCTGAAGTGGACTGGTCATTAACGAAAGATGACCACTGCGTGTACTTCTCGAGAGCGAGAATCTTGAGCATGGATGATCGACAGTTCCATCACCCTGACTTGCAGCAGTTACAAGTGGAGGGACTGACTGCTCTATACATGCTCGCATTGGGTCACATGAACCGGTATGTCTATTTGTACTTTCCGGAGCATACCCGGGGCTATTCTAAAAGGAGTCTTGATGCCTGTGCTTACAAGTCATTAAAGGGCCTGGAGACTTTGTGGGAGCGCTGTTCAAGGAGCCCTCAGTCTTGGATTGCATCTACGCAATATAGGCGAGTTTGCCACTGACACTTCAAGAGAGATCAGGTATCGTGTATGGTGGTCTCTTTACATGATTGATCACCGGCTCGGCATGATTACTGGACGGCCTTCTTGCATAGACGATACTATTCACACAACACCTTTACCAGTTCCCTTTGACGAGGATGACTTTGGAAGAGAAGAAGTGATATTTTGGCTAAAGCGTACACCCGGAGCAGGTTTCAGTCATCCAGGAGGTGTCGCAAGCTTACGATTTGATCCACAAGCCAAGCAGCCGATGACTGCTTCGAAGGCAACGAACGCAGTTGCCATTCCTTCCTGTGGATCACTGTACTTCTTTCATCTCATTCAGCTTACTCTAATTGCCAAAAGAATGAGTTCCAAGCTCTACAATCCCGGAGTGGTGCGCTCGTCTTGGTTAGGTATCGAGTTCGCCATACAAGGTCTAACATCTGACCTTGAATCCTGGCTCTTGAGTCTCCCTAAAGACTATGATTTCACGAATACGCAGTCATCACAAGTGACACAGTCGATAGCTCAACAAAGAATGAGTCTGGCCCTGTTGTTCTATAGCACAAAAGTTGGTATCACACGGCCGTGCCTCCGCCGTCTGAGCTCAGTCAACCAAGATGCCAAAATCCAAGACTTTTGTAAGAGAACAGCAGCTGAGTGTGTGGAGTCAGCCTGCCATCTACTCAGATTATTCCCCGAGGATCTTGATGCAGCAACTTTGTACAAAATGTCACCTTGGTGGTGTGTGTTGCACTTTCTCATGCAGGCAACCACGGTTATCTTGCTGGAGCTCGCATTCGGTGCTCAGCACGTCCCCGAGAAAGTCTCAATGGTTTCTAGGGCTGCTGAAAAGGCCCACGAGTGGCTCGGTATACTGGCAAGGACTAGTATGGCCTCGGAGAAAGCTCGCCTACTTTGCGATGGGTTCATACGCCGTATTGAACTGAATGCAGGTGTCAACACATCTACTTATTCATATGCTGATCATGGTGTTGGCAGTTCACAAGGTCATGAAATTCCTGTCCCGCTTTCCACAGCCGGGGCAAAGGAATTTGCTTTCGTTCACGATACCCGAAGTTACCAGATGGGGGACGATTCTCTGTCGCCTTTGCAGCCATCAAGTATTATCAATGCTTCATCTTCTACATATCAGACTCCGGGAAGTCTCGACTCTATCAAAACGGACAGAGATACCGCCGCTCAGACTCCATACGATGATGCCCTTCCTGACGGTCTTCCTTATGACCCAAGCAGCGGGCAGATTATAGGCTCATTTTTCCCTTCCAGCCTAGGACTAGACTTTGATGTACGTGACTATGTCTTGGAAGACTTATGATCTCTACCTAAGCCTTGAGCCTTCGAATTGCCTGGACCCTAGGACGACATTGCTGCTCTTGTAGTAGATATCCTGCCTATCTATTTTGACTTTGAAAGACCCTCGCTTTCGTCTCGCCCTTCTATAGAATCACGGTCCTTTCCCAGTCCAGTCCAGCTTTCTTTTACAGTCTTCACATATGTGTATTCTTAGGTTAAATGCCGCGTTAGTTTCGTTGCCTTTATAACCATCATGATCACGCTTGACCTTTATGGGGACACTTACCCGTCCGAGGAAGCCTGGTTCAGAAGCTTACCCACACCGGCAACGACAAGAAGTGCTTATGTCTGGAGAGCACACCCTTGCTCTGTGGTGTGCTCTGTCATTATTATCATCACCTTCTTTGTCCCGTTTCTAGATCAAGAGTGCTTAACACCAATGTTTAATGGATTGACTTTTTTATGCCTTTCCGGTCGGATTGGCGCCATGAATCACTCAAGCGTCAAATAGCGGATCCGTATACGCTATAGTGATAGTACTCAAGAGCCTCATCTATCTCAACAACATTTCCTGTTTGAGATTTCAAATTCTGCAGGATCATGTGCTCGAAAATCCGTTTCATCTCCAATGTTCTACTAGTCATCTAGACCCGTGGTCATAGCCGATGAGAGCATTTGGTCATCGCCATCAATCGATCATGCCATTTCCCCTCTTCAGTGACGTAGGTAGCATGAGTTAAAAAGTCCTCGCGAAATAGAGGGGTTGGTTCCAATATAACCTCATACTTGTTTATGTTAATGTTCAACTTGTCTTCCCTCTCTTATATACAAATCTCCATCGTCACGTGTAAACATCAACATGTGAAAAAGTAATTATAAAAAGACATGTATATATCCTTTCCAGTCGTCATCCACGAGGCCTGGACTTCCAGTTTATATAGAGGAACTAAGACAGAATATCTAGCAGCCAAGATGCACTTTACACGATAGTAACATCACAGAATAAATTGCCGCACGGTGGCAGTAAGGTTGACCTCATCCTCACCATCGGTTGTTTCTTTGGATCAGAATGCGAGGATTTCTCGGAAGCGTAAAGGCTCTAGGTAGTAGGTAGCAACGGGCAGTACCCTGGAATCGCGGCCCAGGGAAGGAATTACTCGAGCTAAGCCTCCCAGTTTCTTTTCTTGGCGGTGAACAGAAACCGGGCGTTTTCCTCCTGTGATGTGAAGACGGGTCGAGCGGCACCGCGCGTTAAGACGGGGATTGCGCTGATTTTCGAGATTCTGATATCGATGACACGCGCGCGGGGTATGGCTCGATTTGCCCATGAGGTTGACGTAAGGGGCCACGTTTGGCCGCTGTCCCAGGTTTGATAGTCAATACCGAGTAGGCCTCGACCGTCGCCGACGAAGCGTTCTATGCAGTCTAAGGGGGGTAGGAAGCGGCGGCGGACACCACAGCCGATGTGGTTGGGGTCGATTTGGTAGTCGGGGCATTGTTTGAGGGAGGCGATGATTGCGGTTATGTCTTTGGGGGGTTCTGAAGGGGGCTCGGAGTCGGAGTCGGAGTCGGGGGCGAAGCTAGAGTCGATCAGCATCGACCCTAAGAAGATGGTCTTTGTGCGTAGTGAGAAGAATCGCGTCATTTGGCCCAGATGGAAGGCGTCACAGGCGCTGGAGTTGCCAAAGCCGTAGCGGCATTGGAAAGGACGGGGTTGATGTGTGGCTGGAGCGAGTGGTTGTCTCGGAAGGAATGGTTTGGGGGGCTCTGGATCTTCTAAAGCGCCGTAAACGCGCAGGAAGTAGGCCTGGAGGTCTGAGATGGTGTTGAGGATACATTGGCGGCGGTAGTAGAGCTCCTCTGGGATGCGATTAGTATTATCTGAGAGGGGTGTGATGGGTAACAGTACCTTCTATACCACCGGAGAAGTAGCGCCAGTGGAGGGAAGGACTCTCGGGAGGCTCGACGCCTTCTGCCCAAGACCTCGATCCAAGGATGATCAGAGCATGTGTCATAACTCGAAAGATGTTCGGTTCGTCTAATGTCCGCGCTACGAAGATCGTTTGTCGGATGCGATCCTCACTCAGCTTCAGCAAGGCAGAATCGAACTTTGTGTAGGAATATTTCCCCTTCCCGAAGGCATAGCCGACTCTCTTGAGAGATTCTTGCACGACGCGCGGAGAGTTGAAGGCATCTGCTAGCTCCAGAACCCTCGCAATGAGGGATACGGGCAGGAACTTCAGTTCCGCATCGAAAGAACCCTTCTGTTCTTCGTCGAAGGACTTGAAGGACAGGATCTCCAGGAACAGCTTGATGGCATCTAATCCAAGCCTTGGAGAGAAGTGTTTGCTTGGGAGAATTACGACAGGCAGATAGCTCATTTTCGGGCTTTGTTCATCCAAAGAGGCGCCGTTCACAGGCTCGGGAGCAAGCAGGTCCCGGTGCATCATCTTCTGCTGCATGAGTTGTTTGCCCTCGGAGAATTTGTCAGGATCAAGTAGGGCTCGAAAATACGGACTGCTTCGCATCAAGTCCTCGCTGGAGACTCGCCAGCGACGGTGACGTGCCTCGGATCGCGTTGAAGTGTCTGAGTCAGGATCTAAATATTCGATGACCACATCTCCCGTTCTCAGGATGACTCTGTAGAGTGCATCAGACTCGTCTATATCAGGAAGCATATCTGCCGCCTGCCTTGTCTGAGCTATCATTTCTAAAGATCCTGTTGGGTCCTTGATGGGCATGTTCTCTATCGTAGATCTGAGTCCCTCGTTTTGAGGGTTCGGGGTATATTCTGAACCCATGAAAAGCGAGTGTGGACGCTCGAACCTCATTCCACAATGATGTCGAGACGTGTCGCTTTTCTCCATGTATATCCAATTTCATGTATCATTGGAGCAAATTGGTCCACTGTTCGCAGAGCATCAAAACGGAAGTCCGTGTGTGCTGATACTCCGGGGTAGAAATCTGGGATATCCGCCACATATGTTGGTGTATGATTTGGAGGCCGCTCCTCGAGACAGCAGTGGCATTGTAGTGCGGAATGTAAACATTTTAGGTTAATAGACCATCCATATTGACAAGTGATTGAGAGAGCCTGGCTTTGTAGAACAGAAGAGAAGTTGGGGAAAAGTAGTTGGTGGTTGGATCGAAAGAATTGCCTCTTCGGGCCATCACGTCATGTGGCCCATCGCGGGGATGCTGCCTCAGGGGCTAATTTCATTCTCTCAGACATCCTAGGCGCTTGCCCTTTTGATTTGATATCCCATTTGCATTTTTGGATATTGTTTGACTGCTCAAAATTTGTCGTGATCCGTTCCGGTTTTCTTAATAAGCGAAATTCGACCGCAACAATTATGAAGATTCTACTATACAGCGATAAGTATATATATACTACATACTATAGCCGGGATGGAAAGGAGATTGCAGCACGATGCCCTCAACTAGTAGTAGTCCGACGGATCCGCCTAGGACGTCAATTCTTGGACTAGACCGTGACTATATTCATATGGATTCCGAGAATTCTCATCTCAGAACGTCTGACACACGTGCACACATAGTAAGGAACATCTGCACCGAAATACTCCGAAATTCGAATAGGATCACGATACCGGGGGAGCACTCGGCCGTCGGCGGTCCCAGCCGCTGCAGGGATCAAGATTACAGTGAGCTTAGAGCCCAGGAATCGATCTAGGCGCCGTTCTAATGGCGCCGTTGGCACTTAGCTCGAGCGGAATTATATCCCGATTGGATGCTTACGACTTAGCGGTCGTTGGTATTTGGAATTCTGAATTTCCCTGGGTCTAGTGATGCAAAAAGTTGGATGCCTTGGCTATAGTCACAGATGATTTCTGACCCCCCACATGCTAGATTCAAACAAATGGCAATGATAGAACATGATATAACGAAATGATTTTCAGAGCGCTCAACTCCATAACCCCCATGTGCAATAGTGTTGCTTTAAAAAGACATAGTAGCGGAAAGTATGTATATATGCGAACAGAAAAGGTGATTAGTTAGTCCCAAGTCAAAGCAATAAATCCGACATAGTGCGTATAGAAAGGATCCACAGTTGGTCCCGCTTCATGGCAAGGATACGATCGGGATATGTAGGATCTGGCAACTTTTCGTTGGTTCGGGCTTCGCAACCCCGTTCTCCTGAGTGGAAGCTTCGCGTAGTTTGAATGCCTTTCCGGCGACATGGAATAATTTCGCGGCAAGCGGGTTCAGTGACTCAATAGGTATCGAAGTCTCAGGCAGAGCCGAGCTGGTCGTCTCATCCTCTTCCATCACCTCTTCATCTCCATCGCCACCCTCGAGCAGTTGCCCGCCCATCCCGTCGTGGCGCTGAGCGATGGGGGAGAACAGGGCAAAGTGTGGTAGTGCCTCGTCGTCATCAGACGAGTATGGGCTAAGCTGCTGTTGTTCATCGCCGTAACTCGGCAGACCTGTTTCAAAGATATCGGTTCTTTGCGAAGTCAGGTGCCATGGTTCACCAGAGAGGAATCCCACCACGAAATCTTGGTTGGCACGGGCAGCAGCTATGCAGCTTTGACGGTAATCGGGGGTAAAGGAAGTGTCCGTCCTGGATGGCAGACAGAGCACCAAGCCACGGGCCAGAAGAGGGGGGGGAGGAAGATCCTCTGGTATCGTGGATGGACTCAACGTCCCGAACTCGAAACCATGTCGCTCAAATTGAGGGGATTCCAAGGGGTAATCGGAAGAATCCTCGGTATGTTGCGTGATGGTTTGGGTAAGTGAAATAGTCGAGGCTTTTCGTGGAGGAAGTCCCAAGCCGCTATGATCGACAGCGTACTCGGTGAGATGTTGCGGTTGTGTAGAGTCTTGATCGTCGACGGAATTCTCATTCGCGAAACTATTCGCTGTGATTTCGGTCCGGATGGTCTGCACCGTGTCCGCTACGGCCTCCCGAGCAGCAGCCTTCAAGGTCGGAATCAAGATGTCGGCTTCTTGGTTATAAACGGCGGCTCCGGAAGCCCAGGCTGTGGAAATTCCCGCCCATGATGCCGGCTTCACCACACCTCTGGTGTACTTCTTCCGGATCAGATCAACCGCTCCATTCCGTGCTTCTCTCGACTCGGTCTTCTGCCGACCGACCACGTCGACGGTAGCATTGAGGATCCGACCACTCTCCCAGATCAAAAACCCATGTTTTCTGGCCAAAGTGGACAATTGGCGAACGGTATCTTCGGACCAGTCATCGATGATATCGGCATGCACCTGGAGAATACTGATGTGAGGGCCGACCAAAGAGGCGAGGTTGAGGAGCGAATCGGTGGTGGTGATCGTGTGAGAGGGAGAGACACAGACGGGCAGTCCATAGGGCAGTTCGGATTTGGACTTGGCCAAGGTTTGGAGGTAGGAAACGATACGATTGCCGGGGAAGGACGGGCAGTCCAGCGACGAAGATGTATCCATTGCGACAGAGGGAAGCGACGGTGACCCGGGAGAGGGAGAGCAATTGGTTGTCACTGAGGGAGAAAGAGAGAGGAAGAGAGCGAGAGAGAGAGAGGGTGAGGGAAAGGGATGGGGAGGGGAGGAGGTGAGAGGGGGGAAAAGGTGGGAGAGCAGGACGACCGGAAGGTCAGTCTGTTATGTCTCTTTTCTTTGTTTCCCTCACTTTCTGGGCTCAGGGAGCTCGTCCGGTTGAGCTAGGTACACACTAATTAGATGGGTGGTAAACCCACTTCCAGTCCCTTGACTGGTCGACTCGGTCGAGACAAAATGATTGACAATTGAACACTGTCCCCACTTTTCCGACATTTAGCTCGACATGATCAGTCGACAGGGGTTGAGGGGGACCCGTTCGGATGTGGTTCGAGTAGGAATCGGATTGGATTCAGCAGATCGCTCCCGCTTGCCAGTCAAAATCTGCCGAACCGCTAGGTAAGTAAGTAGGTAGGTACCTCTGGGAGAATAATTGATGCCCTCGCGCAGCCCATACATATCCCTATCTACATCCCTATAGACCATTATTATACATGGTCGGTACCCAAGATGATCGCATCGACCCGGCGACCAGAGAGGCCTGGCCTGGCCTGCCTGAACTCGGTCAACGCGAACGGGGGGGTGTGTTGGAGGGGGCTTGGAGGGGGGCTTAGAGCCTTGGAGGGAACGATGGACGTACCTTATTTTCTGCTTGCGAGAGCGACCCAAGCTTGGTGCGCGACTCCATCCATCGTCGACGGAGCCGCGACACGGGGAAATACCGAGTGCCTCTCCACTGACCGATACCGTTCTTGACCGATCTGAGGCCTGGCGCTGGCACGGCGAGAGCCGTAAGTGTACGGGAGTGTACGGCCCAGTACCGCGCAGTATTCAGGATTTTTAATCTTATCCCCAGGAGGGAGGTAATCTATCTGCGAACCATGGCCACCAGAAACTATGGCCGATTTTACTTTCCAATCACCTTTGCAGCTTCCGTGTTTCTTAGCTCCTCCACTTTTGTGATCTCCAATGATTTCCACCCATGGAGATCGTCTTGACTTTCGACTTTCGACTCGAGAGTCTCGAGTCTCGAGTCTCGACAGTCAACAGGATACCGGTTTTATGGGTACACAGTACTCCGTACGCCTCAGTCCTCCTCGGGAGGCATCAGTCCATGCCCTGCCCCCTCCCCCTCCCCAACTCCAAGCAGGGCAATCATTGGCGAGTACAACTTGCCCAGACTGGCCATTAACGCCCAGTGCCCCGTCCCCCTCCACCACCGCCCCCCCATAGCACAGATACGGAGTGGACAGGGGCAAACCCGCCTTGTCGGAACGAGGGATCCGGTATAGTGGAAATGTTACGCAACTTACGCCGCATACGCAGCGAGCGGGTCGCTCACCAGGCGTAATTTCGCCGTTCCCGAGGGGACCACTTGAATGCACCAGCTGTACGTGGCTCAGAAGGTAAAAATATGAGAGGTCTACCATCCCTTCAGCAACTCAGATTGTCTCGGGCGCCGGGTTCGGTTGGTGTTGAGTTTACTCTTCATTCTCGCTTACTAGTGCTGTTGCCCAGCGTTTACCCTCTCCGATTCAACCGTCAACTACCTAGATGGTTATGGTTGCCGATCGTATGCCCCAACGTCGTTATACTTTGGGACACTACTGTCCTTTCGGAAGCTGCTAAGAATGACCTGCTTAGATGGGCTTGTCTCCGAGGTATGCCATCGCTTGTTTGGATGGCAGCCTCATTTCCCGAATTTAGGAAGCTACCCAAAGCTTAGAGCCCCAAACGCCCTATGATACATCCGACTGCCCGGTGTCTTGTGATGAGTCCCAGATTCGCCCCAGTGTTCAGCTGCCGTCGACGCTTTGACAGCCCCGACGGGGAAAACGCATGTTTCGACTTTCGAGGATGATCCGCTTGGAGACAATGTCAGGCCGCAATACCTTGCCTCGGACGGCGAGTGACCAGTGCTCCATACGGCCATCTCCACGAACCGAGACATGGTACGGAGTACGGAGTAGTACCCTGCTCCTCTCACATACCTATAAGATAGTACCTACTTACATGCCAGGTGAGGAAGCTACTATGTAGGATGGGGTCCCACAGGATCCTGCCTGGCCTGGACTACCATTGGTCATATGAAGCTCTAGGCAAAGTATTTGTCGATCAGGCCATCATTTGACGGATATCATGTAGTGTGTGCGGAGTACCACGGAGGACTGATAGACAGCACCACCACACAGTCACTACAGTGACTCGGTACCGACGCCCGCAACTTCCTTTTATGGGCTCATGTAATCGGGCAATTTAGGTACTTTCCAGGCTCTATGGAGCTACCAGTGGCTCCATTCGCCCAGCTCGGACCGCCACAGCAACGCGTGCGATGTGTCTTTACCACCCCGATTGAGCAACACCTCCTCTCGCCATATCTGATAAGCGCTGGTGTTTTGTCTAACGGTCTCCAATGTTGACAGTGTCGCAGCATTAGCCTCGATACAAGTAGTCTGTACGCCGGTACGGAGCACCCTAGCGCTATACTAGGCGGGATATTATTGCTGCATGCTGTAGCTAATTTGGCAAAAGCTCCAGATTAACTGAACCATATACACCTTTATTTCTTCGCTCAAGAATTAGACGGGGGATTTCCTTTTGTGACTCCGTCCTGCTTATACTAGTAGTCTTCAGCTAGCCATCCTTTGGACAAGCGCCGTCGGTGGCCGCCTTTTTCTGGCCTCAGGCATCGAGATGTTACCGCCGGCTGACAGAGCCACTCAGGGGCAGGGCCCAAAAAGGACTAGTGGCCTCCATGGATTCCGTTGTATCCCCGACGGCCTGACCGGCAAAGGCCTTGATGAAGAGTCACTCGGTCGCTCTCTGTACAGTCTAGCAAACGGTGTTTGCTTCCATTTACCAAAGCCCAGAAGGTCACGACTTGTGTGTTGGTGCAGCGGTGTTTGCTGGAATCTCGTCGCGGTTCTACTCTCCTGTTTCAGTGGTACAACGAATTTTTTTTCCCCCCGGAGCCTCGGACCCGCGATCCCTGCTTGATATTTTGAAGCTCACGCCACTCCTCCCTCAGCCATTTATAACGGTTCCCACGGCAGCTAATCACCGACCGTCCAACTACATCATTCGCATTTGAGCGCTTGTCACTTCCCTCTGTCGCCGATAGTTCTTCACGGTACCGGCTTCTCAGGCTTTTACCTTGCGACGACCATGTCTGGCAGAAACCTCCCCAAGTTCACCACGGCTGAGATCGAGTCTCATAACAATGCCAAGTCGTGCTATGTGACCCTGGGGTCCAAGGTATATGACGTTACCGATTTTGTCGACGGCCATCCCGGTGGTGAAGAATTGGTTCTCGAGTATGCTGGCAAAGACGTGGCGGAAATACTGCGCGACCCGGCCTCCCATGTCCATTCCGACTCGGCATACGAAATACTGGAAGAGTGTCATATCGGTTTCGTTGCCTCGGAGTCAAATGGCAAGGCCGTGAATGGAGGTCTTTCTCAAACAAAAGAACAACCGTTATATGCCACGACCGGCTTGTCCTGCGAAGAGGACCTTTCTGTCGACACCGACTACACCAAGGACTACCAGACGCACAAGTTTTTGGATTTAAACAAGCCCCTTCTTATGCAACTTTGGAACAGTGGGTTTACCAAGGAGTTCTACCTGGATCAAATCCATCGCCCGCGTCATTACAAGGGAGGGGAGTCCGCGCCACTTTTCGGAAACTTTCTTGAGCCTTTAAGTAAGACGGCTTGGTATGTGGTTCCTATAATGTGGCTTCCTCCTATCACATACGGGACCATCCTTGGATTTTCAGGCCTGGCGAATGTGCCGGCTGCGTCTGCTTATTGGGTCGGTGGTCTTTTCCTCTGGACCTTAATCGAATACCTCATGCATAGGTTCCTATTCCACATTGACCGGTATGGCCCCATGCACGTTCTCCAGATTCATTCACGCTAATCTCATTTTAGATACCTTCCTGATAACCGAGTTGGTCTCACTCTCCACTTCCTGCTCCATGGAATCCACCACTATCTGCCTATGGACAAGTATCGGTTGGTCATGCCACCGACTTTGTTCATCGTCCTGGCCACCCCGTTCTGGAAGCTGGCCCACACCGTGTTCTTCTACAACTGGTATGCCGCTCTGACGGTATTCTGTGGTGGTGTCTTTGGTTATGTCTGTTATGACATGACTCATTACTTCCTCCACCACCGGAAGTGAGTTAATCTGGCCTTTGAAATTTCCATGTCACCTCGCTAACCGCTGTTGTTCGTCTAGCCTTCCCGCCTACTACAAGGCACTTAAGAAATACCACCTTCAGCATCACTTTGCGGACTTTGACAACGGATTCGGTGTCACTAGCCGCTTCTGGGATCGAGTGTTCGGCACCGAGCTTGAGACACCGTCGCCCAAGGATGTGAAGACCCAGTGAACAGGTTTCCGTGGTATACTTGCATCCTGATGCTTCTCTCCTGAGTCTTCCACACGTGTCAACACTCCGATTCAAATCCTATGTTTTAATATACGAAGTAATGCCGTCGCAGACGTGTGTTTATTTTTACTCACGTTGACCTTCAGGAGTTGGGCTTCTTGTGAATTTCCTCGTGTACATTGGTTGTCCTGGCCGGGTTGAAGAGCGCATCCATTATTCTTCTATGACTTGTGACTATGACTTTCCTTGTCTCTATGAATTAGTCTCTTCCTGTACAGAGTATATGATCACTTAATATATAATTACTACTTTCTAGTTTCAATATGAATGAATCTTTTAGTGGGATGTGACTGGCATGCTATTGGGATCCACCCATGGTTCAGGGCCGCGTTCACGGAAAAAGAAAAACTAAAAGATAAGGAGGCAAAGACGCCAAGAGCCACGTGACCGCAAGGCATCCCACGCCAACAGAACATTGAGGTGTACAGTATCTTCATATCCTCGCCTTGGCCACATCACCAGCACGACCGTTGTATTCTCGGTGGAACCGCTCACGTCACCAATTCATTATTCAACCTCAATCCGATACAGAACACAGGAGCAGCAACAGTCTGCAGAAGATCCGGGTTTGAAACAGAAGGGTTCGCTCAAGTCAAGCTTGATACGCCGTCGCTCTCTAACGAAGCCAAAGTGACCTAAATCCTCTCCACGCAATCTTCATTTCTTTTTCTGTCCAGATCTGTCCAGGAAAAGAGAAATTGCAGCATATAAACAATATGTCAGGTCTCGATGTTGAGGCTCTACTCGAGTCTACAGCCGCTCCGCCGTCTCAAGACCCTCCCCGTTCTCAGGACCGCGATGACCGCTCCAAAGCCGATAGCACCGACCGCCGGGATCGTGACCGGTCGCGAGACAAAGACCGCAAGCGGCGGGACCGCAGTCGTGACCGACGTCGCTCGCGAGATGTCGATGGAGATGAAGACATGAAGAGCCCGAGAAGCGAACATGGCAGTGCTAACGGAAGCCATAGAAGCAGAAAGAGGAGCAGGAGCCGCGAAAGCGACCGCCGCCGGTCTCGTCGGGAACGCCACGGGGACGAGTACCGTTCTGGCGGTGACTTTTACCGCGGTGGTGGACGGGCTCGCACTCGATCTCGGTCTCCTTTTGATGATCGCTATTACCGCCCCTCGGGCCGCTCCCGTCGCGATGAGCGGGATGAAGACAGACGGACTCGCCGTGAGCGTGAAGGTCGGAGACGAAGCCCAAGCCCGAAAAGTCGCGAGAGGACTCCGGAACCTACTGAAGATGAACGTGACAGGCGTACAATTTTCGTCCAACAGCTTGCTGCGCGGTTGAGGACCAAGGAGCTGATTTCGTTTTTTGAAAAAGTCGGTCCTGTCAAGGAAGCTCAGATTGTCAAGGATCGTGTCAGCGGACGGTCCAAAGGGTGAGTCTCTATCTCCCTCTCTGTCTGTCTCTTCTTGGTACAAGGGCAGGTGCTAACTTTTCCAGTGTCGGTTATGTCGAATTCAAGAGCGAAGAATCCGTTGCGCCCGCAATCCAGCTTACAGGACAGAAACTTTTAGGAATTCCAATCATCGCACAGCTGACTGAAGCGGAGAAGAACCGCCAGGCCCGCAACCCGGAGGCCAGCAGCGGCAACAATCACGCTGCTCCATTTCACAGGTTGTACGTGGGTAATATTCATTTCAGCATCACTGAAAGTGACCTCCAGAACGTCTTTGAGCCTTTTGGCGAACTCGAATTTGTCCAGCTGCAAAAGGACGAGACCGGTCGGAGCAGGGGTTATGGTTTCGTACAGTGAGTGCTTGCTTTTCCATTACGATAGTTGGAAAGCTGCTAATGCTCGATCGTATAGGTTCCGCGACCCGAACCAGGCTCGTGAGGCTTTGGAAAAGATGAATGGCTTCGATCTTGCTGGTCGAGCCATCCGTGTTGGCCTTGGCAACGATAAGTTCACTCCTGACTCGAACGCACAACGCATGCAGAGCCAAGGTGCAAACCAACATAACTTCCAGGGCTCTCTGTTCTCGGGTCACGGTGGACGTGGTGTCCAGGCCGGGGGTACTAGCAACTTCGACCGTGCTGGCGGCCGTGATTCTGAAAAGGGAGCCGGTGCCAGTGCCTTGGATGATACGGATGTTGCGGGTGTAAACTTCAACAACTACAGTAGGGACGCATTGATGAGGAAGCTTGCAAGAACAGATGAACCTTCCGAGCCTGCTGCCGATGACCAGCAGAAGGTGCTCCGGCCCAAGACTGAGACCAAACCGTTGCCTGTCAATGTTAACATGGCGAGCCGGTGTGTCTTGCTCCGCAATATGTTCGACCCTAACGAGTAAGTTATCTGATAGCTTGTTACGTATTTCATCTAACATTGTATAGGGAGGAGGGCGAAGTCTGGATTAAGGAGCTGGAGGATGACGTTCGCGCTGAGTGCGAAGACAAATATGGCCATGTTGTTCACATTGCACTAGATCCCAACTCGCAAGGCGATATCTACCTGAAGTTCGACCGCGTCCAGGGTGGCGAGAACGCCATCAAGGGCCTGAACGGGCGTTTCTTTGGTGGTCGACAGATCACCGCGCAGCCCGTCGTCGATGCTGTTTACAGCAGCCTGTTCTCCCGGACCAAAGCCATCTAAAGTATCTGACCTTGACATGCGCCTGGCAAATACGTACGGGTAGGTATTTCATCTAATCTTTCACCAGGTGCAATTTGTGACGGCCGGCCCACACTTTGATCCTGAACTGTTGGCTTGGATGACACTGCCCTGGTAGGTGCCAGTCTTCTTGACATCTTGCTCTTAGTTGTCAGGCCAAGAGCCTTGCGGAATGATTTGTTTATAGGGATTTGTACATTGCGTTAGCGCCAAATAGTATTCGTAACTTCAATAAAAGTTCTAGCACAGTTGGTTGTAGCATTACCATGAAATCAGGGTTGGGATCATTCGCTCACGACAAATAAGTTCTTTAGCAGCTTGGTTGACTGCTAGCAAAGCCATCGACAATCACAGCAAATTTCCATGCTCTCATGAAGAGACTCATCCTGCCAACATGTTCCATCTTTTCTCATCACACAAGTAGTCGCAGAGGTCCATCTCATACCAAGGCAACACCCAGGCCACAATAGCCCATCCAATCCTGCCGAGACTTCTTATTCCTGAAGTAGACGTTTCTCGAATAGAATCCGTCTGTTGCCATCATTTTCCGGCTAGTATGCTTTTACAAATAGGCAGATTACTTGGAGAGATGACCATGAAACACCATACCTGCAAACATATGCCATGCACATCATTCTAAACTATTAAATAATCCATGTTTATGTGTGAAAACTGCAACTCCACCGTGACTTTCCCGCCATCATGTCACTACTTATAACAGACAGACCAAGGACATGGATATAGTTATAATCTTTATAATCATAATAAGACTACCTCTATATTTCCTACCGCGACTTCCCCCTCATGATATCAGTATTTTAGTTAATGTAGAATATGGGACATACAGTTCTCCAACGTTGTAAACAGCTTTTATACAATGAAGACTACCAACATCTACTATCGCTGTCGCTATTACTTTCCCGTCATTCCTCCACCACCACCACAGAATACTTATACTAGTACTTGTATAGACGTCTATCTACAACACACATCTTAATTAAATTTCTATGCAACAAATGATATATCTATAATATGTCTTAATCCTCTATCACAAATGACAAGTGCACACTTTATAATAGATAGTAGATAGATAACCAAATCCCTATGTCAGTTCAACATCCCATCTCGCCGTCACCTCCCCGTCAACCCCCCACCACACACCCTCATGATGACATCCATATCCACAAACACATCCCACATAATGCCCAAGCAGAATTCCGTTGCTCTACTACCTCCCAGCTCCCCCCTCCCCCCAAAACGAAGAAGTAACACTTTACCCACCCCACCCCACCCTCGCAACACAGTGGAGATCCAAACACAACAAAGACAGACTGACCTTCATTCACTGTCCTTGTTTACCTACCAGAGAATATTGATTGTGTGGGGTGTTACGCGACAAGTGAGTGTGGTTTATTTTATTGCTGGAGTTCTATCTCATCTTGTGTTTTTCTCTGCATCTCGTGAACGTTCTTGTGCATACTAAGTTTCTAAGATTTGGTGTGTTGAACGGATTACTTCTAGTGTGGTGATCAGATTACCTCTTCTATCTAAAGTTTAATTCAGTGAGATATTGAACAAGTTACGTTACGTTACTTTGATTCACAAGAGTGAGGGTGTTAGCTGTTTGTTTGCTGCACGACGACATCATCGACGACATCATCAACGACATCGTCGCCATGGCTTCTAATAGAGGGGTGAGTGAACGTGTGAACTAACTGCATTTGGGCTTTGTTATGATGTGTGCGTTTGTGGCTGACAAGCTCTCGATTTACATAGTTCCCGGTGTCTCCCTCCTCGTACAGTGACTCTCCTGATTCCAGACATCGGCTTACCCCCGGTGCTTTTCCCAGGCCCCAGCAGGTGGTCACTCCGCCTCAGCATCCAGCACGCGAGGCGGAGTCCCTGCGGGCGGCTCTGGCTGCACGCCGTGCAGAGGCTATCCAGATAAAGGCCCAGTTGAGCGACGCACAGAAGCGGATTAAACTCGACGGGGATATCATCCAGACTCTCCGGACCAAAATCGACCAGCTGCAGGAGGTCATCATGCAGCATAGATTGGCGAACGATGACCATAGCAAGGGATCTCCTGAGCCGAAGTACCCTCAAAAGAACCACCAATCGAGATACTCGGCCAGCAGTACTTCCCTGCTCACTGCCTCATCTTCGCCATTCAGCACGCCCAGTGCCCGTCGTGGTGGGGTCTTCGATCAGCCACCTCCCAGCTTCAACATGCCATCGGGCAGGAGGGGCGCCAACGCCAGGGCCGCTGTCGCGGTAGCAGCTAAATCGTCGCCTTCGAGATGGCATGAACACAGCCCGCGTGACCTCTTCAAGGCTCCTCCGCAGTATGCGGCCGCGGGATCGGATAGCTCTCAGGGACCTGTCGAGACGGGCAGCATGATCGACCAGCTCGCCCACAGGTACAGGGACCTGTTCCATAAAACAGACATGTTCAGCCAGGTGCACGGTAATCTCCCCGACTTCGTACAGGACATGGACATGGATGCGTCCGTCAAGGACTACCTGATGGCGATCTCGCACCAGAACCACGCCGCGTATCTGTTGGGAAACCCGTCGACCCGGTCCACCCTGCTAACGAAGGCGATCAACTACTACATCGTCCACGAGGCCCTCAAGTTCACGGCCGTCAAAGGGTTCGAAGAGAGCGTCGACATGAGAGTTGAAGAGCTCAAGCAGCAGGTCTGCCAGGGTAGGTTGTTTGTGTTGGTTACTTTTTCTGTCACCTTCATCTTCGCATAACTCGCATAGAATACTGACTCAATGTGAAAGATACTCCGGCCATTATCCGTGACATGTTGACAAGCGCCATGATCTCCGTTGTCGAGGGAGCTATGAAGGTGCCAGAGTTCGCCGATTTCTCCAAGCAAAAGGCGCATGCTCATGTCATGACGCTGTGGCAGTGCATTGGGCCGCTCACCAATGACCAGCACAACGTGCATGGGATGGCTTGGGCAGATCTCGCCGTGATCATGTCCGAAGCCCAGAATCTCGCTGTCGACATGTTCAGGCATGCATTTGAGTACCGCTTCGACTTCCCCGAGATCAATGAGCCGTTCGACCCCATGACGATGATCAACCGCGACTACTTCATCAAGGGGGATCCGCAGGCGTTGAAGAACAACGACAACCGTGTGGGACTGGGGATCACTCCAATCATTGGAATCCGCAACCTTGCGAACCAAGAGAGCAAGCTGGTGTACTTGGCTGAAGTCTTGCTGCTGTCGTCGCCCGGCCACTGAGGGCTATGTTGTCCGCCAACAACGAAGCCAGAACGGCGGGCAACGACAGCTAGTTGTCTGGTCTGATGGTTGCTCTTTTCCTTCTTTGTGTGCGCTGTTGGATGGTTTATCGTGGATTTGGCGTCCTGCTAAGGAGTTTGGTGATCGACAGATCTGTAGTTAGCCCTGTGGAATATGGCTCAGGAGTTCAGGAGATATGCTTTTCTAACCAGTGGGATTTGCTTTCAAACTGCTGTCTTTAGGAGGAAGATAGGTCCAAGAACCGCGAGAGTGAGAAATAAACTATGGAGAAAAGAGCCCCAACAATGTAAATATTGAGGTTTCTTCCGGCGCACCTTAATCCTGTAGTCCCGTGTGGAGTAGATGGAGCAAGTATGGGAGTAAGTAGTAGATCAGGGGACTAGGGAGGCGGAGGAGATGAAAGGCTTGCAAAACCACACATTCCCCGCCAGCAACACGCTGGATGCACAGCTGCTGGCTTACAGCATTCACCGTTGGTATCCATCATCGCACTGTTACCGCGGCGAGGGCGTGGCAGCGCGCACGGGGAGGCGTGGAAGAAATGCCGTGGTGGTTCTCCGCCGCACCTAACGCTCGGCCCGCAAAATCAGCAGCCCCCGCGGATTCCCGATAAAAGGCAGGAAACCTTCTTCCTGCTTCGTGTCCGGCGCCTCCTTGTGCTCGTGTTTTTTTCGCTCTCCCAGACTTCTTGCCTCGCCTCATACCAGCCTGCCAATGCCCCGGCATTCATGATTGGGTCTCCCGCCAAGCGAGTCTCTGTCCAGGCCCGGACCCTGGCCGACCAGTATCGTAAGCCTCCCCCAGATTCTCTTATCTCCGGGGCCTCAAGCGCCCAGCCAGATCGGCCTGGAGTTGCGTGGTCGTCCTGCATTCGCGCCTCAACCACCACTGACTTGCCGGTTTTCGTTTAGTCTATATCATTTTGTCTGGGCATCGTCATTACTCCAGCAAGTACATCGTTCCAGACGATATCCGTCCCACCAAGCGTCGCGAGTTCCATGACTATTTCGTCACTCATTTGCCTTCCTCCTCCCTTCACCCGGATCCCCGAGGTCCCTTGACGCCTTTCCACAAACTTCCTCATTCTGCATCAGTCCCTCATACGGGCGAGATCTCCCATTCTCCAACCACATTCCAGCCCCTGGTCGACCGAGATACCACTGTCGTTCGCATCCCACTGCGGAGCGCAAAACACCACTTTGGCGCCCACAGTTCCCGCGGCACCCGGCCTTACAATGAAGACTCCTACCAGGCTGGCGTCATCGATCTACCTGCCTTTGCAAAGCGTCCACCAGCCTCTTTAACCATCAAGCGGACTGGCGCAAACCCTGCCCCCAGGGAGAGCCGCGGGGCTGACACTGCGAGCGGGGATCCGCAGGTTTTCTACTTTGGAGTCTTTGACGGTCATGGCGGAACGGAGTGTAGTACATTCTTGAAGGATTGGCTACATGAATACATTCAAGATACGGCGGCTGCGTTTGAACTGCAGTCCAGTCTACGACAAGACCGGAGCGGCCACTTCCCGCTGGGCGCGGAGCCCTCATCGGGAGCGCTGCCGATCGTCCAGGGCGGCAACTCCAAGCGAATCGAAGAACTGGAGAAGATCCTGGTGCAGAATTGGAAGACACTGGTCGGTGGCTACTTTAAGAGATTTGTTCCCGCCCACTTTTCGCATTCTGGAAAGGACTTGACGGTCAATGGAGATTCCGGTAAGGGAGTTACCATCGAGGAGATCCTGGAGTATGCCTTTCTCCGGACCGACTTGGAGTTTGTTTCAGCGCAAGCAGCCAAAAGAGATGATGATTTCATGAAGGTTGGCCAGCCAATGCATCAGGATGATATTCTGTATGGACCCAACCGCTCGCGATCGTTGAACATTGGCGGAGTCAATCGCTTTAAAGGGGGCAGCACAGCCAGTGTTGCGCTCATCTCCACCCCGACCCCGATGCCATTTTGGCATCCGAACGCCCCTTCCAGCCTGCTTGTGTCGCACGTCGGAGATACTCGGATTCTCTTATGTTCCACCGAAACAGGTCAGGCCATTCCGGTCACATCCAACCACCATCCCTCGTCACCCATCGAGGCTAGTCGGTTGCGACGGTATGCCGCCACCTTTGTGACGGACTCTTTCGGAGAGGAGCGGATGAGCGGGCTGGCCAACACTCGGTCCTTCGGGGATGTCCAGTCCAAGCGCATCGGTGTCTCAGCGGAACCGGAGATCCACCGCATCGAGATGGGGCCGGCCGAGTATTCGTTCCTGGTACTGATGTCGGACGGGATCAGCGGCACGCTGCTAGATCAAGAAGTCGTCGACATTGTCAAAGAAGCGAGGACTCCCGACCAGGGCGCTCGTGATGTAGTCAGCTTTGCGACCGAGGTGACGCGCGAGGGCGACAATGCCACCTGCCTGGTGGTCCGACTAGGCGGTTGGGAGCGACGGCTGGAGGGAGGACTCGGCAGCCTGGGGACGAAGGAGTCTCGAGAATGGCGTCGGCAAGAAGCGACAGATCCGCGCAGGTCACGGAGATGATAATGAAGAATTCCCCTAGAAAATGCCCGTTGTACATAGCTTATTTTATGCTTCTCTTTTTTTTCGCGTTGCTCGGAAGACTTTGCATCTTTTATTTTTGTACATACGCAGTCCTTGACAACTAATCTCTTTTGTTCTTCGGATGCACTGCAATAGTAATCATGGGCAGATCGGTGGCCACGGTCATTCTGGTCGGGCCCGGACCGGAAGCAAAGGAAAAGAATGCACGGTTGGTTGGCCGCAAGCAGAAAAGCTTCTCCTGACCATGCCAGCTCTTTTCTGACACCTCATCGCTTGGAATCGGTCCATCTGCGACATCTACATCAAAAGAAATTTCTGGTTGATCGTCTGGGTCAGTGCAATTGCCTCACCTCCGGAGTGTAGCGGAGGGATCGAAGAGACCGCCATCGTCAGTGGCTCCTTCTTATCACCCCCCAACCTTATCGCCAAACCTCACACATGGCCATTTGACTCTCCTGACTAACCTCGTCTTCCTCCCAGGCGCTGCTCAAATCTTTTTCAGCATCCCTCGTCCTGACCCCTCGTGCAGCTGCATCGATTCCTGTTGTTCTCTCCACCCTCGTGGTCCGTTATTTTTTGGTCCTGGCGCGTCGCAAGAGCAGAGGTACGTGTTGCACAAAGCTTTCAGGAGAATCCCCGGCACCGTCATCTTTCCCCCCTCCGGCTTCGCCTTTTCTCGTGGCCAATTTTGGTGAGACACGGTGGGACGTGCTAACAACCTTTTCTCCATCCCTCTAGTCTCCTAGCCTAACTTATTTTTTGCTTCCCCGATCGACTTGAAGCTTGCTGCGGACACGGTCCACTCGCTGTCCGTCGTGGAACCCCTCGGATAGAACGACCTTTCCTCCGTCAACTCCCAGTCGTTAGACGTCCTCGCCTTTAAAACTTGCCGAAAAATCGCTTCAACCATTCACTCCATATATTCCATTTCTTTTCCGCCACGATGGGCCCCCGTACCAGATCACAAAAAGCCGCCGCTGAGCTGGAAGCAACCGACCCATCGCCGGCGGTCAACGGTACCCTCCAGGAGTCGTCGAAAGGCAGCGGAGTGGACGCTGTCGGTGATGATGTGCAGGAAAATGTTTTCCTGTTCGCTCCGAATCTAATTGGTAAGACCTTCGCGACGCTATCGCAGTCGGCCAAAGCCTAACTTCGAGGGACTAGGATATGCGCGTGTTGTGTTGACGATGGCCTCGCTCTACTACATGCCCCTACACCCGCGGACGTGCTCCATTCTATACAGCGTGTCGTGTTTGCTGGATGCCCTAGACGGATATGCGGCGCGGTACTATAACCAGTCAACCACCTTTGGTGCGGTTCTGGACATGGTGACGGATCGGTGCACGACCGCGTGCCTGCTGGTGTTTCTGAGCTCTGCCTGGCCGCGGTGGGCCATCATCTTCCAGAGCTTGATCGCTTTAGACATGGCCAGTCACTACATGCACATGTACGCGACTCTCAGCATGGGTGGCTCCAGCCAGAGCCACAAGAAGGTGGAGGCTAGCCGGAGCTGGGTTTTGTACCAGTACTACCACAGCAGGGTTTGTCTTTCTCTGTGCTTTTTCGATTAACATGCTAACAAGCCCCATAGACGGTGCTGTTCATCTGCTGCGCGCTGAATGAACTATTCTTCATCGGACTGTACCTGCTGTCGTTCTCCTCCCCCACCCTGTCCCCGTCCCTTTTGCAGCCGGTGAGCACCGCCAGCCCCTGGAGTGCGGGTGCCCTGGAGATGGCCCGGGCGAACAAGATTGACAGCTTCTGGCCCTGGGTGATTACGGGTATCTCCGCCCCCATCATGGCCCTTAAGCAGTTCATCAACGTGGTTCAGCTGGTCAAGGCGAGCAAGTGGCTGGTGGAGGGTGACATGGCCAGCCGGAAGGCCTTGCGCGCTAGCAAGAAGAACTGAGCTGGTGTGAGCTCGTGGCTTGGGCTTCCTTTTCGTCGTCAAGTCAAGCTATAATGCCCTTTGGGTTATATTTTCGGTTCTGTGGATTGACGGTTCTCCGACCGGTTCAAGTATTCTGCATGGTTCTGGTGCTCTGGTTGTTTCTGGACAGTTATGACCTCTTCATACTTCTTTTCTTCTTGTTTCCGGTTCGAGGATATCGGTCATGTCTTAGTATATGTGATGAGGGTGGCATATGAGGCTGGTGTACAGACGTCTCGAGGCAAAGCGGGACGAGTGAAGGTATGCTTTGGTGTGTGGTTCTACGTGCATGGCTTTCTTTCTTCCTGTTTCATTGTTCGTGTTATTTAAATTGGCGCCGCCACGTCGATAGCATTTTTAATCCGGTCCACGGGAGTGGACACCGTTTGATCAATAATCTCTTGTGAGTCAGGAACTCCGGTGGTAAGCGTGGGTAAAAGTACACACGCCGAGCCTAAACCGGCCGGGGCCTAGGGCCGGCAGTGGCTCCGGTGTCGGCGCGGGGAGCCTCGTCCGCTGCCCCGCCAGTCCGTATAAGTTATACCTCGCCCTCCGTCTGCCTTCGTCGAAAACCCCCTGCTAAACCCCCTGCTTCTCATCATGCCTGCCTTCAATGTCGTCGTTTTTGCCGGTGACCACTGCGGTCCCGAGGTGAGCTCACACCGACTTCAAGCCCAGACCATTGACTAACCCATTGCTCCATAGGTTACCGCAGAGGCCATCAAGGTGAGCAGCTACACTCAGCTACCCTCAGCTACGCCGGCTGCGATTCGAGCTTAATTTTCCGAGAAAAGCACCAACTCTAACGGTTCCCATCACAGGTCCTCCGTGTCATCGAGAAGAAGCGTGATGACATCACCATCAACCTCCAAGACCACCTGCTCGGCGGTGTACGTTCCCCTCTATCCACACCGTCCATCTATCCGACCATACTAACATATCCAGGCCTCCATCGATGCCACCGGCAGCCCCCTGACCGACGAGGCCCTCACTGCCGCTAAGAACGCCGATGCCGTTCTCCTCGGTGCCATCGGTGGACCGGTACACCCCCCCTTCCCTCTCCCAATACCCTCAACAACACAAAAACACATCACTAACCCCTACACAGAAATGGGGCACCGGCGCCGTCCGCCCCGAGCAAGGCCTCCTCAAGCTCCGCAAGGAGATGGGCACATTCGGCAACCTCCGTCCCTGCAACTTCGCCGCTCCCTCTCTGGTCGAGCACTCTCCCCTGAAGGCCTCCGTCTGCGAGGGCGTCGACTTCAACATCATCCGCGAACTCACGGGCGGAATCTACTTCGGCGACCGCAAGGAAGACGACGGTAGCGGCTACGCCATGGACACTGAGCCCTACTCCCGCGCCGAGATCGAGCGCATCACCCGTCTGGCCGCCCACCTGGCCCTGCAGCACAACCCCCCTCTCCCGGTGTGGAGTCTGGACAAGGCCAACGTCCTGGCCACCAGTCGTCTGTGGCGTAAGACTGTCACCGAGATCATGGCCAAGGAGTTCCCCCAGCTCAAGATCGAGCATCAGCTCATCGACTCCGCCGCTATGATCATGGTTAAGGAGCCCCGCAAGCTCAACGGTATCATTGTTACTAGCAACCTGTTCGGTGATATCATCAGTGATGAGGCTAGTGTTATCCCTGGCTCGTTAGGTCTGTTGCCTAGTGCTAGTCTGAGTGGTATTCCTGATGGAAAGTCTCGTGTTAATGGTATCTATGAGCCTATCCACGGTATGTGTTCTCCCTGTGTCAATTCTCTGTCATACTCCCCGGGGAAAAAGGATTGGGACTAATGCTTTCATATAGGTTCCGCCCCTGACATCGCCGGTCGCGGTATCGTCAACCCCGTCGCTGCTATTCTGTCCGTCGCTATGATGATGCAATACTCCTTTGGTCACTTCGACGATGCCCGCGCCATTGAGGCTGCCGTGCGCAATGTTATCGAATCGGGTGTCCGTACGGGCGATATTGGCGGTAAGGCTACGACCAAGGAGGTTGGTGATGCTGTTGCTGCCGAGTTGGAGAAACTCTTGTAGGAAAATCAATTGGGGAAGGCTTGGGTTTTAAAGGCATGATACGAAAAGTAGTTTTGGGCGGGTTGCCGCATGAGATATGACCGATCTAATCAAATATATTGCTTCATTAATGAATTAGGAAAAGGTAGTCGTAGTAGTAATGCTTGATAAAGGGTATCTACCGAACTCCGTAACGTAATGCGATCCATCCCAACCCCAGCCATAGTACAGTAGAAGAAACTAACCTGCCTATCGAATAACAGGCTCGCCCATCCAATCCGGCTCTTCGAGACTAGTCACCACTTTAGCATGCGCCTCCGGGCCCTCCATCTCCTGTGTACTGCCTCTCAACGAGCGTCGCACGCTGTGTCTCCGGACGCGGCCATCCGCTGACGCCGAGGGGGCATTGCCCACTCTTTTTCTCTCGTCGTCTCTGGCGAAGACCTGGAATCCACGCACATGAGTGTCTTTTCCGTTCTGGTGGTTCTCGATCACTCGCATCTGGATCACCATTGCTTTGAGGACGTTGCCTGCGTATGGATCGTTCTCTTCATCCTCGTCCTCATCTTCATCACTCCCCCCGCCATGGTCCTTAAACACATATCCTCTCTTCCCCTTCCCTTTGATCATTCCCCCAATCCCAGCTCCAGCACTTCTCCCACCAGTGCCACCACCACCACCACCAGACTTGGTACTCCTAACCCACCCCCCACTCCTACCCCCCACCCCTTCCAACTCCACATCCACCCAACCACACGGCCCCTCCCCCTCCCAATTCGCAAACTCAACCAGATCATTCCCGCCCATGCCAGCCAAAAAGGTCATCTTCGTAGGGGTGTAACTCTCATCCATCTCGAAATCCAGATAAACCCGGATGCGCACAATAGCCACTAATTTGAAGAAGTGTAGAGTGAGAGTGTGGGGTTGCGGGCCGTCGGATTGCCAATACTGCGTTGGCGAGGGGTGACGGAGAGCGAGAACCCCGCAGCCGGGTTTGTGGGTTGAGACGGTCCAGCTTGCGAGGGAGGAGATTTCGCGGAGGTTGGGGGGGAGAGGAGTGGGGGATTTTTCTGTATACCGTGTTTGTTAGTTGGGTGTTGAGGGTTGTGGGTGGAAGGGGAGGGGAGAAGGGGGTTTGTATGTACCGCGATCGTGGAGCATTTCTGAGTCGGTGCCTGGTTCGGGGTCAATTTCCTCCTCTTCTTCAATTTCTTCTTCCTCCTCGTGTTGATGTCCTAATTCTGGGTCGATTTCTTCTATCACCGAGGGCTCGTCCCGATCATGTATATCCTGAGTTGAAAGGAGTTCGTCTGAGGAAACAGAGCGTGTGTGGAGTCGACGATGGTGATGTCGCTGACGGAGACGATTTAGTTGGTCGTGGTCCTGCTCGTGGACATGTTCGCTGGGTCCTTCGTCGTATTCTTCTTCCACGATATCCTCCTCATCATCCTCGTCCATCATCTGGTGGCCTGGGTGATTCGGCGGACGGCCATGCACGCCACGTCCGAAGAGGGAGAACAGCGCGGCGGTTGCGGCAGGGTGGTGGGCTGCATGTTGGCCTGGGTGGCTGTGAAGGGGGTGGTCTGGATCAATGGGACCCGAGGACGGATGCAGTTGTGGAATGGAGAGGCCTTGCGACGGGGGAGTTTGCCATTGCGCGTGGTGGCCGAGGCGCGAGCGGCTGGCGCGTTGGGGGCCGGAGGCGGTTGCGGTGGGTGGCGGTGAGTTGTAGCGGTGTCGGAGGGGGAGGTGGTGTCGGGGGCGGGGTTCCGGCGGAGGAGATGGTGATGACGGGGCATTTTGGATCGGATTGAGGGTGGTTAGGGTGAATTGGCCATGGTTGGAGGTGAGGGGAGAGTTGAGAAGTGGTGATTCTGGATGGGAAGCTTCATCATGGCTGTTATCGGTCACGTGGTCGTTATCAGTTGATTCACGCTACAATCATATGTTTTAAGAGAGGGTTCAGGCAAGATTCAGTGAGTTCAGTAACAGTAGGTATTAAATCAGCATAGCTGGATGTACAATAAATATATGATACATAGGTAACCGCAGCCAGCGGTGCATTGCTCTAAATCGGCTTTTAAATTCCACCCATTTTCATTCTAGTGATCAGCGTCCACATATCCCAGTTTCTCACCCATCTTGATACGCTGTCCCTTCTCAATGGTCCAGTTCCATCCACCCTCACGGTGGCCTTCCTCCCAGCCCGCATCAAACGACTTGCGAGTGCCCACTGGTGCCTCAAACACCAGCACAATCGAGCTACCCAGCTGGAACCCGCCCATCTCTTCACCGCGCTGCAGCGGATGGCCGCCCAGGGTTCGGCTGGCGTGAAGGTAGGTCGCCTCCACAAAGCCCGGGTCCTGCTCGCCGCGCTTGGCTGCTGCAGCGGCTGCCATATCGGCCGCGGTGTCGGTGGTCAGGCTGTTGGTACGCAGCTCTGCGTCAAAGTTCACCTTGATCGAGCCCACGTTGGTGGCACCCACTGGGGTGTAACTGAAGAATCCCCAGCGCCAGCGGCCGAGCAGCACGACACGCTCATTGAGAGTGAACAGGCCTGGCAGGTGGCGCTGCAGGTATGGCGACACAGAGAACAATTCGCCTGCAAAGTGACGGCGGCTCTGCACCACCCACGGCACAGGCGAATGGAAGCGATGGTAATCACCTGGGGCGAGGTAGATCACGACATAGTAGAGAGCGTTGTTCGAGGTCGGCTTCGGGGCGTACCACGGCGCACCATCTCCACGAGCCAGGTCTGCCTCGACTTCGGCTTCCGCGGAGGCCTTGTACGGAGTGGACGCATCGATGGACGCTGAGCGCTTCCGTGCACCGTTCTGGTCTCCTGCCAGAAGGGTAGGGAGCGTGTAGGAGATGCCGTTCATCTTGGCAAACTCCTCGTCCGCCAGCATCTTGGCCTCGTTCTTCTGGGCCGGCTCTCCCTGATGGTCGGTAAACTTATCGGTGTGGTCTGCATGGTTCGGGGTCGCGGCACCTAGTAGTGCATCCAAACTGTATGTGACCCCCTTGACCTGCTCGACCTCGCCACGTTCGATCAATCCAAACTGCAGAATACGTCCATCGGAGGGGGCGAGAATAGCGCGAGTGTCGGGGTCCAACGGCCGGACCCCCGGTTTCAGTTTGCGGTAGAAGAAGGCCGCCAAGTTGGGGTACGTGTGAAGATCGGGTTCCGCAACCTCATCCAGGTTGACACCAAAGACCCAGGAGTAGAGCTTGAAGCCCGGCACACGGAGATAATAGGGCAGCTCGATCTCGTTGAAGCGTCCCCACAGCCGGGACATGGCCTTGAGCGGCAAGGTGGACATGATCTGGACCTGCCATGGTCCGCTCAATCGATGCTTCGGACGCGGAGAAACTTTTTCAAAATCCAGAGACTCGCCGGCGGCTTCTCTCTCAGCGCGTTCGCGTTCGGCACGCTGGGCTTTATAGAACTGCAGCAATCCCAGCAGGCCGATGCCGAGGCCGACGGGGATGGGATACCATTCGACCTTGGTGTTGCGCAGGGCAAAACGGAGGCGGGAGCCGAAGGTGCTCCGGGGAGGATTTTCGTGGGAGTTTTGGTGCTGATACTGCTTCCAGGACTGTGAAAACTGCCTGGCACCGGTCTTACGGCGACCAGTGGCCCGCAACGAAACTTCCATCAATCCTACCTTCTCCCCATGAGGGGAGACTGTGAACTTCCGGCGACACAGTACAGAACGGCTGGACAGGCACAGGGCCATAATGCGGTTCTACTCGGAGCAAGTCATCCCAGAGGGGGAACAGAAGCAACGAGTGCGAAACACCGGCCCTCAAGCACGGGGAAGGATGACCGGGGGCAGAGGCTGTGAATTGCAGGATCAGATCGACAATAATCTCATGACAAGCCACAAAAACCCGTGATCGGCATCGCGGTCTCTCTCTCACCGCCAGGCAGAATCCCCTCGTCCGCGCGGCTTCTCCTCCGCTTGCTGCCGGCCCTGCCTGGTTACCATCCGTGCAGTCGTGTGCTTCTTTTATGTCGGGCAGCCGGTTGGTGCAGTCAATCTTGGTGTCTCAGGCCATATTCCCCGCTGGTTTGTTCTCTGCCTGGCTGGTGTGGTGGTGGATGTAACCTGTCGCGTGTTGAAAAGGACACCGTCATCGTTCCGGCTTCCTGTATACTTCTTCAGTGGATCCATGCTGCCTGACTCGTGCTCCTTCCTGCCAGTTGTCTGCTATTCACGTTTATCTTGTCTTCACTTCCGTTAACGAACCACGCCAGCTTGTTCCAATTGTTTTGCTACTCTCTCCTACTGCATGGGCTGTAGCGACCTCGATTATGCGCCTGTGATTGCAATTCCACTTATCTCCCAGAAGGACAAAACGATCCCAGAATGACCTCGTCTGAAACCCCGTCCGCTCTAGCAGAGTCTCAGAGCATTGCCTTACATGTGCTATGTCCATCCTTGCCTCCTCCCAACCGATTTACGCTCTACGATATCTCTCCGTCCATCACCGTCTCCGCTCTCAAGGCGCGAATCGCCCAGACAATTCCCAGCGAACCGTCGCCCGAGACTCAGAGGCTAATCTACCGGGGAAAGCCCCTTACAAACGATGATGTGGCGCTGAGTGATCTGCTCGAGCCATCCAATGTGAGTTATCAGCATGTTTCCGCTCGCTTGCGGCAGATTCATTAACAGCAACGCTACTTAGGACCCCGAGTATTCCATCCACCTCGTCCTTCCTCCTGCCCCAGTACCCCATGCGACCAGCTCCGCTCGAACTCCTGCGCCAATAGCCCGGGGAACTACAGGCATTCCTGCGCCTCAGAGTCCATTTGCGTCGAACCGATTCCAACCGCAGTACTTGCCGCACGGACAAGAGATCAGGTATCGGGGTCCCGCATTGCCCGCTGTTCCCCATGAAGCAGAGATCGGGCTTGCTTTGCGACGGAACATTGAGGCGATTCGGCGACAGATTGATATGCAAGAACGGGTCGGACCGTTGGGAAGCGCAGCGGCAGGTACCGCGGGGGCGACTTCACACTCGTTGACCACGACCACGACTACAACCACGGCATCTCCATTCCCTCAGCAACCAACATGGCCTCAGATGGCTCCGGGCCTGTCGCATCCAGGGCATTCGTCCATCACATCATCGGACTGCACAGCAGCCTCCAGTAGCAACCTCCCCGAAGAAGTCCGATTGCGTCTACAGATCCTCAGACATCAGATTGGTTTTGGCGAAGAGCAACTGAACCGTGGGGTTGCACCGCCGATGGACCATATTATCCGAATTCGGACTCAACTGTTCGCGCTTCTCGACGACCAGTACCAGAATCCGCTGGCCGAACGCGATGGCTCGATCGAAGCGTTGCTTACCCGTGTCTTCAACATCTACACCCGCGCCGATCAACTCCACGTTTCCCACGCCCGGACTTTCCCAACCCCTGTTCTATCTGGTCCTCCACCAAACCCTACCCCTGGACAGGCTCCGTTGTATCTGCTTTCATCGCCAAACGGGTATCAAGCATTGATTGCGTCTCCGCGGGGCGCCGATACCGTGCACTCGTCCATTGATGCGCTTCGTGCTATACACTCCCCGGTAGGAACCTCTGCGCCTCGCCCCGGTGCCCCGCCAGAGCTGCACAATGCGAACGCCATGGTCATGGAGAATATCGTCCGTCAGGCGGTGCTAAACCAGCGCGTGGAGAACAACGGGCAGATGAGCTTTGCGCGGAACATGCGGCGCATCTGGCTGTTTGTTCGGTTGTATTTCTTCTGCTACATGTTCAGCGAGCCCGGCACGTGGTCTCGTGTGATGTTTGTGACTTTGGCTGTTCTCGCATCGCTCTTATCAGAGACCGGGATCCCGCAGCAGCTGTACCGGCTGCTTGTAGCGCCGGTGCAGCAACACCTGGAAGGACTGGTGCATTTTGCCCCGGATGAACCGGCCCCAGCCCCCTCAGGCACCCAGCCCACAGATAGTCAAAACCCAGGAACAAGAGCCGGGTCAGCTAGTCCGCCAGCCGGGCTGCGATACCAGCTTCGACGAGTAGAACGGTCAGTGGCGCTCTTCATTGCGAGCTTGGTTCCGGGCGTAGGTGAACGACACGTCGAGGTGCGCAACGCCGCCGAAGCCGCCCGGAATGCCGAGCGCGCGCGAGAGGAAGAGGAGCGGCGTCAACGCGAGGAGGCCAGCACGAGTGGTGACGCGCAAGCGCAAGAGAACGGCGGCGAGAACAGCGGAGAGAGAGCTGCAGAGAATGGACCCAACACGATACCCCAAGCTGAGAATTAACCACACACTGTTGACTCGATTCCGACTACTAAGTATATACTGAGTATTCGGGTCGTTTCACAAGATGTATGATAGCTGCATTCACGACCACTTTACGTGGGACTATCTAGTCTATCAGTTATCTCTACGTACGCATATACCCAAGAAAGAGAGAAAGATCACAATTTACTCCCCGCCGTCTCGACGGAGGAATCCAAGCTCGAAGTCGGGGTAGCCGATGGATCCGCCATGGGGCCTGTATCAAACGACTCATCACCACAAAAGCGCCTGCACAATAGGTAGTAACCGTTAGCATTCTTCACCATCAACCATCGCTTGACCCCAAAAGAGAGAAGAAAAAGAAGAAGAACATACCACCCCCTCTCAGCCCCATTACTCAAAAACCCACAATCCCCATTCCTCACACAGTCCCACCCCCCACCAACACCCCTTCCCTCCCTCCAGTCCGGAACCTTCACACTCCCACCATCCTTATTCATCAAAACCTCCGTCCCCGGCGCAAGAACACCCTCTACATCCCTCCCCTTCCGCTCCCCCTCCCCGTCTCCACCCCGCAATCCTCCCCTCCTCACAAACGTACTAACCCCCGCAGTATAAACCTTAAAATCCTCCTCCCCCTCATCCTCCGGCATATTCCCCGTAAGCACCCGGCCCATGGCAATCAGCGGCGCCGCGTGACTGCAGATGAGAACGGCCTTCCTGGTTCGTTGCTCGGGGGGAAGGGTTGCTTCTGATTGAGTGATTTCGGTATCGAGGGTGGTGATTAGAGTGGAGAGTGTTGTTGCGAGGCGATCGTGGAGTTGGGGGATTGTTTCGCCGGAGGTGGAGGGGCGGAGGATTTGGTTTTGGGGGGCAGATGAGGGGGATTGGGATTGGGATGGGGAGGGAAGGATGCTTGGGAAGTGAGATTGGAGGGTGGAGAGGGGGGCGGGGGAGGGGTGGTGGAAGAAGGTTGTTGGGCCGAACCATTCTCTGGGTTTTTGGTGTTAGTTTAGGGAGGTTTTGGGGGTGTGGATGGGTGTTGAGGGAGGGGGGATAGTATATATATGGTATGGGATGGAGGGGAGAGAGGGGAAGGGCGTACCCAAGTCCGGGTTCAATGCGGACGGTTAGGTCGGCGTGTTTGTCGATGGTGGAGGGGTCATTGTTGAGAGACTGAGAAGAGTCCTCCTGAACCTGTTGTTGCTGTTGCTTCCGCAATGCCTCTACGGAGGGCTGGATGGTCTGAAGACATCGGTAGAATGGACTGCTGTAGATGCGGAACGGCTTCGGGGATATCTCATCGCTGGTGAAGTGGGCAGCGAGCTCGTGGGATTGACGCACGCCGTGCGAGGTGAGAGTTGGGTCGGCTGGGTTCCCGGTTGGAGTGGGAAATTGAGAGTGGTAGGTGCCGGTTTTGTAGTCGATTGTCCAATTTAGACGGTGCTGGATGAAGATATATTGTTAGTGGTGAGGTGATGAGGTGCAGATGGTAGAGATGGGACGGGACAAAATGGGATGGATGGACCTACGCCATGGCGGGTGAGATATATCGTGTCTAGAGGCATTGTTGCAACTGTCTGGTGTGGATTGAGGGACACAAGGAGTTGGTGTAACTGTGGTTGACTATTGATAGTTGGTGATTGATATGGCGATGTTGCGGGGAAATCCCGGGGCGGTCAGACCTCGGCCCGGCCAGATGGCTCGGACTGGCTCTGCTTTGAACTTTTAGGATACGCTACGGAGTACGGAATACTGCATCTACATTGGGGTATGATATGGTTGACTGAATCAGTTCATGCGAGATCACTCGATCAAGTACTATCTAGACATCTCTGCCGGTATCGATCCAACTCCGCCAAGCCACGAGAGTTCATCCCTCACACCGCACTGACCCAGTCACATTCGGTAAACTTTTTAGTAGAAGAAACCGAGGAGCTTGCCAGCAACGTGCTTGCGGCGAGCCTCCTCGTGGTCCATGATACCGGCGGAGGTGGTCAGGACGACGTAGCCGAACTGACGGGAGGGAAGGAGCTGAGTGGCCCACTTCTCGAGGTCACGGAGCTGGACGGGGTAACGGGGGTTGATGACACCGGTCTTGTTGAGGCGGCCGTTAAGCTGGATGACGATCTTGCCGGAGCGGTGGTCGTCAACCTCCTCGAACTCGCCAATGTAGCCTGAGGATAGAAGTCAGCGAATTGTCGCGGTGATTTAAAAGTTAATCAGACACAGAGAAAGAGAGGTTCCGGAAACTTGTAAGATCGCCGCCATGTTGTAAAACATTCATCAATATCTCGGGCACTTAAAGGGCGAAAGCCGTGGTCAATTGAGACCGTCGCCTAGTTATCAACCCGAATTTTTCATCTCCTCCAGCTGACCCCACAAGTGCCCGGAATCTCTCTTTCGATGTGTCTGAAGATGGTTGACGGAGGACAAACATACCGTGCTTCTGCATGACGGAAAGGAACTTGATGATGACCTTGGAGGAAGGGCGGATCATAACCTGACGGCGACCGCTCTTCTCGGCGTTGTTGATGGCGTTAAGCGCATCGTTGAGGACGGAAGTCTTGACCATTTTGACGGTGTGATGTCGAGATTCTCAAATCGAGGAATCAAAGGATATGAGGTATCTAATTTACGATGCCCAGTCCTCACACCACCGCAGTGGCAGTCGTGAGGCGTCGGGTCCAAGAGTCAGCCACCAGTAGTCCTCGAGCGCAAAGAGTGCCCCTAAGCATCATCAAGGGTTCTTCAGCCCGTGCCGTAGTGAGGAAGCGTATTGCCTGGTCTTCCGATGATCGAATGCTGTCGGTTACTACACCAGCATGGCCGAAACCGAATTTCCATGGCGATTGCTCCCCCAGACTAGCTGGGAGGCTGTAGAATAGGGAGAAACAATGATTGATACATACCTCGAGGGATGTCGGCGACGGGGGTAAGATCGAGTGTTGGGAGAAGACGGACGCGGATAGACGGTGAGAACTTTTCACGCGCTGTGCGGGCCGCTAGGGCTGCCGATTTGTGCCCTTATCTGCATCACGTGAGACCGGCCTCCCCTTGATGCCTTAGACATGAATCCTTGCTGCTTTCCTAGATCGAGTGTTTCGAGCATCTTCGTAGATAGGCAGGCCATCGGGGCACTAATCTCCTCTGACAATTGAAACCTGCCACTAAAAGCTATGTTGAGATCTACCCTCCTCATTGCGCAGATGGCCCGTCGATACCAATACAGAACAGCCTACATTTCATGTATCATAGTAAGAGCGATACAATTTGCCACATTTGTATTTCATCTCTATTGCCACCTTGGACTACATAGCCCGGGCTAACAAGGTTACAACAATCAGGAAACATGCATAGATCCGACGACTTTCTGACAATTACTCGGCATACGTTAGGCTTGTTCCAAGGTTTTTTTACTAATCTCTATACAGGTCTTTTGGTAGGATGTGATACGGGAGCAGGGTCAAGGGCTCGTGACAGTGTTTCTCAAAGGGGTTGAATACATGACTTCTCGGGCATACATGATAATGCTAAAGAACCTCTGTCTAATTAAAACTGATGTGGGGGCGCGAAGATGTGGCAAAGTGAGTAGTAATAGTAAGGGAGAAGATCGAAACAAACGACCGGGAAAAAAAGTGCAAACATGCATTGCGAGATGTCATGAGAAGGGGGTCCGAAAGCAGGGGGTCGTGCCGGACAGAGGGCCGAGGGGTGGGGGAGATGGGGTTTGTGCGAGGGACGGGGTAGGGGGGTCGAAAGGAGTCATAAGCGGTGCTGGGTTAAGGGTCGTGGGCGGTGATGGTGATATACGGGGGTCAGTAGAAACACTAGCCCTGCCCGCTGATTCACTGGACACGGCCGAGTAATCTGAGGGATGGAAGCGATCAGTGGCACGGCTTGGATTCCCGCCTGGGGACGTCGACTCGGGGAACGACAACAGCAGCGGTGCCGTCACCTCCCGAGGGCACCAACGGATGGAGTCGTCCTCCTAGGGGCGCGGTCTCGAAACGAGCAATTGAGTAATGGATAGCGACACACGGTCACTGTTTACGCCATAGCAGCAGCAGTGGACATGGCGATCTGACGCTTGACCTGCTCACGGGTCCACCGGGCGGTGTCGACGGTACGAGGGCTGTACTCCCGGTTCGTTCTCGTCTCCCGGACCAGACCGGTGACCCAGTCGTTGCGGAAGTAGGCAGCGAATTCACCGTTGGGGAAGGCATCCGCAAGGTCGCCAAGAACACCCATAGTGGCCCTCATCAGACCCTCGCTACGGTTGAAATCCTGAGAGATGCTGTGCAGAATCTGGAAGATCTGATCCACGAAAGGATGCAGTTGGTCCACTAAGATGGTGTCAGTGGGTCGCCCGCGACGAGAGATATGCCTAGGCAGTACTTACCATGAGGCGTGCCCTTGTAGGACAGGAGAATACCACCCCAAGCATCCATGATACCCTCACGCAGCGACACAATGTATTCTTGCATGTCCGAGTTCACATCGTTGCTGGTGGTCACCATCGAAGCCTGCTGGAGGACTGACGCGACAACGGACAGGTAGGTTCCGAAGTGGGTTCCAATCGCCTGGGCAATATCTCCAAAGGTCTCGAGAATAGCAGGCTTCAGCTGGTTGGTCGAGGTCTGTGGGAACGTCAGTAAGCAATGATTCTGGTGACAAGATGGCATGGCTTCTTACCCTCAGAATGGTGAGCAGGGCGTTCATGAAGGAGTCGCAGTAAGGCTGCACCCGCTCGTTCACGGCGCGCGAGATATCGCTGACCAGGCCGATGGCCATAGCGCAAAGACCCGGCTCCTCTTGGTTCTCAAGGGCTTTGTACAGGAAGGGGGCGAAGTTCTCCATGTACTTCATGAAGTCCTCCTCCAGAGCACCCGCAATGGCACCGACAGTGGCGAACACAACATCAGGGACACTAGACTTGGGGGGAACAGTGGCCAGAACCTGAAGCATCACCTGCATGATACGATCAGCCTGGGGCTTGATCTCGGTCTCAAGGCGTTGAACGATGGCCTATTTAGTCAGCAACAGGTTGATGGTTGTTGGGCATGGGACAAACTTACGAGAACCACGCTAGTGACACTGGTCTGCATCTCTTCCAGAGTGATGCGGTCTTCCACACTGACCACTTGCTGCTGCATAGGGATCGTGTGCTCCAGACGCTGAAGCATGACATTGGAGAGGTTTCCGACCAAGGGAAGGCTGTCATTGGCAGCGTTGGTGACGAAGGAGTTGAGAACCTCGTATCCAGCAGTACGGAGCTGGTTGTCTGCATCTTGTCTGAACATGACATTAGCGCCTGGATTCAGAAGAGCAATGTGGAGCTTGTGTATAGACTTACCTTTCAGTAAGAGCAAGAAGAGATTTGACACTCTCCTCAAAGTGCCTCGACAGGGGGTTGGTCTGGGCACCGATGTCGCCGGCAAAACGATCGGCAACGTTCATCAAGGCCCAGCAGCAGGAGCTGGCAATCTTAGGAGAGCTTGCCAAGCCGTTGAATAGGCAAGTGATCAAAGGTTGGAGATGCACGTCAGGGTCGAGGGTTTCGGAGCAGAAGTCACAGACACGGCCAAGAGCGTAGGCGACCGAATCACGGACCTGAATGGAATCGTCTTGCATCATACCGACAAGGACGCTCAGGGCCTGCTTGATAAGAGGCTCCAGGACCTTGGGGTCCGGACCATCCATGATGGCGCCGAAAGCCGCGACAGCAGCATCCCGACGGCGCCAATCCTGGTGACGGATGTTCTCTTCGACGAAAGTCAAAACGGGCTGGATGACCTCACCCTGAACACACTGAGCGTAGAGCTGCAGGGCCTGGTAAGCGGCGCGAGAGACGTTGTACTCATCCTCGGTAGCATCCTCATCCTGTCTGCACATGGACTGCAGAAGGACGGGGACGACTTCTCTACAAGCGACACGGGCAAAACTGAAGAAGGGGCGGACCTCGGGGAGACCCTCAGCTTGTGCCTATCAAAGTTATCGTTAGCCACAATATCCAAACAATGAAGCCCAGATACACGTACCGCCGCGTTATCATCTTCAATAGCATATTCCTCCTCACAGACTGTGCACCAGAATTCGATAGCAAGCTTGGAAACATCCTCCTCCTCGCTCTTCATACCCATGATACTCAAGCCAAACAAAGCCTTCTCCATGTAGAAGCGCATCTTATCGTAGTACGCGCCCATGATGCGGTTCAAGCAACCGAATGCGCCCGCCTGGACGCGGAGATCATCGGCCTGCGTTGCCTCACATACGACCTGCATGATGTAGTTGCGCTCACCCTCGTTCTCCATGTTCGACCGCACGAAGTCAACGGAGTCACTGAGAGCCTTGATGGCGGCGAATCGAATGTCCATGTTCTGCTCTTCGCGCCGAGCACCCTGGACCACGGCGGTCAAAATAGCGTTGGAGTGTGCAGCCAAGCTCTCCCGAAGCTCGGCATCTTGGGACTCGCAGATGAAACCGATCGTGACCAGCGAGGCCTGCTTCAGTTGATCGGAACCGGACGCGACATTCTGAACCAGGATGTTCATCAGCTCCGGCCACTCATTCCGTGGAAGTTCAATAGCGGCGATGGAAACGATGAACTGGGCGGCGGACTGGCCGGCCCGGGTGTCTTTCGAGTTAAGCGTCTTGAGGCCAAGCTCCTTGACCTGCGCCTTAATTTCTGGGGTAATTTGCTTTAGCCATTTTGTTTGGACCTCTTGGAGCTTTGCGAGGTCTCTGAAAGTGAATGCGTTCTTCAAAGCGATACCGGCGGCGGTACGGATGTGGGAGGCGGAGTTTTCGTTTGCCAGTTCCTGGGCGAGGGTGACGAGGTACTGGGCCTGCAGTCCGACGAAAAAGCAAGATTAGTATATCTGATTCAAGACGAATAACCGGCAGCAGGATGAGTCCAGAACTTACGAAGTCAACCTCCGCCGCGTGGGCCAACTGCGTTTCGGCATTGCTACGAGTCGCCGCATCTATATTTCGAAGCAAAATATCCCGTCAGTGATACTGTTGATTTAATTCAAACAAGTTGCTTGTATACAACATCAGGGGTGTTTCAAGTACCTGGCGAGAGGGTGCTCTCCAACACCTGAGTGACGTTCATGTTGCCGTATGCGGAAAACAGAACCCAGATCAATGAAAAAGTGAAGGAAAAAGAGCTGTTCTGACTGGATTAAGACCAAGCAGACAGAAGCAACGGATGGAGAGGCCGTCCACAACAAAAGAGTGGTAGTGTGGACAAGAGATAGATTATCTCAGGAATGTGAAGGGAAGAGGTTGTTTTTGTGGATTATGACGAGGCATGCACCAGGTCTTCGGGGGGGTAAAGGTGACAAGAGGGCGAAAAGACGGCCGTGGTGCACGCCAGGACCGAAGGAAAACAGAGGAAAGAGAAGGCCCCAAGGTGGGATAAACAGACACACAGGGGGTGGGGGGTTAGGAACAGGATGGTGTTGAAGCTGTTCGGGTTGAGAGGGAAGAAAAGAAACACTGGAGGGAGTAGAAGAAGCGAGAGGGAGAGAGAGAGAGAGGGATCAATAATAATGTGAGGGCGATTCCCTTCAATTTGCAGTTCCAGCAGAAGAATGGACGAGCACTGCGAATCGACCAGTCAGCGCCCGCCAGAGCCCTGCGAAGCCCGCCTCCTCATTGGTCAGCGCCCGCGGGATCCTGGGGCTTAGTCACAACACGTGACCTGCAGCGGTCGGTGACGGCGAGCCTAGTCGCTCGCCCGGATTGGCGAACAAGGGCAAGAAAAAGAAAAAAGGATGTGATCCCAGGCCTAATTATTGCCGAGAGATGCATCCAAGATATGCTACTATATCGCTATCAGAATCTTACTTTTTTCCGGGGCATTGCCTGGCTGGCTACCGTGGGAGTTCCCCTCTCTCGTAGTGGTCTGTCTGTCTTGTCTTGTCTTGTCGTCACCCGTCACCATGACTGCACTACTGATGATCGTTACCAGGCAATACCGATTTACAGTACCTGTAATTTGCAGCTGCCCGCCCGCTGCCTGAGGTGTGCCCCTCCCTCAGCCCTCGTCGTCCTGCTCTTTTTTCCTCCCGCAACCCAAAAATTTCCCCTCCTCGGGTTTGCTTGTTTTGATTTTGCTGCTTGCAGAAGGGGCCCTCGATCCACTTGCTGTGGCCCCGGCGACCAGCTCCATCTCCCAGGGCGTCAACCCCAACGCACAAATCATTGCCGTTGTTTTTCGAGGCCTCGCCTTCTACTAACTATAGCCGGCCACTCAGAGTGCTGCGTGGCTGTTCCATTGAGGTTCTTTGAGCTTCTTTCTTTCTACCATTTGACAAGGGCTCGTCGCGGATCGTCGACGGAACAACCACTCTTAGAACCATGACAGCCTGACCCCTGGGCACGGTTCCAAACTATCTATAGCTTCCCAATAGCTAGACTACCTTTCCCCGTAATGCAATGGAAGCATTGATCGACAGATATGCTTCATCATCTTTTCGCCGATCGAGGCGGCTAATACTCCTCGATTTTGTCGGGTATCTTAGTGGCACCGGCAACTGAGACATGACGTAGTGCCCTTCTTGAACTACTAGTAGAATATCCTGGAATAATGGTGCGTGTCTTGTGCACGGCAAACCCATTAAGATGAGATGGGAGTATTTTAATATTCCTCCAGTTCAACGATACTTTCTTCCTCCACCTCATCTTCTTCCTCATCCTCCAACTCCGCATCTAGATCTAACACCTCGTACCGCATAGCGTCGCCATGCAGTACGCAGATCGCCCGGCGACCGCGTCTGCTGTTGACATCGACCTTTATTGGCCTTCCTTTTCCCTTGGCGCCAACGAAGGTATGTTTGACGAGGCCCGTAAATTCGGAATCAGGAGACAGGATGTCTACGGCCGTCGCAACTGTCACGAAGTCGTGTGACGTAGACTCCTGTAGGCTATGGTAGCCAACGGCGAAAGGCGTCAGGGACTCGGTGGTCGCGTCAGTCTTGGTGGTCGATGCACGTTGGAAAGGGAGACTGAGAAGATAGGGTGTTCCTTCTGCAACGTGTGTTAGCGAAACCAAAAGGAACATTCGGCCTCAAGGACGTGGCATACTATTGTTCGACCAGAGGACTACGACCGTATCATCCTCAACGAACTGTACTTGTCGGATTTCTCCTTCTTGAAGATCGAAAGCTCCGGTAGAGGTGCTTCGAGTAGAACTGACCCCATTTTCGGAGTCCAATTCGACACGGTAGAAACAGACTGAGAAAGTCAGTACAGCATAGACAGCAGGCCATTATGACAGGGTTATCCTTACGCAGATGCTTCTTCTTGATCGACCTTGTAGCTATATAGATCACACATAGCCCTTTCTTGTCGGTGTCCTGGTCACCCGATAAGCAACAATTGTCACAGCAAGCATCTGCAGCGCCTTACCTCATTACACATGACAACATCGATAACATCTTTGTCACAATCAGGATGGAGATTCAAAGGCGATCGGTGGAGAATTCCGCGGCGCTGTGTCAACGCAATATGTCCAAAAACTCTCTCAAACTGCAACCCCAGTCGCTTCGTCAAGTCGTTCATCTTGGGTAGGTCGACCGGATTGGCCTCAGAGTCATCACTCTGCTCGAGCAATTTTCTAAATGTGTCATAGAACGACCTGTCATGGCCCGTTGGAGCCCACTTATCTGAAGCTGTGGGAGGTGGCCTTGACATTCCCATCATGGGCAGTTGCTGGATGAAATTCCGCAACTTGCTCTTGGTGAGAGCGCCTCTAATGTACTTCAGAGTGTGCGGGTACTCAACCATATCGGTCTTCTCCATCAGTTCGTCCAGAGTTTGGGACATTGGTTCCGCGGTTTGCATATCTATCTCGTGGCGAAGCCATCTGGAAAAGGAATTGAATTGAGCCAGTTCCTCATTGGCGTTAATAAGTATGTGGTGAGCAAGAAGGTGAAGACAATCAAGGGTCTCCACGATGGCTGTCAAATCTGACGTTTCCAGGCCGAGAACTTCACTCAGTTTATAAAACTTTGATAGCCCAATCAACCGGCTCAGTAATACTTCACATCTTTCCAAAGCCGGAAGAAGGCACTCGTGGGTTAGCCGTCGGACATTTTCGTAACCACTAGAAACAGCTTTTTCCCATCTCTTATGTCCCTGCCATATTGTCAGTATGATTACGGTCTATGAAGCGAACACGATAAGCATACCCTTTCGCCGACAATATCCACCAGAAACTCCCTCAATGGTTCGAAACAGTCCCCAGTAACCACCAGATGATACGCAGCAGTAACAAAATCACAGTGGCATTTCTCTTGGAGATCCTCATTGATACTGCGCATGTACCGTGCCGGTAATTCTTGAGCATTCTTCCATTCAAGCTCAATCTGCCTCTGCACCTGATTTATGTACCGTAGCAGGTTCTGGAGTTGAGTTGTCTTATGTGCAAGGAGAGAAAGGTATCTTCCTGATCTGGTGATGAAGCGAAGATCAAGGGTAAAGAGGTTTAAAGTACCCGAGGGGGCCTCCGGCGCCAGCGCCAATAATGCGTGAGTCGAGCTGAGCGGATGTGAGGCATGTCGAAGGATCTGGCAAGGACCAGAATTTCCAACAGTGCCTCCAATCTGGAGAGAGCCAATCTCGAAGCAGTCAAAGATGCGAAGGTGAACAGTCCCATCGTCAAAGCCTACCAGCAACACGTCCACCGCGTCACTGGTAACTTTCGAGATAGGATGGAATATGGCATCGATAGATGCTCGAGAGCTGAACACGTCATCACTGGAGACTGTTAGCAGGATGAATGGCGCACTGCAATCAGAAAACAGATAACGCACTCGCTCCCTGTTGCTGGTAATGTGCTCAGCTTGGGTAGTGAAGGCTCGACGTCGAGTAGTGCTAGCTCTCTCGGTAGATCGGCCTTGAGCAATGCTGCTGCCTTGGACGGATGATTGTCCGGAGACAATAAGTCATCGACGCTGACTTGTCCAGCAGCCTCGTGCAAATGCCGCTGGGCGGCTTTGCTGTCGGTGAAATTTACTCCCCACCCTAAGCAGGTCACCTTGACAGGATAGGGTGCTTCACCCTCGGACCGATAAGCAGGATAATGGTGGACCGTTTTACCACTGTAAGCGCTGATGACGCGGATGGTGTTGTCGGCACAAGCCACCGCAAGCAAATGACCTGCCGGTACATCAGTATCTGCATTAGAATAGGGTTGAAGAGAAAGTTGGGACTGAAACGTGGTCAGTCACCAAGAAAGGAAGCGACTTACCAGTATTCTTCCATCTCAGCTCTCGAATCTCGCCACCACCGTCATCCTCATCCAGATACGGATCGCCCTTGAAAGAGCCGCCAAGAACCTTTTGACCGTTCAGACGGAAGACGCGTAGTTCATCGTCCTCAGTAGCCAGCGCGATGAGATCCATGGTGGGACAGTAAGTCAGCGTGCTCGCCTTACATCTTGCGGGTAAGGACTTCTCCCCGACAGGCGTGAGCTGCGGCTCAGGGAGCGGCTGAGAACCATTGTCTTCAGCCATGTTCGTCGTTCGGGCCTAGCCCATTCTACAAAGGGAATGAGATCAATTGCTGTGAATGCCGCCCTTCTGTTCGGTCCTGTTGTTGTCTTGGTTGGATTTCCATGGTGGATAGCGGGAGCTCTTGGCATGCGGGTGTTTGTCGCGTTGGTTTGGCTCGCGCTGATCCACTCCCGCCTATTGATTACTGGTAGTACTCAAAGCACTCTTGCAGCAAAGTATGTAATTCTCTATTACACATAAGAGTTTCAAAATGTGTCAAGTATATATTTACTTCAGATTCATTGCCCCGTTTTGGTGATCGCTAATTCTACCCGCTCAAACGCAACACTATTACTATATACAAAACTCTCCATATTCACATCATGTGCCAATCTCTAATAAACCTGGATTCCTAGCAATTCGTATACCACATTGGGTCAGATATCTTCACCAGACCCAGATTCTATCATGGTCTTCAGATAACTCAGCTCGTCCATCATTTCGCGCATTGCTGCAGACTGACCCAGTAACGAAAGTCTGCTGAACGGGTCATAGTTCTTGCTGGGCGCACCTGTTTCTTTGTCATGATGGGCTGCTGTATCCCCTTTCACATCCTCAGAAAATTGCAGCGAAGAAGGGTCAGGACTTTGCAAAAGGCCGAGACCTTTGATGGACTCATCTCCTCCGAAAAAAGCCGCGTGTCGCTTGGGGTTGCTTTCCACGCGGTCCTCATCATCAATATAGAGTCCCGGAATGTCAAGATCAGAGGGCGATAAGGAGATTGTAAGGCGAGGAAGAGGGAGGTCCAAGCGAGGTGAATCGCCCGCGACTGAAGTAGCCGCTGATCTAGAATTGACAGTAAGATGAGGGGTGTCCGGGTCACTCAATTCAGCAGGTATAGAGGCCTTGAGGAAGTCCATGGTCTCAGTGTTGTCGGTAGTAGAAGACAACTGAGCATCATAATTGAAAGCAAATGAGCGTGTCATAGACCCAGGGGATAGAACATCCGTATCCGCGCTCCACTCGGAAAAGTGACTTCGTTCACACACCGAGCTACCAGCGACAGACTCAGTATCAGTGAAATCAGAAAAATGGCTGCCCAAAGCCTCCAGATCAAGAGCCTTCTGTCGGGCATCAATGTCCCGTAATGCTTCATCCATGACTGATGATGGCGAATTTGGCAATGTTGGGAGTCTCTTCTCGCTGGAAGTGAAACCGGTCGGAGTAATGGCAAAATCGGACGATGAAGGACCGATCGCCGTCGGCAGCATGGATGGTGATTCCAAGGGAAGAGATCTTCTATGAACATTCAGGTGTGCCCCCTGGGTTGTGGTATTTCCAGAGATCCCGCTTCCTGGCTTTGCCTGCAGGGTCAGAGGCGCCCTGTGCAAGCCGTGCTCCGCAATCTTTGAGCTCAGGGCCCGTCGATCTTGGATTGTTAAAGGCATTGAGCGGCGATCTCCAGATGTGATGGGTTTCTGGAGTAGGATGTCCGCTGGATGCTGGAGATCTGTGTTGAGATGAATGGACGAGGAGTGCTCGGAAGCAGTGCCCAGATGAGCCCCAAGATGGGAATGCTCTTCATGTCTGCCAAGGAATAGGCCTTTGAGCCCATGGGTGGCAGCGGGTCTGAAGGCCTGTCCCTCGTGATCGTCCGTAGATCCAAGATCCGGCGAAGATGTGTTCCAGTGGCGGAATGCGGCGCGAAGACCTCTTGATCTAGGCGGGGACACAGAACGAGCGGTTTTGCACCCAGCTGCTCTTGATGCATCCAGGCCTTTCACCTTTGGCGTTGCACTACTAGGCTGCGATGTGCCTCGGTGAGTGATGATACCAAGAGGGGACGTGCTGAATGACCAGGCTGGGGTTGGTTGTTGCAACAGCGGAGGAGACGTGCGAAGACGAGGAAGCTTTGGCTTCGGCGGCTCTCGAGGATTCATGTACTTGTCATCGGGGTTCATAGTTCGTTGATCCGCTTTCTGTAGGCTGGGACTCCTCGCGTGAGTGTGAGTGGGAAACGTATCGGGGAGAATGACTGGGACGTTGAGAACATTGACCGGTTGACCCGGTAGGAGAGGACAGTGCGTGGTCACAGGCTCAGCTTCATTGTAGTATTCCACATCGTCATCCAACAGGTACTGAAAGAAACATTAGACTGGATGCTCTGAAAGGGAACCTGGAGAAGAAACATACATAATACCAGTAAGTGCCGCCCATTTTGAGCCCTCCAGAGCGTGCTGGAGTCATATGCGTTGAGGAGCCGTCGCACACTATGTTATAAAAAGTGTGACATCCCCTCCACTGCCCGGCGCCAACGCGCTTATCCCTTTCCATGATATAGGGCTGGGTGAAATTATCCCATGACCCCAGCAGCTTAACCGATTTGACATGGGGGTTGGTGCAACTGCACACGGAAGTTAGCAGACTCCTAGACTGGATTTTTCGGGAGCACGTACAGAAGAAATGTCATCAAAGTAGTCGAAGCCATAATTGCAGTATAGCAGGCTGTCAATTGTTGAGTGTGCAATGAAATATCAATTAATAATATATCGTGAAAGTAATTCGCAATTGAAGCGAAGTCAATGGTCTAAGTGAAGCGCGTATTATATAGGGACAGCAGAGGCAATGAGAATGTCCTAGACCAGCCAGGACAGAGTCAGTGACAGTAAAAAGCGAAGGAGCGTCTTAGTGGTTGGCGGATAGCCGAGTCGGGCTGTGTTCCTCGAAAGACTCGAGCAGTACAATTGAACGGATGCGCCTCGCCGCGCGGTTGGGAGGACAATAATATAAGATTTGAATGAGGCTCAAAGGCACAGCGCCATAACAAGCCAGCTGCGTTCTGACACCGACAGTGGGCAATGAGTGTTGGAGATCACTGTATCATTAGGCGCGGAGATGCGGGAGTTAAAATTGGATGTTCTTAGTCGGGAGATTGCAACGTTCAACCACGGCCAATGATGCAAGCTGATGGTAGTAGGAAGCGCCGACAGAGCGGAGACTGCACCGATGAACGATGATGAGAGGCAGAGCAGAAAATTGCGGCGCTTGCTGCCGGAGTCGGACGTTTTGTACAAGGCTTCTTAAGGGATTCCACACGTGGTCCAGACGGGTCGGTGACAGCCAGGCTGATCCGGCCTCCAGGCGTAGAAGGCAGGGACAGATCCAATCGCAGTATGATAATCACCAAATAGATGAATGCAGTGTGCGTGGCGGCGAGGTTGAAATTCAAGAGCTGAATCGACCGTTCGTCCGGCGCGCTTATCAAGGATCCACTGGACAGGGCAATAACCACGTCACGAAAGGGACTCCCCCTGCAAGCGAGGATAATCGAGGAGAAGGTTTCATGGCAACAGGAGGGAAGGCTAGTGAAAAAAGGACGCGATGAGATCCGAACATGGTTCCTGGGATATTCGATCCACCCGCCAAAGACTGGGAAGATGCTGATCCCTCCTGGCGAACCAGCGTAGCCTAAGGGACCACTATGCCGTCTAGTCGGAATTTAGTTGGTGGGGCCCGAGAGAAGCCCGAGTGATTAATATGGATGGATCACAAAAACAGCCAGCCACGAAACCGATCCGGTGGTTGACTCGTTGACTCGAGCGTTGTTTGGAGTCTTGGAGACACCGGCGGGTGCAAATTCCACGACGGACCGGCGCTACGTAACCGCTTTCGGCCGCGGTGGCTGGTGCTATGACCATACCGTACCGTATCCAACCCTGCTTTGCCACCTGAGGCTGGTGATCACCTCTAGGGTCAACTAGTACACGAGATCCCTACTGCAGCCTTGTAAGCGAGCCTGTAAAGTTACTATTCTCATCCGGAATTGGGTTCCGCATGCTCTCACCGAGTCATCCAAGGTCACTAGGAGGTGGAAGCCAGGGCAACGCCCAAAGCTGTCGCCGAGGGTGCAACTGAAGCGCCGACCCTTTCCAGGGCGGATGAGGGGGGACAGTACCGTACGCATACACGCCGATCGCATTTCTCCACACCACGTGAGAGGCCCGCAGGTGGTCGAGGGAGAGCCAATCTTACGGTCACGTACCTGTCGCCGTCTCGCTTCATCCTGCCTCTGCAGCCGCCAACCATTGTTGATGCATCTCTCCTGCATCTTCCTGCATCTCCCCGGCTCCATTGTCTCCAAATCATCCTCCATTGTCCTGACGACCGGCGGATTACAACAGACAACAGAGGCATGACGAGCCGAACTGACAAGGTGATTTGTCAAGTCTCCCGACCCGAGTGCTTCCTTGGACTAACGAAACTAGCACTAGGACAGGGGTCTAGGACAAGGCCGGTGATCCATCCTCACGGACCAGCGCGCCTACGCGCCCAGGGGACTGCCTCTCAACCAATCAATCTGCCAGTTCCGGATTCATATAGATAAAATTTCAATGGCTCACTGGGCGCCTCTGGCGGCACCCCCTGCAACCAGTCAGTGTCCTTAACTTTCGGGTGCTGGGCAAGTAGGATCGATCGTCCCCCGGGAAATTGAAGGTTTGGACAACAAATAGTCGGAGGCTAATGACAGTCAATCACACCCCCTAGCCTTCAGCATCTCTGACAGATGGCTGTCACCTCGGGCTTACATCCTTATTGGGCCGACCAATCGGTAAACCATGTTCAAATTGTGAGCAGTCCATTTGGCGGGACTACCCGGAGAGCGACAGCTGGACTTGGCCCAGAGAAGCCGTTAATCATTACCCTCTACGCGATTCAAAAAGCAAAGACAGCTGGGAGCAACCGATTAAATTGTTACGATCAGAGATTCTGACCAGTCACAAGGATCTATCTCGATATGGGTTCTGGTCTCGGGCAAGCCAACGGCAACAGGGCGCTTGCTGCGACGCGTTTCATTCCAACCCTGCCGCTGTTACACAAATGACAGGGTCGACCAGATGAAGGACACAGTCTAGACTCGCCCTGGCCAACCCCCAAGGACCGAAGAAAAGCAAAGCCCCGAAGGCAACGGAAGCGTTAGCGATAAGTGACAAATGAAACGAAAGAACAGGGTAGATCACCTCCCCCCCTCCTTCACTAAAACGCGTCCTTTTTATCATACTTCCTGTTCACGGCGCCAAGGACGCATTTTAGAATGCCCTCCGCACTCAGCGTCTGCCCCCGATCACCCCTCCACGGCACGGTATCCACAATATCCCGGATACGGCCCTTCTGTTGCATCTCCCCCAGGTTGTCATCCAACTCCTGCAAATAGGCCGTGGCGGCGGCATCGTTTCCGACCTGGAAGAACTGGATGCCTACCTGCCAGGGCACGGCCTGGAATTTGTCGCTATCCAGTCTCTCCGCGACATCAGCAATGATACTCTCCGCGTCGTCCGTAAATGCGCCATCCGTAATGGCAATGATGTTCAGCGGCTTCATTAGCTGTGTCGAGTCACACGACCCATCGCTTTTCGCAATCGCTTTCTCCAGCTCTCGCATATAAGGATCGAGAATATCGTAAAGGCGTCGACCAAAGGGCGTCGCACCCTGTGGATGCACGCTGCCAAAGATCTCGCGAACATTGTCCGCTGTCGTAATATTCAGGTATCCCCCTTTGTTCCTCCGGCCTCCGTCGCGGCGATGGTTCAAAAAGTAGACGTCGATGCCATCCTGGTCGTACTGTGTGCAAATCGGGGCGATCGCGGCAATAGCATCTTCCGCCTCCTTCCAGCGTCCTTCCCACAACATGCTTGAACTGTCGTCCACGACGAAGATGGTATCGAACTCCCGCAAGAATGAATATGGAGTATCGCTGCTCGTCGAGGTGGTAGATTGTGCAGGTAAGTGTGACGAATACGGCGGAGGAGCCCACGGACTTGGGGTTGGGGCCTGGGGTGGACTGTTCATGGGTGCTTTTCCCAGTGAGCGTGAAGCAGTACCTGGGTTCCTATCCCCAGGCAAGGAGTAGCGCATATGTCGACTCTGTCGAGAATGAGAGTGACCCATATCGGCTGATGCTTGACCCTGAGTCTGGTCCTGAGAGACTTGATCCCGGTCTTGGTCTTGATGCTGAGAGACGGATAGCTGAAAAGTTGGAGCTGGGCCTTGACCCTGGTTCTGAATCTGATCTTGGTCCTGATAAACGTGCTGCTGATAAAAAGGAGCTGTAGTCAAATCCCGACTCTGATCCTGACCTTTATCCTGATCTTGCTGACGACTCTTCGAGCCGCGTCTCGAAAGTGAGCGACCGAAAGGTAGATGGAAAGGCATGTTCCAAGTCAGAAAACCAAACAGGAAACGACGTGAGTGATATAAGACCTATGACAAGATCACACGAGGTAAGTCCTATGCAAGTAAGTTGAACACGGATGAAAAAAACGATGACAACACACTCACCCCACCATCATCATCATCATCATCATCACCACCACCATCACCAAGACTCATTAAATAGTCTCCTCCTAGAACTCAAATCCGGCAAGCACAGCCCATCGCCAAGGCAGATTCCTATTCCCTCCAGAGAAGAATCCCGTAATACCATGGGTACTAGACCTACGTAGAGATGGGAATACACTACTAATCGGTACAATTCCCCAGTTACTACGACCTATACGGAGGAATGGAATAACCCCGGAGGGGAGGGAGCAAGCCGTCTCCACAAGGCAGAGCAGAGCAGAAAAGCAAAGCAAACTGCAAACTGCAAAGACAGCCTAAGGCAGATATCTCCCTTGTAGACTAGTAGGTAGACATGTGTCATTGTATCACCTTCACACTTTGTTTGTGTCACTGCCCCCCACCTCCTCCCCCTCCCTTCTCCCATCCCGAATGATACCATGCAAGGGAGATCGATTACCCACTACCTATATTCTATCCCATGTTCTGGATGCATTAACCCATGCCTTACAAGGAAAAGGAAAAGAAAAGTACCGCACCTGTCTACTGCAAGCAGACAGGGATGTTCAGGGTTCTGAGTGGGGAGGGAAGTTCATGGAAAGGCCAAGGTTAAGTAAGAGGGAGGGATGGAAGGGGGCTGTGCTGTGCCCGAACCAGAGTATATGAAGAATCGGGGTCGGATGGGTAGGTAGGCGCCGCTGATTTATTATTCCTAAGGCTAGGGCATGGAGACAAGTGCCGTGTGTTACTGTCCACGGTGCAGGGTACAGTGCACTGCCTTGTGAAAGGGTGGGTGGTTCCGTATGACAGGTAGGCTTAGACTGCGGGGTGGGTGGGCGCACGGCACAGCCTCGTTGGGTCTGGATCAATGAATGGATGGATAGATGGGTGACAGGGGATCTAGAATGAAAGGGATTGGCAATCGATGATTATGAGATACTGTGAGGTAATAATTTTGTCATGTACATCCTTCCTCAGTAAATTGTCCAGATTTTGTATGCTGAGTGATACATTGACTGTTCCACGTGGCCTGCCACTGAATGTTCTATCGTCATCGGATGTTCGCAGCGTCACGCCACTTGAGTTGAATATGTATTTTGAGCAGGGGCACAGGCCAGCTGCGGCACTCCCGTGATATATTGATTATCATCGCTTACAGTGACACTGTCCTCTGGCAAGACCAGTGCGTCGAATTGACCGTTGCTCTTCAGGATCTCGATCAAGGCTAGAGCCTGATCAATGCCCATTCTATTTCCGATAAGGTTGAAGCAGTCAAGCACCCATTTGCGTAAGGGGTGGCCCTTCCCTCGGGTGATCCCCGCCATAGCCAGCGGCCAGAGGAGTACCATGCCGCGAATAAATCCCTGATGAACAGGTATCTCATCCAAGGCGGCTGTGTCAGAAAGTTCGGTCGCCGTTACAAGGGCATTATCGCTGAGATGATAGGGCACACTGGCGCAGATGTCGCTGGCGAGTTGTCGGGCTGTGTTGCGGATCTGCGCGGCATGACTGGCAAGATCGGTGGACAGTGGCGATCCGGCGTTTAATTCTCGGATACATGTCAGGATGAGGTCGCTAACGATGATCCGGGCGACCCGGTAATGATTCCACGAGCTGCAGGCCCAGAAGTCACTATAGATGTGATACCGATTATTGTACGGCCGAGGACCCCAGCTGAATTGAGGACAGGGGCCTTCGACAGTGGTGTATGCAAAGTTCTCTGGTTGGGACGTCAGCCATGACATAAGCTCGGCCTCAATACTGTAGGCTTCCTCAAGCATCTTCTTCCGATCCGTCAAGATCTTTTCGTTGATATCAGCTCGCAGGTTGGATAGTCGGCCCATGGTTGTGATTAGGCGGTCGCCATAGGCCATGGACTGCGGTCGTAGAAACATGGCAACCTTGGCGCAGTGCAGAACAGACTCGGGGACCCTGGCTTCTTTTTGCAGACAGCTGATAATCTTTGCAAGCTAGTTAGCCAGTATGCCCGACGTCGAATGAAGGGGGAATGGAAGATTAAATCCGTACAATTTGATATCTCAGCTTCAAGAAAAGCTGCAGCCCCTGTTCTTCCTGAAGTTGCTCTACACCTCGCAGCTCGAGCAAAGCTGCAGCCCCGTCGATATGATTCGTCCAGTTGTCGATAGCTCGCGCCCCCCTACTAGTAACCACCTAGGACATGTTAGGTTCCATGTGCACCAAACCCTTGCAATCGACTTACTTCAAAGATAGCCAGCATAAGCACGGCCGCAAGCGTGGCGTTATACTTTGCCTGCTGCTTATCCGAAACAGCCGAGGTGAGGAGCTGCAGCGCACGTCCATACTCCTTCTCTGCGGCGACTTTCATCGCGGTAGACTTCCTCGCGCGGGAGAGCATTGCCGTCCCAACGGATGCCAAGCTAGCCATCATGGCCTTGTGACTGGGCGATGATGTAGGTGTGGCCTCTTTCTCCGACCAGAGAGGCCCAATCCAAGTATTTTGCCGCAGGAAGAAGCAAATGGCATCGTCTTGAGTGGGTTGGTATGATGGCTGCAGGACTAGGGAGTGTCGAATGATCTGCTGCTCCAGCCCTTGCGGGGACAAATACACGACATCATCGAAGCGAACCAGATCACTCTCCAGATATTGTGGGGACAGGGAAACAAGCTCATCAAAGCCCAGCAGAATCTCACTGGCTGACGATGACGCTGGGGCCGGACTACTACTAGCGGTGGTAGTGCGACTGTCACCGAGGGTGATCATTCCACTCTCCGGGCTTGGTTTTCTAGAAGCCTTGGCTTTGCGCGCCGTTGTGCCAGACCGTGCCTTGCGGATGACCTGCTGACTCTCGTCCCGAAACATTAAGGATAGTTGGTCGCGGTATCCGGGGCAGCTCCGGTTCCCCTTGGCGCATTGTGAACAGGTTGGACGGCCTTGGTCGCACCGGATCTTGCGAGTCCGGCACTCGCCGCAACCTTTGCTTGGCTTGCCGCAGAAGACCATAATAGGCGAGCGGGGTGTGATTAAAAGGCGGGAGAAGTATATAGTCCGCGGATCTGATCAGAGAAGCGAAGCGGGGAGGTAGACTTGCAGCTGAATCGGGTAACCAGTGCGAGGCTCAGGGGGGGGGGGAGAGCCTGCTGGAGCCCGACTTCTTTTGTATAGAAGGTACTTGAATTGGGTTCTCGAGAGATTTCGAGCTAGGTACAGCTCGCTCTATCTATCGAACATGGAACACGAATTCTCCGATGGACAGGCAGATCGAGAATGAAAGGAAGCTTGAGGCGATGAGACGATGAGGCTGCGCTGCCCGCTGCCCGCTGCCCGGATGCCTGAGGCGCAGAAACCCCGCGCCACGTGCCCCTAACCTGATTGAGTATGCCTTGCGATGGCAGCTTAGTTTAGCTTCAGTCTAGTCTAGTCTAGTCTACTGTGCAATCGGATCAAGTTGGGAAATTAATCAATTACTGGGCGCTGGCTACATATAACTAACCATCGCTTGTCCCCGGCTTACTATTTACCCTGGTGCCTACACTCGCTGCTCGCCCATTCACGATGCATCAGCCCTTCCAGGGAAGTCATGAATAAAATATGATACATATAGAATCTCTATCAGACATCACTCGTCACGGAGTTGCAGGAGTCAGCTGAACTAATTCGGCTGGTACTCCTCCGGAATCTCCGGCCACTCGTCCACCCCATCCAACATCGCCAACGCCATGCCACCGCTCAGATGCACCTGGATGTGGCAATGGATAAGCCAGGCACCGGGATTCACAACTTGGTACCGGAGCGCCAGCCAGGTGTTTCCCGTCGCTGCAGCCGGGGTGATGAACGTGTCCCGAATCTGAGGCGTCTTAAGATTGAAGCTCTCCGGGATATAGTGCATCGCTTCCGCCACAGAGGAGTAATTCCACACTCCACTGCCCTGTCCGATCACGAAGAATTTGTTGCTGTGTTTGTGGACTGGATGAGGGGGCTGGATCGGGCCATCCACATGGAAGATCAAGTCAACCCACGTTCCGTTGAGTGTTTTGATGGTGAGATCAGGTTTAGCTGTAGACGGGTAAAAGAGCAGGGGCGATGCTGCCTCCAGAGAAAGCGGGAAGGTGGAGTTTCCCATGGTCCAGCGGTAGGATGCGTTATAGTGACCGATCCGCAGGATATAAGTCTGCGCGACCTCCTGGGATGGCACCTCCACCGGGAATGGCATGATCGTGGACTCATCCAACAGGGTGTAGTTGGAAGAAACAGGCGATCCATGGATGTCAATTGAGGCCACCGACGAGCTCTGTTGGGTCTTGATCGCGTTGCTGTATGACAAAACTGCAGTAGCGTTGAGGACTTGGTTGATCCCGGAGTTCGCCGCACGGATGGTATAATCCCCAGCAGGCTTGTCTAGCTTAACAAAGACCGAGTAGCGATTGCCGTTGGCAACGGTGACCGCGTCCACCAGGGTTGGCTCGATGTACCGCCCGTCAATAGCATAGACATACATCGGATGCTCGTCGATGGAAAACGTTATCATCGAGACTCCCGCCGTACTGATCAGGTCATAACTGACATAATTGACAGTCGGGTCAACCAGGAGGCGCGCAGTCCCACCATTTCCAGGAATGCAGCCGTAAAACATGGTGGGTGGCATAGCGCTGTAGTTGTGAGGGAACGTCCCTTCTGTGGATACTAACATGGGGGAAATACATCTGCCGTTGTTAGCTTTATTCTATTGGAACCCAAGATCTTCCACACATACCCGGTGTCAGTCATGCTCAAATTGCCTAAGATCTGCTTCTGCGCAGCACTGGCGAGCTTATTCTGAGCCTGTTGCCCGGGACAATCAACTGCTCCTTTTCCGTTGACCAGAATTGCATTGACACAGTACGCATCTAGTCCTGTCTCTTCCTCCGCACGCCACAACTGTTCCGAGGTCAAGAAACGCCAATCCGAGAGGATCACAGGCTTGGTATTGTGCTCAGCTGCCTGCATGGCTTGGAGCTCGGTTGCATTGTTCGTAATTAGGTGGAATGGCTTCTCCAGCGAGTCATCTGGATGGACGTATATCGCTCCATAGAGACCGTCATCAATCTGACCCCTGTTATGAGCGTGATAGAAGTAACTCCCATATTCTGTCGCTCTCCATTTGTAGAGAAAGCGGTCACCAGGCGCGATAGGCCTCTGCGACAGACCAGGCACACCGTCAGACCAAGGAGTGCCAAGCTGCTCAATCCCTAGAAAAGTGTCAGGCTATCACAGATCATTGTACACGACACAAAGAAAGCATACCATGGAAATGAACGGTGGTATTGAAGGGAAGGTGACTGATCACCAGGAACTCGACATCATCCCCTTGCTGCAACTGCAGTGCTGGGCCGGGGAATTGGCCGTTCATGAGAATCATCTTCCGGGGCACGCCTGCCGGTGCCCAGTCTTCCCATGTTAGCGTAAGGTTGAAGCGCACCGTGTTTCCGGTGGTCCGAACGTGGAGACCGCTGCCATTGGCCCAGGAGACCAAGCATAGGATTGATGCCAGCAAGGCCAGCCCGTAGCGAAAGGGATGCATGGCAGGGAGGTGTCTGAGGTGGTCAAAAGACAGCAGCCGTGACCAGACAAACCATTATTGAAAATTGGGCGGCGCACATAGCCTTATATGCCCCAATTCATTGAAGGGCAAGGGGAAAAAAACCAGTTTGGGCCAGCTGAGTTCAGAGCCTAATGGGCCTGTCCGTTTGTCTATTCCCAGTAGCGAACGCGGATGAGCTTTCCTAGCGCATTTTCGGGATAAATACCAGCTAATAAGAATGCCTCCATTTGGATGTGGCACTTCATAGCATCGGCAGCGTACATAGTCGGAGGAGCAAACAAAACTTTGGATGATCCTAAATGGGGAGAAGTGGAGAATCATCCGGCATGATTGGGCGATCTTAGTTTGTGGTGGGACTGCAGGTGTCGAGCAATTGCCCGGGCGAGAGAACGCCTGCTGCTCAGACCCACTGGGCTATTGCAGAGATCCTTTCTGGTGGTGAGTTGGCCCCTCGCATTGAGTTAGCACTTTGCAGCCTAGCGGAGATGTTTTGGGTGGGCGACCGAACCTTCGATCGGGCTTTGCGAGTTGTTGAACAAAGATGCTAGGTAGGTAGAGCTCGGGATCTGCTGCCACAGCATGACTCGCTCAGCGACCACCGCAAGGACCCACCGGATGGATGGTTCCTCTTTGTGGCTGATGGAACTAGAAGGCTAGGGAAGCTTGCAGATCATGACTGGGCGACACCACCGCAGGAATTCACGATGAGATCAATAGCGATATGACAGCTCTCGGTTGTTTTCAGGCCACCTGTAGTGCTCATCGTCTATGAATACGAGCCTGTTATCCATAAAAAGCCGGGGAAAGCAAATGTGGAGAAGGAATGGGCATTATGGGAGTGTCGCGTCATGCCGTCATGCCAGCTAGCCAGGCGACGAACCCTTTATCTCGGGCCTGAATCCTTTAGGCGTCCCGTGCCAGTCAGCCGTGCATTAGCGACCGATCCTATCTACCACGAGCAACATAAGACCAACTTTAAGCCACTGACAACGCGGGATTAACTGATTGGCACACGCTAGCAATCTGAGAGACTACACCCTTTACTGTGCAATAAATCCCCTACACCTGTCAGCAAAGCATCCAACAAGTCCACAAGAGAGTCAACCTACCCATCGACCACCATCGCAGACCCATACATATAACTACTCATTGGCGACAGCATAAACGTGATCGCATCCCCAATTTCCTCCGCCTGCGCCATCCGCCCAAGCGGAATCCTCGACTCTTCCTTCCGTCTCCCCTCGGGAGTAAACAAACTCAGCAACGGCGTCTCAACATATCCCGGACAAATCGCATTGATCCGAATACCCAGAGGCGCATATGTAATAGCATCAGCCTTGGTGAACCCCACCACAGCATGTTTCGAAGCTGTGTAAGCAACAATCGGCAAACCGCACGAGGAACCGACGAGACCATAAGTAGATGCCACGTTGACGATGACGCCTCGTGATGAGCGGGGACTGTAAGCGCGTGTATATAAATAAGCACTGACATATACCACTCAGGCTATGAGCAGGAACCAAACCTTTCATCCAACTTCTCCTGCGTCAACATAACTGTGATCTCCTCGCGACTGGTCATCCATACCCCGTTCAGGTTCACGTCCAATGTCTTTTGCCATGATGCGATATCGTGCTCACTCGAGTACGCTGTAGAGCCTACTATGCCTGCGCTGTTGACTGCATAGTCAATGCGTCCGAACTGGGCAACAGTCTCCGTAATAGCATTCTGGATGGAGGCTGGGTCGGTCACGTCCAGGTTCAGTGGGAGTGCTTGGACGTCGCTGAATTGGGTCTGGAGGTCGTGGGCGGTTTCCTGTGCCGCGGGGAAGTTAATATCGGCGATTGCGAGTTGACGCACGCCGTGTCGGGCTAGGGAATAAGCAGTGGCTTTTCCAATGCCTGTAGCATGGTTAGCTGGCTGAGGTGGGGGAGAAAGACGCAGAATAAGAGGGCTCTATAAACCTGACGCGGCTCCAGTGATGAACGCAACTCCACGAAGCATTTTTTAAATGATGGGTGATGGGAGAGATGGTTGTAAGATCTGTGTTGAGAAGGGTGGATAGAGAAATAAATGACAGCTATAGTATGCGGCTATATTGCATTCAGAGTGGTAGAGATGAGGGGTCAAAGGTAAGCAAGCACGCGTGACTGCCCGCCTTAAATGCTACCCCTGTCCACGTCTATCAAGATACACCCTCTTCCGAGTAATGGTTCCTTGATGCGGTAGGCGACGTAATTTGAAACAAGCCAGACTGGAGAATCCTTGTATTCATGATTTATCCATTAAGAACCACAACCCCAGACCAACTTGTTGATGGACGCCATCCTCGGGACTATCCGCTCCATTTTCCAAATACTGGAAGACAGACTACCCACGGTTTGACTCCAATGCTAGGGAGAGCTCCGAATCCGAAGAATTAGTAACTCTTAGGGGGGATTCTCGTTCATTCAGACCCTCTTCATTTCTACATGTTCATGTTCCTGTCACAGGTGATCTTGTTTCGAGCTGAGTACATGTGTCGGGATTGTCGATATATTTCTCACTGTTCTGATGGTTTGGTCTAGTAGTATAATGTTATTTAAGTTTTTAGCTAAATGGATGGGAATGGTGAAGCGGGTGATAATGATTTGGAAATGAAGTTGATGATAGTATAGGGATGACTGGGTGAAGAGTTTATTGCAAAGAGTTGAATGGTGAAGGTATATGTAAGAAAGAAGGTTAATAAGAGAGTGACGGAGAAAATCACAGAGAGAATATGTGAGACGTGAACTGTATGTGACGTGAATGTCATGTTGGTCACATACTTTCTGTTTCTTGTCTGTGCATGTGCTTGGTCAAGCTAGGTTTAATGACGTGGTTTCTTTTCGTTACTTAAGGTTCTTATTCATTCTTGCAAGAAGGGAGTACCTAGATGCTAGAACGATTATATACCAAGACAATTCAGTACCTACAAGACAAGCAATCCCTACATTTTGAGCCACCGGAGCATCTCCGTCCAATAGATGGCTTCAACCATCCAAGGAGTGGTCCGTAGTAGCACCAGACAGCAGCAGCAGTAACCAGAGCGGGTGTAACTCGTCTCATTTCCATGCTGATTAGCTGAAAATTATTTAGCAAGATTAAGCCATGAGAACCCCACTGAACCCCACGTAAACCCGAAAGCACCTGTCAGCCATCTAGCGCCGCATCAATCAAAGGGAACAGCAAGCAAAAGAAACCCAATCCAGATATTCAACCTGCCACGTTGCTCCAACATGCGTGAAGACTATCTCCAGAGAGAAGCAAAGCGTGAATGAAGATAACAATCAGCCCTGGGTATCTCTAACACACCGGAACAACGCAGCCATGTTAATCGATGAATCCGGAAAAGTCACCAAAGCCTCACAGTCCTCGCGACCCCGCAGGCCAAGTACTGCTGACAATCAAGACCTGGTTCATTTCCTCCAAGGGCTTCTTGCGAGGGATAAACTCTGGCGCATCTCCGCGAAGAATAGACCTGACAGCGCCTCCATTGCTTCCATTCATCCGAAGTCTGAGAAAATCTTCAGGGTTTCGAGGAGGCATCGACGAAGATGTTGGTTGAAAAGGATATCCATAGACGCCAACGGAATCTCCAACGGGGCCGGAATAGGGTACTCCACCCGGCGCCTGAAGACCGCATTCCCTTGGATCAGAACCACGAAGCTCAGGATAAGGTTGACCAGCTGGAGCTAGGCCAGGTCCTTGGTACATCTTGAACAGTTTGTCAACATTAAGCCATATCTAAAACCTCTCTGGCATGAAAATGGAGAGTACTCACTGGCTGAGAATCCGGGAATCGGCCCTGTTCTAAATACATTCGGTTCCAATTCTCCATTTCCCTCCGCTGGTGATTCATTTGCATGCCGTGGGCCATCATTGCGTTGCACTCGGGCTGTGGGATTGGCTGTGGCAAGGCAAAATCGTAGCCAGGCGGAGCGCCGGGGCCATGCATATCAGGACGGGCCGGGAGAGGATGACGCGAATTATGATATCTGTATGATCTATTGGGCTCTTGTACACCTCCGGCGGGGTTGGTCGCGTCGGGCTGTCGACTGCGGCCACCCTTTCTTCTGTGGGGTTGACTGGCCATGATGGCTTCGGCTTGGGGCTGTGTGATCAAACAAGTCAGCTTTCTAGTCCTGAGTAACTGATCAGGGAAGTCACTCAAAGGAGTGGGCTCCCAAGTCTTGCAAACCTCGGACTCTAGCAACATGTGCATCGGATAGGACATGGTGTTAGTGATAGTGGGCAAACGTGAGGGTATCAAGAGGAGATCAGGAAATGGAGGGAACAAGAAAGGGGTTAAAGAGGAGACGGTTGACTGGTATATAGAAGACCGAGAAGAGTGACGTTCTAGGAACTTACCAGCTTTGGAAACGCGGAGCCTTTTTAGGGAGGAACCTCGCCGACGATGTCAGTGTAACAAAGAGGAAAACGACGCTTTGTCACGGTTGAGAAAGAGCTTGTCTGAGCCGGTTGAGTTCCCCCATTCACCATTCACTTCTCCTTGTCTGCACCCCATGCCAACAGTGAGCCTGAGGCGTCAGGACATGCTTTTCTCGCTTGTGTTGCTCACCCGCCGTGATTCTCCTGTCATGTTCGCACAATTCTGACTCTTCCATTACTGTGGTTCATTAATTTGCAGCGCCGCCCACTACCTGCCCGTTACTCCACTACAACGACGTCAGGGATCTGTCAGGGCCCGGCCATGCTCGGCCATGCAAATGTTCATCGTACCCCGTTAGGTTAGTTCATCATCCTGACTATCTAAAGCACCAGCACCAGGGCTCACTTTTCCAGTTTACCGTGCTTGTGGTCGGGGTTCTCCTCTCACAAAGACCAAGTCGCTCAAGGCACGTAGGCCCAACATCACAAGATGTAGAGAGGACGAACGGGAACCCGGCAACAAAGGAGACATGGAAAGAAGCAACAGATGGATACGTGAACGCGGTGCCCTGACAGATTTTCTTTTTTTGTGTATATACATTTTCACCTGTTTTTGTGTTTTTCTTTCTATTCTGTCCACAAAGACGGGGTGGACGACAAGGAAACAAGAGAAGGAAAGGAAAAGCAGACAGGACCACAAAGGGTAAGTGAAACCGAACTTGACATATCCTCACTTAGTTCACAGGCAGCGCTGACCAACAGAAAACAGAAACTATCTACAACTCCATCATGGATCGGAGCTGTGAGGAGCGAGCCCGAAGCTCAGCCTCGATCGACTCCTTCTGAGCGATCTTCTCGTCGAGCGACTTGGAAGTCTCCTCGACCGCTTCCCCCGATCTCTTGTAGTCGCTGAGGAGTTTCTGCACTTCAAGTGCCATCTAAGAACATTGTCAACCATTTGCACAAGACAAGTCAACGCCATAAGAACTTACTTGGAGGTACCGGTCTCTCTGCGCAGCTGTCTCCGCTTGTCGGACCTTTCTGCAAACGGCCTCACCGAGAATATCGAATTGTGCATCGCAAGTCCAGACCGAACCACGGGCAGGTGGTTCGGTCTGGACAGATGCATCTCTGGTTGGGTGGCCTTCTGGTTTGCGAAGTCCCGTTGGACGAGACGGAGCAGAAATTGGCGCGGTATGAGTGTCCCGGTGCCCGGTCACGGCACTCGCGCGGTGTGGACTTTTGAAGGATGTTGTCCCAACATGGCACCTTAGCGAGTCCGAACTGGCGGCCTTGACTAGTGTCGACACTGCCTGCCGACCCCGGGCTGGGGCAGGCAGGTCTTGGCTGGGGCCAATTTCGATGTGCTTCCTCTCTAGTTGCTGCAACAACGAGGGAGTTGGCAAAGGCGTCGGGTTTGATATAGCCCCAAGAGAAGTCATCTGGCTGCGTGTGTTGGGCTTGCTAAAGTTGATTGTGGCCTTTGCCATGCTTTTTATGGCCGTCTTTTCAACACCGCCGATGTTGCCTTTCGATTTCGATTTTTTGATCGGTCTCGCGGTCCCCGGGACCCGATCTTTTTCTGTGATAGTCGTGGCCTCAATACGACTTTTTTTCCGCGCCGCCCGGGCCTTCTGGATGATGCCGCGGAGGCTGAAGGCTTTCCGGGCGTTGGGTGTTGGAGTGAGATGGATGGTCTCATCCAAGGTCGTATGATTGCCGCGACTATCGTGTTCGGCTGGGGACGTCGCCCCGCGCTCTCCATGCAAGGGGAGTTCATTTAGCGCTTGAAGGGATGACGTCCCCATTATTATCTCTTCGGCCGCAGACGCTATTCTCAGGGTTGGGCCGTGTGGCAGTCGCGTTACGCGCTGCGAGAAAGGAGTCCGATATTCGCCCTCATAGATGGTGCGCGGCTCGACGGGTTCTTCACTCTCGCTGAGGTTGTGGTCATGTGGGGGAGAAGAATAGGATGTCTGAATGTGTGTGACATCTCTGCTGCGTGGCTGACCACTTCTTGTGGCTCCTATGAGACGATTAGCTTTGAGCATAAATAAGAACTTTAGTCTCTTTTATCAAGAAATCCCTTGAGCATGTACGACAAGTAACAATCAACCCGACACGAGTAGAAGCATAGACATCAGGCTGCAAGGTCACCGATCCCCAATTATTTGCTCAGGGAACTCCCCTTGGGCATGGACATAAAGCCCAACGTGACGTAGCATGAGTAGTGGAAAGGACTCTTACCTTTAGTATTATGACGACCATCATCGCGGTACTCAGCCCCAGCGCTCTCAAACGGAGCATCCTCAAGGGGATCACGAAAGGTAACCTTCTTCGACGATGACGACATGCTTACAGAGATGCTTAACCTTTCCGACAGGAGATAATCAGGGGAATAGATAGAAAGAAGAACGCTTTTTCTGTAGCGTGTTCCCAGATGAAGTGAGAGATTCAAAGTCTTCCTGACACAACAGGAGACGAGGAGTGAAGACCGTTTGTGTGTCACTTGGAAGAGAGACTTCTGTAGAGTTGATGAGACAAACAACACGAGCGTGCTTCTGAGGGTGTAATACAGAGCTGTGGAATGAAGGAGAGAGATCGGATGTGTTTGGGAAATGAGAGAGGAGAGATGGAGTGTGTTCGTTGCTTCTGGAATGAGAGCTTCTTGTAGATTAGATGGAAGAAACAAGACGGACGTGACTTGAGAGTAGAACAGAGAACGTGATTCTAAGCGTAAGCAAAAGCTGTGGGAGAAAGAGAGCTATCGACGATGCTTGAGAAACGATGTATGAGAAGAGGATATAGGTGAAAAGAAGGTGTTTCCGGGGAAGAAGTCTTCGCGTGTTGCTGTTTCTTCTCAATTTGGTGGTCACGCAATTAGACTTGTGTTTCCCTGCAAAAGACTAGCAAATGTGGGAAGGGTAGCAAGGAATGGGCATCGAAGGACTGACGGCAGCATTCACTGGGGCTGCTGCTTTCTGATATCAGGCCCACCTGGTGACCGGACAGACGGTCCCGCCGGTCCATCAAGGCCAGTGATATCCTCGGACTAAACTATCCCTCAGGCAGCTATGTAAGTCAGGAGTTGACTGCATTCGCCCAGCAGTCTGAGACTGGCTGGGCAGTTAAGCCAATTTGTTCTCCAAGACTCTACATCCGTTGCATTCGAGTACCACATTCGAGAATCCCTTTTCCGCATCGAAATACCTGTCCAGGGGCCAAGCAAACATCGATCCAGGCGCCAGGAATTTGAGGTCATATCGTTGTTACGGGCTGCCAAACTCTTGTGGTGCTCGAATAATCCTTTGCAAATTGCGCGCAGCATGCTGATCACTTCTGTCAAAGGTCCCCTAGCTGTACCCGAGTCCCCATACGTTTGGTGTGCTTCGACGATCTCAACATCCATATACCGCGTCAACGGCAGTGATACCACTGGACCCCATACTCTGACAGTGGTGCTGCCAATTTGAGCTGGAAGATTGCAAAGTACGTGAAGAGTTCTAGCATTGACTTGGAGTCTCTGTCTGGGGCTAGACATGGGCGAAATTGTGGTCGATGTCCTTGGTCTGTTGTTTGGCTGGACACATACTGGGTCCTTGCTCTCGAGCATAAATGTTGCACTGGGCAGAGTGCAAGCAGAATATGCTGCGGTAGTTGCCATTCAGAGTCCTTGTCCTCAAGCTGGGCACATCTGACCCTTAGCCAGGAACAGAAGACTTGCCATTAGGGTTATCGGGGCCACTTCTTCTCGTGGGTATTGTCTGTCTAGCCTGGCGAAGTGTGGAGAAGCCATAATATCGATGTCAGTAACTCTTTGTGCGTGAGATCGTCCTATCATCAAGGTTAGCAGTCATCCAGGATCAGATGTGCAGGGCTAACAGGTATGCCAGCAAGATCTACTAAGCAACACCTGTCGTTCAAGGGAAGGCACGATGGCCTCTTTCCGGGTGACGCGCCAGTCCGGCACTGAGCTGTGCTGATCCTTTGCCGACCTGAAGAAAACCCAACAGCATGGCGCTCAAGAGTCTTGATACTCAAACAAGAAGATAAAGACATGGAGGGTGACTGGGCCGGAGCCACAATCACCCTCCATGGCTCTGAGAGAGAAGAAGAGGGAGAAGGAAGATAGAAGGATTCTCGTGTGTTTTCAAAGTGCGAGACAGGCAATTATGCTCTTCACTTTGGTGAAGATACGGCAACTCAAGCGACGCGATCCCCAATCAGGAAGTTGATGCGTGAAGGGAATCACGCCTAAGGCACTTGGGGCAGCTTTAGGGTTACTTTACTTGGTGGCTTCGTTAAACTTTGTCTATTACATTCAAGGGTGCTGGCATGCTTATTGTTGCCCTGGTGGCTGATGAGGTGTGAATGCCAGAGAACCAGTGTCTACCAAGCCCTAAAACTTAGGCATATAATGGCATCGAGCAGAACAAGTGTATCCTGTGCATCCTACCCATGGTAGTAGCTTACATTACAATCAATGACAGACACCAAGATAGTTTCACTCTACCTAGGCATTTCTGTTATCGTACTTCGAAATATGATTTGATTTTAATATGTACTTGAACTAATACCTGCCTTCGTGAGATGTTGAACCCTCCGACGCCATACTTCTAGGTAGATTCAATATCCTCCACATTAGTGTGTTGGCCACGCTTTCTTTTGCCCGCTGCCTGCGCAGCAGATCCAATCTGTCTCTGCGCACCCGACCCGTCGCTCGTCCACTCACTAACCTCCCATTCAAACGTTGTAGACTGATCATCACTAACCCCCACACCACGTCTAGTCTTCATCATCCTGCCCAGTCGACTCCCCTCCACCATCTCTTCAAACCACGGAATCCCACCCAGCATGCCCTGTCTATAACTCCGAGAGATGGATGGCCCAGACGGAATAATCACATTCGACAAGGGCGCTTCTTGTTGTACAGCAGCGGGACTGACAACCACCTGTTCTTGTCGCTCCGAAGCCTCCGCATTGTCCTCATCTTCTTCGTTCTCCTCATCGGAAGAATGTGCAGGCGAGTCCGGGGGCAACAGCTCCAAATCCTCCAACATGCGCTGATCATTGCCGAATAAGCTTCCTATCGATACTGACATGTAATCCGCCTCATCGCGGGGGTGCTCGCTCCAATAGGTGAGTGGGGTGCCGCAGTAGCCGCAGAAGACACGCTGAGTATGTGGCGCATGGTGCGGCGAGAAGATGCGACGGATGGTGTTGTGTGTTTCATCGGGGAAGTAGGACTGAGTGTGGGATTGATACCAGGTCAAGGGGACGCGGAGCCAGGCTGTCAGGGGAGCGGCGTGAGACCTTCCTGTCCAATTGTGGTTAGAGATGCTCTATAGAATAAAGCCGATGGGTGCGGACGTACGGTTGTCGCGGCTGGTGTCAAAGTAAACGTGGGCATGATCGGTTATATTTTCGGGGAGTCGGATCTGGTACTGGTTTCTCCCGCATTGGCAGGAACCGCGGAGATGTTCATGACTGGCCATGTTGGGGTCGAGATCGGTGCCTGCTCGCTGTGTATAGTAGAACAGCGCAGGTGACAGATCAGGGGTCGATCAATTGAGAATAGAGGTCAAGATCGAGAATACAGTCTGCAACAGCGGGCTGCCGATTGCCGAATGCGTGGGGGAGAAGGAGGAAGAAATATCGAGGGGAGGCCCAAGTGGTATGTGTCTGAGGGAATCTAGAAGCAACGTGAACGATCGATGACGTTACGCGGGTGAAGCCGCGATCCAGACTGGCCAGTTGGCGGATCCACGGACTGCGTATACAATGATTTGGTCACCCATGGGCCATATCCTCTGCATTCAACACATCCAGAAATTTATCTGATTAACTAGTTGCCTTGCGTAGTTGGAGTTAATATACATAATAGTAGGCCTTGTCAGGAATATGGGATTTTTGATAGCTGCGATGCAGCGTTAAGTGGGTGGGAGCTAAGTAGAAGCTTTAATAATCTCCACTCAAACAGCACCTCAAGGTTAAAAGTGTCTGATAGTGAACCTGATTGGCTTGTCAATGAATTGACAGTAAGATCCAATAAAACATCCATTGACTCCTTCAATATATTCTGCTAGACCTGCAGAGGTTAGTGACCGTGGGTGAAGCCGAAAGAACCGTGGGTGTCTGTAACATTTCCAATCTCTCGGCTGTCTGTACCTGAAGCGATCGAGTCGATCCTCCGCAGCTTCTCATAAATGGCTCTCCCCTCCATTGGTCCAGGCATTCAGGCGAGCCTCGTCTCCTCCCCCTAACGTGCTGGGGTCAGCGATGATCCCCTCCTCTTTCCTTTGCGTGTACATATCCCCCTGTTCTTAATCAGTCCTTCCCTCTGTTTACTTCATTTCTTCCTTCCTTCCTTCCCTCCGGTTCTGTTCTGTTCTGTTCTGTACCTGTTTTTCTCCCCGACGTCGTCACATGAAAACTCCCCCGCCGCAAGCACATGATAGTCGCCGTATTGACAGACAACAATCGCATTCTGTTACCCACCACTATATAATCCCAGACGAACCACCATGCCATCTGCACGACCTTCCGCCTCCCTGGCGTCCAGCTCCTCCGAACCGTCCTTCTCCCCCCTGCCTGGCGGCGCACCCAACCAGCCGGACGATCACGATCGTTCGCCGGTGACCACCCCCACCGGCAACTCCAAGCCGGCCGAGGCCTCGTCGGCAGCCAACTCACAGGACAAGGAAAAGCCGCGGCTCACAGAGCAGGAGAAGAAGAACAACCACATTGCGTCGGAGCAGAAACGGCGCGCGGCGATTCGGGAGGGCTTTGATCGATTGACGGAGCTGGTGCCAGGACTGGAGGGACAGGGTCGCAGTGAGAGTATTGTGTTGCGTAAGACGGTGGATTTTATCCAACTGCAGCTGCGGGAGCGACAGGAGTTAATGGCGGAGATTGAGCGACGGGGAGGACGCGTTGATGATTCGTTTCAAAACTGATTGAATTATATGTGACTTGATTTGGGAAAAGTCCGGCGCTGTGGGTAGTGCGATAGCAGTGATGATACTAAGGACTGTATCGATGCTAGGGTTTGTTCTTTTCTACGAGGTGCTCGGTGAGTACTCGGGTTTGGCGTTGTGATGGGATATATAGGACGATGTTCCGGCCAGGATTGCTCTGCATATACACTGGAGCAGCTGGTACTGGGCTGGGAGTTTAGGTTCTTAGGAACTGCGCGAATGCAGCAGACAATTGCAGCAGACCATGACAAGTCATGATTATTTGTAGGCGATAGCTACACGAGTATTGTTACTACTCAAAAGACATCATAAGCTGTCAGATCATATAAGCAATTCTCTTCAAAAACCCCTGTAGGTCCAGCATGAATCTGGACGTAAACAGCACGAGCATGCTGAAACACGTTCACGTTCACATGTAAATGACACAGCATGTCTATCAATCTCGCATTATCAACAACTGCCGGGTCTCACCGCCCGTCTATCATCAAATTTACCCTCACCACCATACCATATACCTCCTACCATCATGACCACCACGACAACCACAAACCCCCCTAACTCAACCCTTTATCACCACTACCACCACCATCACCACCACCAAAATGTCCGACAGCAAACAATCCCTCCTCTCCCAAACTGACCCCACCACCACCGACCCACCCCCAGCCTACTCCCCCTCCACCAACCCAACAACCACAACCACAACCAACAAACGCGCATCTCTCCTCCCCCGCCCACCCCCTCTCACCCTCCCAATCCTCACGCACCTCCGCACCAAACGCTTCATCCTAGCCTCCACCTCCCCCCGCCGGCGACAAATCCTCTCCCTCCTCTCCCTCCCAAACATGGAAATAATCCCACCCAACACCGCCGAAGACCTCCCCAAAACCCTCTCTCCCTACGAATACGTCCTGCAAACCGCCACCCAAAAAGCACAAGCCGTGTACGCCCAGGAAATCGACTCTCCGAAGGGCGAACCAGCGGTGATTCTGGCCGCGGACACAGTCATCGTGGACACCTCCTCGGGGTCGATATTGGAGAAGCCTCGCAGCGAAGCACATCATATTTCCATGTTGAAGGGACTGAGGGATGCGGGCGAACATAAAGTCTATACTGCTGTTGTGGGGATGGCGCCGTTGGAGAGTGCGAGGGTGCCGGGGTATGCGTTGGAGAGTTGGATTGAGGAGACGAGGGTGTGGTTTGATCGCGGGGTGAGTGATGAGGTTATTTTGGCGTATGTGAGGACTAGGGAGGGGGTGGATAAGGCCGGGGGGTATGGGATTCAGGGGTTGGGGAGTGTGTTGGTGGATAGGATTGAGGGGAGTTATGATAATGTGGTGGGGTTGCCGTTGAGGAAGACGTTGGAGGTTATTCAGAAGGTGGTGGCGAGGGCGGATGATGAGGATTTGTTGGATGGGGAGGTGGGCGAGGGGGAGTTTGTGGAGGGGGAGGAGGATGAGGAGGAGTAGATTGGTTTGGTTGTTGGAGTTGGTCTGACGCTGGGTGTTGGATTTGTGGATTTGTGGATTGATGGATGGGGTTTTTGTATGTATGTATAGAGGTACTTTATACTGGAATAGGTATATCTCGAGTAGAAAAAAAACAAGGTATAATATTTGAGTTATACACTCTTTTATAAGCTCCAATAGAAGCGCACAAAAACCAACATGTACAAGAGAGGCAAGGCAGACGCCTAAACTAAGACCAAACCAGAACTGAAAAACCAACCCCCAATCTATGCCTTCCACACCCGGCGGAGAGCCTCAGTCACACCCACATCGTTCGTCTCGAACTCGTACAGGCCAACAGCCGTGCTAAGGGTGAAAGCGCGGAGCAACCAGATCATGAAACTGTGGGTCTTGGGCACGCGGCGGGTGGGGAAGTAATCGGTGATGGAGGCGCTGTACACAAAACATATCAATCTCTACTCAATTGCTCAACTGGACGGGGGAAGAAAGACGTACTGGAAACCAATGTGCGAGTGGACGACGATGGCGGAGCAGATGACGGCGTCCATGACAGGGCTCATGGAGCCGGCGGCAAAGGGAGCAATGCAGAGGGGAACGAGACCGGCAGAGACGATTCTGCTGTTGTCAGCGGCGGCCGCATATCACCATCACAGAAGGCGCGGGGATACACACCTCTCAAAGGTCCAGTGGTAGCTACCCTCAGTCGGGTGGGAGGTAGGGACAGGGGCAGGGTCGTTCACTAGTTGACGAGTCGAAGGTCAATAATGCTATCCATATCCATATCCAAATTCCCCGGGCAGTCGTGGTTTGAGCACGAGCTGATACACCCGGCACACGCAACCAATCCCATCAATGAAAAGAAGCAACGTACTAGTTCCCTGGATAGTCTCTGTCCATCAATTAGCACACCCATTCCTTATCCTATCTCTGATAAGTAAGGCAAACTCACGAGGCAAAGGAGGCAAGATCTGCTTCTGGGCCGAAGCGTGAAAGGCCACGACCTGCGCGACATTTCTGGTCGCCCAGGGAGCGCGGAAAGCAGACAGGCAGGATTGCCGGAGGAGGGGAGACTGGCGCGCGATCGAGGCCATGGTTGCGGATGTGGGATGGGACAGGCGATGAGGGCGATGCGAACGCTACACGAGACGAAAGCCTGAGGTGAAGTTGAGTCGCTCAGGATGGAACCTCGGGAGTCCGATCGGGAATACGGTCATCATATTGTCGCGCCCCTGATTGGTGGGCGCTGCTCCGCCCAGCCGAAAATGGCCGACACCCGGCAAATCAATATCACGACGACGGACGTCTCTTGATAGAGGAAAGGGAGATTTGGTTAAGGTTTAGTGATAGAGTCTTAGCGGTTGGATGTGTTATGCAGATTGTTTGGAAATGCTATGTGGTGCAGCATGTTAGGACTCTGCGTTGTGTTTATTCCTGCCTGAGGCATCTATTTACTTACCCGACTGCCGAGAGATAGATTGCAGTACTCTGGGTATTATGAAAAATCTATACCTTCATCTTCATTGATGATGGCTAAATACCTCGATCTGACATAGCAATTTATCATGGAATATGGATATTAACAAACTGTAGTTCCTACTGTACTCTATAACCTCTACCGTCTACCACGGATAGCCACCGGTATCATATACACATGATACAAATCATCCCAGCTGCACCGAGTCAGGATATTATAACAAAAATAAACAAACCTTTTCTATGTCTACTCGCGGCAGATCATGTGGTCACGAGCCGGACCAGTACCGATCCATTTGACCGGGACACCACCCAGGCCGCGCTCGATGTACTCGATGTAAGCGCGCGCGTTGGCGGGCAGGTCCTCGTACTTCTTGACACCCATGGTGTTGCTCTTCCAGCCGGGGAGGGTAACATACTCAACCTGCACCTTCTCCAGCACCTCCGGGTCGGCCGGCATCGTGTTCTCCGTGCGGGTGCCGTCGGGCAGAATGTAAGCGACACCAACCTTGATCTCGTCAAAGTCATCGAGCACGTCCAGCTTGGTCAGGTTAAGCGCAGTGTAGTGGTTGATAGCCTGGGAGTATCGGCACAGGACCATGTCGAACCAACCGCAACGACGTCTACGGCCGGTGGTGACACCGAACTCCCTACCAACGCTCTGCAGCTTGTCACCGGACTCGTTCAGCTGCTCGCTGGGGAAAGGACCCGAGCCGACACGGGTGGTGTAGGCCTTGACCACACCGATGATGGAGGTGATGCTGGTGGGGTTGAGGGACAGGGCCTGCACGGCACCACCCAGACCGGTCGACGACGAGGTCACGAAGGGGTAAGTACCGTGGTCCAGGTCCAGCATGAGCGCGTTGGCACCCTCAACCAGGGTGTTGGGGGCGTCCTTGTACTTCTGGAGGAAGGCCAGTTGGTCGACAATGTAAGGGCCCAGGCGTTGGCGGTATTCCTGGTTTTGTTAGATGCTCCTGGAAAGCTTTCCAAGTCCGACTACATGTGGGTCATCCTACCTTGAAACGGGCAAGTTCCTCCTCAACGCTGTACTCCAGCTCGCCAAATCTGGCGCGGTAACCAGCGTCCAATGATCGCAGCTTACGCTCGAAAAGAGCCTCGTCCAGGATTTCACCCACACGGACACCGCGACGGGCAGCCTTGTCACTGTAGCAGGGGCCGATACCCTTACCGGTGGTGCCAACCTTGCGACCACCCAGCTTAGCCTCTTCCAGACCATCCACAACGGAGTGCAGGTCGAAGCAGACGTGAGCGCGGTCGGAAATGAAGATGCGCTTGCCGGCGCTGTCCAAACCCTTGGTCTCCAGAGAAGCCAGCTCCTTGAAGAAACTGGGGACGTGTACCACGGTACCGGCGCCAATCAGGTTGACACAGTCGGGGGAGACGAGACCGGACGGGAGGATGTGAAAGTCGTAGGTCTTGTCGCCGTGAACAATGGTATGACCAGCATCTAGTCATGATTAGACCGATCCCAACCTGCTCATATATAAAAGTGGAGGTGGGGGGAGGGGGGCTCTTACTGTGACCGCCAGCGGCACGGCAGCAAAGCGTAGCCTGCTGCGCAAGCATATCTGTGATCTTTCCCTTTCCTATACAATTGGCGCCGTCAGCATGCTGGCAAGACAGGGAGAAAAGGATCCAAATCAAGCCACGTCAAACAAATCAAGCGCAAGGTTCAAGTCAGTCCTACCTTCATCACCCCACTGGCTACCCAGAACAATTGAGATACCCATGATTGCGTGTTGATGATATGAAGCCACAAATATATTTCAATTGTGTAGCTCAATGCGTGAATCTTCAATTCGCGAGAAGCAAATCGAACAGCGGTCTATGACACGGGAAACGGACAACGCGGGGCACGATGCGGGATGAGGCAACGATGAAACAAGGTGGAAACGGACAAAAGCCGTAAGCTAAGGAAGCTCGTAAGAGGGTAAGATGATTAAAGAACACCAAAGGATCCCAAGCTATACCTGAGGTGACTGGAGCAGCAGCAAAAAGTTCGCAACCGTCAAAGACCAAAAGCCGAAAAAAGAAACGGAGGGGAAAGCTGCGGAGGCAAAGACGATATATGCGCCGTCGGGGGTCGCCGTGACTCAGTGCGTGCTTTACCAAATACCATACCGTACCCTTTCCCGCCACTGGGCGGACCCATTTCGGGGGAGAATGGGGAACGGGAAACACCGCACTGCCCGTATTGCTCGGTACCGTCCTGTTCCCCGCGGCGGGGTCAGCCGAATCCGGTATCTCACGGCCTCAGGCTGCGAGGGGTCTCGCCGGTATCGGGGTAGGGCTTGGGGCTTGGGGCTTGGGGCTAGGGCCCCAGGGGTCACGAATGTTACCTACCAGTCCATAAAGACAGTAAGGCTTGGAAGTTATAACAAGCTGTATTCGAACGAGTTCATGACCATGATTGACTATGATACACGTATAACCATCCTCCAATGCCACGAGTAGAACAACCACCATGCGCCAACGCCCACCCAATGCAGAATCTCGGCCTCACGAAACGCCTGTCGGGTCCTGTGCCTCTATCCCCTATATCAACTTTCCGCCGTCCAGAATCCATTGCCGCGTGTCTCCCAGTTTCACGATGCATTCCCGGTGCAGTTCCCGCGCGACTTCCCAGTGCTTCATGACCACAGTGTCTTCATCGAATGCACGCAGATAGGCGCTGAACCCGGCTTTACCACTGCCGGCCGCCAGACTATCGTCATTCTCGTCTCCATTGAGTCCCTTGTCATCCCCTTCGTCTTGGTCCAGAGAGTCGATCTTCAAACGTGTCGAGTCTCCGACGGCGTTGACCCAGTTCGGAGCCATGCCCGTCTCGATGGTTTCCTGGCGCGCATTGACGTGGCGTAATATACGGCGACTAAAAGCGTTCCATTCACGCATGTAGGTGTTCATTGCCGCGACGTAGCGCTCCCACGCAACCCGAGGAATCCCAAGTTGCTTAGATCCCGCACTGATGGGAACCCGCTCCGGTGGGTTGGGCCGTTTCGGCGGGTTCGGCAAGGCCAATTGACGGGGACGGACATCACGTATCGTCGTCCGGGAAGCCTTCGGGCGGGACTCAAATGGAAGTGTGGCATGAATGTCCTGCAGGTCATCAATGCCGCCATTGTTGTTCTGCACGAATGGAATCGTGCTGCCAAGGTTTTTCAAGTCAAAAGACTTCGAGGTCTGCCTTTTCTCTCGCCTCCTTGAAGACGGCTTCAATTTCGGAGGTAGCATCTCTTTCTGCTCAGTACCAGCCTTTTCCGGCTCTACACTTTGTCCAGTGGCCTTGGCAGGCGGGACAGCGTCAACATCCATAGCTTCCGCATCAACGCCTCCCGTCTTGGCAGATTCCTGACCGTTCCCTCCATTCAGGGTCGTCTGCGCTTCTTCGGCTTCGGTCGACACACTGGCTTGTTGCGGGATGGATCGAGGTTTAGCTGCAGGCTTGGTTTGCTTTCGGGGACTTTTCTGACGTTGGGAAGCAGCGGTCTGTTTTTGTTTGGAAGTGTCGTTGGTAGGAATGTTCCACGATATGTTGGCTTTTTGCAGCTCCTCGATCCAGGCATCGGCAGAAAACTTCGCCTGAGCAAAAGGTGTTGGCTTTTGGGACGATTCCGACTCTGAGCGGGCAGGATTGAGATTTGCAGCACCTGCAGGACGCTCTGTCCGGTCAAAGATGTCTCCATCCGCACTGCGCCCTCGCGCACGTTTGTCCTGCGATTCTTTATCCGACTGCGTGGTACCGAAGAAATCCGTGTGTTCCCAGCTCCTTGCAGCGAAGGGTTGCCGTAATTGCTCATGACTGCTGCTCTTGAAGTTCCTGTTCGGGGTGTTCGCTTCCGCCTTGGGGGAGCCAGAACTATGCATCGTAGTTAGCTTAGGACTCTATTGTAGATAGGCAAGATTCAACATACGCTTTTAGAGGGCTTCCTTCTCCGAAGAATGCAGATGTATCGAATACGTTCTTGGTTGAGCCACTATTCTCGGAGTCTGGGCCTTGAAAGAGGTCTTCGTTAGCAGCTAGATACGATATTTGCTCATCGAACTTCTTGCCCGACTACTCAAGCCTAGGCCTGAACAGCAACCAATTATATACGATGTATATGATTATGACGCTTACCATTTCCAGTGTTCCGATTGTGTTCAGTATGGAAGTCGTTGAACTTCCTATGGGCGCGAAGCCTGCTCTTAGGGACCGCCTTGGGCTTGCGCGCCGAAAGGTCATCATCATCCGTATCACTTGAGCTCGTGGAAGAATAATTCCGGTTATTGTCCCTCTTCAACTTTGGACTGGCACTCCGATGTCTGCCAGACTCAGGAGGAGTCGGGCTGGGTGGGTTAGTCCTCGGGCGGGGTTGAGGACTCGAGGTAGAATCGCGCATGCTGGCCGAACGTCCGAGTCCAGCGCTTGAAAAGAAAGTTCGCTCCCCACCGGCAGTGGCATATCTGCTGCTCGCTCGTTCAAAATCAGGGGTACTCGAATATTCGGCCCGAGAAGGTGCAGCGGATTTTCGAGCCGTCGGTGAGGGAGCTGGAGTGTAGAATGAGTTTGGCGTTTGCGATCGATCCGCCCGGGGAACGTTCGTATACGCGGACGTATTTGCGGCCATCGGTTCGTCACCGCCGGCGTCCCGCGGAGCGAATCCTTGCTTCCTTCTCGTCGACTGTGCACGAGTCGGTTCAGGGCTTGTCGGCTTGGGGGACTTCTTGAAGTACTCGTAGGCAGACTTGGGCCTGGGTGTCTGGCCATTGGGGGTGGAATGGGTTCTAGGTCCGGCGCCGCTATGCCCAGTGCGGGGGTCGAATGAAGACCAACCACCCGGCATCGTATTGCCCTTCATGTCCTGAAATCCCCTATATGCATCGGCTCGCGTCTGTCCGTCATCTTGCATCTTCTCCCAAGGTTGTTTCGGGGCCGCCCGTGCATAGCTAGCATAGCGCTGGGCGCCGGTGGACGGACCGTGGTGGAAAGACTGCGGGCGAGTCGAAAACGTCGGTTTCGGCTGGGGTTTCGGAGAGTATGAGCCGTAGGGGTTCGGAGGTGCTTTTCGAGCAGTGTTGGCTCTGGGAGGTCCGTAGACTTTGCCGTAGCCGGCGCGCAAGCGATCCGTGTCATATCTCAGCCGTTGCTGGGGGTCACTAAGGATCTCATTGGCGGCCTGAATTGCCTGGAACTTGGAGTTGAACTCCAATTCCTTACCAGGATTCCTATCCGGGTGGTATTTGAGAGCTAACAACTGTCAGCCAGGCCTCGCGTGACCCATCCTTCCTACGACCACCCCTCACCTAGTTTGCGGAACTGTTTCTTGATATCCTCGGTTTCTGCACTAGGAGTGAGACCCAAGTCTGCATAATAGTCCCGACGCACGTCCGCCTTGACCATTTTGAGAGAGTGACGGGTGTCGGAATCACTTGTGTTTGGTGAAATGAGCGTGTACCACTATCGTCGCGCCAAGGTCCAATTTCGTTGTACACATGACCTATCACAAGGAGGTAAAGCACTGCAAGTCGGCGAAAGCTTTGCGAGAAGGAGCAGCAGTAAAGCAAGCGTGACGTCCAATCGTAGAAACACAAAAATCGAGGAGTCTGCAAGGATCGAGCGAACGGTCGGAGCCGGAAAACGTGAGGTTGCGGGGGGTACAAAGGACGAAAAGCAAGGAGAGATCGTTTCACGGTTTAGCTGGCAAGCTCCGGTTGGTTAGAAGGAAATGAGCTAGAAGCTCGCGGAGGTACTTGAAGCAAAGAAAGAGGCACCTTTGCAGAGTCAACTGCTGTAGCCGGATGTTTTGATCGCTGAAAGCTCCCAGGAAAACCAACTTTTTTTCCTATCAGGCTGCGCGCAACATGATCCTCACTCTCGAGGAGGAAAAACAAACACCGCCCCAGTCCAAGTCGCCGTTGCTTCCGAAAAGAGAGGAAGAAGGCCAAAAAGGAGAAGAACAAGAAAGAGAGACAAAACCCGTGAGAAAGAAGTTATGACCGCCGCCGACGCAGAAGAATGATGATCGAGGCTAACTGCCCTGCCTCAGGTTCGCGTGGCCCAAGCGCCCCGCCGATTGGCTCGTCTCGAGATCCAGCCTCGGCGCTTCTTCGATTTAGATAGAAAATTATATATATCTATCCAGCAGAAGTGATGTTCGAGAATATCCAGACTCGAAAGAATAGCTAACTCCCCTCGTGTGTTCTCTGTCCGACATACCACACGGACCGTCACCAGAAAGAAGCATGGACCAGATGGAGGTATGGTAGCCCCCCTCCTTCGACATTCCCCCCAGCCACAGTTAAGGTTCCTGGCTGACGGGATCCATCGATCGCTCGAGTTCCGGCCAACTCAAGCGAACGGCTCTTGCTGCCCAATTTGGTTATCCATCCTGGCCTCACTGTTGCTCTCGGCTGGGCACGCCTAGTCTTAGTGCTTGGGCCCGTCCCCCTCTTAAGGTTTAGACGCAGAATGGCTGCCTGCTAGCAGTGCTAGGTCCCCTACTAGATAGATAGATAGTCTACTAACGTCCGCTGGAACTACTGATGGGCACCTGAATCAATTCCTAGGGTCCTCGACTGCAGTGCGTCTTTGGCTCCACTAACGTTCGATCTCCTCCTTCATCCCCACCTCTTTGTATCTTCCTATGACGTCCCCCGGCGGATACCTTCGCTTGGAGACGCTGTCTCAGGACAGAACTCCGCCCCTACGAAACCGTTGTCGGCCAGAGCGAGTGTTGGCCGGAGTGTGCCTTTGCATGCTGTCGACACCAACTACTGCGAGTAGTATGGAAATTATAGACCCACACTGAAGGATTTGATATGATATGATCATGTACAAGCAGGCAAGTTTTCGTAAATCATCCATCCAATCCCTTTTCTTTTCTTTTCCTTTATCGCCATACCACAAGAGAAGGAAAGGATGCTACTATAGACAAAGAAGATCGTTCATAGCCCAAACTGTTCTACCCTTCTCCTGGTGGTCCATTCCCAGCCCCACCGAAGAAGTAACCTTCTAGAATGTCATAATTGGCGTTTTCGCTCCAATCATGTTGGAAGTCCATTGCCATGCCGAATCCGAGGTCGATTCCAACGCTGTGGCCAGCTCCGTGTCCCAATGACGGCATCGCCTGGAGGTTATAGTCGCCATTCTCGTCGGAGCCGGCCATTTGGCCTTCAGCCGTCGCGGGATCGAAATCCAGAAAATCAAGGCTGAGACCGGACGGGTGTTCATTTTCCGGCGTATGATAGTGTGTAGGGTGTGGGTTGGCGCCGACGCTGTTGGGTGACGCGCTCTGTTGTGGGGAGTTTCCGTAGTAGTACTGCGGATGCTGTTGTGTCTGTGGTGACACCGAGTTCTCATATGGAGGGTAATATTCCATAGACGGCGTTCGCGGGGGGTGTGGCCGCATCGCCCGATCAGGTGCGAAGTTCGATGCAGAGGATTCGGAAAATTCTGGTCGGACGGGGTAGGGTCCAGGATTTCTAGGGCCACTGCTGGGCCGTTCTGGAACGGCAGTATTATCGTTGAATAGGTCACCAAGATTCATGTCAAACCGTGGCAATGGTCGCGACGACCGTGGCTGGCCCTGCCGCCGGGGCGGACCATGGGGCGCTCGTTGTCGTGGATCTCTCCTATGTTGCCTGGTCTGATTTGACTGCAAAGCAGTTGCCTGTCTTTGCGCGATTTCGGCTTGGGCCCGAGGCAGGTCAACCTGGGAGCCAAATCCAGTGGTCGATAGGCACATCTGAACCGTGGCTTTACTCATCCTTTCAAAAGCATCACGACAAGCTTCTGCAGGCGGACACTTATGCATGAGGTCTCCGAGCACGGACGTGGCTGCAAGTACTGTGAAGTCCACTTCGTCGAGGGTCTGCAGGTGGTTAGAAAGTCCTATGCAAACAACATGAAAGCTCAGGAATGCCATACCAAGCGACTTCGCACCAAGGGAGAGTGCCAGATCGCATACAAAAATGAGATGCCTAAGTGATGTTAATAGCGATACGCGATGTTGGTGCCAACAACCTACCCGCCATGAAGATGTGATGCGTCGCCAGATATGTGTAGTTGACCAGCCGCACCCGGTGCATCTGACGGTATATACGGATCACCTTTTGCCCAGCCTCTGCTACCTTGTAGTAGATGTCATCTTCGTCTTCCGACTCATCCACATTGGAAAAGGATGGACTCGATACGTCCTCGGCTGGCATCATCTCGTCTGCCAATTCAGCAGGCACCGTCAAGCTTTGCTGATAAAGCATGATCACTGCTTGCCAGTAGTTCAATTCGAGAAACTCGGTAGGAAATCTCACTCCGGTATCGCGACGTGTTGGTGCACTTTGTTGCCACTCAACAAGCCGCCGGTGAACATCTCGGCGCCAGGATCGGAAAGAATCGAAGCCTTGTAGGAAAGGAGATGAGATTTCGGGGCGTATATGTCTCCTGCCCGCAGACGGGGCCCTCTGCCTAATGAACCGGGCTTGTTGATGCTGAAGCACGTCTTGGATTTCGGACTGGAGCAGCCGTAATTTGAAATAATGATGGGCCGAATGTTTATAGCTTGGAGCTCCCTCTGGAGGAATCACGATCCCTGACTTGGTGATATACTTGTCTTCCAGCAGAGACGGGAACTCGGTACTGATGGCTTGATCGCTAATTCCAAACGGACGGCCGACGCAGCAACTGACTAGACGGTCGAAACTGTAGACACACCACCACAATCGCCGGCGTAGATCGCGGACCCATTCCCGCCGGCCAAGTTCCCGATTATCAATTCGCGTCTTGGACTTGTCTGCATTTTTGCCTTGTGCCCGGTTGGGCCCTTCCTCCTCAAGCGTATCAATGTCGGTTCCGTCTTCGTAATGAAGGCCAAGGTCGACTGCCAGCCGCATTGCAACACCAACAATGTACCAGAGTCCAGGCGCCACCGGTCGCAGAAGGGCAAAACTAGCGAGAAGAAGCACTGCCTGTAGCTCTTCCAGAGCGCCGGACCCATCCCCAGATGCAGTATTACCTAGGAAAGTCTCCAGATGAATAATTGCGGATGCATGATACTCTTCAGGCTGGTGCTGGTGGCTCGATAGCCGGGGCCTCTTGGATGTAGATGATGATGGTGAGTGGTCACGGCCATCCTGCTTATCATCTGACGGCTTGTCCTCGAATATAATCCCAGCACCGATAGCAAATACAATATTGAGAATGTAAAGACTGCGAGGGGAGCGGTTCTTTTCATCTAGCGAATATGTACGATCAAGCATCTCCATGAAGTCAGTTCTGTGAAGAATGGGCATCTGTGGATTTGCATGTTCGAAATAAAGATTGACCAGCTTCTCGGCTAAATCTCGATCCGGGAATGCTGCACACTTCATCATCGATCTTGTTTGTAAGCCAAAGAAGGAATCACGCATGCTACTCCCTCCTGTCCCTGTGGCACTGTGCGGTAGACGTTCATTGGGACGCATTGGCCCGCGCTCTGCAACGTTCCCTGGCACGGAACTCTTGACGGCCGCAAAGACAACACGAGCAAAGGAGATACCGGATGTTGAGCCCAAATACCGGGGATCAGAGGTTCCTTGCACAGACACCATGCCTATGTTCGAAACCAGGTTATGTATGCGCCAATTGTCTTCCTTCTGCGGGTCCTGGTTGCTCTCTGGCTCCTGGCCACTGTGATCGCTCTTGTCTCTTCTTTGTATGGGTCCATCTTTCTCCCTTTTCACCCATTTTTCGTTTCCATCGGCGTTTGCTCCTTCGCCTCCTGTTGAAATCGAACTTTCCGAACCGGTCACTGGGGCTGGTACAGTATCAAGTCCTGCCTCAACTTTAACGGCTTCCTCCTCGTCGAATGCGACCGGGTCTTTGAACGTTATCTGATGATCCATCAAGACCTTCTCCAAATATGCGACACGCGCCTCGAGGAAGTAGACATAGCTGCGAGGAATTTCGCGTTTCGTTATCGGGTCATATCCAACACAACGGACGCCAGCCTTTTCGCAGGACTGGCATCGTGGAAGCCGCTGATCACAGCGGTTCTTCCGTAGGCGGCAACGATTACAGGCTGATACATTTCGAAACGATGAGGAATTGGACGTCGAGGGGGTGGCGGACTGGGTCGCGGGGCCGTCGCTAGTCGGCGGCGGCGGCTGAGATTGCGCTGACGGCTCTGGCGGGATCGAGGCAGGCTCGGTAGGCGGATGCGGTCGTTTCCTCCCTAAGGAGGCCGGCGATGGTGGAGAATCAGGGTTCAGCATGACGAGAAGGGTACGACGAGAAGTAGTGCAGACGTGCGACCATGTCTCGGGGGTGTGATTCTGCAATCGGTCAAGCGAGGCGCGGAGGTGGTATACCGGAGACCCAGAAGCGAATCAGCATTCATGATAAGCCATGCGCTAGATTCTGCTTTGTGTCCTTGATCGAGTACCGGGCTATCCGCTTCGATATCCGGGGACAGCGATTCGACGGGGAGCTGACTCGCCAGTGCTGTCCCGATCCCTCGGGCTTTTCGTTAGTGTCCCGACCCGATAGGACAAAAAGCGAATTTATCTGAACGGCAGGGCACAGTCGCAGCGCATGACGGAGGAAGTCGGCCACAACAGGAGGAGTCGGACAGACGAGGCTGGGGGCGGAGAAAAAAAAAAGGCACGGTTATGAGCGACTGATGGGAGGAAGGAGAAAAAGCAAGCATGGGAGTCAAGATAGGGCAAATTCTGGTGGAGTTCCTGGAGGGCGCCTTGGGTCCCGTACCTAGGTAGAGACGATTAGTATCGTGATTAGTGCCTCCATCCGGCACTAGTAAGATGCGTACGTACGTCAGTCAAGATGGGGAACCGAAGCACTCGTGGGTAGACCCTGCAGGCCCAGCAATTGAGACCCCTTCAAGGCCCTGAGTGATGATGTGACTGCACCAGGCGCTTGGCTTGGATCTAGATGAGAGTCGACCAAGTCGACCGGTCGATGCTCAAGCGAAGATCGAATTGAGGCCGGCCAAGCCGGGACAGTGACAATACAACCTGCCGTTACCACTCCCTCCACGTGACACCGCCCGAAGTCACTGGGCTCTGGTTGGTTACTGATAAGCTGAGCCCTGCGGTGCTTGGATTTGTCATCCGAACGCCTGCCATCCGGTCCAAAGGTACCACTTGTTGCAATGACCTATGTCCTATCAAGGCATAAGGAAACTAGGTCTAGCCTAAACAGTAAACTCACAGCAGCTGACCGACTGGATAGCCCACTCCGTCGAGGGTTCTCCATCGAGCGAGTGGATAGGGTGGTGCCTAGGTACCCGTCCACTACCCCCCCGTTGATCCCATCTGCACCCCCGCACTACCGGATGACGCAAAAGCACTAGGTAGCAGGTACAGGTGGCATGGCTGCAAGACTTGGCTGACTAGAAGAGGGGAAGGGTGGGCTACTCTTGTCGCAGCTTCGACGAAAACTCAGACCCCGTTAATTGAGCAGAGGGAGAAGAAGAAGAATGCAGATATTAGTACGGACACTGCAGAAGACAGCCGGAGGGATATATGTTATGTCTCAAAGCGACAAGGCTGAGGAGAGATGCTGCTCTCTTCCTTGCCCAAACAATCAATTCTCCTCTTGGGAAATTTGGAGGTAACAATACTAATGACAAAGAGCCTCCCAGATGCATGAAATCATGTATGCCCAATGAATCCCCGCGGTAACCCCAAATGAAAGACAAATTTGCCAGCCCTCATGCTTTTGTCACATATGCACCCAGTCTATACACTGCGCCATCGCCCAATCCTGAAATCATAATCTAAAACATAACAGTAGAAAGGAAACTCATGGAGCGAAAACAGAAAGATCAGGCTGTACCACCGATGATGATCCGGAATTGAGAGGAAAGAAAAAAGCGAAATTTCAAGAGCAACGGCAAGGCAATGCGAGTTCAAACAATGGGAAATCAACCGCCCAGCAAAACAAGAGAAGCGACAGAACCCCCTTAGATAATAAAACACAAGTAGCGCAAGGTCTATTCGTCAAGCCTTGATTTGTCGGGTTCCGGCTCAGAATTCGCGTTCAGGTCCGCTTGCATCAAGTCCACGTGTGGAATGTCCAAGTCATCAATGCCGGTGCGCGCCGACGAGAGCAATCTCCGCACTTCCTCGGGGCTGCCGTCTTCCTTGCCTGCAGTGAAGGAGCCCCGCATGGAGTCCCGGATGGAGGTCAGACCATCGCTCTCCCCCTTCTTTTCCTCCGCGCCCTTCTCTGGCTCCGATTCCTCCATCCAGAAGCTTTCTATGGCGCCAAAAACGCAGACTATTCCACAAGCCCACCATGCTAACACGGAATACCCACTCTCAAGGCCTTTGGAGTGAAGCAAGCCGGTGATCGTTGGGCCAAAGGCGCGGCTCAGACTGGCTGTGGAAGCAGCTGCGCCGTTAATGGATCCAAGAACTTTGGAGGACGGGGCAGCGTTGGCGAGGAGTATAGCAGTGGCAGGGAACGCGATAACATGCAGCGTGATCTTGCAGATCAAAGCGACATATGCTGCGGCAGTTTGGAGCTGCTCGGGCAGGAGGATGAGGTACGGAACCATGAGATAGAGTGGTGGCCAAACAAGCAGAACGAAGCGGAAAACCCGCAATGTCCCAAAGTGGCGAACGACGAAGGGGAACAACCAGAGTTGGGCGATCATGGAATAAACGCCCTGGACTGCAAGCATAAACCCGATCTTCTTCGTAGCCAGTCCCAGACCACCGGTAAATTTGAAAGGAAGCATAACATCTTCGTCGGACTTGGGGGTGCTCAGGAAGACGGGCATGAGCTGGTCGAAAGAGACACTGTGGCTGTGGACGGCGTCAGCATTAGAGGGAGCCACAGAGGTGTAGAGCTAGGGGGACTCACTATGCAAGAATGCCGTAGGCGACAATGATAAAGATGACTTTCCTGGTGAAGGCCTTGGGCACGCCGCACGGCTCGCCCTTCATCTGCCCCTCAATGTCGTCATCCGCGGACAGGTTGTCCGACTCCTCCTTCACTGGGCTCAGGCGAGGGGAACTTTCGGTGCTCCTATACTCCGGGGGCGGGACATCATCTTCGTAGTCGTAGTATTCCTCTCCGGTCAATTCCGCTTTGGCGTCCGAGGCCTCGGAAAGCTGATCGGGGGAACCCCAGACTTTCCCAACCAGCCAATTGCCCAACTCCAGGCCGCGATCGCGGCGGTGCTTCTTCTCCGGATGGGTCTCCTCCAAGAACAACAGGCCAACGACGATTCCGGACACCAGAACGACAACGCAGACCAGGTTGGGCAGCAGGAACGGGAAGCGATCGAAGATGGTGTCACGCTGGAATAACCAAGGATAATTGTCGCATGGTTGTGCCAACGCACCGCCCATTGCGGGTCCGATGATCGACCCTAAACACCAGACGAACGGCATGATCGAGTATGCCCGCGGTTGGTGCTCCTTGACGGTGACGATTTCCGCAACGGTGGTTTGAAGCACGCCAATGTTGCCATTCAACAGTCCTCCCAGGGCCCGGGCGACCATGGCGGTGGCCAGGTTGGGAGCAAATCCGAAAACAATCATGCTGATGGCAGTTCCAATCAAGCCCATGACCAGGACGGGCTTTCGGCCAATCTTGTCACTCATCCGACCCCAGAACATACCGGCGGAGAACTCTGCAAAGGTGAAGGCGGAAGTGATCATGCCGGCATACAGAGCAATCTTGCGATCATTGTCGGTCACGTGGAAGGCTTCGACCATCTGGTAGACGTAGGGGAATATCGACATGAACGCGATTGGCTCGCAGATGCGGCATAGTGCTAGTATCCCCGTCAGTCGTCATTGGGCGCGCCAACAGCAGGGGAAATGCGCGGGGGAAAAAGGAGGGGGGAAGACAGGCCATAGCAAAAGAGGGGTGTGCACAGAAAGCCCAAAGAACAACAGAAAAATAAAAATGATAGAAAAAAAGAAAAAGAGCCGATGACAAACAAATGCATATTATTTGCCATGAGCACAATCATGGTTCGAAATTGGGCGCAAAGAAATTGTCGAGACGTACCTAGCACAAAAAGCTGGCGTACAGGAAAGGCGGACCAATCACCATTGTTGTCCCCATGCCGCCGGCCTTGTAAACATGACGGTCGTTTGAACATGATGTTGGTTGAGCGGTCACCCACTTGGTACACCCAACAAAAAAAAAAGGTCGTTTGAGTATTCGAGGTCAAACACAGAACAATATCGGCCTGCGCTGGTTGCTAATATAGAGCAAGTCGAGATGATATGCGAGGCCAATGGCCAATGAATTCGGAGGAATGTGTCTTCGGCTGGATTCGCCGCTGTAATCAAAGGGAGGGAATGCTATGATGATAAGATCGCTGGACTGTAGACAAGTGGAATCGGTTTTATAGGGGGGTTAACATTTCTTCCCCCTGTCGCCAATCGATGCTGAAAATCCCGTTGTTTTGTTGGTATTTTCCGTCTGCTATTCCCGAGAAACGGCTAGACTGTGTAACTGCAAGGGAATCCAATGACGCAAACTTTGAGCTGTGAGGAATAACCCGTTGGCGGTGGAAGATGCCTCAAGGGAAATATAGGCAAGAGAACAGAAGGGCTGATCAGTTGCCGTCCAATTGAAAGTATACAGAAGCAATGATGGGGTGGTAGGTAGGTAGATAGGTGGTAGATTCCGCGTAGTAGACGGGTGGAGGTAAGTAGAGATAGTAGGGCTAAAAGGTAAGTAGCAAATATAGTGGCGGAGTTTAGTAACAGATGGGGAAGGAAGAAAGAGAACACTGAAGTCCACGGAGGCAGTGGATTGTATTTAAGATAGACGGCAGAGAGAGAGAGAAGGTCTCAAAAGGAGAATCTGGACGGGCAGGGGAATTAAATGAAGTATTTCGAGTGGATTAACTAGATATGTGATCAGGCGAAAAGACTAAAATGTTAACGGTTCAAGATAGTATGGGACAATGGAGCAAGCCCATTTTGGTTACAGCTGTACAAAAGGATGCAGGATGCAGTCGACAGCAAACAGCTGAGGAATAACGGGATCCACTTTCATTAGTAGCATGGTTATTATTATTATTATTATTTTTCATTTTCGTAAATCCAAATTTTCGATTTTTATTTTTTAAGGTATGATGCGGATGGAGTACGCGGAGGGAACGAGAGATGGATCGGAACCATCTGACACGGCCGTCAAGGCAACAAGCCAAAATAATGGGGCACCACAGATGGAGCCGTAGTGGTGCGGAAGGGAAAGCAGCAGGAAGAGAACCTACCTACAG